CGGGGGAGAGATTCGATAGGAATCAGAGGAGGAGAAGTGAAAGAGAGAATGAGGGAAGAGGATGTGGGGAGAGAAGAAAGAAAGTGTAAGGAGATTGGGGAAGAGGGGAGGGAAGGGGTGTAGAGAAGTAGAGAGGGGAAAGGAGTAGGAAGGGAAGAGGGAATGAGGGAGGAAGAGGAGTGGAAGGTGAAAGAGGAGAGAAATGAAAAGGAGGTTAGGGTGAGAGAGGGGTTTGGAGAGGGGAAGGGGAGGGAAAGGTAGAGGGGGTAAGTGAGAGAGGAGGATAGGTAGGGGAAGGGGATACGGGATTGAAGAGGAGTAGGAAGGGAGGAGAAGAGAGAGGAGGGAGGGAAGGAGACGAAGGGATAAAGGGAAGGAGGAGGGAGGAATAGGGGAAAGAGATAATAAGGGAAGACGGGGGTAGAGGAGATGAAGAGATGTAGAGGATACAGGGTAGAAGCAGTATTAAGGCTGTGGGAGTAACGGGCATTAGAGAGGATTAAGAAGAAGTGAGGGAGAAGGGAGGGGGAGAAAGATAGTAGAGGGAGCGGCCGTCTGGACGAAGGGAAGCTACCGAGGCAGGTAGGCATGCGACAAGTCCATTGACTGGGGGTGCATGACTGCACAATGCACAGGTAGGAGCGAGGGCATTGGAGATAGGTCAGGCACGATACGCAAGATCGGTTTAGAGGAGGTCGTAACTGGATTGTCGACACTAGCCTAAGGCAGATACTCAACAGTTGGTAGTCTCGACTCATCATCCTCATCCACCCCAGCAACATCCTCTGCTATACCACTACCACATACACTCTATAACCGACCTCAAACAGCACTTCCTTGAAAACTCCAACACCCAAGCCCCACCACCCACGACTCCGACATCCAATCCAGATCCCTTTAGTCTATCAAAGCCTGCCCGTCTCCATCACCGAAAAACTTTTCCCATTTCTGATCCCATCAAGGAACTTTCTCTCCGTATTTCCCCCGAGCAAACCACATACCCCATCCTCAACCTCTTCTACAGCCAGCCACATCCCCTCTCCTCCATCAATCTATGTCCCATTCCAACAACCCGCTAAGCCCAACATATATCTCCCCTCCAGGCAACCCAGAGCTCTTCATCAACTATCACCTTCAATCCAGCTCAGTCCGAGACTCCATTCACCACTAACTAGAATCGAAGTCGAAAAGAGAAGACCAAGACCCACGTCCTTGCTCCTTCATGCCACTGTATGTCCATCTCCCACATCCCCAGAACACATCCCTCACTATCTGCCTTGCCATCATCTATGGCCCATCTCCAGGAGGCTGCTCTCAATCCTGAATGCCCCCATTCGACCAAATCTCCGCCCTAGCCATCCCATCAAAACAACACACATCTATCATATTTATTCATTCCCTTCATATTACCGCATCTCAGGAATCTCAGAACAGCAAGATTCCGAACCATCCAGAGACGAGGAGCTCCCTGCATCCTCCCCTACCTCGTCTACATCATTTCCCTTCACAATCAACGGCCTTGCATTCTCTCCTGTCTTCTCAGACCAGTGGACCTGAACAGAAGGTGGTAGATCACGCCCTCCCTCTTCTTGAAAAGCCCTCCCTCTTCTTCCCTCTCCCAAAAGTACCCCAAGAGCCGCCACCTTCCATCTCCCGCCCCCCCCTGTACTTACCTGTCCGGACAAAAAACCCGTCACACATACTTGTCGGCAGCGAGCGGCCTATTAACTATCTCCTCCTTCTTTTCCCTGATCCATAGCCTTTCCTGTACTCCTTAACCTTCAGAAGCATCTCCACCTCTCCTCTCTTCTTCCAAATACACCAAACCTCTGGCTCTCCCTTCCCAACCTTATCCGCCATATCGCTGATCTGCCCAAACGCTCCATTCACCACGTCCGCAAACCTCATTCCACATCTCCCTTTGGCCTCCTTGTACGTCCCAGCACCATCAAACCTCTTGAAATGCGGACTTTCAAACGCCTCACGTATCAGATCCGGAGCCCTGCTGCTGTCTCCAAACACGCATATATATGCTACCGACCGAAGTGCCAAATATGGGAGTAGCCCGCCAACTGGGAAGCACATGCCCTTTCTCCTGCATCCATCTCCTGCCGCCAGTGTCCGGCAGCACAGCAACCTTGTCCCCGTGGAAAACAACCGGAGCTAGATCCAAGTCTCTAAACCCGCCCCTTCTTCAAGCGATCCTTTCAACATCTCTATCTTCGACCTGCTAAACCTCCAGCCCAACCCATCCTCAAGCTTCTCACCTCCTCCACCATCCGAGAGACACATGATATCCCAACCAGCACGACTGTACATGCCAATAACCTTCACATCTTCAAGGGCCCGCTGTCTCCCACACCCGTTGCACTGCTTCTTCGCCCTCCGACTAAGATCCTTCTCCCCCGGAGGCCATCGACCAAACACACATCCATCACCTGCACTGCACAATATCACACAATATGTCTCACGAGGAATTCATTCCACCAGGAACAGAATCCACATCCAATCCATCTGCATCCCCAAAGCTCTTAGATCCCCACTGCCTCCCAACCCTCCTACTCCAAGTCTCCGCACAACCCCACCAATATCCCATACCATAACACAAATCTAACACCCCCACACACCCAATCATATCAATATATCCATTTCATCCATATTTCTCCTTTACCCACATGAACACCACACACGTTCCAGAGCCACACAGAACAGAGCAGCACGCCGAGAACCAGCGACACTGGAGGAAGATCCTCGGTATTGCTCCAATCGTGTCAATTGCATTCCCAGCCACCATGTACTTCATCTCTGACGAAGACAGTTTTGAAGATAGCCTTTTCCTCAGATTCATCACAGTACTCCTCCCCTTTTCATACTCAGCAGTACAGTATGCCTTACTCCACACCAACTGGAAGTCACATAACAAACCAGAGCGCATCCTGCAAAGCATACTCTACTACACCCTCAATCTCCTATTTCTTGCATTTTCCATCATCTCCATCCTTTCAATAATTGCATTCACCCTTGCTGAATGGGAAGATGATGATTGGGAAAATAATAATGATCCAATTATCTTTTCTTTCATCCTTCCCTCTTTCACTGTCCCACTCACCTATCTCCTCTCCACATCTTGCTGTCTTGTTCCAGGACAGATCGGATTCACAGACACTGGTATCAACGTCCTTGTTGACATCCTGATACTACTATGCTCTGCAGGAGATTTAGTGCCTGCCTTCGACGAAGTCAAGCATTGTTATTACTTTGCAATCATATCTTCCATACTCATCCTGATACGATTGCTCAGGGAGAAGCTCTCTCCAGAGAAACAGAGCCCTCCCCCTACTGCACCATGGAGAATCGCGGTCTTTGTCCTTATACTCATCTCTATCGTCATCGCTTATGCGTTATTAGCGTATCTAATAATGAACGCAGACATCTTCGATAACTACTCCATCTCATTTGGCAAGGTGGAGAGAGCATCCTTTCATCAAAGCCCGGCGAATAAACAGCTCATCTCTTAACAATCAGTCTTACACTAACACACCTCCCCACAGAATTTATCAACCTGAATCTCTCCTTCTGCTTCCTCCCCAACCCCCTGTCCAAACCTATCCACTACATCATCCCCTCTGAACATCACTACACCTCTAAACCATCTCCTCCTTCCTCTCTTCTACAAATCAGCATGGTTAGACACTCCAAAAACATCCTTCCAAAGACAACTAACCCAAATCCAGAGTCCAATCGCTATCCACCACATCCCGCCGACCCCAGCCATCCATCGAGATATCATCTCCATCTCCAAGCACACCACCTCCGCTCACCCCTCCTCTCTGCCTCCGCGGAAAACCGCCGCAGAGACCCCCAGAATCTGTCAACCACCAAAGCCACTTCACCTTCAACCCACCAATCCCCCATCCTACCAGATGACATCCATTCCATCCTTCCCTTTGCCCATATGAACATCACGCACACAACAGGGCAACACACCGAGAACTCCATTCGAGCGCCGTCCTCAACAACAATCTTGTGGCATTCGTGCCAACTGCATTCCCAACCCTCATCTATCTCGTCCTCAACGAAGATCGTTTCGGGGAGAGTCCTTTTCTCAGATTCATCACCGTGCTCTTCCAATCCTCATACTCAGCAGCCCAGTATCTTCTCCTGCCCCACACTAGCTGGAAGGAAACTGGAAAGTAGCGGTTCAATCTTCCTTTCTACAACTCTCCCCTCTTTTATTGTATCCATCGTCTATCTCCTCTCCGTCTCCTGCCGCCTTGTTCCAGGACAAACCGCCTTCACAAATACCAATTCCAGCGTCCTTATCGACATCCCGATCCTACTATGCTCTGTAGGAAGTCTATCACTTATCTTAAAAGAGCCCAAGTATCGTTCCTACCTTGCAATCGTATCCCCTACACTCTCCTGCTAAGACTGCTCAGGAAGAAGCACTGCACCCCTGGAAAAAGCACTCTGCCTACTGCACCATCGAGAGTGGCTGTCCTTGCCCTCTTGCTGTCCCTATGGCTTATGGTGTATGGATCTATAGTCATTGTGTATAATCTCCTCTGCCTACTAATGAGGCAGAGACACGTGCCAAAAGCTGATCAATAAATAACCTCCTATCCTCCATCTGCAATGTCTCCAACCACCACATAAGAAGAAACATCCGCCAGACAAATCCAAGCCAGAGGAGACCAACTTGCTGCCCAAAAATGTGTAGCAGAGAACAGGACACAAGCATAACACTATTTGCTTTATTCATCATCGCACCACACCACTCAGATCACACATGGCCTGCAATAAACAATAAGACGACGGAGAACCTCAGAGGTATCCGAAGGATTCTTCCACACTATCTGAAATGATCCTGTCTCCTTCACCGTTTCAAACCTTACTCCTTTTGGATACACAAACTTGTCCGCATCCTCACATTCTTCACCCTCGTCTACCCTGCCTACATCACTTGCTTCAACAACCCCTGGGTTTATAACATCTCCTATCGACCCTATACTGGTTGGCTTGAACCTCAGGTGGTACACAACCGGACATCCATCCCCATCCTTGAACGTCCCAACCTCCACCACTCCTGTCATCCTCTGTCCCCCAGTCTCAAGAGCTCCAATCGCCACCATCCTCTGCCTCTCACTCCCGCCCTTCCTGTACTTTCCTGCATCCATGAAGAATCTGTCTGCATCTTCACTCCTGAGAAGTTCCAGCACACCCGTTATATCATGCACTATTTTCTGCTCCTTGATCTCTTCAAGAGACCTTCCCTTCCACCTCTCCTCACTTCCCTTGTCCCACTCCTCCTTGATCTTCTCAGGGCTCTTCGTCCACCGAAGAACCCTTCTGTGGATCTTGAAACACTTCCGACCACCCTTGCTCTTCTTCTTGCCCCCCTTGCTGCGTGCACCTCCAACCTCCACCGGCAGCGCCTCTACTTCCCCGCCCTGCTCAGCCTCCTCTACCTCGCTCTCCTTCTTCTCCTCCTCTTGTTCCGAGGGTGCAGAAGCACTCTTCCCCTTCCTCCCCCTCTTACTCTTCGCCTTCTCCTCCTTACTCTTCGCCTTCTCCTCCTTACTCTTCGCCTTCTCCTCGTCCCCCACCAGCTCTTTCACACTCCTTTCCGTTTCCTCTTCTCTTTTCCTCTGTCTTTCTCTGACTACACCTGCAACCCTGTCTACATATCTTTTGTCTATATCCTTTCCCTCCTTCCCCAGCAGCATCTGCCTAACCAACTCTTTGGTGACCTCTCCTCCATATTCTCTGTGTGCATCCAGCAACAGCACGTCATCAACAACAATATATTCTAGATATCTTGCATCTTTGGCCTTATCTTCGCTGAATTCCTCTTTCAAAGTCTTCTTCATACCTCCCTCGGCTAGCAATCCCAGAAGCTCCTCCTCCCTCAGCCCAAGACAGATCTCCTTGCATGCATTGCACACTATCTTCTCCACCTCAGCTATCCGTTCCCATCTTTCTATACTATAGAGAAACCCTCCCCATTCTTTAGCACTCCTCCAATCCTCCAGGTACACCTTCTTTTCCTCTTCAGACATTCCAGCAGGCGGGTTTTCTATCATGTCGTCAAGCATTCTCATGACATCTCTTCCATATCTTACTATGCCCCCCCCCCCGCTACCCTTCCACTGCATTCTAACATCCTCCCGCACACCATTTCCAGCAATTCACTGAACGTCTTGTTCCCTCTCATGTACACCTTTGATGTACCTTCAGATATATTCCTTAGATACCCCCTCATTCTTTCGTCAAACAGCCTCTCAAACCGATCATCATCCTTGTACTGCACCGAGCTGACCAGAAACTCCCACACTGCATAACAAATATCGCTTCTCAAAAAAGATACAACATTCTCTATCTGCTTGGTGTCCTTCTTCAAGTCACCGAACTTTGTCGTTGGCAATGCTGCAATGTTATACCCTTTGAACATAAACGGAACCACTATCACTTGACCATCTGGATTGAATGTCAAAGAAACACTCTCCCTTGTCTCCAAAGAGCAATACACTACATCAACCGCACTGATTAATGTCCATGCCGCATACCTCATAAGGCAGGCCCCCTCTCCACCTAATATACTATCTCCTTTATGCAAAGGGGTCTGTACACCATCTCCCTTCATAACGATGGCTCTGCACTCTCTGCACTCCTCCAAGACCCCACTCCTGCTACTGGGCTCCAACCCCACCATTCGGCCAATCATATGGCACCACACCACATAAGGCAACTGAGAACCCCGCCAACAACAGGGCTCACCACATCAACACACACATTCTCGAGCACTTCCCCACCCCATCATCTCTCCGGGCCCAGAGACTGCCACACACAACTACACGAAGCATGCAACGCCTTCCCATTCTTTGTGTCTGCTTGGCATTCTAGAGACTCAATAAATGGCTAGTCACCCAGCACCATCCCAAGCTGCCCAGGTATGACATTAAATGTCTATCATATCATATTTATTCACAATCTATGGTATGGGATGGCCCACATCATCACACTTCCCAAACGGCGAAATTGCTCCCTTTCTTGTCCTTCCAGAGTCCGTGGGCCCGAACATCTGGCAGTAGACCACACTCTCTCCTCTCCCGCCCTTGCAAAGCCTAACCTTCCCGTCCTCTCCACGCCAGAACCATGTAGCCCTCCTGCCAATCCATATCCCCGCCATCAAATCCAGTTCCCCCAGCAATACACGCCATATTGTACCCATAACGAAGGCTTCATTAATTCCCCACACTCCCAATCATATCAATATATCCATTTCATCCATATTTCTCCTTTACCCCGCATGAACACCACACACGTTCCAGAGCCACACAGAACAGAGCAACACACCGAGAACCAGCGACACTGGAGGAAGATCCTCGACATCGCTCCAATCGTGTCAATTGCATTCCCAGCCGCCATGTACTTCATCTTCACCAAAGACAGTTTTGAAGATAGCCTTTTCCTCAGGTTCATTACACTACTCCTCCCCTTTTCATACTCAGCAGTACAGTATGCCTTACTCCACACCAACTGGAAGTCACATAACAAACCAGAGGGCATCCTGCAGAGCATGCTCTACTACACCCTCAATCTCCTGCTTCTTGCATTCACCATCATCTCCATCCTTTCAATCATTGCATTCACCCTTGCTGAATGGGAAGGTGATGATTGGGAAAATAATGATGATCCAATTATCTTTTCTTTCATCCTTCCCTCTTTCACTGTCCCACTCACTTATCTCCTCTCCGTCTCCTGCCGCCTTGTTCCAGGACATATTGGATTCACAGACACTGGTATCAACGTCCTTATCGACATCCTGATTCTACTATGCTCTACAGGAAATTTAGTGCCTGCCTTCGATGAAGTCAAGCATTGTTATTACTTTGCAATCATATCTTCTATACTCATCCTGATACGATTGCTCAGGGAGAAGCACGGCCCATCCGAAAAGAGTGCTCTGCCTACTGCGCCATGGAGAGTAGCCATCCTTGTCCTTATACTCATCTTTGCTGCTCTTATCTACCTATTTATGATGTGGGTATCTATCGACATCCTAAGTGATCACTTTGCCCTGCTTGCCAGGGCAAGAAGTACCCCAGTATCAAAACCTAGGCAATAAACAACTCTTCATCTGTGACATGTCCTTATACCAACACAGACCATTCCACTCTTCAAGAAACCTTCCTTTCCACCTCTCTCCCCTAGACACATCCAATAACAATCTAGTATCCACAACAATATACTCCAGATGTCACTGCTAACCCAGCCACACTGAAAGAACCGCTGTGTTGATCCTCCCACAGAAAGCAATGTCCCACAAGCACATCCTCCAACCTACAAAGCCTCTGATGACCGATGACTGTCCTCATCAATTCTGGCCATCAGAATCTATCTCATCCGACTCTCTGTAATAGCTGTCACTAGATAGATACCTTGCCTGGAAATCCTTGTGCCATGTCACCCACCATTGGTCCACTCTTACAACTCCTATTCATAAGCCATATGTGTAAAGATTATTAATCGGATATATCGCACCCACCGATGGAACAGATCAGCCGTATTAAAATAGCACTTGGCGAAGTTGATCTCAACTATTTTAAAAGGGCCTTTACAGATGGAAAAGGAGGATTGTGGGACAGTACAGGATCGCTTATTACTGATACTATAAGAAATCAAAGAATGCGCCCTGCCATTGCCTTCTACAGAAACCTACTTGATGATATCCTCAAGGACTTGGAGGAAAAAGGGCACTCCGAAGGAATTACTGCTGTCAATGCAGCCAAGGATGCACTAAGGGCCTTAGATGATGTTGCTAACCGCCTATATATAATTCTTAAAGCTACTGGACCAGACGGCACCGAGTTTCTCTATTACTTTAGAGAGATTGACAGGTCTCTTAAGGACTATCCAGAACTACTCAAAACATTTAGAGATGCACTTGAGAAAGTGTTGCCACACGTCCGTGAAGACCTGGAGGTCGAAGTGAATAAGATGAAGGTCCCTTTGCGGCTTGTCATTCGTGAGCTCTTGGAAGGTCTAAAGGATGAAGTGAGTGGAACTAAGATCCCTTTGGAGTTTGTCACTACTGATCTCTTAGATTACAGGGTTGAAGCCAACTGGAGCTTGTGTAATTTTCCTCAAGATCTAAATGAATCAGCCCTTCACGTCCTTCGACGATACTTTTGGCATGACATTGATGAGGCTTCTCTTTCCGAGACAATGAAGAATGAGCTGGACTGTTTAGAAAAGATGATCACCAAAGTCCCAGAGCCCCATAGAGCGCAACTCTACGAGATTCTTCGAGATGTCAGGACGGCCTTTAACTCCCTTGCCCAAAAGCTCAAGGCTCTCAGAACATCATGTGCCCGAGTCATTGATGATGTTGAAAGGAATAGAAAGTCTTTTTCTGCTGCATTCAGTGAACTAAACAGAATGTTGAGTAAAGCAGAGAAAGGCCTGTCTGACCTGAAGGAAAGGATCTCCGATCTCGAAAGGGTCCTTCCCTCCTCTCCCCCGATGAAACTATGTGAACTCCTATGCTTTATGTTCATTGCCATTCTGGCCATCCATGCTTTTCTTCACCTTGCCGAGGATAAAGACAGCAGGGTGAAGACAAGATGGAACACTGCACTGTACTCACTAGCTGTGGCCGGGACCATCATGCACCAGATGTGGGTACTGTGGGGGGGGGGTGGAACTGGCATGAGGATGGGACAAGTGATGTGTTGAGGAATGTATGGAGTGTGCTTGGATGTCTGGCTCCTGTGGCAGTGGAGCTTCTGAATGCTGGCTCTATCGAGAGTGGTGTGTACAGCCTGACGGTAGCTGGAGTTAGTGTTGCCTCGATGTGTGGACAGCGTCTCATCCAGTGTGAGATAAGCTGGAAGCAGATGTGTGTGTTCTGTGCCGGGAATGTGCTATTGGCAGTGGCATGCTTTTCTGAGCCTTCCAAGCACCCCCTGCTCGGAACATATGGGCGGTGTGGCATGGTATGTATTGGGCTTATTGTGCTTATTGCTCTTCTACTTCTTGTGTCGTACATGTACGAAACTGATGGAGAAAAGGCATCCGCAGGTGGGAGTGGGGCTGTTGTGATGAACTGCCTGTTTGTGATGAGTGTGGCGGTCACCACCTTTGCATCGTGGGTATCAAGCCGTGACTACTTCATGACGTACAGGAGAGGCACCGACGATATGACTGGTACTGCTGCCTCATAGCGGGACTGGACACATGGCTCCCCGAGGCCTGACTACTTACTCGATTAAAGCCATGTGAATATCCTCTGTTGAGCATCTGGCCGTGTGCTGGGTAGGAGTCCTTGCACGGAGTTCCTCTCCGATCGATGGGTGTTCTGTTTCATCGAACGGGCCTGATTTTCTACTGTGGGAGGAGGGAGGAAGAGTCCCAGCAGTACTGGTGGCAGTGGGTTGCACCCAAGTATGGTCCATTGCAGGATGAGCAAGACCCGGACTACAACGATGAGTGAGGATGTGCGGAGATGCAGAGTCATTGAAAGCACAGTAGAGAACAGAACACAAGCATAACACTATTTGCTTTATTCATCATCACATCACATCACACCACTCAGATCACACATGGCCTGCACTGAATCGTGAGACGGCAGAGAACCTCAGAGGTGTCAAATGGATTCCCCCACACTATCTGGAACGACTGTTCCCTCCTCACTATCTCATACTCTGTACCCTTTGGATATACAAACTTGCCCATATCCTGGTATTCCTTATCCTCATCTATCTTCTCAATATCATTGGCCTCGGCAAACTCTGGGCTCATAACACTTCCTATCTCCTCTATCCCTGTAACCCGGAACATCAGGTGGTACACAACTGGGCATCCACTAGGAGAGTCCTTGAACGTCCCAACCTCCACCACTCCTAGCATCTTCTTCTCTCCGCTCTCAAGAACCCCAATTGCCACCAGACGGCCCCGAGAACTCCCGCCCTTGGTGTACTCTCCTGTATCTATAAAGAACTTGTCTGCATCTTCACTCCTGAGAAGTTCCAGCACACCCGCTATGTCATGGAACACCTTCTGCTCCTTGATCTCTTCAAGAGACCTTCCCCTCCACCTCTCCTCGCTTTCCCTGTCCCACTCCTCCTTGATCTTCTCTGGGCTCTTTCTCCATCGGGAAACTCTTTTGTGAATCTTGTAGCGCTTCCGACCACCCCTGCTCTTCTTCCCCGTCTTCCTGCGTGCTCCTCCAATCTCCATGGACGGCATCTCCGCCTCCTCACCTGCCTCCACCTCTTCTGTCTCGCTCTCCTCTTCCTTGACCTCAGAAACATTCACACTCTTCTTCTTCCCATCCTTCCTGCCCTTTGCCTTCTCCTCGTCCCTCAGCAGCTTTTTCACTCTCTTTTCTATCTCTCTTTCTCTTCTTCTCTGCCTTTCCTTGATCATATTTGCAACCTTATTGATATATCTCTTGTCTATCTCCTCTCCCTTCTTCCCCAGCAGCATCTGCATGACCAACTCCTTTGTAACCTCTCCTCCATACTCTCTGTGTGCATCCAATAAGATCTCGTCATTAACAATAGCATATTCTAAGTATCCCTTCTTACCGGCCTCCTCATCGCCAAGCTTCATTTTCAAAGACTTTCTCATTCTTCCCTCGGCTAACAATCCCATCAGCTCCTCCTCCCTCAACCCAAGGCAGATCTCCTTGCACGCATCGCATACCATCTTCTCTACCTCAATTAGATGTTTCAGTCTTTCTATATTATAAAGATACTCTGTATATTTCTTAATGTTACCCCAAAGCCTTTGGTGCTGCCTTTTTTCTTCTTCGGACAGTTCAGGAGGTGCATTTTCCATCATCCCACCGATTTCTTTCATAACATCCTCTCCGTACCTCATTACATGTCCACCCCGCTTTCCATCGCATTGGAATATCCTTTTATACACTGCCTCCAAAAACTCACTGAAGGTCTTGTTTCCTTTCATGTACACCTTTGATGTATTTGAAGATATGTCCTTCAAATAGCCTTCCATTCTTTCACTGAACAACCTCTTAAACCGATCATCGTCTTTGTATGCCACACCACCAATTGTGAAACTCCATATTATATGAGAAATATTACAGAAGAGAGGTTCGGAGTCTTCCATGCGTTTGGGGTTTCTCCTCAAGTCGCTGTGCTTTGCTGTTGGTAGCACAGCAATATTACACCCTCTGAAGATGAATGGGAACACCACCACTTGATTGTTAGGCCTCAGTATGAAAGAAGAACTGTGTTCTAATTGCATGGAGCAGTTTGTTGCATTAAGTACAGCAGTTAATATCCACAGAGTATCCCTTTGATTCATAGGAAGGGCCTTCGTCTCTACTCAACCTATCATCATCTCCTTTTCCTGTGGTATTCTGGCCACTGAAAGGGGAAGCTGCCCCTCTATCCAGCACATCTGCTCCTTCGTTCTGTACAATAGGGCTTGTCTGCGCCGTCCCTGTTTCCTACAGCACGGTCTTGCGGGAAAAATGATAAATCCAGGCCACTCCCACAAGCCACACTGCCCGCCGCCAAGACCACAAAGACAGCTTCTTCTAACCGTCTTGACCCGCATGGGGTGCCAATCTACCCAACCACGAAGTCAAAGCAACAGATCTATCATATTTATTTATAATCACCCACTCACTGGATCTCAGGAATCTGCAGAACAGCAAGACTCCGGAGAACCGAGCTGGTATCCTTGGGATTCCTCCACACTATCCTGAACTCACCCTTATCCTTCACTACCTCAGATCGGACGCCCGGAGGATACTGAAACCCAGACATGTCAGAAGACCCATCCTCTTCTATCTCATCCACATCATCTCCCTTCCCAAACGACGGACTTGATCCCTTTCCTGTCTTCTCAGAACTGGTAGGCTTGAACATCAGGTGGTAGACCACACTTTCCTCTCTCTTGCCCTTGAAAAGCCCAACCTCGACATTTCCCACCTTCTTCTCCCCTCCCTCATCAAGTATCCCGAGAGCTACCATCTTCCATCTCTCACTCCCACCCTTCATGTACTTGCCAGTCCGGACAAAGAACTTATCACACTCCCTGCTCCTGAGGAGCTTCAGCACTTCTATAATGTCATGTAGTACCTTCTGCCCCTCAATCTCCTCCATACTCTTGCCCTTCCACTTCTCTTCCTTTCCGTTATCCAGCTCATACTTAATCCTCTCAACACTTTTCATCCACCGGAGAACCCTCTTGTGCACCCTATAACAACTGTCTTCACCTTTACTCCTTTCTTTCGATCTCTTCTTCTTAGGCCGAGCTCCCTCAGCCGCCATCTCTTCCACTGGAACTTCAGCCTCTACACTCTCCTCCTCTTCTTCCCCTCTGTCCTCTTCCTTACTCTCTTCCTTAGCCTTTCCTGCACCCTTCTTACCTCTCTTCTTTTTGCCTTTCCCATTAGGGCCCTTTCCTTCACCTTTCTCCCTCTCCTCCATCCTCAACAGCTCCTCTGCATTCCTAAGGCTTTCTTCCTCTCTTCTCTTTTCTTCCGACTCTCTCTCCTTAACTTCATGCACTGCACTACTGATGCTTTCATCGTTAATATCCTCATATTCTATAACCACTTTCTTGACTAGCTCTGCTACAATACTTATGCTTTTATATTTCTCATACGTATTTATCATCTTTTCATGGTCTATGTAGTAAAGTAGTGGTCCCTCCACATCATTACTTGGATCTATCATTCTTAGATATAGGTGCTTTAGATGCGCTCCCATAACAAAGCTTTTTCTATTCTCCTCTCTTTTCCAGATATATTCACATGCATCGCACATTATCTTCTGTGCCTCGATTATCTGCTCTTGATTTTTTTTAGTACACAGCCTTTCTCCATGTTCTTTGATTTTTCTCAACATTTCCTCTTCTCTCTTTCTTTCCATGGCAGATAAAGAACTTGATATCCCTTGGATTCTTACCTCTGCTTCACGAGCAAGTCCTTGCCCAAATCTACTCACCATGCAATTATTACGTTTGAAGATTTCCACTACTAAGTCCATCAACCTCATTCTAGATCTCCCTTTGCTCTCCCTGTACAGAACAACAGGATCAAAGTCTTTGAAAGAGGTTGTTTTAAAAACATCATACATTAAAAATAGGGTCCAATTCCCAGGTGCACACACCAATGCCACCGAGCGCCATGCCAAATATGGAAGTAGCCTAACAACTTTTTCAACATATTCTCTTTCCCTTTCATTTATATCCCGATACTTAGCAACCGGTGATGCAACAAGTTTACGATCATGAAAAATAAGCGGTAATAATATTCTTGTTTCCAAACCAGAAACTTCCACAAGTGATTTTCTTATAATTTCTACTTCCTCGTCGCTCAACTTGCAAGAAAAGGCTTTTTCAAACCTTTTTCTTGTTTTCTCCACTTCGTTGGTTCCTTCTACGTTAGACCCATGCAAACCAGCGAGTAATGCAAGTGTATATCCCAGCCACATCCTCATTACCCCTGGAAAGGGTGTTCACTTGTTAGATTCCTGATGCTACTCCTTTTTGCTCTTTCCCCTGTGATGCCTTAACCATCAGTATAATCCATTTCACCAACACCTGATGTAATATACCCTAAGAAAAACTTGAAGATCCCATCAATCTATGGAGCCTGGGTATCTCTCATGTGACGGTGCCCGCCTATACTCCTAGCTCCATATTAGTCAGTAGAAAAACCCTTTCCATCTTTGGGCATCTTTACCCCTTTCCCACTTAGAAGTTCTTGAACATTCTTAGATACCGAAAAAACGTTCTGCTTCCCAATAATATAGAGAACTTGCCAAAGACTTTATTCAAAGTTGAAATGGCTGCTGTGGCCCTTCTTCTGTCATCGAAATCAAAGACTTTAAAATCTTCAACCTCCCTGAAAGTTTCCTTAAGTAGGATATCAAATTCCGATGGCTGGCAAGGACCGTCGAAACCCATTTCCTTCCCCCCCCCCCTTTCTATGCCCGTTCTTCTTTGCTTTCTTGTTTTCAACGACTGTCTTTCAGCACGCCTTCTTTGTCTCTTTCTCGTCCAGTCGTTTATTCCCTTTGAATCCAAGAATGCTCTAATTAGGCCTGTTTAAGCTCTATGAGAATAATACGCCTGCCACACTCCGTGGAGAAATGATGAGACTTCCTAACGTACGGAACACATCACTAACTAATCTCCCTGCAGCTTTTTTAATGTGGGAGGTTTCTTTGCTCGCATCAGGCTTGGCTTCTTCTATAACAGAGATGTTTTTTATGACGTTTAACATCACGAATACACCGTATATGCCCACGACGGTGCATATAACAGCCGAAATGACTGTGATTGTTTTAGCAACCCTAGGAGTATATTCCGATAGCTTATTTTGAAATAGCCATTTGCTTATCATCGACGAAACCTCTCCTAGAACGAAGGGGAGGAATGAGAAAACCATCGGGTACATTAGAGGCATCAGTTTTCCATAGTCCTTGTCATCATTGATGTCTGAAAGACTCGTTATTTCATAAAGTCCCAAAATGCCACGAACAACCTCTATGACGGAGTTCGAGCTGATATTGCTCATGATCGACAGAGATGCTAGAAACATGTATAATGTCTGTGTGATGATCAAGGACCTGCCGTCTATGTTATAGATCCATTTTTGCTTGTGCCTAATAATCTCGCCAATTACAATAAATGTAAGAAGATAGATGAATATATGGATCACCACGAGAAGTGTCTTAAGAAAATCAAAGACGGTGAATGACTTGTCACAATCTCCCTTAAATCCATCGAACAGCTCGTATATCGTCCTCGTGAACAGATAAAATATAGCCACCATTGCTATTCCAATGGGTGTTGTATGGTCATTTGTATCACAGTTGTATTGAAGTGCCATGCATCCGATGAAAAAGATATCTTCAATATACCTCCACTTTGCGATTGTATAGTTCTTACATGCTGAGAGGAATTCCATGATATATCAATCCCTTTGTTCATATGCATTAAATACCGATCACTTTCTATTATAACCAAATTAGGAATGGAAGTTGAGCTGCATCGGCGTTAGAGAAGTAAAAACCCCAGCAGGGCAGGGGGCTTGTTGTGTAGATGGAATCCAAGGATCTTTAATGCTTCTGCAGAACAAGAGACACCAGCCGCTCCAGTACAGAATACTGTTCCAAGGATGTGGGCTCCGACTTGAAAGACTCAAGATTCACTGTATGGAGTGTTTGGATTTTGGAACAGAGTTCTTTGGTCATCTTCATGTTGCTATTGACCATGTCCCTGCATATGCTAAGCACCTTTTCCTTGTCCTGCAAGGTGTCGAAGACGCTCAGCATATTTGAATATATTTCCGACTCGATCTTGCATTGGTTCTCTGGAGGATATCTACCGCAAAGCTTGTGCTTTTTCCACTTGCTATATAGAAGATTAGCATAGTCTCCAAACAGGTCGTGTCCCTTGTCATGTCCACATGTTCTGCAAAGGTCTAGGAGCCCTCTTATTACTAGATTCACAACTTCCTCATTCCTGTCCAGGAGATCTATTCTAGTTATGAACCCCTTCAAAACAAGGTTCCTCACATTTTCAGGGAGGGTTGACAAGTTTTCAAGGACATCATTTGCAACTAGGTATTTTGCATCGTCCTCCTCTGGCTCCGAAGCCTCGATAACTTCAAACAGCCTCGAAATCCACTTGCAATCATTAGTTTCCTTTAGTGCCTTCAATGAAAGAAGACATGCCTTATGAATGACATAAGGGGTCTTCTTGCATCCTTTGCTGTAGACAATCCATCCTTCTTCGTACTTTCTGTGTTTTATGCAAAGATCCATCATTGACTTGTTAAATGCTTCCGAGGATCCCTCTCTGTTTGTAGCCCAGAAGTGAACGCACTCCTCCCACTCCATTTCCTCTTTCCTACAAGCGAGCCATTCCTCATTGCTTTCAACAGACATTATCCAATCCGGATCGATGGATCTTCTAATCAGGTCGTCTTTGCAGTCTAGAAAGTAGCTCTTGGTGGAAAGGTCTTCTTCGCCGTAGCTCCGTAGTAGCTTATCCACCAGTCCATCGTTGCCATCCTTAAGACCCATGAGAAGCCCCAGTCTTAATGCTCCCTTGCTTTTTTTGCATCGGCTGAAGACCTTGAAAAATCTTGATGACTCTGATCTTCTGAATAATGTGACAAGCAGGAGCTCAATTTCCCCGAGAGCAAGATCCTTAGGATTCAAGTCCGTACGCCTCTTGTAGACCTTATACATCAGGGAATCGAGCTCCTGCTCACAGTCTATGTTTATAGGGCTGTTTGGAAGACAGCCCTCCATGGCTTTCAGCATCTCTCTTCTTTTTGCATTGGGGTTCCTTTGTTCTCCAAAGATCCTATCGAAGTCAAGCATCTTTTTCTCACAGATCCTGTCGAGGACAAAAGTTTCTACAACGAAAAGATCCCTAAAATTAACAGCTGGGACTCCATCCACATGGTCAATGCAGGTAAGAAGATACGAATATGCTCTCACAATGTCACTAGGCTTCGAAGCAATACTGCTATTGCTGTATGCTTCACAGTCTCCGTTATTCCCATGCACTGCTCCAATCGACGATCTCACTCTACCTAGCGCATCCGCAGCCTCGCAAAGACTATTACTGTCTGGGTCCTCCATGCCGTCTTCTATCTCCATATTTTCCTTCAATTCCAAGGGTGAGCCGAATTTCACTTTTACTTGAAACAAGTAACATCTTAACAAATGTTTGTAAGAAAGATGAAACAAGCCTTGTGGGAAGGGGCCAGCATGCAAAAGCTGGGATATCATTGGTCTGTGTTTATCCTAGTATTTTTTTAATTAAATCATTATTGGTCCTCCTTTCTGCACACATCCAGATTCTTACCTTGAACAACTTGAACAGTTCCTTTAACAAATCTCTAAAGTCTATTCGCCTGTCGCTTTTGAAGTAAAACGTTATTTTCTTCATGTCCCATTGATATTCACAGCTTAGTATCTCCATATTCAGCTTTCGGGAACCTACCAGCTCTCTGCACTGCCTCAAAGATTCGGCTTCTATTCTTTTTCTTTGCTTTAGCTTGTTGAGGTCGTCAAGGGACGCTTTTCTGAGTATCTTCTTTGGCTCAAACTCTCCCTTTGTGTCTCTTATCTTCGATACCGAGTCCTCAAACTCGCGCTCGCTCATGTTTCCAACTATCTTTCCGCAGTCCTCTCCCCGGTCGGCTTCCAGTATCACATACGTGCCCAGATCGATTGTATTCGAGTGATAGCCAACCTCAAGCCTACCACTTGGAAACTCGACGATGGAATACCATCTTCTGGGAAACATGCTTGCAAAGTTTATTGGCAGGATGCTCTTCTCGCCCATTTCTCTATCGCTTGGAATATCCATAAATCTACTTGGTGTTACACCCACTGCCCGCCATCCCATGTCGCCTTCATCCCACTTCTCATTTGTCTCGTTCCAAATGCTATTTGGGTGGTATGATATCCACTCAGAGTGGTTAAACATAGTTCAGAAACACATTCTTTTCTTTTTTATCCTATATGTTAAAACAAGTTTTCAATACGATTTTGTTTCCGTTCTGACACGAGATATTTGCATAGTATGTAGTTCCATTTAGAAGAGCACGCACCTCACGTTAAAGATGTTTTAAAAGTCAAGATGAATCACTACTCTTACAACCGCAGCAAAATCAACTGGTCGCGCCGAGATTCGAACTCAGATTGTCAGATTCAGAGTCTGAAGTGATAACCATTACACCACGCAACCTTCTCTTTATTACAGAAGGGCTCAACATGTCTTCTGGCGCTTGACTTGCCAGGGGCTTCTTGTGCCCACTGTCTTTCACATCCTTGTAATTTCCTCTCTTGTATCCACTTCCTTCCCCCTGCTCCTTAGAAAGATCTATCTTCAAAACTTTTCATAGCCCCAAAGATGTTCTTCGCATCCATAATGGCAGATACATTCAGATTCTGTGGGGATTTTCTCCATGTGGCCTCAAAAGCTGTGCTGATAACAAAAATAGCGAGAACAAGATCCTGTAGCGGGTTATCGCTCAAAACCCAGTTTCTGTACTCGATGGTTTTCATATTCAGATATATCGACTTGTTTGACTTCTATGCCAGAGGGCCTCTCGGAATATACAACTCCATAATGAAAGTCCTATTTATCGGATTCCAGGTTCTTATCCTCTTCATGATGAGGTTCAAATACTTCTCCACCTATGACAAGAAGTGGGACAAGTTCAACATCTTGACCTTGATCGTCCCATCCTTTGTATTTTCGTTGTTCTTTACCCGGGGTGGAAGCAGTGTCTACCAGTATATCTCCAATGTTTTGTATACGATGTCTCTGTTCCTTGAGAGTGTTGCCATCCTCCCACAGCTTGTCCAACTCCAAGAGGCCGGCGAGTCAGAGACAATGACTTCAAAGTACGTTCTTCTGCTCGGTCTTTACAGAGCCTCGTACACTGTGTACTTCATTCTCAAGAAGGTCTATGACATAGGAAGGACCGGAAACATTCCCATTGCATGTGGAATTGTCCAGACGCTGCTGTATTTGGACTTCTTTGCAATTTACTACAGATATGTTTTTAGGAGATCCGGAATATCGGAAAGCCTTCCCTCGTCAAACATTAAAGGTGAGTTATAATTCTCGAATGCTTTCTATATATCCTTTGCCAAATCACCTATCCCCTGGAATGTTCCTTGCCCCGCTGTCAATAAGAAATAACTTGAATCTGCTTGTAAGGTTTGATCCAAAAAGAAGCGAAATGGCCGTGGTGGACGATGTCCTAAGCATGCTCCTATGGAACGAAGAGTATATCGAGTTGGTCACCATTCCACTACTGGCTCAACAGAAAGAAACTTCCGTTGTCAAAGCCTTACCGATCATAGATGCTGCAATTGCCGTAAGAGACGATGGCTTGCATGTGTTTGCCATAACAAAAAGCAACCTCTATCACTTTACAAACGGGCTGAGTTCGTTCGCTGAGATGCCCCACAGCTTTGTCCTTCCAGAAGTCAGCGCCTGGGGAGAAAACGTGGTGGTGTTTAGTAACAATTCGTTTTATTTGCTTACCGGGAATGGATTCAAGAACCTGCGTATCTCTCCGTACTTCAGAGCTATAGTCTCCTACTCCTGCGGAAGGACGTCGAACGTCGACCTGATTGCCTATCGAACAGATTCATACACAAGCATCTATTCGATCGATGGGACTCCGATCCTACAAAAGTATCCCTGCACCCAGAAAACGTTCATTACCGACAGAGGACTAGCCATTCAAAAGAACAACGAAATATTTCTATACAATGTTTCAGACGGCATCGAGTTAGCCGCAAGAATAAATATGAATGTAAAGATCAATGCCAAGTGGAAGTATTTAAAGTATCACCAGGACATACTGTACATGAGCGGAATCGCCAACGACGGACACATCCTCTATGTCGATGGATATCTGTTTGGGACAGACGATCTTGTGCAGTCATTTGAATTCTACAGAAATTGCTTCATTGGACTCAGCTCCTCTTTTCTATACTTCCTGCCAAACGACAAAGACTTCGACCTGAAGCTGCTTGAAAGCGAATACAGACTGATGAACAACGTACTCAACGGCAACTTTACTCCTTATACCTGCAGAAGCTTCAAGCTTTTCGATGAAGAGGGTCTATGGGGGGCCGGAGAGCGCCAGGGCAGAGCACGCAATCCTGGGTATTTTCTGGGCTTTCTTGTATACTGCGGCTTCAAGGTTGAATGCTGCAAGCTGATCTGCAACACTCTTAACGAGGTGCAGAACGACAGCAAAGTTCTTAGAAGATTGAGAATCCTTAATGAAGCCATGAAGTTTGGACACAGGGTCTATAGGAGATTTGTGAATATGGATGTTAATGTGGAAAAAATATATGGCAAGATCACCGAGATAATCGACCCAGAGGCCATCAACGAAGAGCTCCTAGTGGACATGGCAGAGATTTCGTTTAGAGATATTGGCTTTATTGAAACACCCAGGTACTTCTTTCTGAAGGGAAAGAAACTCATGGAACAGGGAGAAGAGTTCATGGATTCGTTTTACAAATGCACCGGACTGTTTGGTGAGGTGGTGAAGAAGCTGGAGGAGAGTGATAAGGCGATAGAGATCGTACTCCTGTGGAAAAAGACAGGCTTCTGCAGAGGAGAGTCTCTTGAATATATTTGTAGGCACACTCTTGCCCACTTCATATCGCAGAGTTGCTCCTACGGCATAGTTAGCGCATGGGATATCCTAAGATGTCTTTGCGAGATGTGGGAAAAGACCAGAAACAGGTGCAAGGCAGCTAGGGATATCGTTGAATTTATAGGCGGAAGATACGATCTGATAGTTGGATGCCTCCTTCCAGCACCTCTAAAGACATTGCTTTCCCCAGAAGTAGTGCAATACTGTTTTAGATCTTCCTCTGGGACGGAACATGCCATATCGTTTCTCCTGTCCAATGGAAGGGATGTCGAGGCCTCAACCCTGTGCTACCACTTATTTGTCACTGCTGGAGACAGAGCATATTTAAACGAGTCGATAAAGAACATTCACAACAAGGTCTTTATATATAGAAACAGATTCGTAGGTAAAGAGGTGCTAGAGGCGTTGAATCGAAGGAAGGACATGGACTATCGGCAGATCATTTTCGACAACATTGGAAAAGTCAGGGAGATGAAAGAAGGATGTCTATGGAGCTATGCTTGTATGGCCGAGAAATATCCCGATGAGTACAGCCAATATCTTCAGCTTCTCAACAAAAAGGATGCACCCTAGGCTTTCTTATACTCCAATTGCAAATAAAGCGATTCCCCGAGAACCTGCCCTGGAAAGGACCTCGTCCTGTTGTAAAGCAACTAACTCTTCAGGCCAGGTTCGATAACGAGATTTCTTTGTCCCAATTTTTAACCCCATCGAATGGCTCAGTACAACACCAAGATTTCCGACATCCCCAATCCTCCATCCGACACGGTTTCGGAGGTGGCATTCAGCCAGATGCACGGCCTGATGGCTGCATCCAGCTGGGATGGCACTGTCCGAACATATGACCTGGAAAATCTATACAGTCCAAATACCAGTGTTGTGAATCTGAACAAGCCTCTTCTTACTTGTTGCTTCAGCAAGGAGACACCTTCGCTAGCTTTTGCAGGCGCTGCAGACGGAAGCCTCCAAATAGTGGATCTGCAAACCAGCCAGGTGTCGTCCTTCCAAGCACATAATGCAGGAGTCAGGTCTGTAAGGTGCTTTTCGAACATGCTGGTCACCGGATCGTGGGATAAAACGGTCAAGTTTTGGGATACCCGGTCCTCAAAGCTTGTGTTTTCTCTGGATCTCCCAGGGAAAGTCTATGCCATGGACCTTGAGAAGGAAATGCTTGCCATGTCTCTTTCCGGAAATGAGGTAGCAACATACAATCTGAACGACATAAACCAAAAGAAAACGCATGCATCCAAGCTGAACTGGATGATTAGGTCTATTGCCTGTGCCCAGGACAATGAGACCTTTGCGCTGGGGGGGATAGAAGGAAAGGCAGAGATATTCAACATCAACTCTCCTGTGAAGAAGATGATCTTTAGATGCCACAGGGTTGACAACAAGGTCTATGCCGTCAATTCTGTATCATTCCTACCTACTAATCACAACATATTGGTTACTGCAGGCGGCGATGGCACCATCGTATTTTTTGATGCACAGGCAAGAATGAAAATATTTACCCAGACAGAGAGCCAGCCTGTAACATGCGGTAGATTCAATACCAGCGGAAGCTATTATGTCTATGCCACCGGGAATGATTGGTCTGCAGGATACGTGACAACATACAGGCCTACGCAACTTAGAGCTATCCAGGTTAGCACCACGGGCGTAAAAATATGACTGATAGATGCACTCTACCCGGGGCTGAGCACTGAACCATGGTTCTGAGATAAATCTATTTATTTTGAGATGCGTGGCTCCCGCCTTCTTCCCTGTTTATTCTTTAACTTCTGAATATGAAACGTTGAGCATTAAAACGTAATGAGATAAACAACATATTGTGAGCAATGCTATCGACATTTCTGTTCCTTCCTATCGTGATGTGCGATAGGTTGCTAAGACTTAAGCACAAGGACGGCCTATACGTCACCAACAATGATGGAACCCTGAAGCTCGAGTGCCCAATGCTACCCAGTATGTCTGACCAGCGTGTTGTCGTCCACAACCGGGCCCTTTACTTCTTCAAGGATGGAATATACTACACGCTAGCGATGACACACGGAGGACTGGAAATCAAGTTGATTGTTTACAATGCCATAAGCGAGAAGGGGATAGGATTTCTCTCTAGCCCGACCTTTCGGCCACGCAGAAGAAAGATAGATCCGTTTGGCTATCTATCCCACGCAGGCCACAAGGAGAACCCGGGTGATGCGAGAAAAGAAAAGGACAACCTTCCAGCCAACAAAATGAAATCTGGCCTGCAAAGATCCATGTCTGGAAGCGAAAGGCCCATTGCTCAGAAGAGAAATGAGCGGATCCCAAAGATCCAGCCAAGGGAACATGGAGAGTACAGCGAGGATCGTGCGGGATGGAGAGACAGAGGCTCCCGCCAAGTGAAGAGGGAGAAATCCCAGGAGGCAGGCATCATTGAGGAAAGACCTAAGCCATCCAGGGAGGGGCTTGACGAGGCTGAAGAGCCTGATAATGATAGCACGGGTCCCAAGCATGATATCCCTGCAGAACCACGCCTAAATGTTGAGATGAGTAGCGTTCTGCGAAGAGTAGGGTTTCCAAAAAAGACCGGTTTAGCTCGGCAATCCTATGTTGTTGAAAGTGATTCCAAGATGGATGAGCATGAGTTTGGGTATATCATAAAGAACGTGCTGATCTCAGAAATCGATAATAAGGGGCATTTTACATTAGTTGGGGGAAACAACGCCTGTGTTACGTACTACAAGGGCTCATTTGTCTTTATGCCGTGTTCGCGTGCCCCAGAGCAGATATTCAAATTGGAAAGCTCTGAAGAGGTAGCGAAGAGGGGAAAGCCCTTTGGTCCAGAAGATCCCAAGGTAGGTGAGAGCCAGGACGTAGCGGCTCTCGACTCGACCGAGAGTGAGGACGGGAAAAAGGAGGAGGATCTTTACAAAAATCCTCAGAGCCGGTTTTATTCTTCTAAAAGTACTTCTCGCGATACCAGTAATTTTATAGCGACGAGCACCAAGGCAGACTCCAGGGGCACCTACAGAAGTCGATATCTTAATGATAGACCGGAAAAAGAAGAACTTCATGTAGGGTATTCAAAGCGAGATGGCCGTGACGAGCTCTCCAGAAGCGCTCTGAATCTCGAGAATGTGCACGAGCCTCTGAAGATTGATGTGAAGACTACAAAAACAACAGTCGGAATAAATCCAGTTGGCAATCATCATGTCCAAGAGGAAAACAACAGAAAAGACTTAGACTACAAGCCAAAAGAAGCAAATAGACGTCAAAAGCTGAGCCTTGATGACGATTTTATGGATAAATTCAGGGAACTCCTAACAAACAGCGACCTCAACAACTTTGTTTAACTAGACACTTGAGAGAGACAAAATGCGAAGGCCGACCACCACATTGTAAGCATTGCCATGTGCTTTCCTAGAGAAATAATAAACTAATGAAGTGATCTCAACACCCAGCATCACCCCCTTCTCTTGGAGAATTTTTGACCTGAAAAGCGTATCCCTTGGATGGAAAGAACATTTATTATGATCAAGCCTGATGCCATCAAGCGAAGACTGATTTCCCGGATAATTCAGAGGTTTGAGGAGAAGGGGTTGTACTTGGCTGCCTCCAAGTGTGTGATTCCAAAGAGGGAGGTTTTGGAAACCCACTACTCTCATCTGTCTAGCATGCCTTTCTTTAGTGAGATGGTGGAGGACATGATGTCTGGAATGGTCTTGGCAATGGTGTGGGTCGGAAAGGATGCTGTGTCGATCGGCAGAAAGCTGATTGGAGAAACCAATCCCCAGGCTGCTTCTGTGGGAACCATTCGAGGAGACTACGGTGTCAGTACAGGGAAGAATATTATCCACGGCTCTGACTGTGTCGAAAATGCAGAAAAAGAAATTAAGCTCTGGATTGGAGACGATGTCCAACCCGTGTCTTTCTTTGACAAAGAATGGATTTATTAAACATCCTACCCTATGATATTTTCATTTGGTTTTTATCCTCATATAAACTTTACTGTGAAAATGTCTGCTAAGCCAATTCGAGAAGTGAAGACAAAAATAAATCCGAAAGACAGCAAGTCGGTTTCGATAGAATCACTGCTTGAAACAAGCATGTCCTCTGTTTCTCTTGGAAACCTAGCGAGGCTTGATCTCGAGCTATTACAGCTATACCAGAAATTGGCCCCCACAACAATAGAAATCAACGCCAGGATTTACATATTTGAAAAAATCAAGAAGTTGATAGTTCGTGAGTTTCCAAGCGCTAGTGTTATGCCCTTTGGGAGTTACACCACAGGCCTTATTGTTCCCTCGAGTGACATCGACATAAACGTCCAGCTCAGCGACAACATCGACAAGGAACACGTCAACAAGCACCTATCGAAGATAAAGACTCTCATGTTCAGGGCAAACTTCGTCAAGAAAGAAACCGTGTTCCACATCAAGAAATGCAGGATCCCCATCCTCAAATTCAGGGACGGGATATTTGGATTCAGAATAGACATTTCTGTAAACCAAGCAAATGGAGTCAATGCAGCAAAGTTCATCACATATACATTGAAGGAGTATCCATATATAAAGGTGTTTGCAATTCTGCTGAAGCATTTTCTCACAATAAGAAAGCAGTCGGATGCTGCAACCGGAGGGCTCAACAGTTACTCCCAGTTCCTACTTCTTCTGAGCTTCTTCCAGCTGCATCCTCTTGTTCAGGAGGGCTTAGTTTCTCCCCTCAAGAACATCGGCGTGCTTTTCATGGACTTCTTTCAGTATTATGGATGCGACTTTCCATATAAGGTCGCGAAGATTTCTATAAACAAGACAGGATACGTAAAGAACAATGCAGGAATGCTGTCGATAGAAGATCCGACAAATCCGGAGTGTGACGTGGCTGCGGTGTGTAGAAACTCCGGTCTGGTGCTTGGAATATTCTCCCATGCATTCAAAGTGATGAGCGCTGCTCTTAAGACAAAGATTCCCTCACAGAAGTCTTTGGCCTCTCTATGGTTTGGAAAGGAAATGAAGGAGATCACCGGAAAGGAGGAAGTTAGAAGGATATATACAAAAGTGCTGAGGCATCGGAGAAAGTAGAAATAAACTCCTTGTAATTTCCGTTGAAGGGTCATGCATGCAACACATACACACAACGAATGTACGGAAGAAACTTACCACTCAGAGCACTCAAGATACTTGTACTCAAACGTGAAATCGCTTTTCTTCATGAAGGACCACGTGACGTCGTAATCAAAAAATAAAAAGTCTCCTCTTTCGTAATCGGCTGTTATCAGCTTCGGCTCGTCTAGCCTCTGAAACCATGTAAAGTACTTTGTGTGGAATCTCCACGAATACGTCTTTAGCTGTACTGCAGCATAGTACTGCTGAATGGTTCCGAGCTGCGAGTAGAAGATAAAGAAGAGTGTGTCTATGTCCAACTTCTTAAATATGTCTTGGCTTTCAAACACATACAATGGTGTTTTTGGGAAGAAGCTGGGCGTCTCTAACGGGGTCCTTGGGACATACTTTTTTTCCAGGTCTCGGAAGTTCGGGATGTGGACAAGAGAATTCGAAGTCTCCACCTCATAAAACCTTCTCACGCTGTCCTCGTGCCCATTTCCATGCTGTAGAATCCTTTCCTTGTTTACTTTCTCGATCTCCATGCAGACATCGCTAAAGTCGAAATTCCTTGTGCTTTGAGTCGATTTCGGTGCTGTTTCCTTCTTCTTTGTGCCCAGAAGAATTGCCGCGTTCTTCCATACCTCCTCCGGCGTAAGCTTTTCCTTGTGTGAAGGAGATTTCGTGCCCTTGTCCTTTCTGCTCTCGTCCTTTTTATTGTCCTGGGATCTCTTCATACCCTGGGCCTGCCGTCTTCTTTTTATTTCTCCTAAGAATCCGAGTTACACACATCCCACGCTGTCTCTTCTTGAGGCTGTTTACTGTTTGCCCCGGACAGTAAACACATTTGACTGACGTCTGCAGTATAAATTGATTTACCCACACCCAACAAAATGGCAAAACAGAAACCTATGCTTCGTGGAAGAATCCATCAGATAGCCTTCTACCTCACCATTGGAAAGGCCCTCATGTACGGCATTTGCTGCTTGCACGGCAAGGGGAACCTTGGGATAATGATATACCTTCTGTCCCAGCTGATATTATTCGGCGTAAGCAGCACATACCATATCACATCGTGGAAGGACGAAAAAACAAAGGCTCTCTTTCAAAGGCTGGACCACATCTCCATATTTCTTCTCATATCAGGCACCCAGACATCAGTGGCTCTCCTCTTGCTCCCAGAAGGTCCATATACAAAGCACATCCTCATGACAACTTGGACAATATCGCTTGCTGGTATTCTAAAGATCATCCTGATGAAGAAGCTGCATATGTACTTTGATCTCATGGTCTACATACTTCATGGAGTGTCTGTTGTCCCATTCTTCCACATCATCATGAAGAGTGTGCCGGTAAGTGACATCTCTCTGTTTATATTAGGAGGCGTCATATACATAGTCGGTGGACTTATCTACGGAATGGAAAAGCCCAATCCATACCCTCAGGTATTCGGATACCACGAAATATTCCATGTAATGACAGTGCTAGCCAACTGGTGCTTCCTTATACCCTTACTACGAGAATATATCTCTACCCTATCTGGAAAATAAAATGGATGCACTACGGGTTTTTGCATAACATTTATTGGATAGACTTTAGGGCAGCACACCAGTGACGGGGATCATCACACTCTTTAACGTATCTTTCTATATCTACTTCACTCTGCGTTGCAATATTCTATCTCGTCACCTGTCATATAGCTATGAATGTCTACAGCTACTTCTACGCTTTCCCTCAGGATATCGCAAGGATCATGAAGATACTTAGACAGCGCCTTCAAGGCTGCATCATCCCCAATTGCGCCCAGTGCCTCTGCACACTCATGTCTAACCATTCCATGCTCCTTCTCGTCCTCCATTCCTTTGATAAGATATGGGATAGACTCTCTTGACCTCATCTGCCCAAACACAAACGATACCTCGTGCTTGAATAGTGCTGAATCATCTTCCATAGACTTTCCAAGAGCATGTATGGCGGCAGAAGTCCCTAGATCTCTCAAATAGAACATTGCCTGGTATCTCCTATACAGACATTCATTCTTGTCCAGTAGAATCCTTCTTGCCTCTTCGAAACTTCCTTCCATCGGAAGTGCAGGATCCCTAGACCCAAATTTGGATACTATGTCAGAGCCGTCCTTCAGCTTCATCAATGCTAGATAGCAGGTCTCGGAAATGGGCTTCTTCGGATGGTTAGAGTATTTCCTTAGCGCCTCAACTATTTCTTCCCTGGGCCTAAAGTTCCCCAGCGCCTCTCCAGCCTCATGCCTGACAATCTCGTCCTCGTCCTCGTCAGATAAAACGTCCAGGAGCACCCTAACAGACTCCTCCATGCGCATTTGCCCAAGTACATATGCTGCCTCATGCTTCAGGAGAACAGACTTGGATCCGAACGCCTCTGTAATCGCCCTTGCAGATTCGGGAAGCAGCACGTTCCGCAGGTAAAATAGCGACCTCATCCTCTTAGCTATCGAAACACTATCGCACCCTATGTTTTTTCTTGCTACCTCGATATCCATGGGGCACCCACCTTACTTGGTTTTCGTCTGAAATAGCATCGTCTTCTGGATTTTTAAAATTCTACCGGAGGCCCTGGAAATGGAGAAGAAAATCAAGACGCTTGATCTGCTATTTATGTCTGTATGCAACATGGTTGGGATAGGCGTTTTCAGCATGGCGCATTACGTCCTGTCGCAGACAAGAACCTGCGCCTCATCTATTCTTCTTGTGGTTGCTTCGGGAGTGATTGCAACAATGTTCGGATTATGCTATGCAGAGCTCGGGTCAACTTACCCATATCCGGGAGGAGACTTGAACTATCTTAGTAGAGCATACTCAAAGCATCTAGGAACAATCTATTCTGTAGTTTCCCTACTGCTAATACTGCCTCTGTCCTGTGCGATTATGTCCATCAAGATATATGAGTGCTTCGAGCACGAGATGGGAAGAGACTACTGCGTTGGCGTACTACTAGTTCTATGTTCTGTATTTATATCTTTTGGTGGGAGATTGGTTACGTGGACGATGAGGACGCTGTTTTTCCTTAAGGTTGTTACAGTTGTTTCCCTCCTGATAGTCTCCTTTATATCATTTACGGTGATCAAGAGCACATCCAATCCGGCAATACTGGATGAAAGAAACAGTACCACGGTAGTAGGCGCAGCCTCAATAGTCCGTGGCCTCTGCTTCACCCAGTTCTCATTTGACGGATGGAACTGCGGAAACTATATTGCAAATAGAATACACAATCCCGGAAAGACTTTTCCAAGGGCCATAGTGGGATCCATATGGAGCGTAGTTTTCATTTACATACTCATTAGTCTATCAGTGATGTATGTGGTACCATATGACGATATTGTTGGAAATGTCTTTTTTATTGACGAGTATTTCAGAGCTGTAGGAATACCCATCACGCCCAGAATGCTATCGGTGATAGTTACCCTGATTCCTACTCTTGGATCGCTTATGTGTTCGTTCATTGTCGGGTCTGGAATCATCGAGTCTCTCATCCCTGGTAAGTTTAACAAGAAGACGGAAATAGTATCATTGGCCATCTTTTCCCTACTCACCTTTGCATTTGCTAAGCTAGAGAATATATCCTGGATGGTGAGCAAGATAGCATTTGGGACATCCTTGTTCTACTCTCTGTCATGCATGGGCCTTGTGTTCCTCAAATTGAAACATCCCTCTGCAGAAAGGCCCTTCGATCTTCCTCTCGTGGTTCCCCTCGTTGCGTCATTTCTAGGTGTTTCAATTTGCAGCTACATTATCCTCTGTAGCTGAAAGGGATCGCGCAAGCTCGGAAAGGCCTGTCCCTCGTTCTGAAGTCCAATGAATATCTCTAAAGTATTGCATACATGTTTTAGAAGCTTGATGTGATGTATGTTTCACATACCTATGTATAAAAGGCACACGTTTCTTTGGAATCTATGGAGCACCGCAGAAAGGGGCTCGAGGCCTTCGCCACACCAGGGCCCAATGGGGTCTCCTTGTCCTTCACTATACCGCTTGGGGGGTGCACCCCAAGGGAGATGGTGCCGTCCATGTACAACGGAATATGCTTGGATCTGCAGAAGACCCTTGTAGGCATAGGGCGGGCTTCGATATACAAGAATATTGGAAACAAGGTCCAGGTATCTCTGAATGTGAGCCGTCCCCACACTGTTCACCAGATGATGAAGCTGGTTGGCAAATGCTTTCGGTACTGCTACAAGGTGGAGATTCCTCTTTGCCTGTACCCCATGAAGGCCGAGATAATGGAAAGAATTAGAGAGATAATGAACACTACAGACACTTCCATTTGTGTCAAGATAGAAGGCAAGGTCGAGGCTTTTATCTGTGGAAAAAAAGAGGCGTGTCTTAATGCTAGGATGAAGATGTTTCTAGTGATTGAGGAGGCGTTTGGCAGAGTTACCGAGGTTAGAAGCGCCTCGGTGCCTATAAAAGAAGTTATTGAGCATGGAGGAAGAATATTCTATCGCTCAAGAATAAATTCTGATGAATGCCTCGTGTCCCACAGTGGCCTACATCTTAGCTTCAAGGAGCCGGAGAAAATAGTTGAAAGGCTGGTACTTGACTCCCAAAAGGTTGCACATTTACTTTTATACAAAGGGGCTGAGATTGAGGACATCCTGTCTGAGACCCAGTCATATATAACCACAAGAGAAATCAGTGAGGATTACACTGAGATGATTCTGAGAGGATTTGACTTGTACGAGGTCAGGAGAGCAAGGAATAAGATAAACCTGCTATACAATGCCGTGATGAAGATGGTGGTGGAGAATATGAGGTATCCTAGCTACGATGATGTGCTAGTGCTTCAGACTAGAGATGTTGGGTGTTTTATGATTATCGGGGAGAAAGAAACCTTATTGAAGATAGTAGAGGAGAATGGGGGCTATGTGGAAGCCGAGATGGACATCGAGGCGGAGACCGTTGAGTTTCTGTGCGGAAAGAAAAACGGGAAAATCACAAGGATCATGAGGGATGTATGCTGCGGAATTGTGATCCACAAAAAACAAGGAAGCCCTAGAATCCACATGGTTATAAATGGATGCTCCGGAGCATTCCAAAAGGCGATGCAAATGATTGAGGACGAGTTTCCCGAGGAGCTGACCTTCTACATTGATGAAAAACACCACAAAAGGATTATCGGATATGGCGGTAAGAATATCCAGAAGATAATGAAGAAGCACGGCGTTTACATCAAGTTCATGAACGAGAGGGAGAGAAGAAGATCTGCATATAGAGATAATGTTGTGATAAAGACTCCGCGAAAGAATGTAGGGAATCTTATTAGTATGAAAAATGATGTTATGGAGCTGATAGGATGTTTCAAGGGCGATGCAAGAATCCTTGAGACGGCTGTATCCATACATGACTTCTACGATTTGGGATACCCTATATACCGACTTCTCTACAATGAAGCTGTTGTTAAAGGCTCAGAAGTCCATGCATCGTACTATCTCAAGAGCGAGGGCCATGGCGTAGGTGCCGGGCCGCACCTTACATTTAAATTAAGAAACAGCAATATCTGGTTCATAAAAACTACAGAGATGCTTCCTCTGGAAAAGATTTCTACAATGCACTGGCTCAAGGGAATTGAAAGGATGTCTGTATTCTCATGGCTGTTTGGCCACGGGTACAACTCCTTATTCAATACCGAGAGGGAAGAAAAGATCAAAGGGAAGATCCATCTTGTCGAGGCAAGCCTATTACCTAAGAAATAAAGGATGTAAAACTAATGGGATCGACCGGCTTCTGAAACATCAAAGCACTCTGTTTCCAGTGGTTCTGAAACAAAGAATATAATAACTTGCCAAATATCCGGGAAAGGTCATGAATGACAACTTACTTGGCAAGAAGGTGGATGAGATATTGGATATCGGTGAGGGGGTCAAGGTCCTTTTGTTCGATGAGGACACGAAGATGATCCTCAGCAATCTGATTCCTCACTCGAGATTTCTCGAAAGCGACTATTTCCTGTTTGATAGCATAATGAATAAAAGAAGAGAGAGGATACAGGGCATCACCTGTATGGTAGCAATCCGCCCTGAGAGCATAAGATGGCTGATAGAAGAGGTGTCAAATCCGTTTTATGAGAGATACATTGTTTTGTTCACAAACCAAGTGGACTCTCTGATGTTGGAGATCCTTGCCACAAGTGATGTGCACTGTGTTGTCTCTGAGATCCACGAAATATACATTGACTTCTTCAAGCAGGACGACTTCCTTTATACACTTCATGCTCCAAAGACAAGGGAGCACATGTCTCTTAGTGGAAGAAAGAGGTCGATAGACGGCATTTTTGCTCTTGTCATGAACCTAGGAAGGATACCAACAATTAAGATTCAGACAGAGGACAGGCACTTGATGGAGGATTCTGAGACACTGAGTACCAGGCTTGCAGGTCTTAATCTTAAGCAGGGCGGGACACTGATAATGCTTGACAGGGCTTTTGATCTTTACACGCCACTGCTGTATGAATGGAGGTACCAGTCCTTGCTTCATGAGCATGCAGACTATGCAAATGGCATTGTCAGAATCGGAAAAAAAAGCTATTCGGTTGCGGACGACCCGTTTTTCAATGCCTCGAAGTTCAAGGACATATATGAGGTTTCCGAGGACATCAAGGGGCTGGTTAAGAAGGTAGAGTTCAAAAAGAAGAGGCTTCACAACTTCATCTTTGATGATTTAGAGGAAAATACTAGGATTTCTCGGCAGTTGGAGGCGCATCTTGCTCAGCATGGCCATGTGATGAAGGCATGTTTAAGACTCAAGGACTTGAGCGAGATGGAAATGAATGTCCTGAAGGACAACGGGGTTTCCAAGGCAGAGATCAGTGAGTGTCTTACGAGAAAGGACATTTCGGTCATTGAGAGATGCAAGCTGCTTATAATATATTCGCTCAGAAATAAGAAGAATCCGATCGACGAGGCTAGGAAATATCCGGACCTTATGAATGAGGTTGAGGCGTTTATGGGAAGGCATCCTCTCAATGTGCCCATATGGAGACACTATGGATATCGCTTCGACGATGATGTTGACGTCAAGCTGGGATACCAGCCGGCAATCAAAAGAGTTATCCGCCATTGGTGGACAAACAGACTTGACAATAGATGTTTCTTGACGGTGAGAGAGTCTGAGAATCCAATGGACTACATAGTGGTTTACATAAGAAACGGAGTGACCTATTCAGAGTATAGGGTCCTTTGTGAATACTATAATACAGCAATGAAAGGACGGTCAGAGCTCTATGTTGTTGGAGACGTAATGGTGTCTTACAAAGACATTATGGGGGCCTCTAGCTAGTCTAGCGGTGATGCATGGGTATAAATCTATATAGGTCTCTAGGCAGCCATAATTAAACCAGTCTAATTTATTCGGTTGTCAAGAGCATTTATAGCAGAGCTTTGGCTATTCACAGTGATAATGAAGAGAAAGCAGAATCATTGATAGCCCAACAAGTATCAGCCCAATGGACAGGAAATAGTTCTTAGATCCTATCACTGATGATTGAATGAGCGATACACGCTTATCTCCATATGGAAATCTTGATGTGATGTTCAACGTGTATGTTCCTTCTGTTGCTACGTCAATTACTCCCCAAAGCTTCCTAAAGCTCGGAAAAGGTGCTATATAAATCCAGTTTGTAAACCTCTCGTTGAGACTTAGGTCAGGAACCTCGGTGTAGTTTGGCCACAGGGGAGGGGCGACAACCTCATCCCTTGTATAGGAGGGTGGCCTTACTATATTCCTCTCAGATTCCCATGAAATTCCGTCAGTCTCAATCTCCACTCCGTCAATCTCATATTCATCGTGGGGAAAGCTGTTTGGGAGAAGCCCAGCAGGATATATGGCCTTCCCATCCTCGTAGGACAACGGGCTAGCTGCATTAAGGCTTTTTGGCCTTTCTCCCCTAAGCTGGTCATAGCTGATGCTTTTGCTGTACCTCAAATTGGTCTGGTAGAACTCTCTCATTTCCAGGAAAAGATAAATCTTCCCACTGGGAAGATAGACATCAGTGCTCAGGTCATCCGTATACGGGATGGTTGTCTCCATCAGGCTGCTGTACACAAATGTTGCTATCACACCAAGTATTAGGTTCAGAAGCCCTATGATGAAGAAGACGAACAGGAAGTTCCTGTTGGAGTCAGATCTGTAGGTCCCCGGGAGCTTCTGGGATAGGAGATGCCTTTTTACTGTTGACATGTATTCCAAGAGACTCATTTGGTGGGCTGCTATTGTTTGGGGTATGCTACGCTTTTATTTAAGGTAGCATCCGAAGATGGTCGCTTCTTTCTTCCTTATTCCGCAGCTCAGGAGACCTGGTATACATGCAGAACAACCACTCCATAGCCATTAAGCCCATGAGCACTAAAGTTCATTGCTCCAAAAAAATTTGCCCTTGAAATGGTAAGTGGTAGGCAAAGTGCTCTAATTTTGTAGACTGTTAAGAGAAGAAACCATGGAAGAGGAAAGAAGAACAGAGGAAGTGCCGGCTCCATTCAGTGTGACAAGTGCGGAAGTGTGACCCCTAAGGACAAGGCGATCAAAAGATTTAGGATCCAGTCCCTTATCGAGCAGGCATCGTTTGACGATCTGAAGCAGGCAACCATTTATGATGTATTTGAGGTTCCGAGGATGGGCTACAAGTCGCAATTCTGTGTGTCCTGTGCGTGCCATGCCAAGATAGTCAGGGTTCGTTCTTCCCAGGCAAGGAAAATCAGATATGGATTCAATCCAAACAGGGTGGCCAGTGCTCACAATTAAAGGGATTTCCAGACTCCGTGAAAACTACCTGAAGCCCTCGGGCTGCTTCAAGTCAAAGTGTTTATTCTTTTACGGCTCTTACTACACCAACGGCGATGGTTTTGTTCTCCAATCGTAACGCAAATCTTTGCCTTTCTTCCTCGTTCCTACTGCTGTGGAGAACGCAGATAGGCAGTTCGGTAGTTATCTTCGCAAGAACCTTGCTTCCTTGCCTGCAAAACCTAATCTTCTTGTTGTTAATATCCCTTATTTCCTTAATCTTGCACTGAGCAGCAACAATTCCTACATGAAGTATGCATGTGTATCCGGAACTTATTATTGTATCCCCATCAAGTATGTTTAATCCGCATGTAAATTCCTGAGTAGATTTGTAATCCATATTGCTAATGCCAAGAATCTTGCTTCCGACCGAAACATCGTCAACATCCTCCTTCAACTTCAACTTCACAACATCTCCGGGCTCTGTTTCTTCGATCTCAACGTCATCCTCATCCATTATAGACGAAATGACGTTCTTTGTGTTCTGTGGTAAGATTTTTATTGGCGAGTTGAGGGTCACCTTCCCGCATTCAACCTTCCCGTACAGAATCGTTGATCCCATCAGCCTTACCTTTTCTGTCACCGTGATCGCTAGTGGGCCATCGATTCTTCTTGGAATCGTTACATTGTCCAACTCCGAAAGAAAAGAGTCTCCATCATACCATGGGCACGATCCTTTCTCCTTAATGTATTCGCCGGTAAATCCACTGACCGGAATAAACACAGGCGTCGGAAACATTCTTCTAACAAAGGCCCCAACCTTGGTCTTTATCTCGTCAAACCTCTCCTTGCGCCACTCCACGCTCGGATCGTCCATCTTATTAACCAGCACAATCAATCTTTGGACACTTCCGGCCTTTAGCAGGAAGATATGCTCTCTAGTTTGCCCTCCCTTTTCAAAGCCTGCCTCAAATTCGTTTATTCGTGCAGATACAACCAGTATTCCCACATCCGCACGATTAGCCCCGTTTATCATCTCAAACACAAACTGGTTATGTCCAGGCGCATCCAATATATTTACCCTTCTATGGGGAAGCTCAAAGGACGCAGTCCCCACCTCCGTGGTCTTTCCTCTTTCTCTCTCCTCAGGATTGGTGTCCAGACACCAGCTTAAATACCAGCTTTCTCTATTCTGCTCCCTCGACATTTGTCTGTACTTTTCCAACGTCCTTGGGTCCACCAATCCCATCTGCACAAGAATCTGCCCGCATATCGTCGACTTTCCAGCGTCAACATGTCCGACGAACACAATGTTGATAACCTTCTTCCGGGAAATGCGCAGCTCCCCCAAGTCCATTGGTAGGGAACAATTTCAGGCCTATTTATCGGGCAACAAATTTTTAGAGCTGCGCACCCTGATGATATCCGAGTTCCTCACGCGCAACTTGCACAAAACAGTCGACTTTCTATCGAAGGTCGGAATAACATCCGATGAAGTCTCAATAACATTGTCCTCGAAGGAGTACCTTTCACTTACATACCAGAACATAAAGGAGTATAAAAAGGCATATGTTTCTCTTCTCTGTAAGACCAGCCTACAGCATCTAGAAGAGGTTGTTTTTTGCGCCTGTTGCTCCCAGAGAGTCAACTTCATAAGAAACATAAATCTGCTTATCCATCTCAACAAACCTGTAGAAATCCACTGGTGCGGATGCGAAAAGGATGAGTTCCTGCTTTACATCGAGGGCAAGATAAAAAAGGACCATCGTATCCTGTCGGATGTTATTGTAATAAACCCGTGGTTTTGGGAGGCGTATCTGGATCTTGGAGAGCTTGCCACTCCAGAGATTATCGAATCGATCAGTATTGTTGGAGGCTTAAGTGACTTCTTCTTCATGCATCTGTTCTGCACAAAGATGATCAAGAAGGCTTGGAGACCCACTGCAATATCAGAGGATGAAAGGCGTGGAAGTAAATGGAGAAAGTCTTCTGATGGACTCTACATCAACATGAAATACCCGAACCTGGCAGGAGCTGTTCTGTACCACCAAAAAGACTTTGATGGATGCATTGAGGTATTCGAGGAGATTACGAGAAATTCTCTGTACTACGACCTGGACTATATAGATCTCTATTCAAACGCCCTGTATATCAAAAACGACAGCAGGGTCGTTCTTCTTGCTGAAAACACTCTGAACATAAACAAGTACAGGTCTGAAACCATGTGCTGTATAGCAAACTACTACTCCATGAAGAAGGAGCATGAGAAAGCTGTTGAATACTTCAAGCTGAGCGTGAAGCTGAACCCCTCTTCCTCTATAGTCCACACGCTCATCGGCCATGAGTACCTTGAAATGAAGAGCATGGAAAAGGCTGTGAGCTCCTATAACACTGCTCTGAAGATGTGTCCCATGGACTACCGCGCCTGGTACAGCATCGGGCAGGCCTATGCTTCAATGACTATGCATGAATATGCCCTTTTCTTCATAAAGAAGGCTCTGGAGTGCAAGAGCAATGACCCTATTGTTTGGACAACCCTGGGGCAATGCTACATGAGCCTAAGCAAGATGGATGATGCCATTGGATGCTTCAAGAACGTCATAGAGCTAAACGACGCCGACGGGTATCTGTACATTGGGGATGCCTATAAGAACATGAAAATGTACACGGAGGCAGTTGTGTACTACGAAAAGTATGTTGAGACCAGCAAGGACGACACTCGGAAGATATGCTTGTTTCTGGAAGAGTACTTCAAGAGAATGTTTGACGACAAGCGGAGTTCCTACTATGCAAACCTTGCCAACAAATAAAGCAGATTCCGATGCCCTCTCTATGGAGTCAACCGAGGAGATCAACAAGGAGCTCGAAAACAAGCTTAGGAAACTAGAGGAAGACATCATGCATGTAATAGAATATAATAATAAGCTGAAGGAGATGATGGAGGGCCTCAAGGTCGAGGAGAGACTTACACTTGAATGGCTTCTTGACTGTCTCAATGATTCTAAGAAGTTTCTTCAGAAGAGCTCCAGCATGGATTTCTTTATATAGAGCGAGGAGAAACATATAATATCCACGATACAGAGCCTTGTTCTGACAAGCTGCTAATAAAGTTGTTTATTCAGAACCTCTTTAGTGGAAACTTGAAGAAAACCGAGAGCCCCATTGCAACCAGGAACACACAAACAAGAACGGCAGGCCCGTATATGTCGTCATACGGCCCAGGGTCTCTCTGTCTTATCATACTGGCCCTCCACAGATACAGATACAGGGAGTAGAACGAAAAGATTATTGCTACAATGATTAGGATCAGCCCCGAGAAGCTGGCCCTTTCATCTCCAAGGCCCAGGAGTGCGCTTCCTATCCCTCCCAAGAAGATGGCAAACTGGACCCAGGACAGAAACGTTCTTTCGTTAGCAAAGAACACCTTTGGCTCCACACGAACAGGAATAGATATTCTTTTTCCATGAACATCTATTGGACTAAGCTTTTCACTGTTGCTGGGGTCACTATCGGCAGGAACATCGACCAGAACCGTGTTCTCAAAGGATTTCTTGTCCACGTCTGGGTGGAACGGATCTTTTCTTATGTCAACAGCCACCTGCGGAAGCCAATAAGGAATGTCCTGGATAAATGGATACAAGACGGCACATCCATGCAGGTACTTCGAAAACTTGTGTACATGCTCCACCAGTGGGCCGTTGATAAGCTCCTCAATCCACTTGGGCTTCGTCTCGTCAAAGTTTTGTGTTTTGATCTCAAGTATTGCATGTGGAAAACGGACTATCTCGCTCTTGGGAACATTTCTGAAAGGAAAGTCGCAGTTCACGTCGCTCCTTCTCCATCTCGTGATGGGATATGTCGGATTGACTATCTCGGCGTCGCTGCATTCCTTTATCATGCACAGATCAGTATCAAGGCTTACTCTAACACTGGAGTCATTGGGAATTTGGAATGCACTTCTCCTGTAGAATGTTCTGACAACGGGCCTGAGCCCTCTGTTAACAATAGACGACTGGACCTCTTCATACAGCATTCTCACATCTTCATCTCCGTTCAGCCTCCGGACATCTTCCCACACATCCTCTCCATTTATGTACTTGAGAACCTGCTTCTCATTTATCATAAACCTCAGTTTCTTGCTTGACTCGCCGGTCCATCCATCTTCATGCTTTTTCCTTTCCACAAACACAACATCCGGAACTTCCGAGGTATACCATCTTATCCTGATCGCCTCGGAGTGGTGCAGCTTTTTAAGCCTTTCTCCATAAAGATCAAATGCAACGTTGTCGAAGTAAACAGATGATATGCAAGTATCATGCGAATTCTTGTCCCATGAACTATACGGGCTCTTTTCTTCGTTGCCCTTCGAAAAAACATATATTGGAAGATGCTGGGTAATATAAAATTTCACAGGCACCACATTCTCCTTGTGCACCCAGTACTTATCAGTCATCCGTATAAACATGCAATTGCTTTCGGTATTTTTCTTTTTCGTCTCTATCGCCTTGAGGGAAATCCGGCTTGCCTTGTATATCAGCTCATCAAGATCCTCAACAGACTTAATCTTACCCTTTAGCATCGGCTTATATGAAGGAAGGAGCCTGTACTCTGTATGTTTGTCATGTCTCCTTAGGAGCTTCTTGAATCCTATGACATTGATTCTTATAAACTCTGCAAAGTGGCGCATCTCCTCCGTCATCTCCTTTATCTTGCTTCTAGCTTCCTTGGGCGGCTTTTTCTCCAACGTCCTCAACCTCTGGACAAACTCGGAGTACTTAGACTCAACAAACCCAAAGACTCTCTTTATGTTGGCATCCAGTTCTCGGACAAACTCGTCTTCATCGCTGGAGGCAAACCCCTCCTTTTTGAACCTCTCTCTTAGATTCTCGTAGTCTAAGTAGTTGTACTTGTAGGGCGCATATAAATTTCGCTTAAGGTACTTCTGAAATCTCATATGTTGCCAATTCCTTCCCAAGTAGTTATATAGTACTACAACTTGTTTCATCACAGATGAGACGATTCAAGTAGACCTTCCCATGAAACAGAGTTTGCAATCGCTAGCCCGTTTGCAATACATCTACCCCTCCCTATTGGTCTTTTGCCAGATCCTCAATTCTCCTTCCGACTTCTGCAGACCCGAGAATAAGCTCCTTAATTTCATTGAACTCAAATAGCGTTATGTTGTTCATGTTCAAGGCCTTCCCATCCAAGCATTTGATGCCCTTGAGCGTCTTTGCAAGCCTTATCTCCTTGATCTTCTCCACAATCATCTTGCTTTCCTCTATGCTCTCGACGTTGTAGCAGTTTTCCAGAAGCTCTGTTGCAAGAGGAAAGAAGTATGGATGGATACACGAGTACTCATCGGCTTTCTCTATCTCCACATCCATGGACATCTTAAGACTTTCCAGCTGCAGATACGAAGGAAGCCTTATCTTGCACATATTCGACTTCTTCAGGAGCAAGGCTGCATACAGGGGAATTCTTGCTATGTCCAGTGGCATCAGAGGAGGATAGGTCCTCTCCAAGAGACGCAGCTCTGGTATTGATGTCATCGGTTCTATCTCAACCAGTTCCTCGTAGGCAATGTGAAGAATCTCCTCCGGCGATATCGCCATAGGGACAGTCTGCACGTGGAAAATATATCGCTGGACTCAAGTCCAATGGGAATGGCATTTGCAGAAACCTATGCCGTTCAATTAGACCCAGAAGATGCTTAAAATAAGTCTCAACCGTCACCCCGATGAAAAACACCCACAGTCCTGAAGTCCCAAGGATTCTCCAGAGAAAGCTAGAAGGAAAGATATTCGCTCTAAGAATAAATAAAAGAAAGAATAAGGAGCCTCTTTGGATGTGCGAGTACTGCAGAAGCAGGTCCACTGGAGCTGCCCGCAGAAAACAGAAGCTCCCAGCCCAGCTTTTTTTCCAGAACAAAATAGCCTTGCATTCAACTGTGCTGATCCCCAAAGGCACATAACGAGCCAAAAGGATGCTTCTGTTATCTCTTGGAGCCTTTGAGAAAATTAAAATATCCTGTAGGATGGCATGGCCTCACCACCATAAACCCAAGGCCTCAGCGACTGGCACAAATAAGGAAAATCTAGATGTTTACTCAAGATCATGTCACTCCTTAGAAACAAGATACTCCACTCCGCTCATAGTCTTCATGTAAAATAAAGAGGGGTCCCATTGCACGATCCTATTGATTACGTTTATCCCGTCAAATATCTTCAACAACTCTACAATCCTGTTGACGGGAATCGCGCGTCTGTTCTCGGACCTGAATAGCGACCTGATTCTCTTGCTCAGAAGCAGATTGTCTTCCTCTTCCTTGGACTTGTTCATAAATTCCTCTCTCCTTAGCCTTTCCTTCTCTCTTATTCTTTCTAGTATCGTGGATGCTCTTTTCTTGGCCGACTTTTCAATCTCAACGCTTCTTTTTTTTGGAACCCAATCCTCTCTTCCTGTGCAGTCTTCCCTTATCTCTTCTGGGAATAAAGGCTTTCGGGGTAGAGGAACCTCTTCAAAGTCAAATCCAGGATGGAATCGCCCTCCATCGTGAGCATACCCATTCCTGCTAAGAAACTCTGAATGACATTCCTTGACATGCTTCTCAAGCCTCTCATTAAACTCCCTCGTCTCCCCATCGACATAGATGACAAAAGTATCAACCTCCTTTCCATCGTGGTGGATGCTTATTTTCTTGAATCTGAAAAGCTCGGGTGCTATATAGTACATCCTCTCGATGTCTGCAACTCCCACACGCTGCTTGACAAGATTTTCAATGCATCTCAGGGACTTTATGAAAATGGTCGTTAGGCCTCTTGCTGCATTGAACCGTTGAATCGTTTCCAAAACTCGGAATATCCTCGACAGCTTTTGAAGAGACTTCGGAAGATATAGATGGAAGTTCAGGCTCAGCCCTTTGAACTCAAGATGTGACACTCCTCCAAACTGCCGAATCTTTTCCTTCCTCTCTTCAATAGGAGCTGAAGGGCCCCCTTCCATTTCATCTCTCTCCTTTCTAACGGCCCTGAGCTCCTCAGGCCCATCCCTTATACTCTTCTTTTCCAGAGCTGCATTCTCATCGCCATCCAATCCAAGCTCCCTCAGCTTCTCCAGCCACTTTCCAACCAGCCCTCCCTTGCTGGCATCCAGATCCTTCTCCATCCTGTGTCCAGCAACTCCAGTCATCCCCCTTGGGCTCTCCTTTCTTCTTCTCAGTAGACATTTCCTCCTCGCTTCCTGCTCTCCCATTCACAGTACCCATCAGGAAAAAATTTATACAACGAAAATTACAATAAAAATGTCCCAAGGAATAGGTACTCGCACACCATTAGAGATGCGAATGTTTTGTCCTCGGTGTTGATTTAAAAGCTTTGGAGGACTTTGTACTAACTCCATCCTTTCTTCTGCTTTACAGGGGCATTCAAAAACATTCTTTATAGCCTTTAATAGATGTCACTTCCCTATCCTCGTACTCCCAAAAAGAACGTTTATGTATTCTTCCACAGATATGCTTCTTACATAGCTTTTCTCACTATCTGGAGCCTGCCCAGCAAATCTTTTCGATATCTCCTGTACCAGCTTGCCTTTCTTCTCCCTGCCAGGTACAAGCCGAACCTTGTATTTGTATGCTGATATAACACTCCAAGGCCCGCACACAGGCATCGAATGAACTATCTCCATCCCCTCTGGATCGCTGACAAACTTGTGCCTCTCCTTCTCATCAATCTTCATCCCCTCCAGCTGCTCTTCAATGTCCTCGGAAACCCTGAACAGCAATCCTAGCCCATATTCAATCCTGTGGCACTCCACATAGTTTTTCTTTCCCGTTATCATAAAAGATCCTTTCTTTAAATACTCTCCAGAAGGCGCCGTCTTACTGACTTGATCGCCGTAAACATACCAGACCGGAGAGACAACGTTTGCCTCCCAGCACTTCGACATGCATAGCGCCATCGATGCGGCTTCCTCTATCGTCTTCTGCGTAGCCTTTTTGACAATGATGCTCGAACTTCCATGCATATCACTATGGAAGTACAGGTCACCCGGCTCCAGATGCTTCTTGACAAGAATTTCATTCTGCTGTGCATTCTTTCCTCCTATCACAAGTACTCCGTCAGAAGAAAAAAAAAAGTGAAACTTCTCAAACCAGTATGGGGCCCTTGTAATCTTCTTACTTTCAATCTTCGGCGCTATCCTTTTCAGCACCTCCTCGAGGCTGTCCCTGGTCCTTCTAATCTTCTCTTCAAGCTTCTTACTCTTCTGATAAAGCCCGCTTATGTTACTAAACAGAGAGCTGTCAAAATCAATCTCTATCTCCTCGCCTTCTAAAACTATCCAGCATTTATGAGCCATAAAGTCTGTCTTTACAATGGCCTTCGAGACTTCATTTCCCTTCTTGTTCTCCTGCCCCCAGAACTTCTCAAAGTCGGTCCACTTTATTCTATTCTTTTTAACAACCTTGAAAATATCCAGTATCCTGTTGACAAGCTTCGAGTTTCTTTCCAACAGCTCTGCCTTTCTCCTCAGCAACTCCCCTTGCTGCTCCATTTCTTTTACATACTCCTCCTGCCTTTTCCTAACCTTATCCACCTTCGACTCCCTATCGTTCTTTCCAAACTTCTTTCTGCTCTGGAAGTAAAACTCTGCGGCCTCGTTAAATGTTTCAAAGTCCCTTGCCCCCGCAGTCTTAAAGGGAACCAGGCTCGACGGCTTGCCTTTTTCCATAATAACCCCTCCATATCCCTGAATCTCCTCTATCCTTGTTCTAAACCCCTTCATGAACTCCTCAAACGCATTCCGGGTATCCTGCTTAATTGGAATCCCATTCTCTGCAGACTTTTTCATGTCCATGACATCGGTCTTGATTCTGGAGCTCAGCTCATTCAAGACTTCCTTGACCAGAAGCTCGTCCAGAGGAAGAAAGTCCTTTAGATCGTTCTTAATGAAGGCATCAACGCTAAAGTCAAAGTCAACTCTATTGAACACATACTCGGATCCTTTGACGATATCCAGATTTCTTACAACTCGGAATACTTCTGCTATCTTCCCGTCTTCTACGATCAGGATATTTCCTCCAGAAAAGAACTCAAACACAATCTTCTGTCTTCCGAGCTCCAAGACAACAACACGGTCAAACCCGCATTGATATATGTCAACGACTTTGTCTCTCCGGGCCTTCCTACGCAGAATCTTGCAGAAATGGGAGATGTCCGTGTCGTACTCCTGCGTCAGGTGGATCCTAACCCCGGGCTCAACAAGAAGAATGTCCTTGTTGCTAAACTTTATGTAAATGATTCTCTGTGATGTTGTGTAGAAATTCTGAATAAACTTCTCCTTCAGCCTGGGCCTCAGCTCATTAACCGTTGCTCTGATGTCGAGAAAAGTATACCTCTGCTTCATCGGGGCTTTTACTTTCTCCGATATTTCCACCACTCCAAAACGCCACTGCAGAAGACCAGATATGAAACACTGGGTGCTAAACACTTCCTAGGAACGCGTTTGTTTATTTCCATATGGATCCAAAGACAAAGCAGGCTTCATCTGACGAGTGGAATGTAGAGGCCGGATTGCTTCTCTCCTCTCAGCTGCTGCTCGAATACAATGCATACTATTTCTATTCAGCATGTGCAGCCCACTTCAGCAGGTCTGACGTCTGCCTTAAGGGACTGGCCAGCTTCTTCAGGAAGAAAAGCCTTGATGAGAATGCCCAGGCCCAAAAGATTATTGGCTTCATGAATATGAGAGAGTTAGATATTGAGTTCAGAGCCATCGAGGCGCCAGATATCAAGAAGTACGGAAAGACGAGCGGCGTTCTCAAGGCTTGCAAGGAATTCGAGCAAACTGTGCTCAGTAACATATCGACCATTTCTGAAATAGCCAGAAAAGCTGGAGACGGGGCCATCGTCCAGTTCCTCGAGGACTTCATCGCCGAGCAGGTGAGGTCTATTTCGGAGCTTAGTGATCTATGCGCCAACTGTGCAAGGTGTGGGGACGGTGGCGTGGGGCTATTCCTCTTTGACCAATCACTGATAAGCCAACATTAAAGATATAGCCAAATTCTCTTAGGCACCCCTTAGCTATCCCGCGAATGGATGAACTGATTTCACAAATCAGAGGCACCCAAGCAAGAGAAGAGGATAAAGAAGGCTCCATTCCAAAGGACGAGAGCTCTCGGGCACATAACGGAGTATCTGGGGATCTAGCCATCGAAGACCCCCAGGACCCATTTGATCAGGAAGAGGTGGAGGTGCCTTTATGTGGAAAGAAAGATACAGGCGATGCCCACGATCTCACTTCTTCACAAGCCCCTGCATCACTCCACATCATGAAGCTCGACTTCGATGTGCTGAGTCAGGTGAAAAAAGAAAGTCAGGTCGAGATAGACATAGAGAGGATAAAAGACAGCAAGAAGTACAAGGTTGAGGGAATATTTGCAGGAATCATCAAAAAGCTGAGCGCTTTTGGAAGCGACACTGCTTGCCTAGAGCTTGTAGACGAGAGTGGGTCGATATGTGGGTCTTGTCCTCTAAGCGCTGTCGACGAGTTCGGATTGAAAGTGGGAACCATTATTCTGCTGTCCAAATGTTCCCTGTGGAAGATCAATGGAAACCATTTGAACATAGCTGGAGTAAACATAATGAAAGTCGTTTGAAAAATGGGACCGTGCCACAGCTTACATCACAATCCGAAGAAGTCAAGCAGGTTGTTTTTTCTCTTGCTTAGAATGTTGTTTCCATCGTCTACAACGTCGAAATCTATTTCCGCATACACCGGACAGTGGTCACTCCCATGGATTTCCGGTTGTATATCACAGTCCTTGAGCCTGTTCAGAAACCTAGCCGGAATGAGAATGTAATCTATTCTTGTACCCAGATTGCGGGGACGCAGGTTGAGCATTGTATTCCAGCATGTGTACGACTCGGGTCTCTTGCATAAAGCTCTATAGGCATCTATGTATTCCCCGCCATCAATTAAACTCCTCAGCCATTTTCTTTGCTCCGTCTCAAGAAGATAGCTCTCTAGTGCATCCTCTGCATAGAACTCATAGGGCAGCTCGAGCCTGGTCGGAGATTTCCGGGCCCGTCTTCTTTCCTTAGCCCCTTCTTCTAGGCCTGGCCTGTCCTTGCGTTGTATGCGCAAGAGCTCGCTATAGAACTGGTAGTGGTCGATGATCGAATAGACTGCATTGAAATCCCCGCACATAATTATGTTATCGTGGCCCCTGATAAACTCCCCAATCGCATCATAGAACCCAATCACTTCAGACTTGTCCCTCTCAGAACTCTCATCGAAAAAGGGAAAGTACAGGTTCAGGACCTTGAACTCTCCATGGTCAGTTAACAGTGACCTTCCATCCTCTGCAAATGGTGAATCAAGAACTCCTCTGCAATACAGTTTCTTGGACACCATTGTTGAGACACCAGATCTGCTGCTGTTCGTTTTGTTGGTGTTTGTAAATGTGATGTAGTCTCGGAGTGAATGGAACTCCCCCAATGCGCCCTCCCTCCCCCTGGTCTCCTGGACACATAGAATATCAGCCCTAAGGATGTTCTTCACATACTCGTTGAATCTCAATCTGCAGCTTTTCATCACATACTTGCTGAAAGAGCGGATGCCGTTGACGTTGAACGACGTTATCCTCATACGACAAGAACAGAGAATTAATGGGCATATAAATATCATGGATTTAATCATGATAGGCTCTACGGTGCTCTTCCTTTACTCTTCCTCTTCACAGGAGTATTCGCCAAGGACCTTAAAGATTTTAGCCGTCACGCTGTTAGCAATCTGATAGTCGAAGGTGGAAATCATTCTGAGAATCCCACAGAAAGACGTTATTAGCATTCCTCTTTTGCGCCCTCTTTCGTCTCCATCCACGCTGATGAATACCTGCGACGGCTGTGCATCATCGCTGATAGACCTCATGAAGATGTACTTCTGGCCATTGTATTCGACATTTTTCACTGGCATATTCTCTGCATAACCATCAAAGTCCTTCACACTCATGGAGCACTTTCCATCGGACTTGTATGAATGGTTTACATCGTCGAAGTTTGTAAGCTGCAGCGATAGAACGTCGTCCTTTAGGTCTCCCACCAGACTATCAAACACATCTGCATACTCCATGTTTGTTCCTTTGCCCTCATAGATTATTCCAGGCATTTTAAGGGCCCCTGGCAAATTCCTTGATTTTTGTTTGTACCCCAGATGAAATGTCTTCTTCTCTTTGTAGCACTCGTGATGGCAATTCCAGAAGACCTGAACTCAACACTTATGGCGATCAGAAGGCTCCATGAAAAGACCGGGTATAGCACTTTCTACGAGGTTTTTGGGGTTCCAGAAAGCACGTCCATTGACGCCATAAAGAAATTGTACCAGAGGATGATGAAGCGCCCAACACCGATTCCCGGGATTGAGAAGAGAGAGGACGCTGTTGCTCTCCTAACAGAGGCCTATAACATTCTAAAGAACAAAAAATCTACATACGATTTTATACTTGCAAACCCGTACCTCTATGTCGGAAGTAAAGAAAACTTTAGGAACAATCTCTACGTGATAATAATATCCATAATTGTTGGGCTGCTGGCACTTGACTTGACATATTTTGGTGTTAGGTATCTGGTCTTCATGGCCAGACCTAGGAAGACTCCGAGCAAGAAAGGAGTCAAGAGCAGCAAGGAGTCTGTGCCATCAACGATAACTGTAAATGTTCTCCGTTCAATTAAGTCCTTGATTAAAAGGTAATGGGGCCTTTGCTTATTAAGTCTTGTCCTTTGAACACGCCTACCGCCTCTCTTGCTGTTTTCGTCTCCTTGCCCTGCAAATGCCAACACAATGGCTTGCCAGTGTCCATAGTCCATGTCCTCCTGGGTCTCGCTCTCCAATCCAAAGATATAGTTCAAAACCCCTATTTAATAAACGGGTCCCTATGCTCCTTCACAGTCATATCTGCATGGGGTTCCATTCTGCCCAACATGGATATCCATATCCTCCTCTCCATAGGAAAAAGGAACACTTTGCCCATCAGACCTCAGCAAGATCCTCCCAACTCTGTCAATTGCATCAAGATCCGTGCAACCACTTGCAGCCATGTCCTGGACAGAGAACGAGTTTTTATCAAATTCTTTCCACTCTCCAGACAATGCATATTCAACTTCAAAGGGCGTCACGACGGGGATGTGTAGTTCAAGAGAACACTCAAAAAAGGGACAGTCCACAACCACAATGCATTCCGTTCCCTCTATGGTTATCATCCTCTCGTATGAAAGATCTTTCAGGAACAAGAGGTATGCATTTTTTCGTCTAGAAATGAGTGCCTTCCTTATTGACTTTGCCAGTTCCTCATATGCTCTCGATGTAAATATTATTGCAAATATCTGAAGGTCTCGAATCTTTCTTCCTTTGTTACACTTGGATCCAAGGTATTGCATTCTGTCCCGGCTCTTCAACTTGTAGAAAGACTCTGCATTGTACTTGTAGAAATAGTAGTCGTAGAACATTTGGTTCTTGGTCACCACAAGGACATCCCTACCATGCATCTCCTCCTTCATCACATGATGTCCACCGTAGCCTGAGTCATAGACTATGGTTCTCTCCTCCTTCTTTAGTCTGTCCATGTCCTCTTCGGGCAGCTGGGCGGTTATGCCCACAAAGTCCTCGAAGGGGTGGAGAGGGCAGTATATCCCCAGAAGGACAAAGAACTCGAAGCCTTTGGCTTTCAAGGGACAAAGCATCCCCTCTCCATGGAGCAGAAACGTATCTATGTGTGGATGGTTTGCCTTTATGTAGTCGTAAACAGGCTTGATCATGTGATTACACTCCTCGGTGGATAGCAGACCTACTTCGGTCTTTCCCTTCAGCCTTTCATCGAGAAGGGTGAAGTCCATCGTAGGGATGCCTGTTCCCCAAAAAATATCCAGACGGACTATCTCTTGCAGACCCTCCGGTTTCTGACAGACGAAAACACAAACGACAAGACGTACAGGAGATTACAAAGCATCTGAATCGTCCGAACCTCCCAATAAATGAATGTGTATATCATCACCTCAGCGGCATAATGGCTGTATGCAAACGTCTTTCGAGCAAAAACACAATAGTGGGAAACAGACTGAAGGGCGTTTAGAAGCATAAAGACAGCTTTGTTGCTAATGGCTCTGTCTCTGAGGTGTATGCAGATGAATGTGTAGTACACAAGGCCGTGGATCAGGTGCAGAGGACTCATCCTGCTTCTGACAGAGTATTTGAAGATCTTGGTTTCTATGAATCTGCGTCCAAGATGGACAGGATAAATGTTTCTGACCGGCAGAAGAGCCGACAGAATCAATCCATAAATGTAGAAGTATTGATAGTTGTTCTTCGACATCCCCTTTGGTATGCGTCCGTGCCTTGTCAGGCTGTTCATGAACGTATGCGAAAGTATGGTTGTCACAGGCAGCAGAGCAAAATACAAGAGCTCAATCAACACAAACATTAGGGATATAACGTGTCATCTAGATGGTTCCACCGGAAACTTGAATAATATTTGGTTTAATTGAGGTAGAGCATCAGAGCCACAATGCCATCCCTATCTACTTGTAGTTCAAGAAGAAGATGAGCCCTGAGTCAATTCTGCTGTAGGCATCGTTATACGCCCTTCTCATGTAGTACACGGACATGAATCCAAACAGAATCTTGTCTACTGGAAAGTCAAATTGGTTCAGCCTCCAAAATGTAAACATATAGTTGAATATCGAAAAGAAGCTCGTTCCTGAGAAGATCTGGTAGAACAGAATCATGATAAAGAGATATATGAAGCCGTTTGTTTCAACAAGCCTGTACTCTACAGGGGGCTGCTTATGGAGGAAAACATACTCAAGGCCTCTTCCAGTCTCAAGGTCCACCAGCCTATGAATGTCTGAAAAGAAGAAGTCTCTTATTATTATGATGAATGCATTAACCAACGACTTAAACAAGATGGTCAACACCAGGTATACCATTAGCAAGACTCCGACAGTTATAAGCGAGACAACAATCCTGTGGGGAACTATCTCGTTGTCCAGCCTGTAGAACGAAGAGCATTGCTCGCACTTTCTTATATCCCTTATTCTTTTTCCCCGGTACCTCCACATATTTAGGCACACCCCGTGGACAAGGCCGATGGATCCCTTGCAGTCACAAGGGGAGATCAGATCGTCTCTCATGTCTATTGGGTTTGTTAGTGAATAGCAAATCTTACAAAATCTAGAGTCCTCTGTCGTCTGCCTGGGCATCGTGATGGAGACATCGACGGTATCTTGCATCTCTTCGGTCCCTAGGCTGTCATCATGTGGTACGCTCTCCATGGATGTGGCTCTTTGGTTGATGTTATATCTCCTTGTCCGTTACCAATTAGCCTTTTCTTCCCCTTTTGCATGGCAAATAAATACCCAGCGAAGCACATGGATTATTGATCGCGGCACTGTTGGATAAGTGGCTTGTGCAATAGAAGACTGTAAATAAAAATGTATGACTCCATGGCACATGAGACCATCAGGCCCATGTTTCCTTGGAGCTCTTTTTGTGCCTCCAAATGGCAGAGATGGGAATCGTCCTTACTCCGTAGCTTTGGAGAGGGGCTTCTGCTTCCCGATTTTCAAATATTGCGGACGAAAAATCACCACATATAAATAAACTTTACTATCTCTACCTGTACCTTGAGAGCACCTCATCCCTTGAGACAATGTTCGTTATCTTTTCCACTGCAAAGTAGTCATCCTCGAAAAACAGCCCGCTTGCCCTGTCTATGGTGATCTGAAGATTCAAGACAGAGTCTGTATTGTCGTAGTCCAGAACCTCATATGACAACAGTCCCTGGCTTTGAATAAACAAAACCATCTCTTCGTGTAGCTTTCCCTTCTTTTGCACATCTTCTAGGCACTCGAGTGATGCAATTTCTTCTAAAGAATGCTTCATCTCAAGCTTCTTCCAGTTGTCGCACTTGCTGATTACATTGACTTGGGCCGACTCAAGAAGGCAAAGGCACAGCGTGGAAACCAGATATGACGAAAGCAAAGAATGGTCATTTGAGAAGAAGACTAGATCAGTGAGGTTGACAACAACAACCGAGTATCCATTGCTCCGGAGATATCTAAGGATGCCGTTGGGGATGTCGCTGGACATGAAGAACTCCACTTGTCCTGGAAAGTCGAACAGGACATAGTGGTCTGTGTTCTCGATGTTCTCTCGGAAGAACTCGTCGATCCCTGCAGCGAACTCCTCAAGAACACACTTTGCAGACATGTTGGGCCCAACCCCATGCTTCTCCTGGTACTTCAGGGACGACGAAATCGAGCATATCGAATAGTCGAACTGGCCATCATTGCAGTTTCCCGGATCAAGATTCACAGTGTATGGGTTTCTGTGCGAAAGCACCGCCTTCTTGCTCATGACATAGGTAGACTTCCCGCTGCTGGGAGGTCCTATAATAACCTCTGCATACTTCATGACTTGGAGCTCAAGGGATACAGCCGAAAAGAAATAGAATAGACATTACAACAAAACTGCTCCCCGTGGGATCTACAGCCCGGGAGCCCGCGAGCCTCTGGCAGAGCAACCGAAACGCAAGCGCTCAAGCTCCGCTGCCTCATCTCGCCGCCCAAAAATTCGTGAGTTTATCCTGACGGATAATGCCAGTTCTTACACTGGCAAGAACAGATACTACACTTGATCAAAGCCGATTGGCTTGAGAGGTGGGGCTCGGGAAAAAAAACATATTTATACGAATGGAATTTATTGGTTCTGCACAGACGATGCGATTGGAGGAAGCTTTGAAACACTGTGAAGAAAAGCTTGTCCAAAACAAAATACATTCAAAGAAGCATGAACAGAATTAGGGTGCTGGGATTGGTACTTATGTACTATGCTCTGTCACTAAGCCTGGGATATCTGACCTCGTTTTTGCTCTCCAAAAGGACATATAATTTCAGTTTTCCCCTGTTCAAGGCGTCCATGCAGAACCTGATTCACTTTTTTGGTGCATCCACAGTTCTAAGACTTCAGAAGGAAAAGGCTCCAAAGCCCAACTATTTCGGGCCCTCGCTTCCATGTGCACTCGCAGGTGCAACAGACATAGGGCTTTCGTCCATATCTCTGAGGTTCACAACCCTTGCATTTTACACAATGGTGAAATCCTCTTCTCCGGTGTTCATCCTTCTGTTCGGGTTTGCACTTGGAATCGAAAAGCCGTCGATAACATTTTTTCTGACAATATTCACCATAGGCGTGGGTGTGTTTCTTACGTCGATAAAGAACACAAGCTTCGACATCATCGGGTTTGGAACCATCTCCGTAGCCTCGCTCATGGCCGGGTTCAGATGGGCGTTTGTCCAGTATCTTGTTAGGAACCAGGATGTGCAAAAAGAGGGGGTTTTTGTCACGATGAGGGATCTCTGCCTTCCCATATCATTCCTCCTTCTTCTAATCTCCCTACACGTTGAGGGCCTTATGGAGATAGTCACGTCCAGGTTCTTCAACACATTCGATGCAGCCCTGAGGAACTTTGGGTATATCTCGCTCTGTGGGGCTCTATCGTTTATGCTCCTGTGTGCAGAGTTTACGCTCGTTTCAGAAACAGGCGTTGTGTTTCTGAGTATTGCAGGGATTGTCAAGGAGCTCATTATTATTTCGTATGCAATAATAACAAAGGATATCGCTTTGAGTAACCTGAACTATGTTGGGCTGACCATAAGCATTGCAGGAATACTAATATACAATTTCAGCAGGAAGCCTCTTTCTCCACACTAGAACATCCCGATAGACGTATTGTGTTTACTAATAAAGTTTTGTGCAGAGTCTTCCCAGGATTTAAAGCAAGTCTAGTGCTTAAAAAACACGCGGCATAAGGACCCATGGATGCCGAGTCCAAAAACAGGAAGCTGAGGGAGGCTGAGAGACTGAGAACAAGGGGAGCATTTCCATTTAGTCTGTTTTCGTCTCCCGACTATGATGCCTCAGCAGAGATATTTATGGAGCTTGGCAACATGGAGGAGCAGATGTCTGAGAAGGTGATGTTCTACGAGGAGGCGGCAAGGACTTATGAGATGGGAGAGGGAGAGTATGGTAGGTACCAGGCGTCGCAGGTCTATGAAAAGATAGCACAGGTGTGTGAGGACGAATACCCTGAAAAGTCGGTTGATGCATACAGAAAGGCGGGGATGTACTCCAAGCAATGCGGACGGGAGAGTTTGGCGGCAATGAACTTCCAAAGAGCGGCAGAGATACTGAAGAGGGAGGGGGATCTTGTCAGATGTTTGGAGTACCTGCAAAAGGTTGCAGAATGCTACTGTGGAAGCAACTGGAAGCACCACAAGAGAAAGGCAATGAGGGACATTGCGTCCGTGTACATAGAGCTTGGGAGGTATGGATCAGCGGCTAAGATATTCCTGGGGTTTGACGAAAATATATACACCTTCTGTGCCTTTCTTTGCCATGTCATAGAGGGGTCGCCTTCAGACCTTGATGTCAGTGGAGATGAGAAAGAAGTGTGTGATGCACTTGGGGGAGACCTGGGTGCAGCACGTAAAAGCATAGAAGAATACATTACAACACATGCAATGGTTGGAGAGGTCAGGAAACTGCTCGAGATTGTCAAGGAAAGGCTTCGGCCTGAGAACGACATTCTGTGATGGATGGTATGCGTTGCATTTGATTAAAGGCTAACTGTATGTGCTAGAGGGTTTCTGGTGCTGATCTGCTCAAGATGTCGGGGCCCTGTCTCTTACTAAATTTTTATAAGCCATTTCTCTACCCCCTGATTACAATGGTAACCGAGAAGAGCAAAAAACCAAGAAGCAAAACGGCAGTAAAAAGGCGCAAGGACCCCAATGCACCAAAGAAGCCGATGTCGGGGTACTTTATTTTTGGGCAAGAGCAAAGGAAGAAGAACGAGGAGCTGAGTAGGTTGCCCGTGGCAGACCAAGGAAGAGCGATTTCCGAGATGTGGAAGAAGCTGTCTGATGAAGAAAGGGAGGAATACAACAAGATTTCAAACAGGGAGCGCGAGCTATACCAGGCAAGGATTGAGGAGTATAAGAAGAGTGACGAGTATCACAACCACCTTGAGAAGGTTGCTGCTGATGAGGCGGCGGCAGGAAAGAAGAAGAAGGGAATCAAGAAGGTGACTGGATACAACGAGTTTTTCAAGGCTGTCCGCAAGGCTGTTTCTGAGGAGAACCCAAGCTTCACGATGATGGAGACCACGTCTGCTGTTGCAAAGAGATGGAAGGAGCTGAGCGAGGATGAGAAAGCCGTCTACAACAAGATTGCCGAGGAAAAGAATGTGAAGGCTGGTCTGGTTGGGGGATAGGCATTAAAATGACTCTATTTACCGGCTTTATTGTATTTCTGTTCTTCTCTCGGAGTATTTTTCGGAACTGCATACCCCTTGGGATGCACAGAGATGTACTGAGGTTTCTGTGCAAGACCTCCACGAAGCAGAGGTCACCCTATTCGGTCTTCGCCAGGGAGTTCTTCCGGGAGAACAGATTCAGATATGAAAGCTACGTGCTGCTTGCAAAGGCCATGGTAGAGGAATGGGGCAAGATGCAAGCAGAAGAGAAGAGCGTGTATGTGGAGAAGTGCAACAAGGATCTCCAGACCATCGGCAAGTCTCCAGACGGTGACGAGAATAAACCGTCTGATGATTTGGATTCGATGAAGAAACTAAGAAAATATGCCCAGAGCGGGTATACACATCGCTGGGAGTATTCCGGGTATCTCTTCTTTGTAAGCGAGATCTTCGATATCTGCTGCGACATGAACGTGTCCCCGGAGGAGAATGTCCGTATGTTTGCCGAGATGTGGAACCAGCTGGATAACGAAACGCAAACCAAGTGTAGAAACAGTGCCCTGAGCCTGTGGGCTGAAAGAAACAGAGAGAGGATTGAGATGTATGGGGCGCATTCTAGAAAAAGGATAATTGTAAAAGACCCACGACCCCAGAGGGACTCGAACCCTCAGCCTTCGGCTCCGTAGGCCGACACTCTAACCATTGAGCTATGAGGCCTCCTTGTCAATGGCCTGCCGCAAAACTCTCCTCCCTGCACATCCTCAGCCTCGGAAATCAAAGGTGCTTCACAGCCTAATTCAACGGTAAAACTTATTTATTTCTTCTTTTCCTTCGCTAACTTTCTCTCCATCGCCTTTCTTTTCATTATGGAAAAGGAAAACTTCTCCCTTCTTTCTCTAACATAGTCGTCCTTTGCCACCCCAAATGCAGACAAGTGAATCCTGGAGTCCTTCCGAGCATATGGGATGAACGTTTGGTCTCTATACTCTTTGTTCTCAGGCTTTTCCTTTTCTCTTTCTGGTAGGGCCTTCTTGCTGTTCATCTCGTTCAGTCGGTCCAGAAGTGTCTCCCTGCGCTCGAACATAGAGTGTGTCTTAAACATCTTTATCTTGTCCTTGTATTCTGCTGGAACACTGACCTTTCTTCTGAACTCAAGGCATTTCTGGTGCCCCTTGCTTGCAATCGACTTCAGGTGCTCAAATTCCCTAAAATCATAGGTATCCAAATACTCCTGTGGAATCGTTCCAATCTCCACATCAGGAAGATATGTTTCTTGGATGTTGAAAAAGTGGAAGACGTCTGTATACGTAACGAAGCTGTACTGGACCCCCATTCCTCGGACACGCCCAACCCGGTGGAGAAATGTTCTCTCGTCACATAGGTCGTAATTCACAACGGTGTCGAGATACGGAATGTCAAGCCCCCGCGCTGCAACGTCGGTTACAACAAGAATGCTGAATTTCGAGGTATTGAAGTCTCTGAAGTTAGCTCTTCTTGCTTCATCGTCCATTGAGGAATAGATTCCTCGCGACTCAAAGTTGTTTTTGTTGAGGATCTCCAGAAGAAGCTCGACGGCGTACTTTGTTGCCGCGAATACAATTGTCTTTCTTGTCTTGTCTAGAATCCGAAGCAACGCCGCTTCCTTGCTCTCGCTTGGAATGTAGAAGAAAAAATGCTTAACCGTCTCGTTGATTCTTGTCTCAATTTCAACCACCTTCATGTTCAGTGGATGGTCTGGAAGTGTTGCGCTGAAAAACACCTTCTGGCAGGACAGCGACTCGTTTATTCGGTCAAACACCGATTTCAGGCTTGGCTCTTCAAGGATCCTGTCTATTTCATCCACTACCAGCATGTCTGCTGACATGCCTTCGATCTTTCCCGGGGTGCAGATCTCAATCAGCTTCCATGCCTCTTCTATCCCTCTTGCCAGCCTTTTCAGCACTCTCCGAGCCTGGATCACCAGCTCCTTGGTGGGGACAATGACCAGTGTTTTTTCCCCCGAGATAGCTCGCTGTATGGCAGGAATGAGGTAGCATAGTGTCTTCCCACTTCCTGTCCTTCCGACACCCATCAAACTCCTCCTCTCCAGAATCAGGGGAATGGTTTTTCTTTGGATTGGCGTTGGGCCCTCATAGAGGATGTTTCGGAGCAGCCTGTAGTCCAGGCCCATAGTCTTGAACGATCCTCCCTTGATCTTGCCGCTCTTTTCCATGGGGGAAGTGGAGCGTAAATAAAAATGCCTCTAGTAGGCCCCGAATGGTCAACTGTGAGACGTGCGGCGCCACGCTGGAGATCATCGAGAACGAGTATATTTGCTCCGAGGGCCACATCATAAAAAACAGGGTAGAAGTGTCAACGGAAGAAGCCTCTGTCCCTGTTGGCGGTGCTCCTAATAAGCTAAAGATCCAGACGTCCTTTACCACCAAGTACGGTGAAGACTACGTCGATCTACTGATTTTCCACGCACTGTTTAACGACATCAGGAACTACCTGGGCATCAAATCCACCAAATACTTCGACATCTTCACTAACTTCATAAAAGAAGGGCCTGGACAGACTCTCGAGAAGTCCTTGTTGATACTCCCTGCGCTTGGAGCGCTGACATACTATTCAAAAAGGGTGGAGATGGAGGCCGAAGGCAGGCCCTATCTATACCTGGACTATTACCGATCTATGATGTCGTATCCGTACCAGGAAAGAAGAAAGGCGAAGTTCGAGGCCCTTGGGATAAATACAAAGAGACCTCTGGTTGCTCCCTTCTGTTTGTCAGGGTTCAGCTTGGTCCCTGTTTCCAGCGTGCTCAAATATCTTGGCGAAAGCGGAATTGTCCTTCAAAAAAACCGCTTCGGAATGCGGCTCACAACATTCTACGATGAGACCGGAGTCCTTGACGAGGAGGTCGAGAATAACAAAGCCTGCTTCCGGCAGGATCTCAGAAGAGACTACCAGATGTTCTTCTGTTACCTCCAAAGAATCTGCGATATCTTTCTGCTGGAGATCACAGAGCATCTCGAGAAGAAGTTCAGGGCATACTTTTATGTACTTGACCTCACCCAGTCCATTCACATTCCAGAAATAGATATATCTCTTTTCCTTTATATCTATATAATGAACTACAAGAAAGACTTTGATGTACAGAAGGCAATGGCAAACCTTGAGAACTCCGGGATCAAGTTCCATTTTTCTCCCCCTGAGGAGCCCGTGTCCACAGAGCCCAAGACCACTTCTTATTCGAAAGAAGATCTTGAGTCATATCTCAGGATTCTGATCTCAAAAATCACATGGGTCTGCAGCTACAATCTAAAGACTAAGGTTGGCCGCTTAAAGACCTTACTCTCCTGCAGCAAGACTGCAAACATGCTAAACAGCTACTGGAAAAGACAGAATGACAAACACAAGTTAGTTTTCGTCCGCAACGTCTGGTACATAAAAAAGCTAATGTTTTTGAAGAGAATGAAAGACATGAAAAATTCATCCAATGCAATCTCCAACAGCACATCAGATTAGACTCTTCCTTTATTCAGTACGGAATTTCCGATCACTTCTCTCAGCGCCATCGTGGCATAGCATGAACTGTTCAAGGTAAACCTGACCACGGTCCTGTCATTAAACTCGTCTACAGTGACGTCATAAGCCCTCTCTACCATCCTTCTATATCCTCCCTTTAGCATTTTGTTGTCCAGCTTCTCTAGTCCCAGGACCACGTCGAATATGCTGAACTCCTCAGGATGCTTCACAACCTTGATCTCCCCATTCACACAGACTGTATCCCCCTCAATAACCCTTGCTCCGTGCTCCATCCGGGCATTGATTGCTTCGTTGAACTTTAGGCCCTGGTATGAGTGTAGATATAGCATTCGGAGTTCTCTGCGTAATCCATAAACTATGTCCTTTTCCTTCATCCCTTTGGACTTGCATTTCAGAACATACTTCTCCGTGCTGTCCCCAAGACCCAGGGCCTCCTCATATCTTCCGGCCACATAAAGCTCATAGCACTTCCCTCCCCTCATAATCTTGTCGATGGCTTCTTCATATTTCCTTGTCAAAATGTCGTATCCTATCTCATGGTTCCTTAGCTTGTTTCCAAATCGCTGTTGTCCGAAGTAATTCAGAAATCCTTTTTCCAGGTTCCTTACCAACTCCCTATCTCTAAATCCCTTCAGCACTATGCTGAACCTGTTTCCCCTCAAGTCTCCTAGCTTCTTTGCAGAAGACTTCTTGATGTCAAAGATCTTTATTGAAGACTTCACCTTATCCCATCTACTCAGCTCACTGCACTCAATTTCGCCAACTCTCTCTTTGGCCTCTTCTCCATCATCCTCAAGCTCTTTCTTCCATTCCTTCGGGTCCACTCCTGTTGTTGCAAGAATCTCTTCTTCAATTTTTCTGTTGAAGTCTTCGATATCTTTCTTCCCATATCCTTCTGCAATGAAGTTCTCCCATTCAAAGGCATCGGTCTCCCTGCTTAACTCCACAGCAAGTCTGTAAAGCCTCATAAACGAGCACTTAACCGTAACCTCCTGGAACGTAACAGCCCTTTTGTCCTTATTGCCTGCAAATTGGAACGAGCTCTCTGGGACTCCAAGTCTCCTGCAGATCCACTTCCCTGCATCAATCGTGTTGAACATCACTTTCTGCAGAACGAAGCAGTACACGTCCACGTCCGTCTGCTCAAGGCAGATCCTTCCATCAACGGTCTTTGCTTTTACAAACGGGTAGTACTTCAACTTCCTATGTATTGCAGTGCGGTGCTCTTTCTCTTCATTGCCCAGGCCCTCAACAGATCCTAATGCCTCCTTCCCATCAAGAAACTTCCCGTGGTCAACAATGGGAAGTATCCCGCATACTCTGGAGGGCGTTACTTCCTGAACTATAAAATCAAGCGCCTCTTGCTTCAGTATGCACTCCGCATCCTCGATGTGCCCGTTAAAAAATTTCCTGACTCCTATAGTCTCAAAGTCACGCATCCCACAAGGGACATTAAATACAGCCCAAAAGAGGAAAGATACCGGCTCTAGAACTTTAATCAGACTTATCTCCTTCTCTTTCTGTATTCTCTCATTTCCTCGGCTTTTCTACGAAGCTCCTCTCTCTTCTTCTCCTGCTCCTCCTTCCTTTCATTATACATCCTTTCAAGCCTTTGGTCAGACGTGCCGAGCTCCTTTGCCTCTTCTAGGCGGTTCTGCTCAACCAAAAGCTCAAACATCTTCTCCCTGGCACCAGGTATTCCGGCATCCATGCACAGTCTATATCCGTCGACCTCGTCAACAATCTCACAAAGCCTTCCAAGCATCTCACGCGAATATTTCATCGAGGATGTCTTCGAAAAGACATCCATCGCCTCTCTATACCTTCCACAAAGCACCAAGCAGTTTCCGAGATTCACATATCCCCCAACCCAGTCGGTCGCCACACTGCTGAACACATCGATGGCCTCCTCCGTCCTTCCTCTCAATGCAAGGCATATCCCGATTCCATTCCCGCAGTAGTAGGACCTCAGTCCCCTTGCAAATGCCTTTGTAGCTTTCCCTAATGCAGAGACGTCCCTGTCCTTATAAAAGCTCCGGATGTATATGTTCCCAAGCCCAATGCTGCTGTACAACGTATCCAACTTCTGGAATATCTTCTTCGCCAGCTTAAACTCCTTTCTCTTCATGTGGTAAAATCCTACTAGCTCAAGCTCGTTGGGAATCGAGGATATTCCTTCCCCTCCCACAGATAGAAGTAGCTTTGCCTCTTTCAATGACAGCTCCATTAGCAATCCTCTGTCCTCCGTCACATATCCAAGGTTGTACTTTATCACCTCCTTATATTCCTCGGGACACTCACTCAATGCTCTTACCAGGTACTTCTTCCCCTCTTCTACCTTATCTATGCCATCCGAGGAGTCCTGATGCTCTCTGTCAATCCCAATCGACCCAATTAGAAACCTATCGCTTCCCTCCGCCCTTTCCTCAACCTTTTCAAAAGGTCTCATGTGTCTGCACAAGGAGTATCCGATGTTATTCATAACCACAAAGTTCTCAATCCACGGGTTTCCTACCAATCTCATGTATTTCCTCATCAGTCCGTCCGTCCTTCGAAGCCCTTCGCCAACTACAACAGAGACCAAGTCCCGAAACTCAGAGCTACATCCCTCCAGACTCACATCCTTCATCTTGTTCTTCAGCTGGAGATAGACCTTGAAATCGCAGAACTCGCTACATCGGTAATCGACATCTCTCATCTTGTCCTGCACTATTCTTTGAAGATTGTATTCGCTCTTGAAAAAGTCTCGGTCACATCCAAGGCTCTCCATGTAATATTTCTTTGCCTCTTCCAGATTCCCTCTCTTGTGCTCCATCTTTCCCTTTAGGTAAAACATCTCTGCACTCTTTTCCATTCCTTCCATCACCTCGCATGCCCTGGGATAGTCCTCCTTCTCCACAAGTTCCGATGCCACCCTCATCTTTACGTCCGGGTTCTCCCCATTCTCGTACTCTTCTCCAAGTCCAAGCCCAAACAGAAGGTCTTTCTTGTCTGCCTCCCTGAACAGCTTTGCAACCTCAGAAAGCGCGTCACTTCTCCTGGCATCCTTCAGAAGACAATATCCTCTCAAAACACCGTTGTCGGACTTCTTGGCCTCGGAGATATTCCCAAGATAGTAGTTGCAGATCTGGACCCCCAGAGAAAATCTTGCCTTTCCAAAAAGAAACAGTGCCCCATCGTAGCTTTTTTTCCTCAACGAGACGAATCCCTTGAGAGTATCAAGTATAGGAGACTCAAGAAGTCCCATCCTCTGCACAACATCGATCCCGTCCAGTCCTGCTTGGAGTTTACATGCAAGCAGAAGCAACAGTGTGCTGTGGTCCCCACCATCGTCTCCCTCCAGCTGCTCAAGTATCTTCATGGCAAGCTCCGGATGCCCTCTATACCCATAGGCTATTTTGTGCTGTGTGGACCGAGGGGTCTTGCCATCCTTCAAAAGCCCCAACAGCTCGTCAAACTCCGAGCCTAAAGGAAGATTCTCGCTATCAAGGTGAATGGCTTCCCCACCTCGGCCAGAGATTTCAATAATCATTTTAGGGGCAGTCCAAAATCCCTTGTGTTAATGGTTGCCAGAGCTGCGATCCTTCTGAAGGAGCCTGTCAAGAAAGCTCAATCCGTCTTTCACAAACTCCTTGCCCTCAGCAATAACTTCCCTGTAGTCGCTGCATAGCTCAGCATCCGCCTCCTCAGAATCCATAAGCCTGGTAATTCTTTTTCTACAGTCGTCGATCTCTCTTTTCAGCTCCTCCATCTTGTCGTGGACATCACTCGATCCAGCATCCCTCTGGATGACTCCTATTGACGTGAAGTAGAGAAACAGGAGATGGTTGATTTCGTTCTGCAGGTCAGTTATCTTCATCCGGGGCCTTGGGATGCCAAGTGCCTTCCCCACAGTTAAATCCTTACAAAATTTTGCCCTGAAAATGGTAAGTGTGCTTAGTCTTACTAACTTCTAGAGAACGGTAAGGCTGGGAAGAATCGTGACGCCTGCACTGAAAGAAAGAAGGCACACATACGCTATAATTGTTGGCATCATCGATGTGACGTTTGTGCTGCTTCAGAGAAAGGATGGCGAGCGAGAGATATGCTCTGTCGCGAATCTCCATCTCGAGGACGAGGCATTCGACATCAAGGGCCTCAGTGCGGAGGAAATAGGAAAGCTCATCCCAGAAGACACCTATATTGAGGATACGACCAACGACTTCGACAGGTTCAAGCTGAAGCTCAGGAAGAGAGTAGAGGAAGAGCTTCTAAAAGAGAAAGGGCTGGCATGATTAAACACCTTCATTTCTATCGGAGCGCTCTTGAGTCTAGCAGCAGCCTTCACCCATTGCCGTTTTCTTTGAAACATCTATTTTTGACAAAGGATAAAAGCGCTCCAATGTTTCTTTTTCTGTTGGAAAAGTCTCTGAAAACAAATGGAAAAGCATTCTGGCTCTTTCCAAACACCTCGGCGCTGGATTCCCTGTTAAGTGCATTCAAGACAGCCTGTAGCACCACATGTGCATCCTGTGAGCTGGGGATTGGATGCATTTCCTTGCCGTGTCCTATATTTAGAAGGGCGTTCCACTCCTCATGGATGTTGGTCTTTACCAGCCTAAAGACTGCGTAGATGGAGCCCTTAAATGCAGCACAGGTGAATTCCAAAGCATCGGTAGGAAATACATACACATGCGGAATGGCCAGTTCTTTGATCTTCTCCAGCTCTAGGAGCATGTAGACTCTCCTTTCGTCTTCAACCATGGGAACCCATAAACAAAACAACTATTTTGTCGATGTACTCAGATCTGCACCGGAAAAAGGGGCTTTTCGGCGACCCACACATTGCTGGTTGCAAACGGAGTCTCAGGATCCTATTTGTAGAAAATGAAACAGAAAGCTTAAAACATTTAAAAGCAATGTTGGATGGAGAAAAGAGATAGCATGGAAGACGACCAGAGCAGCAGGCCAATAGAAATTCCATCGAGAGGAAGGCCTCGGAAACGGGATGTGGAGTCTTTTCTACATATCAATCAAGCCCGAGGTGACCTTGGAGGCAAAAACAACTATGGGCAGCACCAATTTGTGAACCAAGCAGAGCATCTGTCTCTAAGCGAGCTTCAGCGTCTGCAGGACCCTGGATCTAACGAGTATATTCAAGACAATAGAGCCAACGACTCTGCCGATAGCATAACCAATCTTCTTGGATTTAACAGGCCGTTTTCCAGGACAGGAGGCTTTTCCCCCAATGAGGGATATGCTGACGGCGCGTATACGAATAATGGCCGAAAGATGGCAGGTATGGAACCTTGCGGTCCCGGTGATCCAAACGGTGCAGAAAAGGGCACTGCAGATCGTCTGAGTGATAACAGCGCATACAATGGCGGAAGAAGTGGAGACGAGCAGAGCATTCCAGACCTTGCATCCTTTCTCCAGGAGTTCAAGGGTGAGACCAAGGGACCCCAGGAAGGCGATCCTATGGAAATAGGTAGACAGCCGCTTCGAGAGGACGTGTTCAACAATCCCACATCCTTTGGGAGCCAGAGCTCTCCCTGGCATTTTCAGCACGATCTGTCCAGGAGCAAAGGAGAGTATGGAAGACATGAACCCTTCCGGAGAGGTGTATTGGAAAGAAAGCCGCATGAAGAGCCAGCGCATCCCATGTACCAAGAAGGCCAGGGCATGGAAGAATTAAACCAAAGATTTCGCAACGGACCTTTTCAAGCAAGGACAGGACAGGATCCTTACTACGAGGGATCATTTGCCAACGAACGGCATTCTTTCTATGATAGAAGACCCGGGCCTTACGGATTTAGCGAACCTCCCCGAATACATATTCCTGAGGGGTCGAGGGGCTATCCATACCTTAACGGAGTCTTCCCTGCGTCCCAGATGTTTACGGACCGTGAATTCAACCAAGACCACGCCCCTTATGTAAATAACCAAAGGCTCCTGGAAGGTGCTGATCATGATGGAAGGATGATGGCCTCCCTCTTCCCAGGAAGCCCTACTTTTAGAGCACATTTCCAGCAGAGATACATGGATGCATCTGTGCAAGGGAATGCGTGGATGAACAGGAAGAAGAGAAAAAGCAACCCTCTCCTGTGGCAATACATAAAGAGCAACCAAGGACTGCATCCAAACATTGTCCATCCGTCGAAATACTCAAGCCTGGACTTTATTCAGGGTGTGGATGACACCCAGAAGATGTATCTCGGGCCAATGAGGAAAAACTTTCCGGAAAGGAGCAACGGAAACTCGATATTCCCGCTGTTCCTCAATTCCAACAAAGGTGTAACAGACGAGTTCAAAGAGGTGGTTCAGAACTTCAGAAACTCGGTAAACGAGCTCGACTTCAATAATGTCACGGTCCAGCAGCTCAAGAGCCTGATGAAGGAGTTTGGTCTGAACCACACTGGAAAGAAGAACGAGCTTATTGAGAGGCTCCAGGACATTCTTAAAAAGATAGATGGCAAAGAGGCCCACAAACCCGAGGAGCATGTGCAGGAAAAGCCGAAGGAGGTGGATGACTTCGAGTTCTATTTCTTTTAGTTGTTGTATATTGCATAGAAACCTAAATAAAACTCTATTTAATCGATGCTGGAGCTCTCACTTCTTTTTTCCTCCAGACTTTGGAGGATTGACCTTGAAGAGGATAATGTCTCCGTCGTTGACTATGTAGGTTTTTCCTCTCTGATGATACTTCCCTGCCCTCTTCACCTCCGACTCACTGCCATAGGTCTTGAAATCTTCAAAGGACATCACCTCGGCCATTACAAAATACTTCTTGAAGTCGGAGTGAATCACGGCACCTGCGGAAGGCGCACTTATGCCCCTTCTTATTGTCCAACTCCTAACCTCGTCTTTCCCCACCGTGAAGAAGTTGATGAGGTCTAGAGATTCATATCCCTTCTTGACAAGCTTATTCAGAAATGCCTTGGACTCATGTACACTCTCATAGGTGGCGCTGAACACAATCACATCCTCAGAGTACTTCAAAACAGCTCGTAGGTGTTTGTTTGCTCGCCGCATTTCATAGTCCTTCTCGCTAATGTTCGCAAGATACACCACATTTTTCACCGTAAGCAGATTCAATGTACTAATGTATCCAACCTCCTCTTCGTTGAATGCATGCTTGTTCACCCAGTCACTTTTCAGTATTTCAAGAATCCTTCTGACCAGAGCAACCTGATCCTTCAGCTTCTTATCAGAGGGCTTACACTTCAGATCCTTCGACACCTTCTCCTCGTGTCGGAGCATGGTTTCATAGTCCTTGAGTCTTAGCTCCTCGTTGACTATTTCTATGTCCCTGATCGGATCAACCCCATCCTCAAAATGGGCCACCTCTGTGTCTTCAAAGCATCTTACAACGTGGAAGATTCCATCAACGTTCCTGATGTTGTCTAGGAAATGGTTTCCAAGCCCAACCCCGGCGCTCGCTCCCTTGACAAGTCCCGCTATGTCCGTTACGCTCAGATATGCCCTTGCAACATTCTGGGGAGAGTATTTCTTTGCCAGAAACTCAATCCTCTCGTCCTGGATCTCAACACGGCCCTCAGAAGGGTCGATCGTGCAGAACGGATAGTTCTCTGCAGGCACATTGTTTCTTGTAAGGAAGTTGAAGAGAGTCGACTTCCCTACATTCGGAAGCCCAACAATTCCCATACTCAAGTTGTTTGACTTCGAAGACCTTGCGAACATCACCTTTCTTTCAACCATCCGGGGCTAGAATTTCTGCCTATAAATTCTGCCGTTCGAGGATGTAGGGGCCAGCAGAAACCAAAAAGATCAAAACCATTACAATCCTTTATTCCGGCTTACCGCAGCATATAAAGAAAATAGACTCAAACATCCTGGAGAACCATCCTTTTCCATCTTTTTCTTCCTCGGGGTCTCGGTAGGCTACAGACCCAGGCTCACAATGTCCCCCTCCTCCCTGCTCTTTTGCAGATTCTCCATCAGTCGGCTTGACCAAAAAGCAGGCATCACCTTCGCTAGGAGGCACACAGCCAGACAGGTCGCCCTTGGACAGGTCAGAAATCTTGTAATGAGTATCGTAGGTGTAGACGTTACAGCTTATGCTGTATGGGCTCCTCTCGGCCTCGGAGGAATTACTTTCAGCGTCAACATACACCACCTCTTGCTCAGACACCGCCAGGCCCTCAGACTTTATCACTGCACTTACAATGTCTACTCCGCTTTCCTTCTCTTCATCCAGCTCCGCAAGAAGACTCTTCTTGATATCCTCAACAGAAATCTCTCCAAAGCATTCGTCATCCACTCCCTCGTCCTTGTATTTAGGCCCATGCTCGCAAAGATCCTTCCCAACACTTGTTTTACATTCCTCCACAATCTTGGAGCTCTCGCCTCCTTCAGCTCTACCCTCTATTCCAGAGGGCTCCAATCCCTTCTCCTCTCCACTGGCTATCTCGTCTCCTCCACAAACAAAACGGTTGGCATCCTTTTTCCCCAGGATCCCAGAAGACCCGGGTGCTGCCTCTCTCTTGTCAAGACTCTCTATCCTTTCCCTCACCCTGCCCTCCTGCTCGTAATCTGGCTTCAATTCCTCAAACACCCTTCTTCTATCCTTGACAAACTTTCTCTCGGGCTCCTCAGCCATTCCCTCGATCTTGCCAACCCTTATCGAAACCAACTTTCGGGACCTCTGGGCCTCTCTTCTCTTCTTGGCCTCCTCTTCCAGCAAAATCATCTTCCTAAGATTCCTTTTGAAGCTGGAGAGATTCTCATCATCCTTGCCATCAACCTCCATAATGGTCATGGGGCAAAAAATCATCTGAAATTTGAACATCCGGCCATACGCTGCTCATCGTCTCCATAGGCTTCATCAAAGAGAAATCTCAGTGCCTTACAAACCTTCCCATCTCCACAGGACATCTCCTCGTAAAATCGGTCCATACGTGTCCCGTCCCAATCCCTGCCTCTCCTTCGGCTCGAATACATTCTAGCAAACTCTTCCTCTCTCCCTCTCATCTCCCAGTCCTTCCTTGTAAATGCAGAATATATCTTGACGGGAAGATAGAAGTCGAAAAAAAACCTTCTTCTTCCCTCCAGATCCCCCCAGGTCCCGTCTCCAGGCACATTCAAGCGCATGCTGACATCGCTGTAGAGGTCGGCAATCCTACTTCCCAGGTCCTTATCTCTGATATATCTTTGGATAATCGAGAAAATGGAGCTGTACAGAGCGAAAATCGAGATTATCTCCATGGAGTTCTCGTACGAATGCTCGGCGTCCTTCAGAGACATGCCGTCGGCAACCTCCTGCGATATCTCAAAGAGCACAGCTGTGGATTCCAGTATCTCCATGTCCTCAACGCTGGGCATAATGATGGACAGCACATCTTTGAATCTACTTTTCGAGCAGGCTTTTCCTTCCAGATATGAGCTGTACCACCTCTTTACAATATCAGAGTCATGCACGCTTCTTACCTCCTCCATAAACAGGTCCTTTGCCTTTTGCATCCAGGGGCTTCCAAAGGCTGTCAAGAGTATATTTGCATTCCGATGCTTCGGCAATTGTTTGAGCTTTAAGCGTGGCTCTTGAAAATTTATCCATGGCATACAAGAGAAAGAGAAATGTGAAGGTGGACCACAGCCAAATGTATCCTGTCTACAAGCCCGGGTCCTTTGACGTGTCGTCCCTGGAGGAGTACATTCCTCCATCGCTCGACACCGGGATGGAGGCCGACGAGGAGAAGGAGCTTCATCTGAAGAAGATAATGGAAGGCGAGAAGGGAAGCATTCCGATTCCGATAATGGTCGAGGTGAACAATCCTGCAAGGCAGATGTATGGCAAGTACATTCCTAGACGCAGATATGTTGAGTGGGCTGGAGATGCTGAGAACGAGTATTTGCTGGATCACAGGGATGAGGAAGCATGCAGAGAGCTTGGGATGAGCAGGGAGGAGTTTTGCAGGTCGATGTGCATGGTTGAGAGAGAGCAGAGCCCTGCCGAAGGCGGTGAAAAGCTCACCAAGATGATATCGTCCAGAATATTGATCAGAAGCGAGAGATTCAGTCCGCTTGCCTATGTATGCTTCCGAAAGAGAATCATCAAGCCGAGCAGGAGAAGCAGGAGAAGTGAGGAACTCTCCAAGGAGAAGGTCGAAAGAATATGGAGGGAGCTTCACCTGCTTGGAGTTTTGTGTGACTTCTACTGCAAAAGAAATAGGCTGGAGAGGGCCTTGGAGAGTGTGGAGTCGGACCTGTTCAGGACCTCTTGCATACTAATGAAGAACAGCACCAGGAAGGTACGAAGAAGAATTGCAAGGAAGATGGTAAATCGGCAGCATGTTTCGCCAAAGGGAGGGGCCAATGGCACAAGTGGAGGGATTGGGGACATTGTGTTTGACAGGACAAGAATAAGGCTGCTGAGACAAAGGATCCGCGAGGCCAAGCAAAGAATACATGTGAGTGAGTATGATGCAGAAATCCAAGCCTTCAGGAGACACAACGAGATGTACAGGATGTAAATCACGGAAACAACTTGTAAGACCAAAGAATTGTTTCTCCCAGGGAAAGAGCTTTACTTGCGGTAGCCCTCCGCGACGATGAGATGTGAATGGGAGGGATGCCAGGAGGAGATTGGGGACAACGTGAGAGGCCACCTGCTTTCCCACATAGAAAAAGATGAGGAGGCCAGGTGCCTGTGGAAGGACTGCGCGAGGTATGGAGAGGCCCAGGCCAGCAAGCATGCTCTGCTTGCCCATGCACGGAGACATACTGGAGAGCGACCCTTTGAATGCCACCTGTGCGGAAAGGACTACACACGTAGTGACCCCCTCAAGAAGCACCTACTCCGCCACGAGGCTGTTGACAGCAAGAACGAGAATCTAATAAGGAAAATTGAATATCTGGGACAGCTTCTTGCGGAATACCGCAGAGAAAGTCTGAGGATCATGAATGACATCGAGTCCATAAGATACAACATCCAGGCCATGAGCAGAAAAATAGCTTATGAGACCAAAGGAAATAAATCTTCCCTATAAGCTTTATTCTACTGGCTAAGCACATACACCCTACTCATGCATCCAGTGCTATGTGGTCGATGTACGATCCCTTGATAAACAGAGAGGAGTAGTACCTGGGCTCTTGGCCATCTTGGAGGTAAGACGCCGACTCCAGGGATATGTTGAGATATGCATCTATTGCAACAGACGTTCCCCTGAACTCTGAGCTGTCGCAGATCTTCACTTTGACAGTTCTTCCTATAAAGGCTGCATATACAGACCCATCCATTGCTGATTAGGGGCATCCCCAGGCGCACAGCTATTTGCTTTGCATGCCTGCAACGATAAAAATATTTTTCTAGGAACCGCAGCAATGAGCAAAACTTACTTGAAGTCGTGGAAGGAGAAGAAAGAGAAGATGCCCAATGCGGCCCTTTCCTTCAAGCAGAGGCTGAGGATAAAGCAACAGAAGCGAGTTGAGAGAAGCGCTCTTCTCAGCAAGATTAAGATCTTGAAGACAAGGAAAAGGAACTTCCTTAGGGAGCGCCAGAAGCAGAGGGAAATGAAGAAACAGGAGAACATGGCCAAGTCCTGAGCTCAGCCCGTGGGTTGCTACTTGGAGCTAAGCACCTTTGAATAAATGCCTTGGCCTCTTTCTTATTCCAACCTCCATCGATATGGCGGGCGCCGAACATGTTTCGAGATATTTTATTACTCAAGCTCGATCCGTATGTTCTTGCTCCTGATGTCGCTTATCAGGTACTCCAGGTCGTCGCTATCCTTGCATTCTCTCTTAAGATGCAGGATCCAGTCTTTGAGTGCAGCCAAGTCCCACACAGACTTATAGTAAAGTAGGAAGACAGCATGGACCTGCAGCTCCAGCGAGCCTTTCATGGCCAGCGAGCTGTTAAAGTAGGACCCTCCACACATCAGATTTCTTATGTTAGCCTTTAGAAGCAGGTCAGTGTCGTCGTATTCACCCACCAGCCTGATAATCGAGTCTATGTTGTTGAGGGACAGAAGCGTTACCAGGCACTGCCTCAGAATCATCCTTTCCGATGGATTCGAGGACTTGGACACCATTATCCTTGTGATTTCCTCCTTAACTATCTTCTCGATTGCCTTGCTGTCCTCGGAAGTCATGTCTCCTATAAAGAAGAACAGAAGAAACTTCTCGAAGTTGCTGGCTGTGCCAAACATGTTGATGAACATGCTTGTGTCTTTCTTGCCCATGTTTATCAAAAGATTCTTCGAGGACGAGATGTTCAGGGACGAGCCCGTGGTAACCTCATAGTATCCAAGCAGATCGTCTATACCCGTGTACTGCTTCATGAGGTACTTGATTCTATCCTCCACATTGTCCCCTACAACTATCCTGCACTTGATGTATAGACAGTACTCGCCGATGCTCGAGTCATCCAGGTCGTAGTCCTTATCCGTGACATATCTTGAGTATGAGGCCTTCTTTGTATAAACAGAGTAGAGAATCAGCTTGCTAAGGATTCGGAAAACAGATCGATGGCATATATCTGGAAGAATGAATCCTCTATCGAAGCTGACATCCACATTCTCGATGTCATAGTCAACCAGGTTCTCGTATATCTGGACGGCCATGTTCTGCACACAGGGATTTTCCTTGGTGTAGGCATTGAACCAGCCCTCGTTGTTCATTACGAACTTACATGCCTCGTGGTTCTCCTTCGTCACCTCGTAGAGATATTTGAATCCTTCTTCCTCGTCCTCAGAGAGTCTTTCAAGGAAGTTTTCGTTCATAAAGAACGAGAAGTCTTCAAACAGCCTTACATATTCGAAGAACCTTGGATTGGGGGTGTTCATGATCACATTGATTATGGACACATCGCCGATGACAATGCCTGTGCCGAGCTGGAACTCCACAACTCTATTGGTGACCTTTGAGTTATTCAGCATTGCCACCCGGATGTGCTGGGACATCAACGAGAGCTGGGAAACAATGGACTCCGTGGGTGCTCCGGCTTCGGCATTTTTTTTGCCTACAAATCTTTCAATCACGTCAAAGCATCTGACAACCGTGAGTGGGTCCTCGCTTTTAAGAGCATGGATAGCAAACCTGATGCACTCGTCGTTCTCAAGAAACGTGCAGAACTTCAGAAAGCATGGCGTCATCGCAAAGCTCTTGGTCCCAAGCTCCCTTTCAAAGTCGGAGTGGACCGCTTCTTTGTTGAAGATTCCCACTCCCCTCATGAACTCGCATATCATCTCCCTGCAGTCCCCATCCCTCATGAATGAAGAGAGAATCTCGTATATGCATCCCTTGATCCTTAGCGATATCTGTCCAACAAGAGTGTTTAGGAACAGGTCGATGAGCCTCATAAAATACAGCCTTACAAACCCAAGGCCATGATCGTCAGAGGACACGAGCTTTTCAATCACCTGCATAAGATGGTAGATAAGCTTCTCGTCCTCAGGCCTGATCCTCTTGTACTCTGCCTGATTCAGGACGTTGATCATTTCCAAAGCCTTCCTCAGATCGTTGAAAAGATTTGCCCTGGACAGAACCTCGTATCCCTTCAGGTAGCTTTCCTCGTCAACCATGAGCGAGTATATAAATCCAACATATGTCTCCTCCCTTTCATCCTCCTCTATGTCGAACATCTCAAGGTCCTTCGTAGTGTTGAGCTCGTAGAAGATCTGGTAGATAACCGACCTGTCTCCCTCCTTCTTTAGCTTCTTCTTGCAGACACCTAATACTCTTTCCTTTATCTGCGGCCGGAGAGACTCCTTGAAGCTCCTCACCAGCTCCAGCAAAACAGGCCCGAGAATAAGCTCGTTGATCACACAGAGATCGTACGACTTCCAGGACGATGCAGTGAATACAACTGCAAGATTGACACTAACGCTATCGGGGATCTCCTGCTCGCTTAGATATGACTTGATCTTCTCAACATGCATTCCTTCTCCAATGCTGCACAGGATGTCCACAATCACCTCGTCAGTCCGCGCCTTTATGTCCTCAATCTCCAGGGAGCATTCTGGAGACGTCTGCGGGATCCCCCCAAACAGCACGTCACACAGCCCTATGCACACGTCACTGCAGAGCCCAACTCCGTTTCTGGAGATGAAGTCCAGCAGAACAACAACGTTGTACTTCAGTGTGAAAAGCGCCAGGACCCTGCTATCCTCAACAGAGTATGTCTTGATCCTCCCGTATTCCATGTCCTGCTGGCGCAGGGCATCCTTCATAAATCTCATGTCGCTCTCCGAGACCGCATGGATGTCCTCATATATCTTGCTTCTTATTTCCTTGAACCTTTCAATAAGCATTGGCTTGCAAGGATGCGTGCATGTAGAATTAAAATTTTTCCCGACCCTGCAATGAAGAACGCCTACAAAAAAGTCCGCGTACGCTATCCTGTCAAGAGGCCGGACGTGAAGAGAAAGCAGAGGGGCCCCAGGGCCGAGACCCAGGAGTCCCGCTTCCTTGCAGCAGCCGTTGCAGACGAGATAAGCGGCCTCTCTCCACTTGAGAAGAAGGCAATCTCGCTTCTTGAGGCCAAGAACAATAACAAGGCACAGAAGCTGCTAAGAAAGAGGCTGGGCTCGCACAAGCGCGCCGTAGCAAAGGTCGAGAAATTGGCAAGGATGCTTCTGGAAAAATAAAGTATGCCTTCAATTTTTATTTATTGGCACGGCCTAGTGGCGCAGTCCCGGGAGGCTGCCCCAGTTTTGAGAGATGAAAAATTTAATCCCCTAAATGAACTACACCTACGACCCGGCTGAAGTCCAGTACATCGTCCGTATCCACAACACCAACATCGATGGTACGAAGAGGATTCCCTTCGCTCTTACAAAGATCCGGGGGATAGGAATAAGAATCGCAACGGCTATCTGCAAGCGCCTTGGAATCGACCTGAGAAAGCGTGCAGGAGAGATGGGGGAGGATGAGATGAAGAGGATCAGTGATGCAATTCTCGACCCTGCAAGTGTTGGGATTCCCGAGTCCTACATGAACCACCAAAGAGATATCATCGACGGAACAACATCCCATCTCATAGGTACAAGGCTTGATGCGGATCTAAGGATGATGATTGAAAGGGGAAAGAAGAACAAGCGTATTAGAGCATACAGGCTTGACGTTGGGCTTAAGGTACGCGGGCAGAGGACCAAGTCAAACGGCAGGCGTGGAAGGTCTATGGGCGTTTCAAGAAAGAAGTAAAGACTTTTATTAATTCCTCTCGTCCTTCAGCCCCGGCGGGACATGATTCTCACCATGACGCACACTCAATATCCTGGAAGCTTGTCTATGCTTTCCTTATTAACCATGTTCTCGGGGATTATGTCGTATTTGAAGGTCAGCAGTTCCTTGTATGTGTTTTTTATGGTAACTTCGGTGACATTGGTAACAAACTGGATGTCCTTCTGGATCTTCTTTTCCTCAGGAAACAGGTTTGTCACCATGTATATCACTGCAGCAGCTATCGAGTCGGGGCTCTTTCCAGCAAGGCATCCTAGCTCATGTGCTGCCTTTGCTATCTCTGTGGCAATCTTCTGAATCTTGATGTTCAGATTAAGGTCGGAGCAGAATCTTGCTATGATGTTTTCTGTGGACATGGTTGCCATCCTTTCCAAGTGGGGAGATATTAGCTTGAAGCATCTTCCTATCTCTCTCTTCTGCACGGCCGTCATCACGCTTATTTCCTTGAATGTCCTGGGGCATTCCTCCTGCCTGCACGCTATGTATATGCAGGCCGCAACAATGCCCTCCACGTTCTTGCCCTTCAGGAGCTTTCTCTCTTCGATGTTCTTGAAGATGTAGTGTGCTCTATCGATGATGGTTCGTGACAGATTCGACCTTTCGCAGAATGCCGTGATGAGGTTCATTCCGTGCTTCAGAGCCCTCTCGGGCCCCCTCATGCTGTTTTTCATCTGAATCTTCGACAGCACATACGAGTTCATGCCCCCTCCAGTGCTTATCATCGTGTCCAGCTGCTCAGACTCGAGATACGGGTTACTTGCACTTCCAATACGGCATGGATCCACCTTGTTGCTGTCTCCAAACGACCTCCACTCGCTCCCCTCGTCTATGATTCTGTTTCCCACAATGCACCCACACCTTCCGCACACATGGTACCCATTCTTGTAGTCCTCGACTATGTTCTGTGTTTCTCCGCAGTCAGAGCATGTCTGCACAAACGGCTTGAACTTTGGAAGCGTCTTCATACTTGGGGTTCTGCTTCCTGCAGTATTTATTCCTCTGCAAGCTTGCCTAGAGACCTCGCGTTGCTTTGGGGAGGTTCCATCAATGAGTAAACACCAGGGCCAAAGTCTGATTTCTGCGTGATTAAGGATGAAACAGACGACTCTATAAATAGAGGAGAGGAAGTATAAACATGAAGAGGGAGCAGAGCTATGGAAGGATTCTAGTAGTGCTGGCTGCCGCATGGGTCACATACAGATGCTATGGACTGATGGTGAGGGACAGAGAGGGAAAGGTTTCTAGTGAGCTCCTCGGCGGTTCGGGCAAGTCTGAGAATCCCCGGACAGAAAAGCTGAGTAAAAAGGAGATAAGAGAGAGGCTTGGAAGGTCGACATGGACATTGTTGCATACAATGGGAGCCAGATATCCTGCATTCCCGACCTACCAGCAGAAAAAGGATACCCTGAGCTTCATTCACCTGTTGTCGTCCGTGTTTCCGTGCGGGGAGTGCACCAAGCATTTCCAAAAGCTACTGAGCGATTATCCCCCAAGGGTTGGAAGCAACGAGGAGTTCAAGACATGGCTGTGCGAGGTTCACAATGTGGTCAACAGGAGGTTGGGAAAGACGGTTGTTGATTGCAGGACTGTTGATGAGATCTGGGACTGCGGATGTGAAGCCTAGGAGACTGGACAAATAAATCCTTATTTTTAGCCAGACACTGTGGGACCCACTTCTTTCTAGAGACACAAGGCTCACAAAAGCCCAAAAAATTTGCACCCTGAAAATGTAAGTGAGACGTGCTGTTTCTAATTTGAAGGTCAAATGAGGAGAGAGTTAGGCGCCTTGCATCGGATATTCTGAACTGTGGAAAGAAGAAGCTCTGGCTGGACAACAACGAGATTGAGAGGCTCAACGGGGCAAGCACTAGGGAGCAGATCAAGCAGCTGATCAAGGACAACGTGATTATTATGAAGCAGGACAAGCACACGAGCAGGGGGCGTTGCCGGAAGCGACTGGAAGCAAAGAAGAAGGGAAGGCACATGGGTACTGGAAAGCGCTTTGGGACTGCAAATGCAAGGATGCCTCAAAAGAAGATATGGATGAAGAAGATCCGCGCAATGAGGGCCATGCTGAAGGAGATGAGGGCTAATGGAGAAATTACCAAGGAAGACTTCCGGGTGTTCTACAAGCAGGCGAAGGGGCATTTGTTCAAGCACAGATTCCACATGAAGGACTGCATAATCAAGAGGAAGGCTGATGAGCAAAGGGCCAAGGAGCTTGCTGAACAGGCAAAGGCGCTCAACCTATCCAACAGAGTGATCTCATCTTGAAATAAAAGACCTTCACCTTTTTCCTGAGAAAGGAGCTACCCGTTTTCTTCCGATTAATTAATGAGAGCGAGGCTAGCCTTATTGGTTTGAGATGGCACTTAGCCCCAGGGCATTGCAGGAGGAGATGGGTGAAGACAAAGTTACTTGCCTAAGCGAAAAGAAGATAGCTGGAGAAATCCTGACTCTGGTGTCTCTGTGCTTCATGATAGTCATGCAGTGTGGAGACATGGGGGGATTGTTGGTGAACTACACAATCAAGATCATTGTATTTGTGAACTTCTTCTACCAGGCAGGGTCTTTTGTCTGGAGGTTCTTTATCAACATCCAAGAGCGAAAGTCGCTTGTGAACGGAGTGTTTAGCGTCAAGAACATGATAGAGGTGCTGTGTCTGTGTGCCCTAGTATTGTACTTCAAGAAGGTTGTCGGTTTTCTCGAGGTCAATAAGGAGAGAGCAGATATGTGTGTGATTGCGGTTTCGATGGGATATCTGCTGTCGAAGATCCACGAGGTACTGGACTACTCCACACTGCAGTACCACTGGAGCAAAATGATATTTTCGGCTGTAATCATCCTGATGATTGGAGCAGCCGTTATCACCGATGCCAGAGACGATGGAGAAGAGGGAGTCTTTACAGAGCTTGCCTATGTGGTAAGCGTTATTTTGACGATGGTCGAGCTAGCGATCGAAGGAAGGGTCGTGGAGAAGGTTGTGTTCAGATACAGGATGTTTTCGATTACGGTGGCGTTTCTACTTCTGAGTGTGGTATCCTCTCCAGGCACATATCCTGTTGCAAAGAAGTACACCCTCATTCTTATCGGATGGGTTACTGACCGAGTAATAGAATGGATCTGGCCTCACCTTTCCAGGCTGAAGCAGAAGATTCTCAGTGCATCAAAGGAGCAGGTCCAAAGCTTTGTCAAGGAATACACGAAGAAGATGGTTCCATCCATTGTGAAAAGGACGGTGCAGGAGCATATCCCCAATCTCAAAAACGCCATTAAGGCCAAGGTCGAAGAACTTATGCCGCAGGCATTCTGGGAGCGTGTAGGCAAGCTTCCAAGCTCCTTCCGTGAATGGTGGATCAGACCTCCTAGCACTACGTCCTCTCCGACGGACGGCTCTCAACCAATAGAATTCGATTAATCATGTATATTTGGAGCGGAATATACTTTGGTACATAAACTTTTCTGGTCTTCCCATCCTTAGGGCGATGTTTGATGATGGTGAAGTGATTGATACACACAAAGTTGTCTGCAAGCCGTTTAGGGAGACTGGATATTGTGGATATGGAGACTCCTGCAAGTATTCCCACGACAGATCTGCCGAGTATGAAGAGGCCCCGGTTATTTCTGGTCCCGGGCCTCTGTGCGGGATATGCAAGAAGACATTCGAGGAGAGGGTGGTTGCAGAGTGTGGGCACAGCTTTTGTTCTCTGTGTGCAATAAGAAAGTATCAGGATGGCGATGAGTGCGGAGTATGTGGAAAGGCGATGTATGGAAGGTTCTGGGTGGTGTGATTTTCGCAACAGCTTCCAAGCAGCCCACCCCTTAATGGCTGTAGTTCTATTGGGCAGCCCCCTGGCCAAATAGGAGAACTGGATGTGGATATATTGTGGCCTCTAGAGCCTGTCAATGGAGTATGACCTTCCATTCTTGTGCCCGATATTCTCGCCCAGATACTGCCTGGCATCCACTCTGTGTCCATGCTATCTGTCTTCGATAGTCTATGCAAGGATATTCAAGAACAAAAGATTCTCTGCGTTTGGGTTCTTTCTTGTCCCGTTCAGTGTATATGGAATAAGAAGATATGTTCAGGACAAGCTCCAGTACAAGGAGAGCTTTGAGACAAGTGCGATAAAGAGCCTGTGCTGCTGCAACAGCCTAACACAGGATCTCCATGAGATGAAGATAAGGAGGATTGGTGTCTACAAGTTCCTTGAGGAGCCGGTTCCGTGCGACGACAGTGATCAAACGTTTTGAAATAAGAATAAATATTTGATTGGTCTTGGCCGCCTTATGCACCTAGGTATGCTGAAGAAAAGGATAGGAATAAGCATACTAGACTGTAATTTCGGGAATCTAGAGGAGGAGCTTGGGGAGCTGAAGAGGAATGGGGTGACCAACATCCACCTGGATGTCATGGATACAACATTTGTCAAGAACATCACCTTTGGCCCGTGCATAATCAACAGGATTCTTGAGCACGACTTTGTGTTCGATGTCCATATGATGGTCGAGTCGCCTTTAGATATTATCATGCAGATAGATCTCGAGAGGGTGTCCCTGGTGACGATCCACAGCGAGGTTTGCGATAAGGCAGGCGTTGCTGAGTATCTCAGAAAGAGGAATGTGCTGTTTGGGATTGCACTCAATCCTGAGACCCAAGTGGACGATGCCGAGATGAGGAGCGCCGACTTTGTCCTTATAATGAGCGTTAAGCCGGGATTTGGAGGGCAGAAATTTCAGGAGGAGTGCCTGGCAAAAGTGGAGGAGGTCCGGAGATATGGGAAGATGGTTGGGATTGATGGAGGAATAGAGATGAGCAACATTGGCCGGATTACTGGGGCTGACTATGCCGTGGTGGGATCCGGATATTTCAGATCTGGAGACAGAAAGAAGTTTCTGAGGGACATTACCGATGAGTTCCTCTGTGGCTCTTGCTCTGGCTGAGATTCTTTTTTATGCCTGCCCCCATCCCTCTGTATGAATGGTGGAAGCGAGATGGTCTTCGAGTGTCCGGAGAGCCTAGAGCTTATTCTTGTATGCAGTCTACTGTCCAAGAACACGGTGAAGGTGGCGGTTGGCAGGAGATACTCAATGGCGAAGTCATTTGTCAAGCTCCTCCAGGGTATATCCCACGGGTCGAGCCACTCGTGGGAGGAGGGATATGTTCTTTTTGCTCCTGGTGCGCTGAGGGGAGGAGATACTACTGTCGTGTGCTCGGATGAGATTTCGATGTACATAGAGCCTCTTCTGGTTCTCTGTCCCTTTGTGACTGAGCCCTTAAGGATAAGATTCAAGGGGATAACGAACGGGAAGCTTTGCGTTGATCTGATTAGAATTGCCCATTTCAATGTGTTGAGGAGATTTGGAATCAACGGGTGTGAGATTGTTGTAAGGAAGAGGGGGTTTGCGCCTGAGGGCAAGGGGGAGGTTCTATTCACTGTGGATAGGCCTGGAAAGGTATGTACGATTGCCCTAGAGAGCCCGGAGAAGATTCTCAAGGTCCGAGGGCTGGTGCTGAGCAGCAGGGTAAGCTCCGTTCCGGCTAAAGAAATGACCGACCGGATCAAGGAGATGCTGGGAGATATCTTGAACACAAAGGTTTTCTCGAACATGTCGAACAGGGTAGACTCTGGGCCATCTCCTGGATTCCAGTGTGCTGTTTTTGCAGAGTCCAAGAGCGGGATTTATTATTCGATCGGGAGTGGGGAGGGCCTGACGCCAAGAGAAACGGCCACGGCGGCGTGCAAGGACCTTCTTCGAAGCGTTAAGTACGGAGGGGTATTTGACAAGAAGCTTCTCTATCTTGCACTCTCTCTGATGTCGCTGTCGTCCACAAGCATAGGGAGTCTGTGGGTTGGCAGGGTTGATTCGGAGGTTCAGGGGATTCTGGATTTGCTAAAGCGGTTCTTTGGGTTTGAATATGAAGTTCGAAGTACTGGAGAAGGACATGTTGTCTATGGACCTGGATGTGGACTTACCAATGTCAACAGGCTGTTGAGATGAAAATTGGGTGGCAGCGGCAGCCCAATGGAAGAGAAGGGGTCCTTGAGCAAGAGGCTGGAGAGGCTCTACATGGACTACATAGAGATAGAGAAGATCTTGAAGAAATTGAGAGACATAAAGAAGCAGTGCTCGTACAGAAGCACTATTGCCAAGTTGAAGCCGCGGGGGAACGGGCCTATGGTTGTTGAGGCGGACGTGAGACAAGATGAGGAGTTTTCCAAAGCGACTAAGAGGTGCATGAAGTTTGATCTCTATGACCCTTTCTGGGAAGAGGTGTCGAAGAGATTTAACATCTCAAGAAACGAATGCTTCAACAGATGGATTAACAATGTGGAGGACCTCGACAGGAGATTGTCTCGGAGTGATATGGCTTGGGTCAAGCAGATGAGTGAGGAGGGGAAGGATTGGATTGAAATGTCCAAAGAGATGAAGTGCAGGCCATTCAAGGTGTTTACCGAGCACCTTCGCTTGAACACTATGTCTGCGCCGAAGATGTGGACCCTGGAGGAAGACAAGCTGCTTGAGCAAGGGGTGGAGAAGTATGGGCTTTCGAGGTGGAGGTATGTGTCGAAGATAGTTGGAACAAGGACGGGGAAGGAATGTGCCATGAGGTTCTACTTCTTGAACAAGAATGTCCAGAAGGGCAAGTGGACGGAGGACGAGAGAGAAAGGCTTATGGAGGGGGTCAGAATATACGGAGAGGGCGACTGGCGGAATGTTAGCACACATGTGATGACAAGAAATCCCATACAATGTAGGTCCAAGTACATAGGTGAGGCGAAGACCAAGAAAGAGAATAAATAGTTTGGACAGGCATATAGTTTATATTGGAGTCATCTCATCATCGAGCTGATGAAGTCGTCTATCTTTTCGTTGCTCCATGAAGCACTGCCCCTCTTGGACAGGAATCCTGTGAGCCTCTCCTTAAACTCGTAACTCAGTGTCTTTCCCTTGCTCTTAATTGCGGCCTTTCTATTGGAGAGCATTGTATCGATTCTGTTTTTGGTAAGGAGAGCATAACACTTACCCTCATCAAACACACCTCTTCTCTCGTATAGATACTTCAGATGCTCTTCTATGGAAGGGATGCTTACTGTGCCACACTTCATCGGATTCATGTATGAGTTCAGCCTGTCCATCCTGCTGATGCATTTCCTAAGAGTTGCCCGAGAGTCTTCTTCAGTGTCGAGCATCTTCTTTATCTCTGCTGTTTGCGTGGGGTTTGTGTACAGAAAGCTCACCTTGTCTATCTGGGACTCTATTTTCCTGAGTAGCTTCTTCATGGTGCTTCTACTCTGGGCTTCTTCCATGAACTCGAACGGGGAAGGCCTTGCAAAATATTTTAGATGGAGAGGAAAGTCCTGAAGATGGAGAGGCTTGGAAAGGATCTGATGGAGTGGGCGATGGGCCTGGTTGTTGCCAACTTGAGGGGGTACTGCAGAAGCCCCCTGTTGCGGTTTTCGAAGGCCAAGTCTCTGAGAAACAGAAAGAACAACTACATTCTTTGCCTTGCCGGGGAGAAGCCCGTTGGATTCATCATGTTCCGGTTCTCCAGAGATACGACGTATGTGTTTGAGCTGCATGTTGAGGAGAAGTACAGGTCATTGGGCATCGGAACCCTGCTCCTGGACGAGTGCAGGAAGCAGTATGATAGTATTGTGAGGAGGATAGTTCTGTATGTGTACAGGGAAAACATCCGGGGCCTGGGGTTCTACATGAGGAACGGGTTTGAGGTTAACAGGGAGTACAAGTGCGACACGTTCTATGAGATGGTGTTCAACAAGTAAGCCTGGGATTTCGGCGGAAAAGTAGGCTGGAAAAAATTACCCCAGTCGATGTCGGATCTTCTAACTGATGAGTTAGGACAGGCATTCCAGATAACGGATGAAGACAAAGGATGCAGGATCAAGGGGCAGCAGTGTATCCTCGCAAACATTGGGGTTGTTAGATCGATAGCAACCTTTCTTTCGACCTCCTTGGGGCCGACTGGAATGGATAAGATACTGCAGAGCAAGGACGAGGATATAGTTGTGACCAATGACGGGGCAACCATACTCAAGGAGATGGAGATGACGGAGAATCCGATTTCGAGGCTGATAGTGCAGCTGAGCGAGTCGCAGGACGAAGAGATAGGGGATGGGACGACGAGCGTTGTTGTGCTTGCGTCTGCGCTTCTTGACCAGGCACAGGCACTCCTTGGACAAGGGGTGCATCCGATCAAGATATCTGAGGGCTTTGAGGTGGGGCTGGGACACGCAGTTGAGCATCTGTCCGAGATATCCGAGGAGATATCTGATCTAAAGGAGACGATGATGAAGGCGGCGAAGACAAGTCTTGGAAGCAAGATAGTGTACAAATCTCTTGAAAGGTTTGCCGAGATATGCACGGATGCAGTACTGATGGTTGCAGATATGGAGAGGAAGGACCTCGACTTTGAGCTGATCAATATCGAAAGTAAGGTTGGAAGGGATCTATCCTCCACAGCCCTTATCAAGGGAATTGTGATCAACAAGGAGTTCAGCCATCCGCAGATGAAGAAGGAGGTCAAGGACGGAAGGATAGCGCTTTTAAGCTGCCCTTTTGAGCCTCCGAAGCTGAAGACCAAGCACAGCCTTGTGATTTCGAATCCCAAGGAGTACAAGGAGCTGGAGGAGTATGAGAAGAAGAAGTTTGCAGAGATGATAGAAAGCATCAAGAGGAGCGGATCTAACATTGTGATGTGCCAGTGGGGGTTTGATGACGAGGCCAACTCTCTTCTTATGGAGAATGGCCTTCCTGCAGTCCGGTGGGTTGGAGGCCATGAGCTTGAGCTCCTGGCGGTTCACACGGGGGGATCGATAGTGGCGAGATTTGAGGATCTGGAGGAGTCTGATCTTGGGAAAGCAAGAGTCCGAGAGGAAAGTCTCGGGACTGAGAATGACAAGATCATTGTGGTTGAGAACGAGGGATGCAGTAAGGCTGTTACGATCCTTGTCCGAGGGGCAAATGACCTGGTTATTGAGGAAGCGAAGAGATCGATCCGGGATGCCCTTTGTGCTGTTCGGAACATTCTCACGAACAGCAGGATAGTGTATGGGGGAGGATCTTCCGAGATGTCGTGCTCTCTTGCCCTAGAAAGAATTGCTACGGGGTACTCTGGGGAGGAGCGGGAAGCCATACTTGGGTTTGGAAGGGCCCTGGAGGAGATTCCGCTTTGCTTAGCGAGAAACAGCGGTCACGATCCGATTGGATATTCGTCTGACCTTCGGAAGCTGCAAATGGAGAGCAAGAACTTCCATCTTGGGGTTGACTGCCTGGGGGATGGAGAGCAGGACATGAAGAAGCTGGGTGTCTTTGATGCTCTGAGCAGCAAGATCAGGCAGTTCCAGATGGCAACGCAGCTTGTCACGATGGTTCTTAAGATCGACAACGTTGTCTCTGATTTCCACGATTAAAGGTTATTTTCTGTTGCTCATGGAGAGGAGGAGTCAAAGGCAGCTTCCTCCTATTTAGATTTCGTTATTATCACGACCCATTTGCCCTATGGAGGAAATCAAGAGGTACGTGGAAGATAGGCTTGGACAGCACAAGATAAAGATTGACGTGAGTTCTGTGGTTGAGGAGCTTGTCCTGTCGAACAAGATAAACGAGTTCATGCCTCCAAGCTCGATATACAGTGTGGTTCTGATGCATCTTGGAAAGCATGACGAGATGTACAAATGCATTCTTAGCGGCGAGTATCTGTTCGACATCGAGGTAGGACTGAACGACAGGGAGTCCCTGTACAGTAGCAGTGAGCTCAAGGAGGCAGTGGCGAGAGTTTTTGGACCTCGAGTGAGGTATGTCTATGTCAGTACCTCTGGACACCGGCATTTTATCGGGATCAAGCTCAGCAGCAAGGGATATGATCCCGTGGCAAGCCACAATGGCCCTGAGAGCACGATTCCGTACTTCCTGCTGGTTGATGGGCTAAAGACATTCAAGGCAGGTGACTTTGAGTGGAATGAGATAGTGTTTGGATTCAAGACAACGGGGGATGAGCATTCGAAATATGTTGAGGTTCTTGAGCATGTCAAGAGGATCAGGCTTCCTGTGCAAATAATCGACGACGACGCAATGCATATAGGTACTTCTGTGACGAATGTCCACGAATGTTATCTGCACTGCAGGTCTCAGGAGAACTGGCCGGAGGATCAGGATGCCCTCGACTGTGCGAAGACGGCCCTGTACTGCCTGATATACAAGAAAAGCAAGCACAGAAGCGCGATTGGATACAACTATGTTCTCCTGAAGTACAGAGGCTCGTATTTCAAGTTCCAGATCATGATAAGGAGAGACAGAAATGCCGAGTTTAGGATCAACAGCCGAATATCGGAAGTTGTTGGCCAGCAGTCGGACATGTTCAAGAAGAACACGGTGTCTGTCAAAAGATTTCTGGACAGCCATGGATATCTTCCTGTATACTTCGATGACAGGCTTGTGGAGCTGATTTGCCTGATGGTGGGGAGAGGGATAAACTCGTTTGGGAGATTTTTTAACGAGTTTCTAAGGTACCAGATTCGGCTTGAGGGCTGCTCATTTAATCTAGAGACGCTGAAGGTCTCAGAAAACAAGAACAGAAGATTTGAGGTGGTGTACCAGCATGACATAGTGGTGATAAGAATGCCGCCCCAGAAGATAGTCCAGCGACTGAATGCCCTAAAGAAGGCTGTATTGGCACAAAAACTTGCCCTATTTGACGAAAAGTTCCGGTTGCAGACGCACAAGTTGCTGCAGCCATCCTTCAAGGACTATGACTTTGTCCTGAGTCTTTCCTACAGGCCAGGCTTTGTTGAGGTTGAGGACAAGACAGACCCTCCATTTCTGTTTGGAGTACCCTCTGTTGAAGAGTTTCTTGTGCCTAGTCTGAGGAGTAAAGGATACTTCTTCTATTCTCCAAGGCATTCGGTTCTCATGGTCAAGGTCCACGAGGAGTTTGACCCGGAAGAGTTGCTTTATGTCTTGATACTAAAGACCGGGTTTAGATACTTTCTCAGAAACTTCTGAAGCTCCTAAATAAAATGCATTGATATATTTTCTTCCAAAAGTTTCCGCTGGATGAACAGGAGGCATGGATCGTTCACGTACAGAAACGAGGGTAGTGTCCAGGCCTTTGGGTCAAAGGAAAACACTCTTCTTGTTGCGACGCCAGGTAAGCTGGTCGAGTGGGATAGAACAAGAAGGAGGGTTGCTAAAGAGGTGCCTGTGGACATGGAAGTGACGGATGTTAAGGACTTTAATGGGCACTGGGTTCTGCTGTCAAAAAGCAGTGTTGGGCTTCTTTCTGGAAGCAAGGTAGAGGAAGTTACTACAAAAGGGCCTCTGGATGCTTCTGTTGTATACAGGGATCGGTTTCTGCTTGTGGGCGACAAAGAGATCACAGTCATCGCCGCCATGGAGGAGAGTGTTGAGGTCAGAAGGACAAGGCTGGCATCTGACAATGGGGTGTGCACATGCGGAGTGGCTGCCACGAACAAGCTATTTCTGTCATTTGAGAACGGAAAGGTGTTCGTTGTCGAAGAGCCAAAGGTAACAGAGATTCTGGCAGGGAGGGCTAGTGAGATGAGAATGGATGAGTTTCAGTGCCTGATATTCCTGAAAGAGCCCATAGTCTCGATCAATCTCCTTGGGGATGTGCTGGTGGTATCGCTGTTCAACAAAAAGGTTCTTGCACTGAGTCTGGAAACTAAGGAGGCCTCGTTCACCGAGTTGCTCTACGATATCAAGGCCTCCGCCACATGGAACAACCTGATTGTTGTCTGCGACAGCAGAAACAACGTTATATTTCTCACACAGGGCCTCGAAGTTACTTACGGCAACTGCCTTAAGGAGGAGATATGCAATATATTGACTGACGGCCCAAGACTGATCATAGGATTCAAGGTGGGCGTCGTGAAGGAATACGAAGGGGATGATGGAGCTTGGGCTGAGTTGGCTTGTGGAGTGCCCAGGTGAGACTCTCTCTGCACCTCGTTGCAGCTATCAATATAAATTTGCCCGTTTGGGGTGATTGGCCCGCATCCTTAATTAATGGGCATTGTGTCAATGCAGCCTAGTCCAGAAGATGGAATACAAGCCTGTACCTGACTATGCAATTGAGAAGCGATTAAATTTTAATTTCCCAAAATTGCAATTGACACAAAATTATCTGTCAAGGCGGGTGGGAATAAAAACAGCCAGAAATAAGGATCCCCATGTTGAGAAGTAGCATCGTACTTGTATTCGAGTTGGTGGTCTACGCCATAAAGATGCATGCACTGATGTTTGTGTACACGGCGAGGCTGGCAGTTAACCCGATATGGGTGCTTGGATCTGCGTTCTGTGGCTTCAAGACCGGGATCATTGATGGGATGAGGTGCATGCTTATTCTCAGGGACCATGGAGGAGAGTCCCGGAAGGCTGAGAAATCAAAACAGCCCAAAAATGCAGAGGACACATTCCAAGGAGAGTTTTGCTATAAGAAGTATGCCTCCCAGAGCATCCACAAGAAGTTCCTGAAGGGCAACCTTGTTATAGTCATAACCGACATTACCGACAGCACAAACCTTTGGTGCTGCTTTCCTGATGCAATGTACAGGACCATTGAGGTGTATGATGAAATTGCTAGGAGGTTATGTAAGGCCCATGGAGGTCTCGAAGTAAGGAACGAAGGAGACTCTTTTTTTCTTGTATTCACAGATGCTCGAAATGCGCTTGATTTCTCTGTAGAGTTCTATGGGGAGATCAAGCGCATTTCTTTTGGTTTTGGAGAGGCAGCCTGCTCTGGGGAGTGGGAAAACAATAAGGAATCCCGCCTCATCCCTCTGAAGGTCCGGATAGCCGTGAACGAAGGCCCGGTGGTACTGCGCCATGACGAATCCCTTGAGGTTTATGGGGATGTTGTGACCAGAGCCTTTAGGATGCTGGATCACTCGAATGGGAAGATCTGTGCTCCTCAGAGCTGTCTAAGTGGCTATTCATCTCCCAAGAAGGGATTTCCGTTTTGTATTCACAAATAAACCTGTAAGTATATGAAACGTTATACTCTCTTTTTAATCCACAGCCTTCATCTTAGAAATCTCATTGAGGAAGAGAGAAAGACGGAGAAAAGAAGGAAGACAGGTCTTGTGCCAAAAAGAGACACGAGGCTCAATGCCATCCAGATCCTAAGAACCTCCGTAAGTGCCTGCCCGAGATTGAGTGTGGTTTCGATCAGAACGGCACAAAGATGCATCATACATATGAAGAAGTCATCTTCTCTTGTTACAAGTCCTTTTCCATACTTCCTCCATGAAATGTGGTTCAGCACAAGCACCATGGGAAGCAGGAACGAGGACAGCATTGTAAGGACATTAAAGAGGATATCATGCTTCACCTGGCGGGTCTTGCCGTTTTGGAGAGGGAGCAGAGCATATCTTCTTACCAGAGCCCACCGTCGCCTGAAGCCCTTTATAAGTCTTCTATGGTGCTCAAGAATCCTTTTCCAGAAGCTCTTCTGGGGAAAGTTTGCAACCGTCTCTGCAGGCCTTCCATCAGAAAAGTTCTTCTTGAAGAAATCATGATTTCTGTTATCACTGATGTAGAATAGCCTCGACCTGTTATCACTGTACAGAGACCCGTTTACGGCCTTTTCCATATTGTCTTCGCCGTCTTCTTCAGGCTTCCGGAGACTTCTGACACATAGGTCCATTGCTGTCTTATAGTGTCTGAATCTTACCAGCGAGCTTCTACTGACAACAGGGCCGCTTCCAATTATCTGCCAGATGTCTTCTTCATTGGCATCGTTGTCTTCCTGCACAAATCCAAGGACTTTCCTGAATTTGTCTTCTGTATCCTCGCTCCCGACCCTCAGGCACATACTGCTTCCAAGCTCCACAATCTTCACAAGATCTCCATGGCCTATGTATCTGTCCTGCTCCCCAACATTTCCGTTGGAATCGCTTGGATGGATCTTGATTACCATCCACATGGAGTCCTCGGTCTTCTCGCTTGAGCACGAAGGAATCCCTGCTCTCATGTTTAAATACGTGTTGTGCTTCTGGTTTAGAATGGTGATTATGCTTCTGTCCATGAGATACTTGTCGGCCGACTCCTGGATGCTGTCTTTCAATGCAGCCTGGAACTCTATAGAGAATCCTCTGGCATCGGCAGTGTGCTGGTGCTGTATGGAGTAATGCACAAGGAAGGACAGGGCATACACGGAGGCAGGGACAAGCACAAATGCGACAACCCCCTTGGCAGCCCTCAGGGCACCCTTGCACACTTTGTTGCTTGGATCCACAATGAACGTAAACAGGCTGATTCCATGGAACACGGCAAGAGGAGGCAGGACAGATAAGGAGACCCAGCTGGATGCCACGGAAAGGCCGAGTAGAGCGCCAGAGATAGCATTGCGTCTCTTCTTGAGCTGAACAATAGCGCTGGCAAGGAAGCATATTGAGAACATCTCGTTTGTAAGGAACATGATCTGGGTGTTGATCAACAGGCCTATTGTATGGACTGCCACCACTATCCGCGATACCATTCTGTTGTATGTCTCCTGTGCCAGCCAGGATATTTGTAGCATGGTTACGACGAAGAGGGTAAAGCTAACCAGCCTGGGATTTTCGGCAGCAAGAGAGAGCAGAGGAATGTTCAGAGCTGCAAAGAGACGGCACAGTCCATGGCATATCAGGCCCGGCAGCGGAAGGTGTCTGTGAAAGCAGAACTTCCTATCTCCATATGACATGAGATTCCGTGCGAATTCAGCCTCATCTTTTGTTATAGGTACCTTTCTATCGAATAAGAGGAAAGACAGAACCACTACAAGCACGACTTCGACCATCTGGCTTGAACGGGATCCCCCGATCTTAGTTTGCAATGTCTTGCTCATGTTGTTTGTTTTGCTCTGCCTATTTATTATGAATAAACAATCTGATCTCTCTGCTGTGGCGAGTTTGGCGGGAGGTCACCCTGCTAAAGGATACGCCCAAGGCCCCAGTGCCGATGATATCCCATGAGGACGTTGTTGTTGTAGGAGCACTCCGAACACCCATTGGAAGGGCGACGAGAGGGAAGCTCAGAAGCCTTAGGAACGATGAGCTGGTTACCGCTGCTATCCGGGGCATCATTGAGAAGACTGGGATTGACCCTCGTCTTATCGAAGAAGTCATCCTCGGCCATTGTCTTTCTTCAATGGAAGGGAATGTGGCTGCAAGAATGGGTGTTTTGAGGGCTGGAGTGCCGGTCGAGACACCAGTTATGATCATAAACAGATTGTGCGGGTCTGGGCTAGAGTCTGTTGGGCTTATTGCTGAGAAGATTAGATCGGGTAGGATAGAGATAGGGCTTGCTGGAGGATTTGAGTCTATGACATCCTATGGACTGCCCAAGGAATACACCCTGAGCAGGGGCGGTGCATGCGAAGATGCCGAGGATTGCATGCTGACATTAGGGGAGGTTTCGGAGATGCTAGGCAAGACCCACGGTGTAACACGCAGTGAGGCTGATGAGTATGCAGTGACAAGCCAAAAGAGGGCTCTTGAAGCCACCAAGAAGGGCCATTTTCTTGCGGAGATCATTCCCATGAGGGTGGGAGATGAGACTGTTGAGCGTGATGAAGGGATAAGGGAGACGTCTCTGGGTACTATCGAGAGTCTGAAGCCTGTATTCAGGCAGGATGGGGTTTGCACGTCGGCCAACTCCTCACAGCTGTCTGATGGAGCGTCTGCCGTGCTTCTGATGAAAAGGAGAAGAGCTGATGAGCTAGGTTTGCCTGTGGTTGCAGAGTTTATTGATTTCATTGCTGTAGGACTTAAGCCCAGAGACATGGGGCTGGGTCCTGTTGTTGCCATCGAGAAACTACTAAAGAGGAATGGACTTGAGAAAGACCAGATCTCGTACTTCGAGATAAACGAAGCATTTGCATCCCAGGTTCTTTGCTGCCTTCGGAAGCTTCAGATCGGTGAAGACAGGGTCAATAGGTATGGAGGATCCATAGCTCTTGGACACCCGATCGGGGCTTCTGGAGCAAGGATTGTCTGCACACTGCTGAGTGTTATGAAAAACGAGGCACTGGAAGGATATGGAGTGGCGTCTCTATGTGTGGGTGCTGGGCATGGAGTGGCTGCACTGTTCAGAAGAGCCGCTGGATCCAAACCGCAAGACATTAAAAACACCTAAGCTTTCTTTATTCACAATGCAAAGCAGCATGGCAGGCCGTCATGGCTTCTTAATGCTCCTTACTTTCTTCAACTCCTCCTCAAGCTTAAGAAAATCCCCTCCTCCAAGCGAGTCTTCAGGGAACACCTTGTCGTCGAACATCCCAGATATCTCCTCATCCGTCTCCGTAGAGCTATAGGTGGTGTTGACATCAAAGAATATCTGCCGGTCACTCTCCTTCATCGCAAGGGATAACAAAAATTTGTTTAATACTCAGTCCTGCTGGAATGCAAGAAGCACACCCAGGATCCTTCTCAGGGCCATCCCCTGCTCTTCTTCACAACAGAAAACATCCTTGTGACGACAAAGTCAACAAGTAGTGCTCCGGAAAGCACAAATAAGGAGGTCAGGTGAAAGACGGGCAAGGAAAACAGATTGAGGGCGGCGTTGTTCGTTGTGACATCTAGCTCTTGGATGAAGAAGAGAGTTATGAAGTTGAGGGCAATGCTCAGTCCAATTGCTATCCATGAGTAGACAACAAAGAAGGATATTTCCCTAATCTGCGTGAACAACACAACCCAGAAAACAATTATTGAGAAGTAGTTTGTGAGGAGGACGTATCCTCCAACCAGCCCCCTTCTGCTGATCAGGTCCTTTACATAAACAACACCAACAGAAAGCCCGAACACAACGATCCCGAGCAAGACTGTGTACACGAACCCAAACACAAATGAGGGCCTGCTGAAGAGTCTTCTTGCATCCCTGTAGTCCCCAGGATGGGACATAAGATAGATCTCCGGCTTGTCCTTGTCGAAAAGACCTATGGATAGAGGGACGAATGACGTGAAAAGTACGTTGTAGTAGTTCAGAAAGAAGTTGCTGTATATGGGCTTTCCCGAATACCCGTTGAAGAAGTTGTACATGAACTGTATCGAGATGAAGAATATGTTCTTGAAAAATGCATTGAGTGTTATCTTCGAAAACCTGATGAGATTGTATCGGCCGTGCACAAGTATGAGCCTCTTTAGAAGCCTGAACTCTGGAATCGCAAAGTCTGCAGACAGGCTCGCTTGCGTGCCCTCCTTCCCCATGATCCCCACACCAACATGGGAGCTTGTGAGCATGGGAACATCGTTGTTTCCGTCTCCAATAGAAAGCGTGTTCTTCCCAGACTCGACTATCTTTTCTGCTATTTTCCCCTTGTGGTAGGGAGTTGCTCTATATATCACAATTGATTTGTACTCAAAGATCTCTGGATCGCCGAGTTTCTCCAAAAACTCCTTGCCGTCGATCACGAGCGACTGGGGCTCACGGCTCTTCTGGGTAATTCCACAGTCTTCCGAACAGCTCATTGCAGTCTCCTTCTTGTCTCCGGTGATCATCCATATCTTGATTCCTGCATCTCGCAGGGATGTTATAGTCCCTCTGACATCATCCTGGAGCTCGTCTTCTATAAAGGTCGCCCCCAGGTAGACCATCCCCTCCTCCACAGAATCGAAAATCCTCTCCTGTTCCAGAAACTTGTTTTTCAGGGAGACTCTGTTATACTGATTCTCTATCCATGCCAGCACATCGCTGCTCAGCTCCTTGTATCCAACAACAAGAGACCTGTACTCAGAGTTGTTGTTTATGAGAGCTCTGATCATTCCCATGTCCCCCTGCTCAAAGGTCATCTTCTTGTCTCCAAGAAGCTTCTGGTCAGAACCCTTGCAGAATAGAATATACCTCCCAAGCACCTTCATCACGACTGACATTCTCTGCCTTGCCGAGGTGAAGTCTAGCGAGACCATTATGTCGAGTTTGACCCTTCTTCCGTTTATTTCCAGTACAACAAACTTTTCGTCCCGCTCCACCAGCACGTGTCCCAGCCTCTCTAGCTCCTGGACAATGCACAGCTCGTCCTGCGAAATCCCCTCAAGGCTGTTGTTAAGAGGCTCAATTGAGTTGCAGCACAGGAGAGCAAGTATAAACATCATGCGGGAGCGCCTTTTCTTCACGGCCGGGCTCAGATCATTCACAAGATCAATGTCAAAGCAGGACTCCTTCAGTTCTTCTCTTGAAATAAGGTCCGGAGAGTCATATATGTGGCAATACTTGAAGACCATGGAGTTCTTCGTAAGCGTCCCGGTCTTGTCTGTCAAGATGTATTCAATCATTCCGACATCCTCTGTGATGTTTGAGTTCCTGCAGATCGACCTGATGCCATCCCTGGCCATCTCGTCGTCATAGGATATAAACATCGAATGGAACATCCTGGATACCTCGAGAGTCACAAAGAGAGACAAGGGAATCAGGTAACTGAATAAAATATAATTCGTTCCTGTCTGCTTCAATGCATCATTAGCAAGATACTCGTTCAAATACAGATACTCGATGTCATCCTTTCTAAGGAATCTAGCCCCAAGGACAGAGGTTGCCGCCAGAATCCCCAGGTATATCATAAAAATCCCAAATATAAAGTCCCCAACGCTTTTTTCAAAAAGCGATATCTTTACCTTCGCTTTGAAGTGGCTTTTGCCGAGCTTTGTTTGCTTTCCGACACACACAACCATCCCTAGAACACACTCGGTGTTCTTGATCCTCGACCCCCTTAGAAGAACATTCTTCTCGTTGCATAGGATGTTTTCCCCATCAATGTTTATCTGGCACTCAAACTTATTGAACAGGTCTCCTGTGTCCTCAACAGTGAAGTCAGATGTCCTGTCCATGTAATACCTATCGCAGCTGCACAAGCTCAGTTTCTCTCCACGGAACTCAAGTCCCGTGTCTTTTCTCTTGCACTCAACCTGATGTTGCGATGTCTTCTTCTTCAAATTCATCTCTCCGTCCAGATTGCTTGTCTCGACAAAGCAGTAGTTCTTGCATCTGATGCCGTCTCTTGTCTCTACCTTGCTATTCAGCAAAACCACGTCGCCAGGCACCTCCTGGTCCTTCATTATGAATATGAGATCCCCAGCACTGAGATCCTCCACATGGATCTCCTCAGCATATGCATCCCGTCCTTTTCCTCGCACTACATTTGCAGGTTTCTCATTTATCACTTTGTCCTGCTTGTGCCTCCTGTAGTCTTCTACTCCATCCTTCATCATCGATGCTCCGACAACAACAACAAATGCCAGGAGATAGGTGAATGGGCTGAATGGAGATATCGATGGAATAGACAGCAGAATGAGAGTCAGCAGGAAAAATAAGTTTGATGGCCTCGACAGCTGGTGGTATATGTTCAGTGGGAGGAAGGTCATTGCTGTATACTTCGACGTAACTATTTTGTTTTCCTTCCTGTTCATTATGCCTAGGGCTCCGCCCCCCGGATTTAATAGCCTTACCTAGACACCCTCCTGTCATCCGCTCAGGCCCCCATGTCTTCATCCTCAACAACCTCAAACCCAGGCAGACAGTCGTTCATGATATAGCAACTCTTGTGCTCCCAAGGGATCGAGTGCACTCCGGGACAGTCGGCATAGAGAACCTTGAATTCCCTGGACCCAGCAGATAGGAAAAACACGGTCCATCCCATGGGACTTCTGGGCATGGACACAACCTCAATGAGCACAACGCCGCCGCAAAGCTTTGCATTGTAAAATCTGTCCATGCACCCGCCAAATGCCTTCATCACATTCTGAAGGCCAAACATTGCATTGAATGACGTTTTCAGGTACGTCTTCTCCGACGAAACCTCAACAAGGCACAGGTACACCCTGTGCACCACAGGAAGTACCTGGTCCCCATACTCCCGAAGAACCCACTCGTCTCTTTTGTCTCTGTCCAGTATGTACGAAGTCATCCCATGTGCCTTTCCCCTCGAAAGATCAACACCGGCTCCAGACAACGCCTCAAACTCATCAGAATCCACATCAAACACAAGCTCTCCGGCTCCACACACAAGAGTCTGGATGCTCTTCATCCCCATCTTGTCCCTGACCCTTTCGATAAATAGCTCGATCGTGTCAATTCCAACACAGTACCTGCACATCATTGCTCCATACCGCGTCAGCTCCTGCTCTTTGACAAACAAAGGGAGCTCCTCACTCTTCTCGGCCCTGCATCCCAGCCAGTACGAGTACACATAGAGTTCCCTTCTCCCCGAAGAGCCATAGCACAGAGGAACGCCCCCGTCGCCGAAGTAGAGCGCTTTCTTGCTCTGCTTCAGATAAAGAAATCCCCTTCTCCCCAGAAGCGAGTACCTTCTAACATCTGCAAGTGGATAATCAACCCAGGACAGGGTCTCATGGTCGTAATAGTCCGTTCCAACAATGTGCACCTGGCTCACTTGTGGACTCCATCTCCTGTCTATCCATAGATTTACTACTCTTCTTGTGGCAAAGTATATTCCGCTGTGGATCCCCGTGTACTCAGAAGCGACCTTTGCCTCCTTAAAGTGCTTCATGAACCACCTGGCCATCTTCCTCGTGGAGCAGATGACAAGGCACGACTTCTTCTCCACGTCCAAGCCGTCCATATTCATGGTCAGCCTCAATTTGAAGTCAGAAAGCTGGCCATGACGCGTAAGACTAAAGGACTCATGCACCTCGATACCCACATTCTCCATGCTCTTCTCGATCTTCCCAACAGATTCAGCCCCACCACTCCGTGTGAATGGGAGTCCTGTCATAACCATCTGGATGCTGTTCACAATGCAATGCGCCATGCAGACCTCTATAAGATGGTTTGAAATGGAGTCGTGGATCTCCAGAATCGTGACAGGTCCTGAGGTAATCTTCCAGGAAACAAACTCCTCGTATGTGTATGCTCTATAGCCCAGCAGCATCAACCTCCTTTTTTCCCCATAGCCTGGCACAACAACTACCTCTGTGCCAATGTCATCGTAGAACAGCCCCAGCCTGATGCAGTTGTCCATTCCAAGCGCCTTTTCCACCATAAAATCCCTCCAGACGCCATCAAAGATGGAAGCCCTGGAATTTGCGACATTCCTCAAATCAAGTGGGACGGGCTCTGTAGGGCATAGGTAATGGGCAGATAGCAGGCAGATGTTCAGAAAAGGCTGCCCTGTGAACACCCCGTAATTCTGGTATACATACTCGCATCCCTTCTCAAACACTATTGCATCGCAGAAAACCAGCTCCTCCTCTTCTGCATCTGTTATAAAGAGATAGTATGTGTTGCTGTGCACTTTGCTGTCGTCGAAGGCCTTCTCCATCCCAAGGCTTATAACATAGTATCCAGATTCTGCGACCCGAACACTCGGAGAAATGCTAAACCTGGGGACATATCTCAGATGCTCGATTATACCACTTCCGCGAATCCCTACCTCATCTAGGCCTTCCTTGCCCAGTATCTCCAGCATCCCAAACGGGATTTCCTTCATCTCAAGGTCCCTAAGAGCATTCTTGTCGTCCGCAAACTGCCTCAGTGGCGTTTGATATGGAAAGATCCTGTGCTCTGCAGCCTTGCACCATCCTAGTATCATCTTTGAGATTCCGAGCCTCTTCCTCACCCCAATCTCAAATAGCGCCCTGAACATTCTGCAAAGGTTCTGCGAGAGAGAGGTCGATTCTATTCTGTTAGCTACATAGCACTGCAAGAGTACCCCGAACGAGGACTCCGTAGGAATGGGGACAAGGCCCCTGAGAGACTCCATCGCCTTCTCATCAATGCTCAGATCAGAAAACTCCCTTGCTTTTTCTAGAATCTGAAATATGGACGGCTCCAGCATAACGTGTGAAAGTCCATCAAACAATCTTCTTGCATCTCTGTAGTGAACATAGTATCTAGACGAAACCTCACCTACTTCCGTGGGATGTATGGCTGGCTCCAGTGCAATAAGTCCTGCATCCTCTAGCAGCTTCAGAGCACTGTACACAAGCTCTTTGACCATCCTAGCAGGCTCCCTGCTCACCTTTACCAGTCTTGTGTAATAGAACGTGTGCTTGAACCAGTCGATCATGTCTTCAAACCTCCTCATTCCCTTCACTATCTCGGCATTAAGGCAGTCGCACAGGCTTGGAAGCAGCCTTGAGTCTATGCTCCGCTGAACAAGGAATTCGTTTTCCTTGCTGGATATCAGTATCCCCTTGCATCCATCGTCTCCAGATCTTCCGGCCCTTCCAAACATCTGGATCATCTCAATCTGCTTGATAGGCCTCCATCTGGATGTGGAGGCATCGTATACCTCCGTGCCCTTTATTATCACAGTTTTTCCAGGTAGATTCACACCCCATGCCAACGTTGCTGTGCTCACCATCACATCTATCTTCCCGTTCCTGTACAGATCTTCAACAGCCACCCTTGTTTTCCTGTCCAGTCCTGCATGGTGAATCCCAACCCTATGCTTCAGAAGCTCTCTGACCTCCGGACTCACATCTGCCCCATCATCAGAAGCCTTCTCCATGTACCTTCTTATCTCGTTTGCAACCTCAAGGGCCTCGTTCCGGGAATGGACAAACACAAGCACAGGCCCATTCGAGTCAAGGTTCTCCAGCACCTTTTCGATGGTCATGTCCATCTCCCTTTCCCTTGCCCCAACATTTATCACCTCGTAGTCGATGGGGCTCTTCCTGAACTCGGGTCCAAAGTAGAAGATGTCAGGATCGTTGCACCCGATAAATGCCCCGACATCCATGTAGTTTGGAAGTGTTGCACTGAGACCCACAATCCTGCACCCTCCGCGCACCGCCATCCGAGCCACAACTGCCTCCACCGCCGCGCCCCTCGAGTCTCCAACCATGTGGATTTCGTCAATCACTACCAGATCAAACCAAAGATCCGTGTTTCTTGTCAAAACATCAAACTTCTCTGGAGTGGACACAATCACCCCTGTCCTCTCCAAGTGGGCATATCCCGAGTAGACATCCGAGGTGTGTTCCACAACACTGATCCCGTACCCCGAAAACCATCTGCTGATTGTCCTGCATATCTCTCTGGCTAGCGCCTTCATGGGAACAATATACCCGACCCTCATCTTTTTCCTCCTTTCGGCCTCCCTGAGAATAGACATCATTCCTATCACTGTCTTCCCACTCCCCGTGGGTGCACACACAAGAACATTTCCGTCCCCCTTCAACACCGAGTCCTGAACCATACTCTGGATGTAGTTGAACATAAAGTCTTCTCCAAAAAGCCTTTTTACATTGCCTGGGGGGTGTCCATCGAATTCAACAGCCACCCGCCGCCCAGGAACAAGGACAATCTTGGCTCCATCCTCGTATTTCACCGTTGACCCAGGAGGATATCCTTCCCTTGCCATGTGTGTGCTATGCTCACTAGACGTCTTTTCTAGGTCAATCACCCTGCTCCCCCTCATCAGGCTCAATGCATCACTGTCTATGTACTTGATGAAGGAAACAGACCCCTCTTCGCCCCTCATCAGCTTCCTGGCCTTTTCCCTCTCGTCCAGATACAACTGGTGGACGAGAAAATACTCAAACAACTTTCTGTTGGCAAGTATGTATCTCATGAAATACACCTTAGATCCCCTCAGAGCACCGGAAAGCTCCTTTTCAAGATCCGTGCCCTTCCTTATCACTTCGAGAAGGCTCCTCTTTTCTGCCTGTGTAAGGAGGACGTCGAACAACTCAACATCCTCAAAGCTAATCTGCCTCGCATTCCTGTGAAGAAAGCGCTCTGTCAGCTGCGTCATGCTCTCAAGGCTCTCCTTTGCAAGACTCCTCCCGAGAATCTTCTCGATGGCATCTTGCCTGCTCTCCACATCCCCGCACAGCACCTCCATCACCTTTTTCACCACCAACTCGTCCTCTGCTCCAACTAAGGACTTCAGCTTCTCGAAATAGTCGACATGACTAAGACTCTTTATGTCCTCAGACCCCATGGGGACCATTCCTAACGTTTTTACTTCAGCACAGCATAGATCCCTACAGCCTAACTAAATACAGGTGCGTTTATTATTCTAGGAACATCTTTCAAGGAAAAGGACATACGTGTGCTCCTTGTCGACTTCATCGACTCTCTCGATCTTCTGGTCGTTGCAGAGATACCATCCGTTCTTCCGCAGATAGCTTACATAATGCCCGCTCGACGTGACTGCGTCCGAGTCATGGTTGCACACTCCTATGACCATATACTCAACTCCATTGAGGAGAAACTTGTCAAGGGGATACTCAATCAGCGTCGAGATCTTCATCGGTGAGCTGTTTACATACTGGAATCTTTTCAGCTGGATTATCAGATACATCGGGAGGTCCTCCAGATCCATTTTCTTGCTAAACATCATCTTTCCATTGCATCCCTCGCAGTGCAGGCGCTCTGATGGATGGAGATCCTCTTTTTCTAGAAATCTATTTACGCAGTGCTGGAGGGTTGGCTTAGGCGCGCCTATCTCTCTAATCGTGCCCAACGGGTCGTGGAACAGGCTGAGCAGCCTTTTGCCTTCATGGGCTCTGCTTATCACTACCGCCACTGGAAAGTTCATCTGCTTTTCCCTCGGGGTTTTGCCTGCGTTCTCTAGTTTGAAGTAGGAGGATATGCTGCTCTCCTCCAAGAGGCATCGGACCTCCTCCGAAACAAGGCAAGCAAGGGTCTTCTTCATCTCCAGGAGCACCAGTAGTCCGTCGTAGCCAGAGGCCTTGATCAGAATGTTGAACTTGAATGACTTGTCCATAAACAGCCTCTTGGTCTTCAGGTGGACCCAGCAGTACTCAATGTCTTCGGAGTACTCATAGCAGAACAGTGTTTGCGGAATGTCCTGTAAGACAACGTCATCTGCAGGCTCAAGCATATTCCTGTTGCCGTCATACCATATGCACATGACCTTTCCTAGTACCCCATATTCGGCATCCAGTAGCTTCTTGAGGCCTCTGATGCTGGTGGATGCATCGGCATATATCTTCACAGGCTGTCTCCTGCCTGATTCATAGAACACCACAATGTTATCTTTGTGCTGCATGGAACGGGGAATTGGTAGAGAGAGGCACACTGCAGGCTCGATGGACACCTTGGTACTGCCGCATCCCCGGCATGTCAGTGTGGACTTCAGGCAGAAGAAAAACAGGTCTGTAATAATTGATCTGTTGTGCTCCCACCACTTTTCCTTTTCCTTCTTCTTGGGATGCGAGGATTGGGTGGAAAGGGCCTCGTGTAGTGTGTCCAGCATCTTGGTGATAAACTCGACGGAGTCCTGCTCGTCGTTTCCCTTGTACTCCTCGTATATCGACCCCAGGCTTTTTCTGATTCCCACGGGTGTGATGGCATGGAGGTTTCCATCATATACCTGGGAAATAAGGTCGTAGTATGCACTTGCCAAGGATGCATGGATAGCTTTGTGCCTGTTCAGGGACTCTTCATACTCCCTGCTTATGAAGTACTCTGAGAGCTTCCAGCAGTTCATCAGGCACTGGAGCCCGCTGTTCATGAAGCAGGTATTCCCCTGGTTCCTGAGTCCGCGAACAATGCTCCTCATGTGATCGTCAACAGATAGAACCCTTCCGTCAGGCATCCTTGTGATCTTTGAAATCTTTAGCACACTCCTGTTCTCAAACTCGTCAAGCCTCGCCAAAGGATGGAGCACTCTCCCGTCGGATGCTAGAACTCTGTATCTCCTCATAAACTCGTCTAGGCCAAGGCGGAGGCCCATGATCTCCGGGACTATATCGAACAACCTATCTGTGGGGTCGACAATGGCGTTCACAACTCTTCTGGACCTCCTCATCCCTCCCCCGTGGCTAGGCGCCTCATGGGGCACAAGATCTCCGAGGTTGATGAGCGACTGGAGTATGGAGAAAATCCATCCAACCTTGACAACCACGCTCTTACTGGATCCAGGAGCACTGGCGCTGGGAATAAGCTCGTCAATCATAAAGGTAATAAGGACAGCCTTTCCTGTACTCCTGGGCTGAAGCTGCACATCGGCACCGCATGCCGGAGACACAAAGAGGCCATCTCTCATGGATTTCCAAACACTTTCTGGGACGAAGTCAACTCTGGGCCCTGGCACCTTAGGATTTGAACTGCCGTCTATACACGATGCCCTCCTGAACATCCCCTGGCTCTTAGCGAAGGCAAAGGATACAGCATACTCGCATTGGCCTGAACTTGAGGCTGGCTTCTGATCCAGGGACTCCTCAGCCATCATAAGGGATTGTTTTGTTTGGGTTTACTACGTTCGGGATGTGTAGCAGGCCCTGGAGGAACAATGCAACACCACGTTCCTAGGACGGCAGCAAGAAAAAGAAGTGACGGAGCCAGGATTTGAACCTAGAACCTTCGGGACTGGAATCCGACGCGCTACCGTTGCGCCACACCGTCTATAAGAAAAGCCCGCATCCCCTGTCTTTTGATCAGGCACAGCACGGAGCCCCCATCCTGGGCTCAAGGAGTAAAAAGCTCAAGATAAAAAGAATTTATTCGCCCTCAGCTGCAGAAAGCTTCGCCTGCACCCTCTTCGCCCTCTCCTCATATGTAAGTCTTGCCTGCTTGTACTTCTTGAACCCGGAATAGTCCTTTGTCTCTTTCTTCTTTCTTGTCGGGTCCTCTGCAATCTTGTCAAAAGCACTCTTATAGATTCGCGGAATCTCCTCTGGATCAATGCCCTTTTTGATGTAACTGGAAAACTGAGTCTTGTACTTCTCGGGGTCTCCGTCTCTAAGCTGCTTCATGTACTCAGAGATGTTGTATCCAAAGATCCTGTCATGCAGCTCCTTTGCGTCAAAGCTCCCGTCCGGCTTGTGTCCATAGAACTTCGCCGCACTGTGTGGGACATTCAGGCCTGCATCAGATGCTCCCTTCAGGGCCCCAAACACTCGAGCCCCCCGCGTCGACCTTGCAAGTCCAATGTCAAGAAACACCCTCGGCGCCTTCTTCTCCCCATCAATGTCCTTGGTGACGCTGTACGTGCCGTCAATCTCCTTCGGCCTATACACCTCGTCAAGAGACATCGCTGTAAGCGCCCTTCTTCCAATCAGGAACCCAGTCGCATATGCTGCAGAGTAGTTCGTTGCCCCAAAGTTGATTCCATACCTTTCAAGCTCACGCGAGTCTGCATACACCATGACCCTGTCTCCGTCCATGTACGCCGCAACAATCTGGCAGATAACCCTGCTGCCTGTTATCCGCACAACCAGCCTGTGCTTCACAGACCCGCATGAGTTCGAGTCCTGCCGAATCATGTTCGTCCGGTGCTTGTAGTCCGTCTTCCCCTCGCGCCTTCTCCTCCTCTTCACCTGGAAGTTCTTGTGGTAGTTCCTAGTTCCCTTTGCATTGCTCTTAAAATTACGTCGCTACCACTTACCATTTTCTCGGGGCTGAAAAATTTTCAAGATATCGTCATCTGGGCCTGCTGCTCTGTCCCCGGAGTTCCGAATGTGTGGCACCAAATAATTGCTAACGGCCCATTTCATATCCCCTGGATGGACGGCTCCATATCCCCGAGGATAAAAAGACTTGTAGACTCGGGTATCTTCAAGGACCCAGAAATCGACAGGCTTGGATACGGAACGTTCCAGAAGCAGCAGGGTGCAGAACCAAACCAGTCGGTGCGGAGGGCCAGAGACCTGAGGGCCAGAGTCGGTGCGGTGCTGAAGGAGTCCAGGCGCGAGGGGGCAAAGATGCTCATGGAGATAGTCTTGATGTACATAAAGGGATACATGGAGGAATCTGCCAGATGCAGGGTTGTTGACATGATCCGCAGGTGGAAGGGCCTTGCAAAGTACATTGCAGAGGCGATGGAGGAGCTTGGCGAGGAAGAGGCTGGCACGTTCCTCAGGACGGTTCTGTTCAATGTGAAGTTCCACTACCTCCATCTAGAAAGCTCCTTGATAGCCAAGCAGGGGAAGAAGAGTGAGGGCCGGGAGAGCATATTGGTGTATTTTCTGAACGAATACAACGATCTCTACAGCATATTTGCTTCATCGAAAGCGAAGGGATTCAGCGTTCTGCAGCTCTGCGACCTTGAGGACATGATAAGAGAAAAAATAAACTCGATGTAGTGGTATATTTTGGCCTCGGGGGTCCAAGGCGATGCTTCTCCATCCATCAATTTCGCACACTGGGAACCATTTATGTTTATTGCCGATCACCCACGAATGGATGTGCAGGAGTTTGAAAGGCTGGAGGACTTAACGATGTTGCTTCTTTCGGGCCACAGGACATTTTCGTCGAAAGACTTCATGGAGGTATATGACATCATCTACAGCCACTGCACAGAGACAGCGGCGGCCTTTGAGACGAGGGGGGCAAAGGTGTACGAGTGCCTAGAGAGGACGATGGTGTCATATGTGGATCGGCTAAGGTGCTTTACGTCTCTGAAGACCCTTCATGGGCAGCTGCTTGAGTTCTCAGGTGCCCTGGATCTTGTAGCCCGCGCCTATTCGTACCTGGAGAGATACTTCATCAGGGTCAGTCTGGAGCGAAGAGATGGGCACATCCAGGATGTCCGCGTATTGGGATACACTGTGTTCTACAGAAGGTACATGGAAAGGATGATGGCGCAGGCCAAGGAGATGATCTTCTTTGAAATTGGGGTTTCCCGGGGCAGCAGGGACTACAACTTTGGGCGGCTGGGAGAAACGGTCAAGCTTCTCAAGCGAATGCTGTTCTTCTGCAACGAATCTGAGGAGTACGAGGACATGATCCAGCGGTATCTTGATGGGGTTGAGGCCCTGGTGGACTTTACTGGAGAAATCAACAAGATCCTTAAGAGGGTGTATCTGGAGATATACATTGCATCGAAGGTGTTTGATCCAGACAACAACAGGCTGTACAAGGGAATTGCAGCCGGGGTGCGCAACAGGTTTGACGACGTCTTGGGGCTGCTTGTGCACAAGATGGAGAGATTTGAGAAGTTCAAGTTGTATGTGAAGATTGTTCACTTCATGGAGCCCGAGTACATGGCGAGGATTGACGAGAAGTACAAGGAGATTCTAAGGAAGAAGGTGCTGGGGGCTGGGAGTCTCCGAGAGCTGGTGGTGGAGTATCTCAATATTTGCAGGCAGATGGAAGAGAACCTCATGCGTGAAGACGAGCTAGTTCCATACCTTAGAGAGGAGATAAGAAAGCACCTGCACATGTCTGGAAGACTCGGGTTTGAGGACGAGGTTTATAGAGACATTGACCGGACAGTGAGGAACGGAGAGGAGATGGGGGGAGAGATGGAGGCTCTTGTTATGTTTGTGAGCCTGATGTCCAGCAAAGAAGTAATTGTTGGGAAGATAGCACGGGACGCCAGAAGGAGGCTTATGAGCTGCAAGAGCAACCTGAAAAGAGAGGAGATGCTGGTTTTGTCGATGGAAAAGCACCTTGGGGCCAGCATCAGCAGATGCATGAGTGTTATGTATGAGAACCAGGCGAACTATGTCAGAAACAGCTTCAGGATAGCAGGGCAGGCAACAGAATTTGTTACGGAGACCAGGTTTCTGACGAAGGGATTCTACGACCTGAGGGCAAGTGGAGAGAGTCTCCCACCTCCTCTGAGGGATGTGTGGAGGATTGTATCGCAGCCGAAGATGGCGCAGTATCCTCGGGGAGAGCTATTGTGCTGCCACAGCCTGTCGCCGATGGTGTTTTCGATGAATGGGTTCAATTTCCGCATGAACACCGACAAGGTAGTGGTGATGCTGTGGCTGGATGTTGACAGAGGAGTGTCTGACCTGGAGCGGTGTGTTGGAGGGACTGGCTTCAGGCAGAATCTTGAGTATCTCCTCTCGAATGGGTTTGTGATGTGCACGGACGGGGTTCTATCGCTGAACCGAATGTTTTCTTGCAGGGAATACGGGTATATCAGAAACAAGTACAGGGACAGGATATGCCTTCTGGACTCTGAACATAACCTGGTTCTTGATGGGGATGGTGGGTCTGGGATGCTTGAGGAGGTGGTGGATCTGTTTGAGGCAGAGATTTCGGAGGCTGTGGCCAAGAGGGAGACAGAAGCAACGGGGTCTTCTTCTGATGCCGTTCTAGAGGCCAGGGTCATGAGGATACTGAAGCGGGAAAAAAGGGTTGAGAGCTTGAGGATGTGCAGGATGGTTGGGGAGGAGTTTGGAGATGACGAGAAGGCAGTGATGCAGACGGTTGAGAAGCTTATTGAGAAGGAATACTGCAGAGCTGATGGAGATTATCTGGAGTATGTTCCCTGAGGGGAGATGAAGGCTTGAATGAATAGAGATTAAATTTTTGTTTTTTTGGAAATCAACAAAGGCCCTTATGGCATATGACTATGAGTACGACGAGTCTGGGCTTGCATCGAGCTATCTGGTACTATCGATGCTAGTTCCTGTGGCTCTATACATGACATATGACTTGATTGAGACCCCTCCTCTTCGGAGAGTGCGATGTGCCTGCCATGGATGCAGGAACAAGAATGTGAGCAGGAAGACGAAGAGGAAGGTGTTTACTACGGTTGCATGGCTTGTGATATCATACCTGATAAGTAACATCAGGACTCTGAAGATTGAGTACAGAAGGGGGTTTGATCCTCTTGAGGTGCTTGGAATTGACCAGGACACGGGGGAGAGGGAGATTAAGAAGAGGCTTCGGATGCTTTTGATGAAGTACAACCTCAGCAAGGCGCCTCCCGAGTTGCGGTCGGAGTATGAGGAGAAGCAGAAGACTGTCAACAAGGCGTACGGGCTTGTCAGCAACAAGAAGAGATACGAGGCGTGGCTGAACAGCGAGTCGAAGACTGGGGAGATAGTTGCGATTCCCAAGGTGATTGTCAGGAGGGGGATGTATGCATTTGTCATGTACTCGCTGCTGCTTGGGGTGTTTCTCCCGCGATGGGCGTACAGGAGATGGCGGGAGATCCGTGATCTCAACAAGGTGGGAGTGAATTTTGTCACGATGGAGATGTTCTATGAGAGGATTGACGGAAGGATGAACCAGGGGAAATGTACTCTTGAGATGTACACAGGCCTGATTCTTATTATGGCAAGGTCTGTTGAGTTTGCTGAGTACAGATGGAAAAGTAATGTTGAGGGGCTCCGAGGCAGGATTGAGAGCAACTTTGCATTTCCGCTGAAGGAGTGCGGGAAGGAGAACAAGGGGTATCTTGTGCTGATGGACCATCTGTTCCGGATTGGGCAGGCAGCAAGAAGCGATGTTGAGTATGCCCAGAGGGTGTCTCTTCGGCTGATAGAGGGGATGAAGGCGATTGGGATTGCTAAGAGATACGGGAATGTTGTGAAGAATCTTGTGGTTCTCGAGGCGATGATAATCCAGGCGGTGTTTGATCCTCGATACTTCCTGCTCCAGATTCCGTTTGTGAGGTTTGAAGACTTATTTATCCAGGAGAAGAGCAAGGAGAGGGTGTCTGCCGAGGGGTATTTGGGAGCGATTCCTGGAGGAGAGCATCGGGAGTCGGCTCTGAATGTGTACAACAGCATTCCTCAGGTTGAGATAAGCGAGTTCAGTGCGTCTGTGATTGAGACTGGAGCCATCAAGAACGACAGCTCTGACTCGGATGTTTCTGAGGCTGAGGATCTGGCGACCAGGAACGACTCTGAGGAGGCTGTGCGGGGTGCGAAGTGCGAGCAAACTGTGTATGTTATTCCTGGGGGGTCGATTGCAACTGTCAGCGTTACTCTGGACAGGAGATGCCAGGGAGATGTGGCGGACAAGGGCGGCAAGATGATAGTGCATGCGCCCTTTATGAAGGAGGCGTTTTCTGTCAAGTGGATTGTGATGCTGACTGTGGATAATGTGATTTATGGTAAGATACAGGTTGTGGACGACTTTGAGAAGAAGGCAAATGTCAGGTTCAGCATTGATGTTGGGGAGCTGAAGAAGACGTGTGAGTGCAAAGTGTTTGTTGGGTGTGGAGAGTATCTAAATAGAAATGTGGAGAAGAGTATTATAATCAAAGTTGAATAAATCTCTGTGATGTTTTTGGCGTAGGGTGTGCATGTTTGTTTGGTGTGGATATGTGAAGACCTGGAAAGCCCTTGAATTGTGATGGGGGAGAAGTACAAGTTGCAATCGCTGGGAAGTGATGACAAGGTCCGAAGTGTTGCATTTACCAATGAGTCTGAGATAACGATAGGAAGTGGGCTTGATGCAGATGTGCGCCTGCAGCATCCGTCTGTTGAGGAGAGCCATGTGCTTGTGTACTTTGACCACATGAAGATCCGCGTGTTTGGGAACAACGTGTTTCTGAATGATGAAGCTCTTGAGAAGGAGTCTGTGTATGCATTTCGGTTTGGAGATGTGCTGAAGATAAACAGGTACAGGTTTGTGTTTTCTCTGACGGAGCCTGGGGACTTTGTTGATGAAGACAAGATTATCAGAAAGCCGACGATGGAGCTAAGCTACCTGAACCGAGGGGGGGAAGGGGGAGAGAAGAGAAGTTGCTCTGGGTCACCAAAGAAGATCAGGGTTGAGAGGGATATGGAAGGAAAGGACGATGTGACTGGAGATGCGGTTGTTTCTATTGCGCTGAACAAGGTCGGCGGGGTCAGTGTTTCTCTGTGTAAAGGAGAGGAGATTGAGGATGTGTCTTCTGTGAAGCAGGTTCTTGAGGAGCAAAAGGAAGTGCTTAAGAGGGAGATCAAGGAGTCTATTGAGCAATGCGTGGTTGACACGCCTGTGCTCCCATCGATAGGGAAGAAGAATCCCAGGGATCTTGGAGAGGTGATGATAGAGAAGGAGATTCTGGACAGCGCCGAAAGGATGGTTGAGGAGAAGATAAGGAACGAGTATGTAGAGATATCTGAGGGCCTTGACGAGCTAAAACAGAATGTCAAGGACAACATCAAGGAGGAGCTGCGTGAAGATCTGAAGAAGGACTTCATGGAGGATGTGAAGGAAGACATCAGGGACGAGGTCAAGGAGGTTCTGTCATCCAGCGATATGAAGAATGCCATTGCCACCGACGTGATTGGCCGGATCGAGGCAGGGAAGGAAGAGGGTGATGAGGCTGGAAAGGAGAAGCCTGATGAAAAGAGCGGAGGACGAAGAAGAAGGTCGAGCGCCATGAGGCTTTTGCCACAGGAAGATGCAGCAGCGACTCCCCGGAAGGCCTCGATCAGAGGAAAGAAGCGCGCCTCCGAGGCCTCTGAGGGGACAAGCAAGAAAAGAAAGGGCGCCAAGAAGGCAGAGGAGAAAGCGAAGGATGGGAGCCCGCAGTCTGGAAAGACGAAGAGGAAGGAAGGCAAGAGTGAGGAATAAAGTTTTAATGGTTTTGATCTTTTATCCCTTGATGGATAGGCTGTACAGGGAGGTCAGCGAGGAGTTTTTGGCAGGCCTCAGGAAGTATATCAACGACGAGATGTCCTACGCGGAGCTTGAGAGGCTTTCTACCCGAGAGGCTCTTGCCTTCAACAGCCATAGGTGGGGTGCCGTTATTGAGGAGAAGTCATGCGAGGCTCTTAGGATGAAGAGGAGAGTGTACGACGAACTCCTAGGGATTGAGGAGAAGGTCAGGACGATGGAGAAGATGGAAAATGGAAGGGAGTTCGATGTTGATCTTGCGGGCCTGGTATCGCACTCCGAGATTGTAGGACGGAACAGATCGCATCCGCCGGGATATGAAAACACCGACCTGTACTTCCCGCCATTCCCTTCACTGGGCATGGTGAGATTCCTGAACGATTCGAGCATGGAAAGCTCTGATGATGACCAGGAGTCTGCGGCAGATTAAGTTATGGGCAGGGCTCCTGCTTTACCTCGTATGGACGGATGCCCTTAATGAAACTCGCCGTCACCTGTGCAATGAACCAGAACAGAAGCATGCAGACGCACGACTTGCTTGCAAAGAAGGGAATTCCTGTCAAATCATTTGGCACGAATCCCGTCATAAAGCTTCCCGGCGAAACGATGGACAAGCCCAATGTGTATAACTTCGGAGTGACATACCAGCAGATCTACGACGACCTGTGCATGAAGAACGAAGACCACTACAGGGAGTCTGGGATTCTGTATCTATTGGAAAGGAACATGGGTGTAAAGGAAAGACCGGAGAACTTCTTCCAGAGGAGCGAGGACTTTGACCTGGTGATAACGTGCGAGGAAAGGGTGTTTACCAGCATATTTGAGTACTATGCAGATGCACCTTCGTGCACACAGTGCTTTTTCATGGTGAACTTCGACATCCGGGACACGCCGTCCGACGCAATTGCTGGGGCGCAGGAGATACTTGAGTTTGTCGAGGATGTCCTCGCAAAGGAGGAGGAGCGACTGGAATATGCAGTGGACTCGGCGCTGAGGAGATATTTTGAGAGGAAAGGGGTTATGCTCCTGTTTACTGTTGTGAATTTATAGACCATGGCCAATAAAGCTTCCGTGATTTCATTGGTGTTTTTTCTGTAGACCCTCCACGTCATGGGGCCAAGTTGATTCATGGAGAAAGAGAATACCCCTATGAACGAGGAGAAGAGAAGCTGCAAAATATGCCACACCGGAGACATAAGGGGAGACGAGCTGTGCAATCCATGCCGGTGCTCTGGAACAATAAAGTACATCCACAGAGAGTGCCTGATGTCGTGGATGGAGTGCTCTGGAACCAAGAAGTGCGATATATGCCACTACGAGTACAAGTTCAAGGACATCTACAAGCCAGACACGCCCCAGATACTTCCGGTATCCATAATCATCCGAGGAGTGGCTGATGTTGGATGGAAGGCAACCATTGTGCTCACATGGTGCATTCTGCAGATGGTCAAGTGGATGGGAGTTTTTTATTTCAATGGATATCTCTTTGCAGTGTCGACAGGGCTATGTGACACCGACGGCGGGTCTGGGTTTAGAAACAGCCTTATATGGCTGGGGGTCGGGATTCCATTGACGTGGCTGGCACAGGTGAACCGATGCCTGCTCAACCAGATCCGGGAGAAGTTTGGAGAGGACATGAGAAGAAGGAGGAGGATGCTGATGAATCCAAGGGCAATACTGGAGTCGATCAGCAGAGAGTCTGCGCAGCTGGAGAGATCCACTGCTGTGCCCCAAGGGGAGCATGCCCGGGAGATCGGCAGAGACCTGTCCTCGGACTCCAATGTATCTACTTCCAGGGAAATGGCAGGGTCTCGCAACGTTGAAGGAGTACGTCCCAGGAGGTCAAACGACCCCATGAATAGCTTCCTGTTCAGGCCGATAGTATCTGGAATATCTGGGATGACTCTCCCCGTGTCGTTCATATCTGTAATATATGGGGCCAGCAGATGCATTCCAACTCCTCGGATCCATGGGTCCTTTGGCGCATTCCTTTCTTCCATGGGCCTGGGAGATCTGTACTCCAGACTGGTGGCATTTGGAGTTGCATTCTGGGCAGTGACAAGCTGTACTGAGCATGCCCGCAAAAGGCTTGGAATCGGCAGGATAAGATACATATGCATCTTCATGAAAATATATCTCATAATTCTTCTGAACATATTCTTCATGAACCTGACGTTTGGGCTAGTTCTTCATTACATGTTTGGAAACATAATGAACAAGGGAATGTATGCACTGCACCTGGACAACGAATATAGCAGTCCTCTGAAGATGGGGATCTCGTTTATATTCCACATGTCGATTGGATACACCTTCAGCATTGTAATAAGAAACATCTTCCTCAGGTTCAAGAGATGTTTCCGGCCAGGGGTTCTCCACTTCATTCCCGACGACGAGGACTCTCGAATGGATGAGCTGTATGAGGCCTCGAAGATAGGGGTCTCCCGGATACTTCTCCGCCTTGTGGGCTACCTAGCATTCTTCACCCTATTCTACGGGGCAGGCCTTATGGTAATCAGATGTGCATGTGGCGAGATGGGCATAAGGTTCTCGGTAAGGAGCTTCCTGAAGCTGTCTCTCAGTTACAAAACCTTTACAATGCTTCTGTACTCAAACAAGATATTCTGCGACTATGTGGTAAAGGGCCTGAACAAGGTTGTAAGACTGGAGGCTCGGATGCTCGGAATGGAGAACTTCCTCTACAACGCACAGATGGAGAGGTACGACAAGCAGATGCTGATGTGGTGTGCCAACAAGAACAAGATTTTCCGAAGGCAGCACATCAAGGCAAGAGAAGGAAGAAGGCCGACGGAGAGAGAGATCTGCAAGTATTTCAACACCCACCCGTCTTCCGACTTTGCGATCTTTTATGTCCCGAAGCTGTTTGGCTTGAGATGCTCCCTGATAATCACATCTGTTGTTCTGTGCTTCTACGGCCTTTACACGGGGTATATGGTCATCGCCAAGCACATTATGGAGCGAATCAATGCAGAGGCATATATCCGGGATTCGGGGGACGTACTGCTCTATCTAATACTAGCATTCCTCTTCCGCCTGTCATGGATTGTAATCCATGTAGCTATGAGTGGCATTAGAGGAGAAAAGAGCATGCTGCAGACGGCTGGGGAATTGTGCAAGCATGGGATTGTGAACGTCTACATAAACACGGTGTATCCTCTGTTTGGAAGCCTGATGGTGATTGTGCTGTCTAACGATGGGACAAGCATCAGCGAGATGCGTCCTCTGAGGCTCTTCCTGTTTTTCTTCAGCTCGACCTCGATCGTGGAGACGATTCTAAGCTCGTCGCCAGAGAACTACACCTTCAGGGCACTCATCAGGGAGCTCTGCAAGATCAATGCGTTTATTTCCGTTGTGTTTGGGATCTGGTACATGTACAATGCGGTTACCCTCCTGCTTGGGCTGAGCAATGGAGAGTTTGCTGTCCTAAGCGTGGTTGTTGGGTACACGATCTTTGTGTCCAAGAAGATTGGGCAGAGCATCCAGAGCGACAAGGGCTTCTACAAAAGGCTCCTGGACGAGAACTACCTGGTTGAGAGGAGGGTTGTGAACATTGACGAGGAGTGATTTTTGTTAATAAAGCGGTGTCTTCGGCTATTTATTCTTTTTGGGCTGGATCTCCAGGGATTATGGAGCAAGAGAGATGGGGGAGAGCATTCGAAGCCAGGCTGAGGGGAGCGGGGGAAGGCCTGGACGACAGAAAGGAGGGGGAGAAGATGCAACCCATCAAGATTAGGGTCTATGTGAATGGAGATGGAGACGTGGTGCTCCGGCCGTCCAACAAGAGGCTGTCTACGACACTGAGCAAGCTGGACGAAAGTGTGTACGACGTCAAGGGCAATGAGTGGAGGATAAGTGGAAGAGACTATGTGGCCGTGAAAGAGGAGCTGAGGAGGAATAAGCTTGTGTTTGATGATATTCCTAAGGGGGTGCTGCGGATTGCCAGGAAGGAAGCGGGTTGGCAGAAGTTTGAGCTTATTGGGCCGATCTACAGCATGCTGCTTCCGTTTCAGAGGGAAGGGGTGGAGCATGCTCTGAATAGAGGAGGAAGAATGATTGTTGCGGATGACATGGGGCTGGGAAAGACGATCCAGGCGCTTGCCGTCGCATACTACTACCGGGCTGAATGGCCTCTGGTGATTATTGCCCCAGCATCTCTACTTGAGGACTGGGCCGATGCGTGTAGGAGGTTCCTGGGAATGGAGGCAATGGTGATGAGAAGAAAGGAGGACTTTGGCCAGGAGATCGGGGTTGTGAGCTACGAGGTGGCTTCCAGCCATGCAAACGTGCTGGCTTGCGGGGCGGGCGTAGTGATTGCCGACGAGTGCCACTATCTCAAGAGTCTGCAGACAAAGAGGACAAAGGCAATAGTTCCACTACTGCAGAAGGTATCTCGGGCTCTGCTGCTCTCTGGGACGCCTGCAGTGAGCAGACCGCTGGAGCTGTATCCTATAATATCGGCTGTTGACAGAACGATATTCCCGCGGTTTGCAGAGTATGGGGCTAGATACTGTAATGGGAGGAAGGTGGGGCAGTGGTACGACTATAAGGGGTGCAGCAATGCCGAGGAGCTCCACTATGTTCTTCGGAAGTTCCTAATGATCAGGAGAACAAAGGACGAGGTACTGGGGCAGCTACCTCCGAAATTCCGAAGGCAGGTTGTCCTGGAATGCACGGGAAGGCAGGACGATCCCAGAAAGGACCTGGTGGGAGAAAGTGTGGATACAAATGTAGTTATGCAGTACAGAGAGGCTGTTGGGTTAAAGGTGGATCCCGTGAAGCAGTATCTGGCAACGATGGTGGAGAAGGGCATGAAGTTTGTCGTCTTTTGCCACCACACAGAGATGATGGAGAGCCTCGAGGGCTTTTTTGCAGAAAGGAATGTTCCGATGATCAGAATCGACGGGTCGGTACCCAGCACCAGCAGGCACTTGCTGGTCAAGAAGTTCCAGGAGAATGAGGAGGTAATGGTTGCATTGCTGAGCATCACGGCGTGCAGCACGGGGCTCACGCTTACTGCAGGAAGGGCGGTGGTATTTGCAGAGCTGTACTGGAATCCAGGAGTTCTTCTTCAGGCAGAGGATAGGATACACAGGATCGGGCAGAAGAGTAGTGTCGACATTATATACCTGGTTGCAAAGGGAACCATCGACGAGTATGTATGGCCCAAGCTTCTATCAAAGCTGAATGTCCTTGAGTCCTTGGGTGTGGGGAGCAACCAGTTGAAGAACGTGGGGGTGTCTTCTCAGGCTGCCGGGCAGAAGACCCTGTGCCAGTTCAACATCAAGAGATGCAACTGATGCAGGCTCCTCTCGCTTGGGAGCGGTTGTTGAAGACCCTGCCCTGGACCCCCTTCGAATGACCCCGGAAACGCACGGGCAGGAGGTGGGGTGCTCCAAACTGGCAGAAGAACTGAAGACTCTGGACATGGTTGTCTACAAGTCGAGGAACGGACATCGGGGATCAAAGGTGTTCAGGGAGCTTGTCCACCTAAAAAGACTCTGCCGTTCCTTTCTGCTGAAGAGGACTCGGAGCAAAAGGAACGAGGTTCTCAGAATGGGGGAGAAGCTGTATATCCTGGCAACATCAAACATTCCAGACGGGTATTTTGTCGGGTACACACTGATTGTCCTGGGGCTGTGCTCCAGGATTCATTACTTAGTAAGCGAAGCTGAATGTATTGAGGATGCTAATGACATTGACGAGATGTTTGCGGAGATTGAGTGACCAGTAATATTTATTCATCGCCTTAGTAGGGTAGGACGCAGTTATTCTTTGGACTAATCCTTATTCTTTAATACCTTCGAGCTCCTTCTGCGGTCCTTCATACGGACCTTTGGAAGATTTGGATGGATCCGAGGTATGTGTATCCATGCTCTCTGAACTTTGGCTGGGTTTTCTGTTGGAGAGCCATTCTTGTATGTACGGGAATGCTACTATGGCAATACCAAGAACAAGAATAACCATACTCAGGGTGTTGAACATAGCGAAGTCCTCTGGAGAGACGGGCTCCAAGATGTTATGCGGGGAGAGAAGGCTATGCACGACTGGAAGAAGGAGCGCCACGGCCATGCAGACTGATTGTGCTATATCGACAGCCATCTTATGATTGCTGAGAGGTGGAAAAAGCGTTGCAAGCTTGACAGCAAAGACAAGGGAGGCGAGTATGATGAAGTAGTCGACATAGTTGCCTTTGGGGAGACGCTTGTAGTCCAGCAGCGAGCTTGAAACAACCATTCCCAGCAGCGACGCCATAGACACTGCCATGGCCTGTTTCTCGATGTCGAACCGGTCGGGCTTGATAAAGAGCAATGCAATGGCAGACGAGAGAGCCAATAGGTATACTACCATGCAGAGGATCTTAATCCTGTTCATCTTTCTGCCCCCCTCCTCCTTTGCGAATCTGCGCAGCTGGTGAAGGATCTTGAAGATCGGGACTAGAAGAACAGCTGCGGTGACAAATTTTGAGAACTTTGCAAGACTGTCTCCTTTGGCTTCTCCAAATTTCTTGTATCCGATCTGTGCAGCAGCAACAAGGAAGTTGGCTATGCTTATCACCAGCTCGAGGGGAAACTTTCCCTTCTCCACGCTTTGCGGGTTCTTCTGCATTGGAAGCCCATGCTTTCCGATACTTATGCTTCCTTCTCTCCTTTCGACTCCTTAATAAATTGGTGAGTTCCTTAATCGTGTTTATGAATCTCCTATTCTGGCTTTGCGGAGCAGACGACTGCTCTTTCTTCCCGAGACACTGGGAGTGTTTCTGAGAAGATGCAAGTATGTGGAAGGTTTGAACCCCTTGATGGAAGAACGGCTTTCGAAGATTTCTGTGGACGGGATGCGCGAGATAAGGGACCTGGATGGAAGCCTTGATGGCAGATGTGTAAGTGTGCGGGGGTTTGTGTTTAAGTCCTCGTGTACAGGCAAGTATATTTTCATTGTTCTGCGAGACGGTGGGTGCACTGTTCAGTGCATGTGCGAAAAGCCTACTGATGGCTCTGGAGGCCTGACGATGCCGGAGTTCAGTTCACTTAGGAAGGTGACGCACGAATCCTACATTGAAATAAGGGGAAGGGTGGTGAAGCAAGGGATGGAGATATCTGGGTGCAGCAAGAAGGACATTGAGGTCCGGATCCTCGGGTTTAGGGTTCTCAGCATTGCGGACAAGAGCTTGCCGTTTGCCATGAAGGACGTCTCTGCAACAGCTGAGGAGAGGGAGAAGAACCCGACGCTTCAGAATGTTGCATACCACATCCGACTGGACAACAGGGCAATGGATCTCCGGGCGCCGCAGACGAGGGCCACCTTCCGGGTGGTTGATGGGGTGATGTTCTTCTTCAGGACCTATCTCAGACAGAACGGGTTTATGGAGATAAAGACATCCAAGCTGATTGGGAGTTCAAGCGAGGGAGGAGCCAATCTCTTCAGCGTGGACTACTTCAAGAGAAAGGCGTTTATGGCACAAAGTCCCCAGCTGTACAAGCAGATGGCGATTGTGGGGGGATTCAAGAGGGTGTATGAGATAGGCCATGTGTACCGTGCCGAGGAGTCGAACATCAACAGGTATCTAAGCGAGTTTGTCGGGCTTGACATGGAGATGGAGATATGCACGGACTACAACGACGTGATCAGGTTTATTCACTCAATGCTTGTAAGCATCTTCGACAACCTGAAGAAGGAGTATGGAGAAGAGCTGGAGACCATCAGGGCCTTCCATGCGTTTGAGGATCTCAAGTACAGGCGGGACCCTGTTGTCCTCACGCACAGGGAATGTGTGGACCTTCTTTTGAACGAAGGTGTCGAGATGGGGTACGAGGATGACTTCAACAGCGAGAGTGAGAAAAAGCTTGGATCTGTTGTAAGAAGGATGCACGGGGTGGACATCTTTGTCATAAAGGACTATCCGATATCCACGCGGCCGTTCTACACATACAGAGACGAGGAGAAGGGAATAACAAGGTCATACGACTTCATCCTAAGGGGGCAGGAGATTCTCTCTGGGGCCCAGAGGGTCAGCATTTACAAGGACCTCGTCAAGTATGTCGAGGAGCATGGAATATCGCCGTCTTCTTTAGGAGGGTACCTGGAGTCGTTCAAGTACGGGGCCCCTCCCCATGGAGGATGTGGAATTGGGCTTGAGAGGTTGATGAAGGCATACTTTGGAATGGGAGACATAAGATGCTTCTCGCTATTCCCCAGAGACCCAAACAGGCTCTATCCTTAAGTAAATGCGCTGAGTTTGGAGTTCCCTAGTTTTCTGTCCCATGGGCATCTTTTAAGATCTGATCACAGGGGCCTTGGCGATGGAAAGGATAAGATACCACCTGGTGGAGAGGTATTCCGAAGAGGGCCTGACACTTCTTATCTTCTATCTCAGGAACATGAGCCCGATGGAGATGGTATACTTCTTCTGCACAGCTTCAAAGATTCTGGACAGAAGCAGCTCAGTGATCCTGCTTGCATATCTTCGGCACGCGCAGACCAAGGGGATGGAGTGCCCGAGGTATGCACAGAGGTCGCTGAACTACCACGTGCATGTGCTGAACAAGAGGATATCCAAAATGGTTCCAAATGCCTTTAGGCAGTTTGTCTCTGAGATGAAGCTGCTTGACTTCACGGAGGTGCGTGGACGAAAGGTGGAGGAGGCGAAGAAGGAGTTTGACCCTCTCAGATTTCTTATTGACACTGTTTTCGAGACTCTTGTGAAGAGCAGCAACGCCGAGATTGAGAATACGGTCCAGACGTACTTCCACGAGAAGAAGGAAAGGATGCTCCCCAGTCCTGTCAGCGAGTCTTTCAGTCTTCTCGGCAAAATCAAGGAAGAAGATGCAATAGATGCAAGCATTTCAAGGATTGTGAGGATGCTGGATGTTGAGGACTCTCCGGAGGTCCTGGCGTTTGTTAGTAAGAATGAGAAGTATGCCCACTCCTTTTTTTTCTATGCATATCTCCTGAACCGCGATGTCTATGAGTCGATGGTCGGCCTGGTTCTCGAAAGCAAGCAGTACTTCCGGGTGGACATCATCAAATGCCTTGTTGCACTTGATGTGAAGAAGACTGTGGAGAGAATAACCGACGAGTCGGTCGAGGTGCTGAACTATCTGATCAGAGAGAGGAGAATCCATGTCAAGGAAATTGTGGAGATGATTTCCGAGCAGAGAGTAGATGTTGGGAGAGAAAGCATTCTCGGGGTTTTCCGGGAGAACTATGAGACTCTCAAGGACTATGCCTCCTGCTTTAGGCTGAGTGGGCAGGAGTTGATTGAGGTTTCCAGGTCGAATGACCAGGCTTTGCCTCTTGCCCTGGACGCAGTTGACTCTCAGGAAGCCATGGACAGCTTTGTCGACTTGCTGAAGGAGAAGGAGGACACTGTTGTGGTTGACCTTGTCAGGTCTATCAGCGATGAGCAGAAGAAGGAGAGGCTCATACAGACTGTTCTCAAAAGAAGGGCGGTCCGGGGCCAGCTCCGGGTCTATCTGCTGGACAACTATATGGAGGACAGCCGTTTTATATATGGCCTGCTTCCGTATCTGGAAAAGTCTGACGTGTACAAGTACATTCCCGATTACGTTGTCGACAACGAGTCTCTGAATGTTTTCCTGAAGGTTGTGGAGTGTTCTGAGCTTCTGATCTTTGCCCACAGAATCTCGGATGTCCCAAAGGCCATTCGGATTCTCAACCTCTGCTTCAAGTCTCCGAAGTTTAGCGAGAGCGACTTTCTGTTTACCCTAACAACTCTGGAGAAGGAGCTGCCCCTCCTGATTGTGAGGACACTGATCCAGACTCTGGTGAAGTTCCCGAACCTGAAGAACTTTGTCGTTTCATTTCTGTCCAGATTGGTCAGGAGAAACATATGGAAGCAAGAGGAGATGGTGGAGGGTGTGGCAAAATGCTTTGAGATGATTGGTCCTCCTGCAGTCGACATAATCCTGTACCTGGATCCGGATGCAATGTCCAGGATACTGGGGAAGAGCAGGGGGCTCAGGAGACTCTGCCGCGAGCACCTGAAGCGGGAGGTTTCTGACAAGCACCACGATGCAGTGCTAAAGTCTGTGATGGGCCGGTTTGGTAATAAATAGGCGTCTATATAAATTTCTGCGTTTCTGACCCCCTGAAGAGTGATGATATTTGCCGCCCCAGACTGACGACTGACGATATAGCAAAATCTGACTTCAGTGTCCGATGTGATTCTGCACCTCCACGTGGTATTGGGCGGAAGGGCACTTCCTGTGCCACCAAGATGGAATCTACTTGTTATTGAGGAATAAATCCTACCTTTATCTGTTTATTTGATCTACTTAAAAGAGTCCCAGCAGCCTCTTGGGGCCCTTCAGAATCACCTGGCCGTCAAGGTGCTTTCCATAGAATCTCGATCCAAGGACAGAAAAGGAGAACGAGTAGCTGTCCACAACATAGGTCTTCTCCATGTTAAACTCCTTCAAGAGGATGTAGTCCCTGAGCTCCTTAAACCTCTTCTCAAATTCATCTTTCTGGCACTCGCACGGCCTCATCAAGCTCCTAATGCCAAGGTGGATTTCGTAGACAGACTTTCCTATGGTCAGCCTGAATTTCGAGTTGATGACCGGAAGGTTTACTGTGAAGAGGGGAAACGTCTCCTCTGCATCGATCCTGATGCTGTTGAGCCTTCCTTTGCATTTGTAATAAATAACCAATGGGCGTTCCAGCACATCGACCTGAAGGACAACCTCGTCGCCGGCAATGCTGAGAATCCCCTTCAGCCCGCCCGTATCTATTAGTCTTGTGGACTCCTCCTCAGAAGCCCTCCTGTCGCCTGTGGATCGCTGGCTCTCGGCAAACCGCAACCAGACATTTTCCTCATCCTCCCTCCTCAAGAACAGGCCAGAGGGTTGGGGGTGCCCGGAAGAAGCTGTACTGTCCTCAACTACAGGAGAGGCACGGTCGACATCCTCGCCCACTCTCTCAGAGGAGAAGCACCCTCTGGACAGAGGCTGTTCTCCAGCAGATGGCTCGCACTGGGCTTTTTCAAAGTCGTTGGCAATGAGCTTACCTTCTTCAAGTTCATAGTAGGGCTTGATGTCAAGTATCGAGCTGACATTCTCGCTGCACTCTGTGTCTGCAGGCTCTTCCGGGCAAGTGCCATTCAGATCCCTTTTCTTGGTGTCACAGAACGCCCCAAACACCCGGATCCCCCGCGCCTTCAGCTCACTGGCCACCATCTTGACCCTGTCCTTGGAGGTCTTCTGCAACATACGTAGATATTCTAGGGTCTCCTCCAGGCAAAGCACCCCCCGCCTGTGAAGATTAAGGTAAAACCTAATGGTCTCGTTTGTGAGAGATGGGATGTTCAGGTCCTGGATGCTCACAACCTCAGAGGGAATCTTGTCGACATATCTTCCGCAGAGATAGATATACTTCTGCCTTTCCTGTACTCCTCTTGCACCTGCCAAAAACTCCCTGATCAGTCCGTTCCACTTCTCGGCGATCGAGTCTGCATCATAGAGCACCCGAATCACTTCATCCATCCTCTGGGCGTCCTTAAACGGCTCTTCTATCAGGTAATCCGCTCTAAGAGACTCCTGCAGAATCGTCCCAAGAAGCTCTCCGTCCCTGCACTGCCTTTTTATTTCCTCCATAGAAACCGCATCCAGCTTTCTGAACAGCAGCCTGAGCTTCTTCACCTTGTTGTACCTCTTATCGTTGTGATAAATGGCAAAGCATGAGTTGTCGTAGCTTACATGTTCAATGAGGGACTCTGCATAATCAAGCACAAGATACAGCTTCTCGTCACTCGAGTCAAAGAATCCCTGCAGATGGTCGAATACAGTCTGCCTGTAGGAGGGATCAATCGAAATGATCAGAGAGGACGCAAGATAGAATATTCGTGGACAACAAGACCTCAGCAGCTGGAGCAGCGGAGAAGGGTCAGGAAAGTCTTCCGCCCTGTTCTTCATCACCTCCAAAAGACTCCCAAGGACCTCCCTATTCCCAGACTCGATGCCAACTCTAAGAAGCCTGTGGATCTCCTCAGTAGACAGGACTCTTGTTTCCTCCTCGAGAACCCGGACACTGCTCAGCGCAGATGCACACACGTCTGCATCCTCGTCAAACACCAGGTCCTTCAGCAGGTCACAAAGACCCTCTGCATGGAACAGCCTTGGATCTCTCCGGAAGTAGTTGCGCAGCGAGTCTGCAACCTTCCGCCTTGTTTCAGCCAATCCACTCGTCCCATGCTCCTTAAGAGGATTGATGTAGTTCTTTATCACTGCCCCATCTCCCAACAGCCCGCTATCCTGAATTGCACAGTGTCTTATCTCACTGCTCTCGTCCCCGAAGTCCTTCAGCATTGTGTTGATGCATATCAGCTGCTTTGCCGGCCATCCCTGTGTGTACCTTACCAGGTAAAGGTTCAGCATCCTCTTGAACTCCACATCCCTGGTGTCGGTCGCCTTGATGACGTCGTTGCAAAGCTCAAAAAGGTCCTCTCCACACTGCATCCGACTCACCAGACTCCTTGCTCCTTGGATCTGCTTCTTGATATTTGACGACGAAATGTACTTCACAATCTGCGACCTGCCCAGGGGATTCGCCACAAATGAGTCGTCGTTAAAGAGCTTTCTTATTCCATCCATCCCAAACGCATCCTTGATCCCCATTGTTTGTTTACCTCTCTGTCTCAATTATCATTCAGATGAAACCACTGCGCAATATGTAGAGGCTCAAAACTTTATTGACAGTAACTACCTGCAGAACATCCCAGACTCCAGGCTCCGGCCAATCACCTTCTCTGCATCAGATACCTCGCCATGTAGATGCCTCATAACATCACCAAACTCCTCATCAAGGTCCCTAAGAGGCAGGTAGCCGTCTTTGTATTCCTCCAGGAACTTCATAAAGCTCTTCACCAGAAAGAACGATCTTCCGATGCCCTTGTATCTATTGGTTAGAACCCGGATCCTGTAGAGATATACAACCCGGGATGCAAGAATCTCGACAAAGTTGTACGATCTTATCCTCTTTACAAACTGTATCCTTTTCTGCACCACTAGTGCCTTCGGCTTGTCCAAAGGCTGGCTGACCTGAGGAACAGAAAACCACATCCTCGACTCCAGCGACTCCCTTTCTTTCTTCATCATCTCCACAGTCCTCAGAATCTCCGCCTCCTCCCGACGGATGTACAGCCCAAGAGACACCACGCTTCTGTTGGATCTTACAAGTCTTCGGAGAACCTGGGGATACCTCATTGAGAGCTCCGATATCTGGAAAAACCTAAGCCTCGAAACACTCAGATCCTCCTCCTCTTTGTAGCAGTAGTCGCACAGGCCCAGATTCATCACCGACATGTTGTAGACCAGCAGCCTATCCACAACACTCGTCAGAAAGAAGTAAATGGCAGTGGACACATTTGTAAGAAAAACACTTCCAGGTCCTCCCCATGGTCTCCCGTGTGCCTGCCGAAACGGAACAATAAAGCGCATCCATGGAAATAGAGTCCTTGAGATCGTCAGATACACGCCCATGCATGCTATCGCCATGCCAGTGCTGGCCATGTAAAGACAAAGCATGTCTGCTACCACAGCACCCATACTCTTCCTCATGTAGTTAACCAATCCTCTGACCTGTGTGTACCTCGCCTTCGTCCACAGCACCTCTTCTGCATATGCCAAAAGCACCGCAGAGGATGCACAGAGAACCATGTTGTATGCAGAGTAGGGATTCACCGGAAGAAGTGCTGCGAGTCTGTCGTTCATGCAGGCGTTCGGGGACAGGCAGGCAAAGTACTGAAGAAATATCATCTGCGACACGAAATAACGAAGGAGAACTGCCATGCGTGCTCTTCTATCTGCCTGAGCAATCTTGCTCACAAGATAGAGATATGTGGCAACCCACAGCATCACCGTGCGTGCAGAAAATAGATTCCTCAGCAGGCCTTTGGGAGGATTCAAAAGGATCCCCAGCGGGTTTCTGGCAACCTGTCCCACCGCTGCAACCAGTACCACTGCCTCAAGCCCTGTCAGTCCATGCGCCAGCATCTGGTGCTTTCTTATTTCCCTTGCAGTCCCCATCTTATTCCGGGGTCATGGAGTGGCCACCTATTCTCTTCGTAGGTAAGTGCCCAAGCAAAATTTTACTTATAAATAAAGAACCTGTGCAAGGGACCCAATGAATGCTTTGATTACTATTGCAAGATGTTTAGAATCTATCAGGATGGTCCACAAAAACCTAACGGACACCACAAGGTACGAGTATGTAGAGATCCCTAATGGGATGCGGGCATTGATCATGTCGGATCCAGGGCTGGACAAGTGCAGCTGTGCAGTCTCTGTCAGGGTTGGGTCGTTTGACGATCCCGCAGATGCTCAGGGCCTTGCACATTTCCTCGAGCACATGCTTTTCATGGGCACCGAAAAGTATCCTGTCGAGGATGGACTTAGCTACTTCCTCTCGAAGAATAACGGAGGATATAATGCAACGACCTATGGGGAGGCGACTGTGTACTATTTTGATGTTAGGCCCGAGGCCTTTGAAGAGGCGGTGGACATGTTTGCAGACTTCTTCAAGTCACCGCTCCTGAAGAGAGACTCTGTGGAGAGGGAGGTGTCTGCTGTGAACTCTGAGTTCTGCAATGGGCTGAACAACGACGGGTGGAGAACGTGGAGGATGATGAAGAAATGCTGCAAAAAGGAACAAGCGCTCTCCAAATTCAGCACTGGGAATTACGACACCCTGAGGAGGGACGGGATATGGGAGGAAATGAAGGAGTTCTGGAGTCGAAAGTATTCCAGTGACAAGATGTGTGTTGTGATCTATGGGAACAAGAGCCCTGGAGAGCTGAAGGAACTGCTGGGAAAGTTTGAAGGAGTTCCCAAAGGGCACGGGGAGGACAGCTGTGATAAGAAGGATCGGAAGTGCAGGCTGGATGAGGGGTGGAGCGTGTTTGACGAAGAGTATACAAACAGGTGGATAAGGATACAGCCGATTGCCGATACAAGGTCGATCATGGTTATGATGACGGTGGAATCTGGATACAAGATGTTTAAGAACAACCCGTATGAATATGTGCTGAACATGATTCTTAGAAACGACTCGAAGGGATTTGCATGTAAGGTGAAGGACATGGGGCTTGTTCTGGAAGTTGAGGGAGACCTGTGCGACTATACAGACTACTCGGTGATGATAATAACGATGCATCTATCTGCGGCCGGGAACAAAAGGCCGAAAGAGGCCGTGCTGGAGCTTGTGAAGTATCTCAAGACCATGCCGGTCTGCCTGGATGAGTATGCCGAGCTCCAGAAGAGGTCCAGGTATCTGTTTAAGTACGATGAAAAGGACGATCCTATGTACCAGACAAGGAGAGTTGCAGTAAACATGCAGTTCTATCCTGTCGAGAATGTCCTTGATCATGAGCATTGCTTTGAAAGGTTTGACGGCGACGAGATCAGGGGAGTGGTCCTTCTGATGGCAGACTTTTCAAGATGGGTTGTATTCCATATTGCAAAGGATGCAGGGACGTTTGACATGCGCGAGGAGATATACGGAGTGAGATATGGAGTGGGGGACAGGATATTTGAGGCAGAAGACATCGATGCGGAGAACTCGGGAGTTGTGGAGTGGAAGGAGGGGGAGATGATAAGGACCGAAATCCCCTCAGACATCCTCACAAAGGAGCTTCCAGGCGGGAAGATCAGCTATCTATTTAACGACTCTTACAAGGTCCCAAAGGTCTTTGCAGGGTATCTGATAAGGACAGAGAATAGCAGTTCTGATGTAGTCAACATGATGTTCCTAGCCAGGAATGCGAAGGACCAGTTCTTCAAAAGATATGATGGGTCTCTGTACAAGACTGGTGTGGAGATTGATGTCCGAGTGGAGTCCCGCGGAGTGGAGATCCGCATTGAGTGCTTCAACCACATGAGCGTCGAGGTGTCCCGGATGTTCTTTGACATTCTGTTTGGCGAGCCCGATGGATCGCGTAGGCATCTGATCAAGGAAGAGATCTGGAATGAGCTGGAGGTGAAAAGAACAAGCAATCCCTACAAACGGTGCAGGGACGGAATGAAGTGGATGAAGGTCCCAGGACATCTGATGGCCGAGGAGGCAATGGAGAGACTGGACTCTGTGGACACCAAGTCGAGACTAAGCCGAAAGTTCTTCCTCGAGATGTTTGTGGTTGGAAACATCGAGTATTCGGATGCAGAGAAGATGTTTAGGCATGTCTTGACAAAGCAAGAGGAGATACACAGCTGTGGGAGAAATGAGCTCCTTGACGGGAGGTACAGGTGTGATATAAATACATGTGACGAGAGAAATAATGCATGTGCTCTGAGCTATTACTGCGGAAGGTATGGAAACCACAAGGACGTGGCAGTGGCGCATCTTGTGCACCATTCGTGCAAGGCAATGTTCTTCGATCAGCTTCGGACCAAGGAGGAGCTCGGATACGTGGTAATATCCAATGTCACATACATCGACGATGAACAGTACATAACATTTGTTGTGCAGAGCGAGAAGGATGTGGAGTTCCTGGAGAAGAGGATAAGGAGGTTTGTTGAGGAACTAGAGGGATACTTCAAGGAGATGAGTCTGGAGGACTTTGAGAAGTTCAAGAGCGGAGTCATCTCATCTTTCAGAGAGAGGAAGAAGAACTTTGTGCTGTACAGCACCGAGATATGGGACAAGTGCCTGAGAGGGGTAGTTGACCAGGAGCACGACGAGAAAGTTGTTGAGGCCGTCAAGGAGATCTCCAAAGAAAATCTGTCTGTAGGCAAAATACTTGGCCAGGTGTATGTCTCCAGAGTATTCGCTCATTAAATCATCTGGTTTAAACTTAAAGCAACATTTAAAATCTTTATTACTACAAAAGTATGAAAATAAATACCCCCCTCTTCCTTTTTAGTTGTGCTTTATAAGTTCAAAGCATCGATTCCCAGGAAGTACAATAAAATTGAGATTGGGTGGGTTCTGCTATTGTTTATGGGCTCAGATATCTCCAGACATTTTTTTCTAACGTCTATCATACTTACATCTTTTTCTTATTTTATGGTATATAAAAATCTAAATAAAGAGGATAAGAGAAACGTCCATAATTTTAAACTATTACTGTAAATAGAGACATAGAAATTCCACACATGATTCTCTGTTATTTATATTTTCTTTTATAGGAACTTTCAGCAACCATACTAAATTCATTGTTTATAAAGATCAAGTTTTATCCTATACCTCTTTGGATTTCGACGATCTTGACAAGATATTACGTTATATATTACAGAATCGCGTATATTATAACGTTAATTATTGTCATATCATCATTTAACATAAGCCATCAATTTGTATTTTAAATACCGATGTCTAAAAACCAAAAATATGATGCGGCACATAAACGAGATACTAATAGCAAAAGAAAAATATTTTCAAAGTAGTATAAACGATCATGATTTGAAAGAAATTATACTTAAAATTCAACAAGACTGTATAACCTATCACAGTACGGATCTACTTGGGAGCAGTTTGTTACACAAGCTGATATTGATTTTGATTATTGAGAAATTTAAAAGCTTATTGCTATTTGAAAAGAACATCATTTCTATCTTTGATTTAGAGTGTGTTAATTTTCAAGAAGAAATGAATAGTATCATGTATGTGATGAATGAAGTAGAAAAGCAGTATTTACGTTCAGACAAATTTTCTACGCATAATCATTCACTAACAGGTGGTTTATTTGCAAGCAACTCGGTCATTAGAAGGATCAATTTTCCAAAAGAAATATCTAAAATTCTAAGAAAATGGTTAAAGAAACATCTTACCTATCCTTATCCATCCAAGATAGAAAAAAAAATGCTTTCTAAAGAAACTGGTTTAAAGTTGTCCCAGATAGACAATTGGTTTGCAAACGCGAGAAGACGTATATTACCATTTATGAAGGAGAAGTTTATCGATTTTGATTAGGAATCGATAACATCCAAATATTTATGATGAAAGAATGAATATAATATTGAAATCCATTTTTATCATTTTGCTAATCGCATATTTACTATTTTAGTTTTTCTATAAAGATGTCCGTGCTGGGTTGCTGCAATGGCCATAAAGGGTGGAGCTTAATAGCCCAATTAGCCATGCTGTCGTAATTGGGGAGCGGTAATGTCGAGGGAGATATTCCCTCCAAAAAAAAGTATATAAGAAGATCGCCGGTCCAGTGGGAAGAACTACATGAGCCATGGAGAGGAAACTGAACTGCTACTTGATCCCAAGGAAGAGAGGTTTGTGCTGCTCCCGATAAAGTATCATGACATATGGAAGATGTACAAGAAGGCGGAGAGTTCTTTCTGGACTGTGGAGGAGGTTTCCCTGGACAAGGACATTGACGACTGGGGGAAACTGAATGCAAAGGAGAGGCACTTTATCTCGTATGTCCTTGCGTTCTTTGCAGCTTCTGATGGGATCGTGAACCTCAACCTGGTTGAAAGGTTTTCGACGGAGGTCAAGGTGCTTGAGGCCAGGTTCTTCTACGGGTTCCAGATGGCGATTGAGAACATCCACAGCGAGATGTACAGCCTGCTTATTGACACCTACATAAGGGACAACGACGAGAAGAACTTTCTGTTTGACGCGATCAGGACCATCCCGTCTGTGAAGGAAAAGGCTGACTGGGCAATAAGGTGGATTGAGGACAAGAACTCTGACTTCGCGACAAGGCTTGTGGCGTTTGCCTGTGTGGAGGGGATATTCTTCTCTGGGGCGTTTGCATCGATATTCTGGCTGAAGAAGAGGGGGCTTATGCCTGGGCTGACGTTTTCGAACGAGTTGATAAGCAGAGATGAGGGGCTGCACTGCGAGTTTGCATGTCTGCTCCACTACCACTTGAAGAAGAAATGCAACAGGATAAAGGAGGTTGTGATGGATGCGGTCGAGATCGAGAAGAAGTTCCTGAGTGAAAGCCTGCCTGTGAATCTCATAGGGATGAACTGCAACCTGATGTGCAGGTACATAGAGTTTGTGGCAGACAGACTGCTGGAGAATCTTGGGGAGGAGAGGGTCTACAATGCCACCAACCCGTTTGATTTCATGGAGAACATCTCCTTGGTCGGAAAGACAAACTTCTTTGACAAGAGGGAGTCGCAATACCAGAAGGCGTTTGTGGGGATTGAGAATGGAAACGACTCGTTCAGGATAGATGTGGACTTCTGACGGGGCTGATTAAATGGTTTGCTATGTGGATCTCAAAGGTCTTTATTAGCCTGGCTCCTGTCTTTTCTTAAATACTCGCCGTAGATGAAGTGCTGGGTCACAACGCTTCTTCTGAGTACGTGATCGTCGTACATCCTGATCATTCCTCTATTGATGCTTGCCCAGTCCTTATCCATGATGCTCTTGAGGATGCGTGAGGAGCCTCCGAGCTTCTTTTCCACTGCGACGAAGTAGCATTTGGAGCCGTCAAGCTCGTCGAATCTAAGTGTTGTGTTGCAGAGCTCCGAGGACCCGAAGAGAAAGGGGAGGAACTGGTAGTCGTCGAGCCCCCACATTCCATGGCTCCCGGCTGGCTCCAGGTTGAACTTCGTTATGAAGAGCCTGACGATCTCAAAGTACTTTACAAGGATAGTGAATACGCAGTCGATTCCTATGCTTCCCCTGCAGTACTGGGCGTAAAGATAGCACAGGAAGTTCAGCTCATGTCCGGTTCCGTAGTCCAGCCGGATCTGGTTTCCAAACGAGTTCCTCAGGTACTCGTCGTCGTATGTGTCGTATATCTTCTTGAACACCGTTTTTGCAGCCATGTTTGCATATCTCTGTGGAGACGGATCCTTCTCGGTCTCACTTACAATTCTGGTGATGTCTGCAAGGACATCCATGTGATGCTTGCTCTGTCTTTGTTCCGAGTTCTTGATCGAGTCATCAACCATCAGGATGAAGTTGTATATCCTTGCATATGCCTCGGTCTCAACGAAGTCAATCCCGTTTTTCATTGTGGGGTCGTCTGCTTCCGAGAGATAAGCATCAGGTTAACGGGTGAGAATCAGGCTCCACAAGTCTGCCCAGAATGTCTTGTGCTCCTTGAAGATCTCGTGGATCCTTCCGAAGTGGGTGTAGAATGTCTCTTTGGAGACAACCCAGATAAACAGAAACACCAGGTCATCGCAGACGCCATTATTGACAAGAAAACCGACTATCGAAGTTCTGTACCGGTCGGTATGGCACACACAGGGAACCTGGATGGAGGATTTCTTCCCCTTCATCGCCATGATTGTCCGAAGCACGCGGATGGGCGACCAGTCCTCTCCGCCGTTCCTGACAAGATACGGTGCCACAAGTGCTGGATGGCTCTCTACACAGAATCTTATGAACCTCGCAGGATCATCGGTGCTCTCTATGCTTGCCAGCACCGAGTTGATGATCGAAGCCCTTATGTTGGACGACCCGATGTTCTCCAGTATCCTTATGTACGTTCCGACAGGATGTGTGTGGGGGAACTCAAGCAGATCAAGAACAGAGCGCAGCTCTGTGGAATCCTTGGCCTCTCTTGCCCGAAGCAAAGGACTCCTCGTTGGATGGAGCCTCGGGGCCTTAGGGTCCAGGGTGTGGATCTCCAGACTGCTGCAGGCAGCCTCGGGCACCCTATACAGGTCTGTCTCTTTTCTTGCATAGTACGAAATGAAGTGTAGGAGAGACAGGTAGAGGGGCATTCCTCTTTCCAGGTCGAAGTACATTCTGTTGGTTCGCCTTATGACAGTCTGGATAAAGTGCATGGATTTGAGGTGGTCAAGAGCTTTTCGGGAGCATACGAGATACACAATGCATGCTCGAGAATACTCGCCAGATGGGCCCTCCTCGAAGAAGAACCTGAGAGAGTAGTCTACGAGGGCGCCTCTGATGGTGCAGCCGAGGACAATGGTTCTTTCTGAGTATGCCAATGCTATTCCAAGCTCGTCGGGGCTTCTGGACGCGAACACGGAATCAAAGAAGCTGTCAAGTCTTGGGAAGGACTCTGGAGGAAGGCAGGAGATGAGGTTGACCAGGAAGTTCATTATCACCTGCTTCTCCTCTATCTCCCTCAGCTTGTACACGAAGGCGGGAATCTCGTTGTCTATGAAGTACTCAAGACACCTGTGGCCAGCCTGCCTTATCTGCTCATGCCTGAGGCACTTGTAGAGCTGTGCAAGACTGTTTTTGATGTTTCTACACTCCCTCAACTCGAGCCACGCACCTACAAAGGTGTCGTACAAGGTATCATGCTTTTTGTAGAAGGACGATATGAAGTCTACCAAGGGCATCCTGTTGCTTTCTTGTGTTTTGGATCAGCTTTTATCCAGTGTTTCAGAACGAGCAGGCACAAGACTTGAGGAGATGGGGCCGGGCTGAGGCCGGCATGGACTTAAGACCGAATTTTTTGACCCGATAACATGGACATATACGACGTACTGGTCGGGCTGGAGAAGTGCCCGGAAAACTATGTTGAAGAGTATGGAAGGCAGCTTGAGCTGTTCGACTCTCTTGTCAGGCTTCCCAAACAGCCCGAGAAGACCATCAGACAAACGCTCTCGTTTCTTCTTACATTTCCAGAGATCGACAAGAGATTTCCGGAGGTTCTCGTTTCAAGCATAAGATCGATCAAGTGCCACAAGACAAGGCGGACGGTGGTCGAGAGTCTTTTCAGGCTCCGGAGAAGAGGACTGATAAGCACGGAGCAGCTGTTCAGAAATCTTCTGGAGCACCATCCAGACCCGAAGTCGGTCTTGAAGAGGGCTAGGGGTCTAGTGTCTGCCGAGGCGATCCCGTGCATCCTGGAGTACTATGGAAAGGGGGGACTGACAAGCAGAGGAGCTTCTGCTACTATCTGATTGTGTACCTGTTTGCGAAGGGACACGGGGTACTTGAGAAAGAGGTGTGTGGGGGGCTGTTTGCAGATGGAAAGGTGGGGAGGATCTGCAGGATGTACTTTCTTGACCAGATAGACTTTGAGGAGGAGAGTAGAAGCGCCATGGAGCTTTTGAGCCCTGAGGGCGCAAGGTTTGGAAAGATGGTATTCAGAGATCTTCAGAAGAGCATGATGGAGAGGGAGGAGAGGATCATGAAGATGAAGATATATGTGTTGTTTCGGAGTAGATACGGGCTGAAGGCGTCGGTTGTGCAAATGGCAATGGAGATGCTGAATCCGGAGAAGGACGACATCAAGGACCTGATGGAGATTATAGTTGAGGAGGTCATGGAGCAGGATGTTCTTCGGGTGATTGACATTGTGGGAGATGCTCTGTGCTCTGAGTTCCGGGACGACGACTTTGTGGTGTACGGGCTGAACATGATGAGAGAAATCTACTGCAAGTTTGATCCAGAGGCAGCAAAGCTCAAGAGAGAAGAGAATGCGGAAGAAGGCCCCAGGGCCTTATCTTCTGATAGCGATGAGGATGAAGGGCAGGACGGCCCAGAGAACAAGAGGAGCAGAGTTGTGGAGGAGATGGGGGAAAGAATTGCAAAGTATGTAGAATGCTTCAAGGGGTCGAAGAGCAAGAGCATCTTCTATGCATACACATCTGTCATGAATGTCATGAGGCACAAGAAGTACTGCGGTAAGGGCCTTGGGTTTATCCGGAGGAAGGCAAGCAAGGAAGAGAGAGTGGAGTCTATGAAGAGCGGAAGGGCTGAGAAGGAGAAGTACAGCGGAGGAAGGCACTCGAAGGGGCGGAGAATCAGCAAGAGGAGGAGGAAGAGAAATAATAAATAAAGAGCTTTGGCCGAGTCTGGTGTTGTGTCTTTGGGGCTGTAAAAAATTGCCAGGACGATCCCCGGAACAGGGATACACAAATGAAGACACCCAGGAAGAGAATAACGTTCAAGACGCCGAGGAAAGGTGCAAAGACGCCCATGAGAGATGGCGGGGCTTCTGATGCCAAGGAGAACAGGGTTCAGAGAGAAGGGGATATAGAGAAACAGAAGAGCCCTGACTCTGCATCCAGATACAGGCAGATTCTTGTTGAGATGAAGATGAAGGAAGAAGACTTGATAGAAAGCTACAAGAGGGAGAACGAGTATCTGAGATCCCTAAAGACAGATGCACTGCTCTACAAGAAGCTTGTTGGATTCGACATTGTCGAGAACAACGGGTGCTATGAGGTGACCCACGAGGTTGTGTCCAACAACATCACCAAGTCCATCAAGTTTGTCCTGATGCCCGAGGACAGCTCATACATCTACAAGCTTGTCGAGTCCAGGAATGTCGATCTTCCGGACTTCCTCAGCGAGGAGATAACCTTCGACGAGTGCCAGATAAAGACCTTCTTTTTCAAGGTGATGGAGGCGGTCATCACAAAGAAGAGCTGAGGCCTCATAGATTTTGTTAATAAAAATCAATGTTTAATTCCCAGAAACAATCCTATTTCTTCAGCCTTCTGATGGTTTCATTAAGCTTCTCTACCCAGTAGTCCTTGGAGTTTTTATCATCGAATGCCAGGAGGAAAGAGAAGTCGGGGAAAAACACCAGCACTCTGAACGGATGGCTGTTTTCTTCGCTGGGAAGGTTATAGTGCCTGATTTCCGTCGAGTCCTTCATATTCCAGTTCCCCTTTGGATGTCTTCTCCCATCGGCCTTGTAGTACTTCAGGATCCCCTCCCTTGTGAGGACAAAGTACTTCCGATGCCAGAAGCAGCTGAAGATCCTCCTCTTCTTCCACATCCATCCCTCGACCACCGTGTTTCCATTCTCTCTGTCCTCGAAGATCTCCTTGTTGGCGACCGTCATTGATGTCCCGAGTATAGGAGGAATGAAGGCGTCGTTTTTCTTCTCGGAAGAAGGCTTCGCATTTTCTTCAGTCTTTTCATCGGCCTCTTCCTTGTCCAGAAGAGGAGTCTGCTCCTCCCTGGGGCTTTCCTTCTTGCTGCTGTCCTCGCCATCTGCTGCCTCTTGCTTTTCAGGTTGCTCGGAGTAGTTTCCAGATCTCTCGCTATGGCATCCTCTAGCATCGCCATTCGAGCATTTCTTACAACACCCTTTGCTCTCCATAGCCGGCTCGTCCTTTTTCTCTGCATCCGTCTCCATTCCCTTTACCTCATCTACCTCCCCAACTTCTTTGGATTGTGCCAGGCTGGACTCAGAAGAATCCAGCGTCTTCTTTGCAACACTTCGCATCTCTCCCTTGTCATTGATTATTATAATGTTCTTCTTTTTTTTCTTCGTGTCCTTGCCCTCCATCGTCTCCGTCCTATCCCATCTCTATATAAACATCTACTTCTCCTTTTCGTTTTCTGCAACAAATAGGATTCCAGGTTTCCCCTGCGCCCCTGCTTCTGCATTTTGATTGGTTCCCACGCAATCATCAGTCCTGGGAAACTCCCCAATAAACCAAAGCCCAACACACCAGTAATTCATATGAAGCATTTATTTACAGCCGCCATCGTCTCGTCATATCTGTCCTTAGAAACCACTCCGGCATTCTCCTTGATGCACTCATACAGATACAGCTTGTATCTGTTGTGCATGTCGTCGTCTGCAGTGGCTCCCTCTCCAATCATCTTGCAAACCTCTTTCTCGAGTATCTCCGGACTCCTCAGTACCCTCTTTATTCTCTTGACATCATAGAACCTCATAAGCGCCCTTTTCTCCTCTAGGCAATAGCTGAGCTCTATCTCACGCCTCAGCGAGCTGAAAGTCCGAAGGTGCTCCTCGTGCACCCTTCTGCAGAGCCCCACCTGCCTCAGTCCGCTCCTGACGTCTCCAGATGCCTTCCGGAGCCTATGGAAACACTCCTCCTCAATTGCGTGGTGGAGGTCACTCTCGAACACCTCCTCGTGGATCCGGGATCCCAGATACCGAAGTCTTCCATAGAAGCGTCTTATTGGTAAGAAGACATCCGAAGCACTTCCTTCTCCTTTTCTCAGGAGGTTCCGCAGTCTCTTCCTGAACATCGAGACAACACCCACTATGCATCTGACCAATGCCTTATCAAGAACAGACACCTTCACGGGAACAATGCGCGAAATGTCCTTGACAATAGTGCACAGAAGAAGTACTTCTTTCTCATGCACGCCATTTCCTTCAAGGATAGAGACAACAAGTCTGCCGACCTCGTCTTCATCCATAAACCCCCCAAGGCCCTTCCTCGAAATCTTATCCAGCCTTCTGTACACCAATAGAAGCCTGCCAAGCCCGAGAGACTGGTTTCCGATACGCTCAGTCCTAGAGGCCTTGAGACTTTCAAGCAGAAGATCTCCGATAGAGCTTCTTACAATGGGCTTTGCATCTCCTCTACAAATTCTCTCTCCACACCCATCTCTCTGCAGGGTGAATACAAAGGTTCCTGGGGAGCGCCTGTAGTAGGCAGAGACAACACAGGACTCTCCCAGACAAGTCCCAGTCCAGACATGACGCCTTCCAGTCCATCCACACCGACTCTCAGGTCCGGTTCCCCCAAGCCATCGGTTCTTGCTGTTTCCTGTTCTCCAGACCCGGAATGAAGACGAAATAACCATGTTTATAAAAATGCATGTTTCGTGTAGAAACAGTAGATCCCTGACAGAGTCCCTGCAAACATCCAGCTCGCTAAGCACATATTCAATATACTCTATGATCTTGTTTGTTGTCAGAGACAGCCCTTCTCCTCCAAACATCCAGAGAAAAAACAGCAGCGACCCTCCAAGATCGTATGGCGATATCTGTGCTTCTCCAAAGAACAGGCTTGTCTTCAGCTCTAAGAACCCCAGACAGTTTTCTCTCAGGCTTCCCGGCTGCGAAATGCATACAATTCCATCGAGGAGCCTCCCAAGTGGAATGTTCTTGTTGTCCAGGTAATACCCCACTAGCTTCTCTCTAGACATCACCCTGTGTATCCTGTGATAGTCGAACTGAACACTAAAATCGCTCCGCCGGTACCCGCACATCAGTTTCACACTCTGCACCTCTCTTCCAGACCCGTCCAGCCCGTCCAGCCGAATCGTAAATGCCCCTCGGATGCCATTTCCCATAATCCCCTCATCCTTGCTCCGAAGCCCAACACTTACCTCCCTGCAGGGCTTGTTCAAAACCACAGGCTTTCCATCCACCACCACAAGGCCCAGAAACCCATCCTTCTTTGCTGCGCTGTGCAGTTCAGCAAACGACAACGTTCTTCTGCTCTCCACCACATCCAAGCTTCTTCTAAACAGGAACTCCGTCCGGGCCTCAAAGCCAGGCATCATTTTCCTAACATACAAAAAACTGTCGTCCCTGGTCTTCGATACTACCATCTCATTCCCTACAGCATCGTAAACATCAGCCCCAACAGCAACAGACCCAAGAGTCCCACTCTTCTTCTCACACTCTCCACTGGTTTTAATCACATTCATTTCAACATTGTCGTCCCCAAGAATACGCATTGGCCCCGCGCCAACCACCCTGAGCCCAGAAAGCAGATTCATCCTTCGTCTCAGTATCGCGACAAGCACTTCTCTGTCCTCCGTCACCTGAGGACCATTCTCTAGCCCGCCTCTATAGGAAGACACCCTAGGTCCCCGGGAGTCCGGCTCGTCTTGGGGGCCTGGAGTAAAGAGAATGGCATCCATGTACTTTTCAAAGGTTGTCCATTCAGTGCGCTCTCTTCCACCCATCTTCCCTCCGTCAAAGAGGGATTGTTTTCGCTTTTATTTGCTCCTTTTTTTAAGGAGTTCTTCCATCCTCGCTATCCAAAAGCACAGCCATCAGAGACATTACCATACGTCATTTAATAAAAGATCATTCGATGGACCTACGGATCTCTTCAAACACCGTCCCAGGAGAGGCACATCCATTAATCGTCAGGAGCTTCCCATGTCTCTTATAGAACTCAAGCACAGGCGCAGTCTCCTTGTTGTACACCATGCACCGCTTTCTTCCAACCTCCTCGTCATCGTCGTCTCTTCCCTCGTTTCGCCCGCAGATCCTGGAGATGCACGTGTCCTCATCGACATCAATGAATATAACCAGGTCAACATCATCTCCTAGCATCCCTGCCTGCTCAATTCTCCTGGGGTACCCGTCGAGAATGTACTTGCTCATACTCCGAATCTTCTTAAGCACCAGCTCGTTGACAATCTCATCAGGCGCCAGCCTTCCAGAATTAACCATTTCCCGAATAACCGTTGCTTCTTTCGAGCCTAAAATTACAAACCAGACTTACTCTTCTTCATTTCCTCCCGGATAATGTCCCCGGAACTCACATGAGGAATCTCGTATTTCTCAGATATGAGGCTTGACTGGGTTCCCTTCCCGCATCCAGGCGGCCCCATCACGACTATCCTTGAGTACTTCATTGGGGTGTTTGGCCCATGAAAAATATCTCGGACACACAGTGAGGTAGTGCATAGCAATAATGTAAATAAATACAGTGGACTTTATTTCTTTCGATCCTTCAGGATCCCCGAGAGTGGAAACCACTACACAACGGCCAGGGCTTACTCGTCGCTAGTCTTGTTTGAGTCCCAGAAGCCGGATCCCTCCTGACTACCCCCAGTGAGAGGGTTAGATTTCTTTCCTTCTCCACCACCCTCAGTGTCCGATGATTCGTTGTCTTCCTCTTCCACGGCATTCTTCTTACTCTCCGAGCTCGAGCCCCAGAACTCAGCTGCATTCGAAGAGTTATTCCTTCCACCAGTTCCAAATGAGCTAGAGTCAGAGCTTCTAGAGGTGATACTTGACCCTCCACCAAATCCACTGGAAGCGCTGTTCCCACTGGACCCAGTCGCCCCGCTTTCCGTACTATTCCCAGTAGAAGGCCACCAGCCAGCAGCAACAAGAGAAGACAGAGTGGCAAACATCACAATAGAAAGCTTCATTGATATCGAGTTCACCGGGTTATTTATAGTTTTCAATGCCAATAGAAATGTTCTTCACAGCAGCTCCTGTCGTTCCACAGCATCCAAGGATATCCCCTGTCTCCTTAATCTTTTCCCATGATCATTGGATGCCCCCTCTATGGCCTATCCAGGAAGCCCTTCAAATCCTACTGGTTGCCTTCTTCTAAATTTCAGGTTCTCCCAGAAAGGAGATCTAGATCCTGTCCATCATATCCCCACACCCAAGTTCCCTCATGTCCTCCTCCTCCAATAACCGCCTGACCTTTCCGTTGCACATCCAATAAACATTTCTGTTGTCTATCACATTATTCACCTTAACATCCAGTCTTCCGCTCATGAAGTACGGGACTGTGCTGTCCATGTACACCCCAGTCCAGTTCTTGTAGGCCAGAAACCTCTCGATCTTGGACAGCTCGTCAGCATACAGAGACGACAGCCTGGCACGTCCAAGTGTGTATTTCTTTGGAAGGTCGGATTCGCAGAGAAATATCTTTTCAACCACCCCTCTGAACCCTGCACCTACTCTTATTCTTTTCACGCCTCCAACCATGCAGCTGTACACCCTGCCGTTCAGCCAAAACGAAAATCTCGAGGACTTGTACGAGGACCGGAGAACCTCGTCCATCTTCGGCCTGGTATCCTCTCCTAGAAGAACATCCTCGCTGCTCTTCCCATCCATCTTCTTCATGAACAGCTTGCCATTGGTCCTTCCTATCCTCAGCACATGGCTCTTTCCCTCGAGCTCGACAAAGACCTGCTCTCCCATCTCTTCGTATTGGCTGAACGAGAGACACAGAGTAAAGGCCTTGAATGGAACTGTGAACACAACAGATGAGTCCCTGAACACCATTCCGTCTGTAATCCTGCAAGAGCTCATGAGCTGCCCAACTACCGTCCTCAGACTCTCAGAGTCTCTTCTCCCTTCCAGTTCTCTAACGAGGTACCTCAGCTTTGCCCTATCGTCGACCATCTTCATGTACTGCAGATTTCTCTTATCCTCCAAAAAGCTCCATCCATTCCTCTCAATCATCTCGGAAGAACACTCGTTCTCGACAAGGAGGCTGGAGTCGGAGTGGATCACAATGTTCTTCAAGGAGTAGAGCCCGTTCTTCTTGTGGATCTTGCATTCGGAAGCGCCCCTCTCCTGCATGTCTCCATGGGAGGCCATCGCCCTCCAGAGATACCGCAGCTTCAAGGACTTCCTCACACTCACTTCCCAATACCCATCAGAGTCAAATATCCCCATCCTTGTAATGTCGCCTATCGCCCAGCGGAACCTTCCCCCAAGGTCCTTCAAAATGATGTTCATGCACTTAATGAAGAAGCAGTCGTATCTTGTATCGCTAACAACGGTCTTGCAGAACAGACTCGAGTTCATCAGCGAAAGCATGTAGAGGGTCTTCCTTGGAATGTCTAGGCCTCTAAGAGTCTCCAGTATCTCGTACATAACCAATAAGCTGCTCCCCTCTTCGACCCTAGCCTCCTTCCTGATGAGAGGCCCGACAGGATACACCCTCAGGCTCTTCTCGATCCTCTTCTCATGGCACTTCTCGCACTCCATTCTTTTCTTGAACATCCTCTTAACCATCTCAACCACGGCATTCCGAACATCCTCTCTCCTCGAGGGAACCTCTCTCGCCACAAACAAGATCTTCCGAAGATTCTCCAAGGTGGCGTCCATATCGCCTTTCAAGAAATCATACTCTTTCCGAGGCGAGAGCCCCCTGTCTATCAGTAGCCTCGTGAAAGCAGAAAAGTCCTCGTATCTGCGTGTGATGTATGGCCAGTAGTGGGAGCCCGCAAGCCTCTCAAGACAACTGTCCTTAATCAGATGTGCCTTGTCCATGCACACACAAAGCGCCTCTGCATAGTCTCCGTCGATCCTTGTACACTGCTCGTAGAACATCTCGCTGAGCTCCTTGGCTCCTGCGCTCTTGATGAATCTCTTGAGAATCTTCTCACCAGCCTCCTCACTCTCTCCAAACAGCTTGCCGAATACCCTTGTTGTGTGCTCTATCCCAGATCTGTCGTAGCTCTTGGCCAGAATGTTCACCATTTCGTCCTGAGAAAACATCATCTTCAGCTTTATGAAGAGGAAGTCGCAGAGCCTGTGCGACTTCTGCTGCACTACAATCTCCTTGATCACATCCGGATTGTTCAGATACCTCAGCTCTGTGTATAGAAAGTCCGGGTAGTTTGTCAAGTACAGCAGCGACCAGTCGTTCATGACCCTCACGTTTCTGGCCCACCTAGGGAGTATCTGAGGATCTCCTCTGTAGACATACTCTATGAGATAGAAGATATCATCTGCCCCATCATACGCCATCCCATTCCCCATTCCCGAGATCGAAAGTAGGCAGTATCCAAGAACATTCACCCTGTCATAGACAATCCTTCTTCCCTCCACGAATTCCCTACATATCCTGGGTATTTCGCTTATTCCGCCGATATGCGGGGGCTCGCAAGCATTGCTGTGTATTCTGAACCTGTGTTTCTCGTGGAGTCTGGACATCCTCAGCCTGTTCCTCCAGTCGTTGTCAAAGCCATACATCTTCAGGCCCAACTCGAATATCCTCTGATAGAACCAAGGGTCCTTGTGGTTGCGGTGGAGACTTGCAGCAATCCTGTCTATTCTGGACATCTGCTCTGCAGTAAACTGCCTGGATATGCTCAGGATGCCCTCCATGGCCTGGCACAGCCTGCTTCCCTCCAAGACCTCCAGTTCTTCTATTAGGATATCTAACGGCTGGTGGTTCTCCACGATGGGTGTAGGGACGATGTGCTCTCTATCAAGCATTGAGTGTTGTTTATACAGCAAATTTAACCCGATTGTGAAACACGGAGAAACAGGGAGGCCTCTAAAACGAATCAAAAGGTTGCCCTGGAATGACAAGTCTGAAGACCCCAAAGGGTACGATGGATGAGTCTCCAAGGCAATGCTTTTTGCACGAGGAGATCATAGAAAGGATCCGGAGGGTGTTTGTTCTGTATGGAGCAGTTCCCATCTCCACGCCCACGTTTGAAATGAAGAGCATCCTCACCAACAAGTACGGAGAGGACACCAAGCTGATATACGACCTGAAGGACCAGGGGGGAGAGATATGTGCATTAAGATACGACCTGACTGTTCCCTTTGCAAGGTATCTGGCGTCGAACAAGATAAGGAGGATGAAGAGATACCAAATAGGAAGGGTGTACCGGAGAGACCAACCCTCGATTGCCAGGGGAAGGCTCCGGGAGTTTGTTCAGGCAGACTTCGACATTGCCGGAGAATGCATCCAGATGATGGCGGATGCCGAAGTTGTTAGTTGTGTGGACAGGATATTGAGTATGTTTGGAATAGGAGAGTACAGAATAAAGGTGAACGACCGAAGGATCCTTACATCCATCCTTGAGGTTGTTGGGGTTTCTTGTGAAAGCTATGGAACCGTATGCTCTACAATTGATAAGATTGAGAAGATGAGCTGGGAAGACATTGGGAGAGAGCTTGTTCTGAAGGGACTGAGTGAGGAGCAGGTGAGAACGACCAAGAAGTACATGACGATGGGTGGGAAGGAGGATGTCCTGGGTCTTCTCAAAGCCGACCCTGTCTATGGGATAGAGCGGTGCAAGGCAGCTGTTCACGACATGGAGGAGCTGTTCAGACTTTGCAGGATTCTTGGATGCAGCGGCAGCCTGGTGATGGACATTTCCCTGGCACGAGGGCTGGACTACTACACAGGAATGATTCTGGAGGCAGAGTATGTTGGGAAGTCCGTGGGGTCTGTGATAGGGGGAGGCAGATATGACAACCTCACCGAGAACCTGGGGGAAAGATGCGTGTCTACTCCATGCGTGGGGTTTTCTGTAGGTGTTTCCAGGATATTTTCCCTGCTGTATGAAGAGTATGACAAGGAGTCGTCGACCATGGTCTATGTGGGGGCGTCTGGAGGCCTGTTTCTTGATGAGAGGCTGTCGGTTCTTAGGATCTTACAGGATGCAAACATTTGCTCGGAGACCTTCTATACCAGGAGATCGTCGTTTGAAAGCCAACAGAAGTATGTTGCAAAGAAGAAGATTCCGTTTATTGTTGTGGTTGGAGAGTCTGAAATAGCGGCGGGCTCTGTCCAGGTGATCAATGCTCTCACAAGGAAAAAGGAGATTGTTAAGGTGGAGCAGATGGTGAGCTACTTGCTTGACCCAGAGAATCAATGACAGGCTCGAACACTTCATGACGCCCTGGGGATGTGTATGAGCCGGAAGGAATAAATGGCAGGCCATGCCTTCTATACCCTCAACTCTTTTCACCCTTGATGATATAAACCGTCTCGCCCAGAATCTTCCTTACCTTGAGAATTCTTGTTCCATACCCCCTTTCTTCAAGCCGTGCAAGCACCTCCTTAGGCCTGTTTGCCTCTATCACAAGAAGATAGAGCATCCCAACAGTGACAGCGTCGACAAACCTGTCGATAACCTCTCTTCCCAAGTATCCTCCCCCTATGATGGGATCATCTGTATCTGGCACATACGGTGGATTGAACACAACGACATCCACGGACTCCTGGTTGATGCTGCACAGCAGATCAGCCCTCACAAGGTTCCCTCCCCTATGGCTTTCAAGTGCTCTGATGTTGAGGTCGGTCGACACAACGGTGTTTCTCTTCCTTAGCTGCTCTGTTATCACACCTGTAGAGGTCCCGAGATCTAAAACAATTTTCATCTCTAGTCCTTCTCTCTCCAGGGCATCCATCAGAGTGTACGTGTCCTCGCCAGGCTCGTACCAGTCCATGAGGGCTCGAGGAAGCAGGCCCTAAGAGGTCCGGCTCTGTTTGCGAGAAGATATCCTTGCTCCAAGAACAAGCACAAAAAGCAGCGCTCCATGAAGAAGAAGCGTATATAACATGCATGCGTAGCCCCTGGAGTAGAGCGTCGTTGTTATGCGCCGGGCAAGATACCCAGAAAGGAGCAGCAACATTACTGCAGTGGCCTTGAATGCTCTAGACATCTCGTAGTGGGTGCAGAAGATTGAAACTAGCGTGAGTATAGCCACAAGCACGAAGGACAGCACACTCACAAACTCTGAATAGCAACTCAGCCTGGAAGCATCCATTTGGGGGCTTCCCAAATCGTCCCATCACCTGCATTCTTACTTCTTGAAAATCCCGGAAGCCCTGCAGAATGGTTGCCTTGACTGTGGAGGAACTGACGCCCGAGCACATAAGATTCACACTCTCCAACACAACCGTGGGATATGCTAATGCTCTGAGGAGGATACTGATTTCGGAAGTCCCGACGATTGCAATCGACATGGTGGAGATAGAGAGAAATAACACTGTACTTCCCGACGAGGTGCTTGCCCACAGACTCGGGCTGATCCCCATATACTCGAAAAGAGAGCTCAAGTACAAGGAAGAGTGCAGCTGCTCCGGATTCTGCTCGGAGTGCTCTGTTGTGTTTGAGATAGATGTGGTGCATACAGATGACACTCTGAGGACTGTGAGCACAAGAGACATAGTCTGTGACGAAGAGGATGTGATTATCAAGAGCGGGCCTGTCATCACAAAGCTGGCAAGGGACCAGGGCTTGAAGGCCCGATGCATAGGACGCAAGGGCGTTGGAAAAACCCATGCAAAGTGGTCTCCGGTGTCTGCAATCAGCTTCGAGTACGACAAAGACAACGTCAGGAGAGAGACAAATTACTGGTTTGAGGAGTCCATAGAAGAGGAGTGGCCCGGGGTGAGGCAGGGCGAGGCAAACCTGATGCAGAAGATCGATAAGATCCATATGTGCGTGGAGGTTGTAGAGGGGGGTGCAGGACCCCTGGCGGTTGTCTTAGAGGGACTGAGAATACTCAAAGAAAAAGTAGCAACCCTGTCATCTGCAGCTGAAACAATGGATTAAAGCCTGTTCCGATAATCTTTATTGCATTTATCTATGCACCAGACTTGTTCTTGATGCTTTCAACATACTCCTTGGCCCTTAGCTTCACCTCCTCGATGTTTCCGTTGTTCTCCTTCTCGTACTCAAGCCACATCTTGTAGAACTCCTTCATGTCGCCTATCCTCCACTTCTTCTCGACAACTCTCCTGTAAAGGCCTCGGAGATACGCCCCCCTTTCGTTCCTGATGTATGCCATCCAGACATCCTTCCTGTCGGCTAGTAACCTCTCCACCCATGCCCTTGGATTGTCACAGTACTTGTACATCATGTCAATCGATACCGAAAGGAATTCCTTATGCTTTTCAACAAAGCTCATCGCCTCCTTCTCGTCAACCCTGAACAGTGCATCCAGGTACATTCTGAACGACTTCCGCGTCCCTGTCTTCTCAAAATAGAGCCTAAGAACTTCGATGTCGTCGGTATTCGATGCAACAACGTCCAGGAACTTTTGAGAGCATATCTTCGACAGCCTTTCTATTGTCCTCAGGCACTCCGCATCTCTGACAAACATGAGGTAGTTCACAAACGAGATGCAGAGATTATCCTTCTCCTCTCCCTCAATTCTGGGAAGGAACTCATGGAATATCTTTCTTGGCCCTTCCTCTTCTCCAATCTCGATCTTGTGCTGTATGTACCTGATCACAGGCATGGCTTCTCCAGGATGTGCCCTGATGTCCATCAGGATATCCTCCTCCGTGACAGCCTTGCTTCTCTTCCTTTCCGCCCCCAGAGATTTGTTCTCTCCTCCAACCTCTTTTTCTAGAGAAAAGCCGGGTGCTTCCTCCTGGCCCAAGACATCAAATGGAACAGACAGATCAACCTCCTTGCAGTCATCCTCCAGCACACACATTCTCTTGGTGCTCATCAGGAACACCCCATCCCTGATATCGTATACAACTCCCCGAACATGGCCTCCATATCTTCTTCTTGCAGACTCCTCCATCGGCATGTAGCCGCTATGGCTTCCATACTCAAGCTGTATCCTGCTCTTCCCGTAATCCTTGATCCGGGCCTCGACAACAGACCCTATTCTCAGCTCCACATGCTCGACAAACAGATAGTTCCCCAGGCAGATCTCCTTGACCATGCATGCCACAACATCCCCAACCTTGTATCTGTTGCTCGTGATAAGAAATCCTCTGACATTGCGGTCTCGGACTCCATAGTTGTTATTGGCCATCACAACAGTAACAGTCATCTTTACCACTCCCCCAATGGGATCGTCGACCTGCACAAAGTGGAGCTCCCTATCCTTCTTGTACAGAACAACATTCACAGTATCCTTCACATCGTTGTTCTGCAGCAGTAGAGTCCCAGAGCCATATCTAGTCTCCACACTGTAGATTCTCTTTCCATCCTTGTCTAGCCTCCACTTAACCTCTCCACTCGTCTTGAATCCAGGATAGAACGTATCAAACTTGTAGATCTCCGCAATCCTAAGCTCGTTGGTTTCCTTGACAACTCGGAAGGTATACAGCACATCCTTGTCCACCTCGTCACGGGTGATTGTCACCTTTCCATCCGCAGAAAATAGCACGTTGACATTTTCCTCGCTGGACACAAGATAGCTATTGAATATCGAGGACACATAGAATATCTCTATCTTTCCGGCATGTCTAACAGGATGCATCCCAGTAGCCATGCTCAACGGCTCAATCTCATACGACCCTGAGGGCGTGATGAACTTCCTGTTCAGTATTCTTCCATACAGATACGTCGATTCTTGCCCAAACAGCTTCATTTCCAGGGAGAAAACCGCCGAAAAATAAAAGAGTTTCCTGTCCTCGCCGTCGCACTGTCAACAAGCCTCCTCCCAAGTTGGAGACACACGCCGGCAACACACAGGCTGTTTCCAAGATACTGTCCATAGTCCCGCCGGCTCCCTGCAATCCATCGGAAGGACGTGCCTACAACATATCCCGATATAAAGGATGCTCCCATCGTCCTCAAAATGCACTTCCTGAGCGACGGGCGGTATACGTCCTTCGTCTCCGGCTCCAGCATCGGGGCCGGCAAAGTACCCGGACAAAATACTGCAGATTGGTACAGAAAAGAGTTTATTTTCGTCCTTGCAGGAAAAACAACACCACGACTACTCCTTAATGTTCAGCTTTTCCGAGGTCCACTCCTGGAAATAGTTCACCACGAAGACAATGGTGAAGGTCACAAGAATGAGGATGCCCCCAACCATGAATCCAGAGAACAGCCCTTCTGTTGCATTCGTCCCGTGCATTCCTCCGAACATGTCGAAGACGCCCCAGACGTTCACAAATGCGGCAAGCCCGAGACTGGTCACAAATGCCTTTGAAGTTGCAACCAGGAGCCTACTGTCCTCCCTCATTCTCCCAAGAACAAGATATACAAAAAAGAGAACAACCCCCAGGACCCCTGCATAGAGAATCGACTTCATCCTTGTGATCAGCACAATGAAGTATGTTGTTCCGTAGGCAGAGATTAGGGAGAAGACTAGACTTCTAAGTTCCCCGTTGTAGGACATGGCTGCAGCAACGATCCCGACCAGCAATGCCAGAAGCATGTGCATGCCGAACATAAGCCCTGTGGACTGCAGAACATGCGAGACACTGAAGTATGTACCCACGACGGACGTGGCGCAGTATTGGAACTGCTCCAGTGACTTTCTGGGGGTGTTGATGAGTGCTATAGCCACCAGCAGCCCCAGAGCGTAGGCGATGTTGAATGCTGTGGAACTTCCTGATGCTGCATACTCAGGAGTTGCAAAGGCAAGATCTCCTAGTGAACTGGCAGATGTGCCGTTGGTTGCAGATGTATCGCCCTCCGCTACCTCACACAAGACTAACGAGAGCAGAGGAATGAGAAATTCCAAGTTCATCTTTCCTGTGTCTTCTTGATTTTGTTTTATACTTTTTCGTTTCTTTTTCAAGGTGAACGATTGGTTCTGGAATACTTTTCTAACAAACGATGTGTCGTAGAGGAGACGAATGGGAGCAAGGGATGCATCCATTGGAGCGAAACAGGAATGGAGGAATATGAGTCGTGCATTATGCTTTATTTGATGTGCAACAAGGCATTCCAATCACTTAGTAGCCAAGAGGCAGGCTGGGTGCACTAGTACCCACCCCAGTTCCAAATGGTGGTCCGGGGAAATAGCTGCCGCGGTAGTAGGGAGAAGAGTAGGGAGAAAAGTAGGGTAGTGAAGAGGAGCCACCACCTGTGGAGGAGTACCTTGAGACGTACCTAGAAGAATACATTGCGCTGCCTAATCCAGAGCTTCCTGACGTTGAAAGGATTGACACTGCAAACACTGAAATTATTCCAACTATGAATTTCATTATGTTCCGATACTTTTTCCATTAAATATTTTGTGCAAAACACCCGTTTCATTGCTTTCCAATTGGAAGTCGCCTTACCTTGCAGTTTCTTATTATCCAAAATAATTGAGTCCTGGGGAGCTGATTCTGAGGGCCTTTGTCTCAAAGCCCGTCCCTCCATTCCTGTGCCCTGAGAGGGGCAGGGATCATAGCTCCTTCTTACTGCTGTATCCCTCGGACCTTATTTCAAACTTCAGAAGCTCTCGGAGGATTGCCATGGGGTCGCTGAATATCAGGTCAGGAACCCTCTTTATGAACTCCAAGTCCTCCACAAGAGAGTTCTGGCGTCCTACATAGAATGTTATGATGAATGTCTTCGTGCTACGGTCGCTGACAAATGTCAGGAACCTGTCTATCTCTCTTAAGGCGTCTCCGAGAATGGGGACCTTCATTGCTCTCTTTGGAATGAACACTTTGTAGAATGCGGGGAAGAGAAATGCAAACTGTCCTGGAATGAATGCAACAACATAGCAGCACAGAACATATCTGATGTGGAGCTCTATGGAAAGATGTCCATCGATCAGGAAGTCCTTGAAGTTCAGCCTTAGGTACTCATAAAGCCTGTTCCATGCCTCCTTGTCATGAATTCCCGACACCTTTGTCGTGCCGATCTTCTTGTTGAATGCCTTTGTCAGCTCATCAACCTTATCTGTCTTTATCTTGACGTCATCTGCAATTGGAATTGACCTATCCTGCTTGGAGGTTATTTCCCTTGGCGGGTATTCATTGATCTTCTCCTCGACGTCACTCAGACTTAAGTCTGGATCTGGATTCGACAATGCCTCCTGTGCATCCTTCCCAAGGCCTGCATATTCTCGGTCATTTGTGCTCTCGCTCTCCTGAAGCTTGAGGACCATGTCGTCTCGAGGGATTTTACTCACATCCACTGCCGGCTCATACCAGGACAGGATCTTTAATCCAAAAGCTGCAAGGATAATCGGGGCCATCATAGCTTGAAAGATGTTGAAAACAAACCTCAGGTGCTAAGAACATCTTACCCTCCTGATGGAGAAAGGTTTCAAATAAATCTGCTACAAAACCTGATGCAGAGGACTGTACAAAGGGGCAGGGGAGGGGCGGATACGTTTGAGGTAATAAAATTATTTGTGGCCGGGGGTTATGAACGAGAGCATGAGGAAGAAGTTTATCGAGCTCTTAAATATATATGGGTCTGATTTTGACATGATAGCAAATACAGATGAACTGGGCGGAATGACCAGTGAAGTACTGTGTTCCAAGTACCCGGAAATCCTTGACACCTACTTTTCGATGAACACTGAGCTCAACCAGGAGGAAATCGACTGGCTGCAGATCAAGGAGATCTACTACATGAATGAAAGATTCTACTTCGATGTCCTGGTGGGGGAGCTTGGGGGATCGCATGTAATCAAGAATGGAAGGGATCTGGAGGTGGGGAAGGAGCTGGTACTACTCCTCAAGGACTACGAGTTCATGCTGCTATCAAAACTGAGCATTCTTGATAGGCTCTATAAGAGCCTGTACAGAGACGGGATGCTGAGTGAAGACCTGAGTAGGAGGATCTGCATACCTAAGTCTTCGGAGGAAAGAAGCAGAAGAGCCAGGTCTCCACCGCATGTGGAGGAGCCTACGGCTAAGAAGAAACCTGCCAACATAGCGATTGTGGTTAAAAACATCCAGGAGTCAACCAAGGATGTGGAGGACAAGGATAAGGACGGCACAAAGGCCGGAAGTGCAAAAGATTCTATAGAGAGCTCTCCCAAGGAGGCCCAGGGCGATGCTGCGGACTCCTCGCTGGACCAGCAGGTCACAAAGAAAGACAACACAGCGGGGCTTGACTATTCTGCAATTCTCAGGCTTTCACGGGAGCAGAAGAAATGAGCTCAAAATTTTCTCTAATGTCTAGCCCTGGAAAATCCTAAGTAAAGGCCTTGCTAGGCTTGTATGAGTCATTTTCCTCATAGCACAGGAGGCGATAAGAGCATTGCTCCTGATTGGAATAATGTGTCAGACGCCTCGGACATTTTCTTTTAATTATACCTATTCTGCCTAAAGGTGATGCCTATAAACAAGGTGTGCGGCATTGGACAAACAGTGGCAAAGGCTGCAAGGCAGGAAGCCGAGCAGGGGGGAATAAATTGTTTGGAATTGTTTAAGTCATTCGCCTGACGTAATTTCACCCTGATGTGCAAGGAGGCAGAGGATTCGCATGCAGTGAGTATGAGGCGATTTTCACAGAACCAGACAAGCACGCTCCCTTCTGGATGCCGTGAGGAGCACAAAAGAATTGTATATGTATCTCATCCGACAATGCCTGACAAGAAGATCAAGTACCGCCTATGCTACACAAAGTCCAGCAGCCAAGACTTGGAAAACAACGAGATTCTGCGGATCGAGATTTCCCACGACCTGGAGAATCTGGTACACTACATCAGGAAGATCCTGGACTACCACAAGTTTAGGAAGCTCAGGATATATGTGAGGTACAGCGAGTTTCTGAAGCTCCACGAGGAAATAGAGAAAGTCAGCAACGACCTGTTTACCTGCAACTATAACTTCAAGTTCAGCTTCATTCCAAGCAGCTACAGGGACGATGAGTATGTACTTCTCTACGAAATAGAGGGAATAAGAAGGGGAGAGCACTATGGATAAGGAGCATGAAGGGAAAAGCGCTTGCACTGCCTACTGTCTAAAAGATTTTAATTAGTAAACTGTTATTATCGAGAGCCTTTCCTCTGAAACTCTTCGACAACTAAGATAAAACATACAGAGAGCCAGGTCAGAAGCATCCACAGCACCTTGGCTCTTTAGTTCCCTCATTCCTCATGTCGATCTGGTTCTGGAGTATCATGAGCCTTGACTTTGCCTGTGTGTTTCCGGATTCGTAGGAAATCGTGTACCACCAGAGCGCCAAAAACGTGTTTTTCGACGTTCCACACCCGGTTTCAATGAATTCGGCCACTGAGAATGCAGCCTGCGAGTGGCCTCTTACTGCAGCCTTCAGCGCCCAGAAAAACGATTCCTTCAGATTCGGCTGCACGGCTTCCTCAACTCCTGTAAACAGGATTCTGGAGTATATCATCTGGGCATCTATCTGCCCAAGGAGAGATGCTCTTCTGTACCACTCGACTGCAACCGGAAGGTTCTTGTCTTGCATCAGCTCTCCAAGCTCGTAGCATCTTGCCACCCTGTACTGGCAGTTTGGGCAGTCGAGCTCCGCCCCCCTCAAATACATTCTAAATGCGTACTCGTCGTCTGGCTGGATTTCGCTAGGTGCCGTGCTGGACTCATAAGTCTGTGCCAGGTCGTAGTATGGATATGGGTACTCCTTGCTGGCCTTCCTTGCAGCAAGCTTCAGGTAGAACAGCCCGCTTTGCAGATCCTTCTTGCTCCCTATGTCTCCATTGATAAGGATGGACCCATATGCATGCATCCCGACGACAAATCCTAGTTTGGCAGAGCATCTGTAGAAGTCCAGGGCGTGCCTGTGGTTCCTGGGCTTTCCAATGCCCTTTTCAAGGCACTGGCCCATCCTAAATGTCCCCACCGGATGATTCTGCCTGGCTGCAGAAGAGTAGTAGCCTATTGCCATCCTTCCATCCTTGCGAAGCCCAAACAGCCCAAACTCATATCCAAGCCCCATGTATGTCTGTGCTTCTGACAGCGTGGAGTCGTAAGGATGTGACTTCTCACTGCTGCTTATTGTCTTGGAAAGGAACTCGAGGCATTTCTTGTTGAACTCCTTCATGGCATCCTGGTTCTCTTCCTGAGCTGCCAGAGGGTCTTCGCCAACCGAAAACAAGTGTCTATAGGAATCGTTGTCATCTTCGACAAACCTCATGTACTCGTTAAGGAAGCCAAAGACATCGCTAATGGATCCAGACTGAAATGTCTTCTTGAACTCCAGCTTCAATGCTTTGTTCAGTCTTCCAAACAGCGAGTTCATACCGTGGGAGCATGTGTAGAAGGCATCTTAAGATGTATGGAATGCACTAATCGAACATCTCTCTCTCCATTTTAACTAATTTGTCTTCCAGCCACTCAATAGAATCTCGAGTCCACTTTGGGAAATTAAGAATATTTCGATCAACCTTGTTATGAATATTTGGCTTCGCGTCTCCTGCACGTACTAATACACCCAGCAGCGGGGCGATTATCGAGTCTTGTTCTCTGCCGAGGCTGTAATTATCTAGAGCAATGCGTCTGGGCCCATGGATTCATTGGCAAGATAGGTTTGTGTGGAATGCTGCCGGGTTTGGCACATCCTGTTGCGGACCTGAGGAACTCTGTACACACAATGGTTTGTCTCTGTGCAAGATAATTGGTTTGCTGACTTGAAACGACAGGGGAAGCTGGGGATATAAGCAAGAGATGGAGATGGCTCAATGGAACAAGGAAACGGGCATGCGACAGCTTCCATTGACCATCCACACGACGTCGGAGATGGCGAGCATTGCTCCTTGTCTCCGCTGGTCTACGGATTCTCATATTCCCCGAGCGAAGACCGGATCATCGAATACTTGGACAGCATGTCGGACAACCAAGCTCCGGAGTCGCACATTGCAGCATCACATCGCGGATATGCTCTCGAAGAAAGGAGGGCCATTGTATTGGATCCATATCCCATTGGCAGGATATCAAGAGGGAAAGTAGATGTCAGCTATGGATTTTTTAACGAATATTTGTACGAGAGCCATGAGCATGGGCCCAGCAAGCTTCTGAAGGCCCATAGAGTCATGTGCGGGTTTGAGATATACTCGCTCGGACAGGGTGATGAGGAGAAGGTGGGATGCCTGAGGTCGAATCTGTTCGGAACGAAGTACATTCTCTATCAAGGCGAGAAGGCAGTTTTGGAGATCAAATATGCCACATCGATATTTAAAAGACGAGGGCCAAGATCGTTCTCTGTGCTGTTCACGGGGATATCGGGATCGTCGTTGAAGGAGCCTGTTGTGATGAGGAACAAGGAGCCCTACTACAATGCGGAAACCAACAGTTACTCCCTAAACTTCAACGGACGAGTAACTACGCCCTCTGTGAAGAACTTCCAGCTTATCCATCCTCTCGAGCCAACATATGTGACATTGACATTTGGGAAGATCTCGAGGTTCAAGTACATACTTGACTACACATATCCCTGGTCTGGGGTGCAGGCATTTGCAATAGCGCTTGCGGCCCTGGACTACAAGGTTGGATGCGACTGAGTCCTGAGCTTTGTCTGGTAGATGTGTGTAAGAATAAACAATCCTTGCTAAGCTACTGTTTTTGGTGGATAAAATATATTTCCGGCAATGCCTGAATTGTCTTGAATGAAAAGAGTTGATGGAAGAGAAATGGAGAGAAGGCTCAGCTTTGTACTAAAGGGAAGAGATTCCCGGTGGGACGGGTCGTGTCCGGTCGAGTGCTCGAGGGTTTTTGTGGTTGGGGGCCACAGGGCGGTTCTGTCTGGCACCGTGCTATTTCTCGACGAAAAGAAACTCGAGGAGGATGTCATTTATCTAAGCAAGGACGGAGCAAGGATTGTTGCAACAAAGTGCAACGAGATTGTTATCCTGGACATCTCCGAGTCTACCATCAAAAGGGTGGAGACGAAGTCTCAGATAAGAAGAGGAGAGGTGTGGAACGAGTATTTAGGGATATTGCTCGAAGATGGGCGGCTGGAGGTGTTTAAGGATGGAAAGTACATGCATGAGGAGAAGGATGTAAGGGACTTTCTCCTTCCAGACTCTCTTGTCACCCTGGATGGGAAGTTCATGAGCCACGAGAATGTAAGGAGGATTTTGAGAAGTGCCGATGGGAGTGGGATCATAGTTGTGAGTGATGAAAAACTAGTCCTCGGGGACAACGAGGTTGAGAACATGCTCCACAGAGGAGACATGGAGTACGATAGGGGCATCGCGCCATGCTACTACCACTGCAACTTCCATGGGGTGAATCTGCTGGCATCAAGCAACTCCTCTAGGTTTCTGCTTCTTGGAGGTGATCTTCATGAGTTGGAGCTGGACGAGGAGATAAAGCTGCTGGGTCTGAGAACTGACGAGGAATTCAACGTCAGGTATCTAACTGGAATGGACCATTCTGGAAGATATGTGTATCTTATTGATGAAGATGGGGTTCTAAGCAAGTTTGAGGCCTGTGGAATAGAAGGCGAAAGGGAAACGGAAGAGGACATTGAGTTTACAGAGAAAAGGTACTCGATTTCAAGGGAAGAAGGGCTGATAAGTACTAACGGGGGGAATGAGGGTCTACTTGCTGAGCCGATGGGGAAAAAGAAATCGCTTTCCTCTCTGGCTGGCCTACTAGATTCTGTCGAGGAGGATAATGTCTCTATGGAAGACAACAGGACCCAGGGCGATGAAAATGCTTCCTGCACGGAGTTGACTGGAGACGGCCGAGTGGATGCACTGGTCGAAAGAATTGCCTCGCAGATAGATGAAATCACCAAGGACTTCGAGGGAATCAAGGTCGAGAAGAAGGCTTTCCGTATGTACAGATACAATGCAAACGATCTGTCATTGTCTGTCGAGCAGGCATACAAGAACATCATGAGGCTTGAGAGATACAGGTCGATAGGGGACGAAATGGCTGAACAGCTTTCTATGATGCTCAACAGCCTTGAGGTTTACGAAGGGATTGATGAGGAAAGCATAAGAAATGCAGTGAGATATGTTGACAGCGCAATAGAGGGCATTTCGAAGGGCCGAAGAAGAAGGGTTGTTCATTACACAAAGCCACTGCTCTACGGGATCGGCAAGGTAGGGGGTGTCGATCTGGGACTGGACAGGAAAACCGTTGAAGTACAAAAGACACTAACAGACGCTGATTGCATAGAAATGAAGATGGACAATGACACTCTGGACGAAGGCTTTACGCATCACTTTAATCTTAACCAGGCATCTATAGAGAGTGCACCTGAGGAAAAAGGGGAAAGGCCCCCAAGCAAGCAGGAGGATGCTTCTCCGGAAAGAATGGAGGATGGAAAGGAGGGATCCAATGAAATCCGCTCGAGCACAGGCGCTACCTCGCCTGTGGAAAGGACCTATCCTTCCTTAAATACACACCCTGTACGGCAGACTAACATCTTTGGACAAACTGTATCCAAAAACGATCCTGTACAGTTTGGAGGCCTATTCAGCAGCTCTTCTCCATCCAACATTTTTCAGTCGATAACCAACAACCCCCCACAAGTTCCACAGGCTCTGGAAAAGAAAGAAGAGGACCCTAGTCAATCGGTTCCAAATGCATTTTCGAGGTTTGCAAACAGCAGAAGCCTATTCAAATAAACCATTTAGGGCAAGGAATATCTTTTGGGGACTCTACAAGGCGTCGCCTGTAAATCAGCCGAAGTGAGTTTAATTTTCAGGTTTGTTCTCCTTTATTGGCTTTCCTGCCTTAATTATTTCATCAACCAGCAATAGGCTTGTGGCAACAACAGCAGAGTTGGAGATCACTGCAGATACCACCGAGGAGTTATCAACAACACGCTCGCACTCCCCTCCTCTGAGTATCCTTGTAAGCTCTTCCTGTATGTCTTTCCCGGAATTCCTCAGTAGAGCCTTGATCATACTAAGAAAAGCATTCTCCATGATCTTGTATCCAATGACATCTCTGTCGGAAACACTATCCATCCTCTCTCTAATATGGAGGACTAGAGACCTATAAAGGGAATAACCACCTTCAATGTATGTCTTGTTCTTCAGAGACACATACATGCTCTTCAGGGCTCCTCTGATCCCAGACTCCATTCGAGACATCTCGTGCTGGCTGTTTCCCCTGATCAGAATTGTGCAAGAGCCCTTGAATGGCGTTCCCTCAATGAAGGTAAACATCTCGTCGCCAATCTTCCTGACACTCACTCTCTGGCAGTATCCTAAAGCCTTTTCGCTGAGTTGCCCAACCTGTGTAATCAGACTTCCACCACACATTTTCACGAGCCTTTCCAGATTCCTCCTCTTTGCTCTTCTCAGAGCAAGAATCCCAGACTCTGCAAACACCTCCAGCGAGTACGGGTCAATCCCCTTCTCCGTCACCACTATCAGGTTTTTCCCATGGCTTTCTTTGATCCTCCTTCCAAACTCGGCTATTGCCCTCGACCTCTGCAGGATAAATTCCCTCTCCCGAACAGCAAGCTCGTCCCTTTGCCCTGCAGTGCTGTAGCAGAACTCTGCATTTATCTCGGGCTTCTCATACTCAAGCGACATGTTGGTTATCAGGACACAGACATCCTCCAGACTGGTAGGCATTGCGTAGTGTCGCCCTCCATGGTCAAGCACAAGCCCGTCCACGTACATGGTTTCAGACACATCCCCTTCCTGCATCTTAATAACCTCTACCATATTCATGTCAAAAAACTGTGATTGAGTGGCATTCTCAACGGCCTGTACTAGTATCCGAGACAGCCTTGTGGCCGTTTCCTCGTCGACCTTGGTCCTGATGATACTATACCCCATTCTACAGAGTGTGTCCTCTTCAAACGGCCTTTCCAGCGCCTTGAGATAGCTCATAAGGTCGTTGAGGCATGACTGGAGAGAGGAGCATATCCGGGGAATTGGCACCCCGTTGTTAAAATGCCGGAAAGCGTCGCCAAAGATCTCGCAGCACAGGACAATCAGGCTGCATGCCCCATCTCCAAACGTGGTATACATTGACGTTGCTGCCCTTGTGATGATGATAGATGTAGGGTGTGTGAACTGAATCTCCTTGCACAGAGTGTTGCCGTCCTTTGCTATCCGAAGCGTTTGCCCAGGGGATATCAGCGCCTTGTAGCTCCCAAATGGCCCCATGCTTGACGAGAACAGCGTCGAAAGTGTTGTGGCCGTGCTGTTGTTGATTCGAATTGCCTGCCCAAATTGCGTAACCTGAGCCTCAGAGTGCGTGGAATTCATTGGGGTAAATTTTTGTCGGTGGATAACAACAGAAGACAGGGAGATGAGCTTTAAGCAGACCTAGAAAAATCACGCGTTGCCGTCAAAGCACAACTGGGCCGGCTTCGGCTGTCCAAGGCTCCGACGGCCAAAGGCATCATCAAGAGAGAAGAGATACTACTCTAATAGGATACTTAACTGTTTTACAAGGAAAATAAAACGGCAGGTCTACTTGATGCAATGAGTAGGAAAGAAAGCAAGGCACCCAGAACAAGAATGACAGCAGGGCAGACCAGGGTCTTGATGTCCTTCTTCAAGGATAATCCGTTTCCCTCCACAACTGCCAGGGAGAAGTTGTCAAAAGTCTTGGGTGTTGGCCCACGGACAGTCCAGATCTGGTTCCAGAACCAGAGGCAGAAGGCCAGAGGTCAGGCCAAGGTGTCCGACAGAGAGGAAGGGCCCAGAGCCTGTACCGGCAGCGAATGTCTTGGGAAGCTGTGCATCCTGGCGTGCGCAGCAATCAGTAGGATGGAAGAAGAGGCCGCCTGGAATCTTGGGCACTAGAGTGCAGAAACATGTCCAATGGAATAGATCAGTAGAAAGAACAGCCCCAAATGAAAAAGCCGCTATCTGGCTATGGAAGCTCACATCCTAATATTGCAGTCATAAAGTATTGGGGAAAAGCAGATACAATAAACAACATGCCCTCCAGCCGATCCATCTCATTTCCCTTAACAAACTTCTTGACTGAAACTGTTGTCGAGCATTCTCTGGAAGAAGACAGGTTTTATCTGAACGGCAAAATGCTTCCCATTGGCGAGAAAATGGGTCGGGCTGTGGAGATATTCAGGAAGAAGTCTGGAGATGATAGGCCAGTCTGCATCAGATCATTCAGCAACTTCCCGCACTCCTGTGGACTCGCCTCCTCGGCATCCGGGCTTGCAGCACTTGTACTGGCTTTGAATGACTTTTACGGCCTAGACATGCCGGAAGAAGAGTTGTGTATTGCTGCAAGGATTGGGTCTGGAAGCGCCGGAAGAAGCATATCCACGGGGATCCACCTGTTTGACGGGATGTCTGTTGAGAGGCTCCCCTCGTGGAAAGAGGTCCGGATCCTCTCCATCATCCTGTCAGGGGACTGCAAGAAGACAGGAAGCACCGAGGGAATGATAAGGACAAAAGAGACAAGCAACTTCTACCAGGAGAGGCTGGCTAGAATTGAAAGAAAGATCAAAGCCATGGTTCAGTATATTTCTCAGAAAGACTTCGACGGGTTTGCCCATCTCACAATGAGGGAGTCCAATGAGCTCCATGCCATCCTCATGGAGACATATCCCCCAATTAGATACATCAGAGACGACGGATTCAAGGTCATCGAGATGTGCCACGAGTTCAACAGGGACAGGACAAGGGTTGCCTACACGTTTGATGCTGGCCCAAACCCATTCCTAATAACCTTGGAACAGCACCTCCATGCGGTAGAAGACTTCTTCAAAGCCTACGAGCTGGTTCCGTGCAACTATTAGATCTCTCAAGGACAAGTCCTCAAAGACAACCTTAGAATTCCAACAGGAACCCAAATCCGTGAGTGCATCCAGACTTATTAACCTCAGCATTAATGTTGAATGACAGCCCCTCAGTTAGCTTCTCGGCAAGGCAGAAGCTTAGAGACATGTTGCTGCTCACACTTGCCTTTGCCTGGGCTTTTGGTGTTGATAGCCTGCATCCTATGGCTGCACTTGGAGGGCAGGTCCTCGGAAGCTGCACCTCGGCACCCATATCAAAGAACTTTCCAAGCCTACGATAGTAGTTGAGGGTCAAGGCAGTAAACTGCTGCAAACCCACAGAGAAAATCCCGCTGCTGTGTTCATACCTTCCACAAACGGAAATCCCAAGCTCTGAGTCGGCACCTATGATTTCTGCACCAAGGCTCAGAGTTCCAAACTGCTGGAGGGTGTTGGCAACGTACACCATGCCAGTGCCCTTTATTGCAGGGCTTATCAACTTCAGTCCAAGATTATTGACTCTGCTCCTCATCTCCAGCTCGACCTGGCTGAACACCTCCTTTCTGCCTGTAATTATCGTGTGGACCCTTGTGGCAAGATTCCCAGACATGTTCATGGCCTTGAGCCGCAGGCTGTTTTCATGATCCACGCTGATTTGCACAAGAGAGTTCCCCAGGCTAAGTGTTCCAAACGTCTGGCTGACGTGAGCATTTCCATCAAGGATGTCAACCCTCGACACCTGGAAAAACGGAGCGAGCGTCTTCGTTACCTCTGTTTTCACGCCGCTGCATGTCTGGGGCGTGATTATTTCGCTCGCTTCCGAATTATATGTGTCAAATGTAGATGCTATCTCCCTTCCAAAACAGGCTCTCCTGATCTTTCCAAGGACACTGGGAATCCATTGCATCCCATGGCAAAATTTTCGCAATTAAATCCAAACCCTCAAACCTTGTTCTGAGCCTTGTGTAGCCACAGGACAGTATGAATAAGAGCTGGTAAGATTTATTTCTAGATTCCATACTTCCTCCGGCAATACTCCTCAACCTTGAGGTAGAACTCATTGCTGTTGGAAAACTCCTTAAGATCGCTCAAAAGCATCCTCTTCATGTCGGGATGGTTGTATTCCTCTCCCTTGATCTTTTCCTCCAAAAAGCTTATGACTTCGAGGTAGCTAAACCCAGCGCTCGTCAGTGCTCTTCCTAGCTTTTTCCCCTTGGCCATCTTGGAGCATAGAATATCTCCAACTATGTTACAGTCCATTGCAGGCCCGGAGGCCTTGACAGCCCCCAGGAACTCCACGGCTGAGTCAAAGTCTCCGCTCATCCCCTCCTCCCACAGCTCCCTGATGACTGCCTTGTCTGTATAGCTGGATATCCCAATGATCTTGAGGGCAAGCTCAGGATACTTGTATGCATAGTCGTTGAACAGTTCGTCTGCAGATAGAAGGTTGTTGCTGATCACCGGGTCAACCCTCCCCCTCCTTAGAATCTCAGCTTGAATGTCAGCAAGCTCCAACCTAAGCTTGACCTCGTTGAACAGATGTGTGTTGACCGACACACTCAGCGCCGTTCTTAGAAGATCGATCTTGGTTTCCAAAGACACAGGCTTGTTGTCGGCCAGCTCCAGCAGAGACTGTGTCCCCTTGACCTTGTCATTTCTGTAAACACAATACTTCCAGTGGAGCTCAAACACCCGAGGGTCGCTAGATGACATCGCCTTTTCCTTCAAAAACTTCTCGAGGAACGGAACAGATATCTTGATCACGTCGTTGAGGCCCATGGCGCTGGGCTTATCGCAGCAGCTGCATTCATTCCTAAGTCCGTTCTCCTTCAGGATGTCGATCAACGCCTCAAACAGCGCATACAGAAAATCCTCTCGGGGATCCTCTAATGCAAGATTCAGGGCCCCAGCACACCTGACACTCTTCTTCAGGATCTCAACCCCGTACTCAAAGTCGAAGTTGAAGTTCTCCCTGATAAGTGTCGTACTTCCGTAGTAGAAGCCAAACTCGTTGTACTTCGCAACAAGGCTTTCGTTGTATTGCACATTCTTAAGGTTATTCAGAGACTCAAGCAGGACCTCCCGCGACGGCCTCTTGTTCAGCATCTCAAGCCCCCTTTGATAGTAGACCTCCTCCATGGGGAGAAACAAGGGACACCGAGCACTGAGAGTCTTTATCAGAGGCTCAACACTCTGGTTGACCTTGAACATTTCGAGAATGGACTTGAGAGTTCTCTTCTTAAATCCCTCGCTGTCTTCAAGAAGAACATACCCTAAAGACCTTCCTTCAAGGCTGACCGAGTACTCGTACAGCACATTCATATAAAAGCATGTCTGCAGAAACTCATCTATAAAGTCATACCCCGCCCGTAGGTGCTTGGCCTTGATCTTGCCTCGGATATTCTTCATCTTGCTCTGTATCCTCTCGAGGTATATGTTCCTTTCCCCATTCAGAATGTCCTCAAACGGAATGTTCAGGATCGGTACCGCCAGTCTGTACAGATACAGGAACAATGCAGAGAGCTGGATGTCCTCGTTCTTCAGGCAGAGATACTCCAGCCTCCCCACATCCTCGTTGCTTGCGAGGAGCTCATAGTACAACACCAGTGTCTCCCTCTCCCCATAGCTCTTGTATATACTGAAGATTTCCTCAGACCTGCAGCTCAAAAGAAACTTCTCGACAGTCTGGATTTCATACACAAAGATCTTTTTGTTTCCCAGGAGAAGAACAGTCCTGCCGTCAATCCCAATGAGCTCTATGTCGTCCTTCATCACCACCACCTCATAGCTTTCAGAGCTTTTCAGTTTGTCGAAGTTGCAGATCTGGTCCTCGTTCAAAGAAATCGTCGTCACAATGCTTCCGTCATACCGCCCGTTTCTTGCCATGCAGAGCCTTCTCCCTGACGTGCACACCCTCATCTCCTTGATCTCCGTCATGTCCCCAATATTCGGCGATCTCTTCGTCATCACAAGCCTGTCGTTCTCGTAAAAGTCTCTTGATCCGTCGTTTTGCATCAGATAGAAAAACACCGAGTCCTCCTTCTCATCCACCACCTGGACGTCAACATATTCTCTGCACAGCACAACGTCCCTGATCTTATACATCCCTCCTTCGATGTTGTAGATGGCTGCATTTCTATCCAGGGAAACCATAAAGCTCTTCCCTATGCTCAGGGCCCTAACCGCAGACTTCTTTCTCTTCAGCACAGATGGAACCAGGCTGGACAGGATCGATGAGCTTGGGTCATAGACGTGCATTATCTTGAACGACCACGAATCAACGCTCTTGTAAACAACCTGGTACACCCCTCCGTTCTCGCATCCAATGAATACGTCTCCATTCTCCACTGCTGCACATCTCACACTGCTTGGAGAAGATGCCACAAAGTCGGTGTTAACCAGGCAGAATGTATCCTTCTCAACCCCGTAGATCATCACCTGCTTCTCGGTTGCAACAAACAGGCAGTGGGATATCCTTTCGTTGAAGATCCCCGCCCTGGGAACAAAAACCATCACTTCCAGGACCTCAGAGGAAAATGTTCCTATCTCCTCCTCTTCGTTGCTCTCGTACTTCCAGATGACCAGGTTCTTGCCATTGGAAAACCACAGCGCACCCATGACAGGAAGTATCCCAGATCTTTTATACTCAATCCTCGGAATGCTCATCTCCCTTCTCTTCACCATCATCTTCTGGACTGCATATGTCTGGTCCGACCCCGTGTAAATGTCTCTTATTAAGGGAAGCTTGCGCTCCTCATACCTTTTCGCCTCAATAAGGCTCGGATGCTTCGTTTCCATTTTTAAGGGCATTCCCGTCCAATGCAAAATTAAGAGACTGCCAAGAACATAATACCCCATGCCTTCCACTCCTCCTACTCCAGGGCCTTCTTGCCGCATACACCAAGCGTAAGACTCATCCTGTGTGCCAATCCCCCAAACTCGTAGTAGGGAATATTGGCCTCGCAAACCACAAACCCGACAGACTTGTACAGGCCAATGGCCTCAGCATTGGACGCTCGCACATGGAGATCTATCTCACACGCCTCTTTTCCCTCCAGCTCCGCTCTTATGGACTCCACCGAAAGATTAATAAGCCTCCTTCCGATCCCGCGCCTTCTGAAGGCTCCATCCACACAGATAGAGTAGATCTGGCCCCTGCCCCTGTCCGCAAAGGCAACAGCCTCAGAATATCCTACGATTTTTCCGCCAAGGTCTGCAACAAAAGAAGTCCCATACGACGTTGACAAGGTGCTCAGAAAGGTGCCCAGCAGGAAGTTCTCTGTGGAGTTCCTAATGTTCAGGTGCTGAACCTCGAGCAGATCCTTGAACCTCATGCCCCTGAACACAACACCAACCGTTCGTTCTGCATGTTCCATACCCCTGCAACACCGGAGGATACATACGGCCTCCTGCGGCATGAGGTAAAAATTCTTTGTGAGCCCTTCTCATGAACAATCGAGTCTTGATCATTGGGCTTGACCAGAACAAGAGGGATCTTCCAGAGATCACCCCCGATAACTCCTTGTCCAGGGACGGCCTATGCATTGTGCAGCTGAAGACTAGCCAGCAGGTCAGTCTTCTTCTTAGGAGGCTGGGGACTCTTCCTCGCGTCAGGGCCTACTCCCTGAAGGAGTTTTACAGCATAATAGAAACGGAGGACAAAGAGTATGTACCGCTGAAAAGGCTGGAGCCCAAGGAATTTATTGATTTCCAGTTTTCTGGATGTGAGGAGTTTGTGGTTCTCAACAACGGTGTCCTTTCGCTGTCTGAGCAGAAGAACAAGGAGTTTGAGGAGATAGGGACATTCCGTGGAGTTAGCAAGTGTACGGCTAGCAGCGATGGGATATTTGTATGCTTTTTCATAGGTAATGCTGTTGAGATCAGGACGGGAAGGCGTCTTGACGTGTTCAGCAGGATTGCTCTTGAAGACGAGGTGACGGGTGTAACGTTCAGCCCAGACAACAAGTTCGTCATGATTTCCACAAGGAAGGAAACTGGTGTATGGGACACATTCAAGAACGAATGCATCGTCAGAGAGCAAGGAGGTCAGAGGAATGCCATGTTTGATGGAGACCGAGTTTACTTCCTGAATAAGAACAAGGCCTTTTCACTTCCATCGGGGAAGGAGATCGAGCCTGACGCAGAGCTTGCCGTTGTCCGTGACGTCAGGCGCCATGGGGACCAGAGGATAGAGTTCAGCGATGGCAGGGTGCAGAGAATTAGGTATAGCATAGGAGAACACAAGCTCTCAAAGACACATGCGAATATCGAGGAGATTAAGTTCTACTTTTCCGATAAAAGATGCTTTGCATTGCTGACAAAGAGCATACAGAAGAAAAAGGTTCAGTTTGTGGAGTCATATGGGGCAGACGGAATAACTCTTACACAGCTTGAGGGATGCGCTGAGCAGATGGAGGTGTCAGACAAGATGTTTGCCATTGTCGATTCGACGCAGGCTCTTCTGTTCTACAGCAGAGACAAGTTTGGATTTAACGTGACAAAGGAGATCAAGAAAGAGGACGACGTGCTCATTGCCTTGTGTGGAGAGGTGTGCTGTGTCTACGACTCTGACACAGGAAACATAGAATTCTACGACAACGGCGAGCTAAGGAGTGCTTACACTCACCAGTCGTGCACAGAGATTGCATGGTCACACAGTGGACTCTATGTTGCCTCGATATCTGCTGGAGACTGCTCTAGTGGGCTAGTCCAGATGTTCAACAGAAATGGAAGGCTTCTTTGGAAAAAGGTGTTCAACAAGCTCGCTTTATTGATGTGGAGGCCCTTCGTGCGTATTTCTGAAGAGGAGAAGGCAAAGGCCATGGAGCAGTTTGAAGGATCTACCACCGATGACACAGGTGAGGAGGAAGAGTGCACAACAGACATAGACGGGCTTCTTTCCAAGTGGAAAAGTTACCTCATTTCCAAGAAGCAGAGGGTCCTGTCATTGAAATAAACCATGTCATTTATTCTCAGCAGACTCGAGCCTACTGTAGTAGCTGTTAATCTCGTCTGTGGGGTACGGCGCCGATCCAACGACGTATCTAAATAGGTCCACGCAGGGAATCCATTGGCCATCCGATGAGATGCCTTTTGAATATCTTTGGCTGAAGTGTGTAAGAAGCAGGGTCCTCGACTGGGACATTTCGAAGATCTTAGCAGCCTCATCTATTGTTGAGTGGCCTGTGTGTGCAGCTCTTTCCTGCTGGTCTGAGGCAAACGTGGCCTCATGTATCATGACGTCGGAGTTGGAGGACATCATTCCGAACAAGGTTGAGGGCCTTGAGTCCCCGGAGTATGCCAGGACCGTGGTTCCATCCCGAACCCTTATTCCGCACGAGTCAGAGCAGTGGTCCACCCCGCAGATGGCAATCTCAAAGCCTGCATCAGACCTCAGCAAATAATCTTCAACATTGATGGTGTGCGAAGGGAAGTCCTGGGTCGGGGTGCCTATTTTGTCCCTGAAAACCCTCTCCAATCCCTTTGCATGATTTGTTTCTATGTACTCATGGCTCTTGGCACCGAAGTGCTCAACGAATGGTCTTATAGCCACCGGGGCAAAGATCTTTATCCTGTGGTCTAGCCTCTTTAGTACAGAAGCAATGCCCAGGACATGGTCTGCATGGGAGTGGGATATGAAGATTGCCCTGAGCTTCTTCAGAACATCGAGTTCTCCATAGGCCCTGTGTATCTGAAACAGGGCATCCTCTCCACAGTCAAGCATAATGGCAGCACTGTCCGACTCATATAGTATGCTAGATACGTTTCTGTACTTGGACGGAATGGCGCATCCGGTCCCAAGGAACAATATGGCCTTGTTCTTGTGCCCTCTGCTACATGGGATGTGCTCTCTGTGGCCTGCAGGAATGTGGGAAAAACATCTTGAACTCTTTCTGTATACAAGGGAGTCGCAGCTCTGGACACTCTGTGCGGATTCTAGTGGTGAGTGCATGTGCTGCTCAGCAGGAAGCGGGAGCAGGAAGTCTTTGTGTACTGAGTTCAGGCCTATCTGAATGCCATAGAGAGACTCATACTCTACAAAGTGGTTGTCCTCCAAAAGAAAAAAATGTCCGTCGAGAGATGAGGAGAGGAACTGTGCTGCATCTCTTTGAAAGCAGAAGAAATATCTGGGAGCTCTTCTCCTTATTCTCTCCAGGAGACCTTGGTAGTTTCCAGAGGAGTAGACGATGGCAATGGTTCCGATGTCTATATCGTCTTCCATATACTCGCCTCCACCATATGTTTTTCCGTTGCACTCTACGCTTTCTCTTCTTGTGAGCCTGGAGTATAGATGCTTTGGAATGTCCTTTGGAATCTTGTCGACCAGGAGCCTTCCTCTAATTGGCCTGATACTTAGGATGAAGCAGGACTCTTTTTTTCCTACGGCTTCTGGAAGCACATTTTCAATTGTCTCCACTCTGACAAGCCCGTCTGCATAGCTTTCCATGTAGTTAATTCTCAGGCCCATTGGATCCGCAAACCTACTTGCAGAAGCCATGATCTCTTGGAGCCCTGGGCTGCATATGATGTCCAGACTTTCCTTCTTTACGTCCCGCAGGGTTAGATACGTTCCTACAAGGGGAGGGACTGACTCCTCGGACGAGACAAAGATTGCCGAGATCTTGCTAATGCTGATACTGGATTCGATGCAGTATCTTTGGAAACCCTCAAAAAGATTAAACAGATATCTCCTGTTGTCTATCGTCAATATGAGGGACTTCCCACTCCTTGTTGCCAGATACTTGAGTTCGATCATGTTTCTGGGTCTATCACGGGGAGGAAATCTTTTATTTGGACCCATGGTGCCGCCGGCCCCAGCAGCGGATGACGGCGTGTTTCGGAATGGTGCTTTTTGACAAACAAGAAATGGCTTGTGCAAAATGAAGTGGAGAACCCTTTCAGCCGTCGGGGTTTGGTGGATATGGATGGCAAGGACTGCAGCCATGGCCAAAGAGCCGGTGGATAATGCCGAGGCGGACCTGCTCATAGAAGTTGCATTTATAAGCCTTGAGAGGATAGCGATAAAGCTCGACAGGCTGATATGGAGGCTCCTGAAAATGAAAAAAGATGGGCCGGAACATGCAGACGGCGCTATGGAGGCCCATGCTAAGAGGATGTTTGGAATCCCTATCAAGACGGAGAAGCAGTGGAAAAGGCTTGCGGAAAAAGTCAAGAGGAAGGAAAGGAGGAGAGACATGAAGCACTGGAAAGAACATTCTATACACAGAAAGGTGGTGCATTAAATCTTAGAGCTTTATTTCATTCCTGTCGATCCAAATCCAAGGCAACCCCGCTCTGTCAGGTCCAGGGACTCCACAAGGTCTATCTCACAGCTTAGCACAGGAACAAACACAAGCTGTGCTATGCGGCTGGATTCCTCGTATTCAAAGACTTCTCTTCCGTTGTTAACAAGTGTAATCACCAGCTCCTTGTCTTCTCCCGGATGCACACATGTTTCCACCACCTCTATCCAATTTCTCAGAGCAAGCCCCGACCGCCCAAATACTAGCCCCACAACCGACTGGGGAACGTCCCATGCCAGCCCTGTTCGCACAGACTTCCTCCCGTTTGGCGGGATTCTGCCCGACTCCACAGAATGGATGTCGTATCCGGCAGCACCCTCCGACTGCCTCTTCGGAATCTTAGCTCGGGGATTTATCTTACGGACTCTTATCTCACTGACTGTCATGAAGGGCTGTGGCTGTTATTTATTATTTGGCACCCACCCTAGTTTATGGACGGAAAAGTAGGCGCCAAGAAGTCGAACAGAGCGGCCATCGGGCAGCTACTACACGAGGAGAAGATAGCAAGGGTCCCGATTGAGAACATGTTTTACAAGGACCTTCCACCGCCATTTATATCGATAGTTGGGCCCTCTGGATGTGGAAAGAGCACACTGATGCGGTCGATGGTGAAGTATTTTACGCACCAACTGATAGATGAGCCTAGGGGGCCTGTGACGCTGTCCTCATCAAAAACAAGGAGGATCACGCTTTTTGAGTCGAGGTCCGACATCCACCAGTTCGTCGATGTGTCGAAGATATCCGATCTGGTTATTCTTACTATCAATGGGGCGTGTGGGCTGGAGATGGAGACGTTTGAGTTTCTCACCCTGCTGATATCCCATGGGCTGCCCAAGGTGCTGTGTGTTGTAACCAATGTTGACGGACGCAGCAATCCGAAGTACCTGAAATCGATCAAGAAGAGGATATGGGAGGAGATATGTCCTGGAATCAAGTTTTTCCATGTTGGAAAGGTTGAGCTTGGAAGATATACAGACCCCGACCTGGGGAAGCTCTGCAGGGCCGTTGGAGTGATGAAGTATAGGCCGATTGAATGGAAGTGTATGCATCCTCACGTTATTGTTGACAGGGTGGACGATGCATTTGTATATGGATATGTAAGGGGAGGGCTGATTCGGAAGGACATGGAGATCCACATTCCTGGGATTGGAGACAACAGGATGGCCGACGTGGAGGTTTTGATAGACCCTGTCCCTAGTCACGGAGAAAACAGGCTTTCGCTGAGATCAAAGATTCTATATTCACCAATGTCTGGGATTGGAGGAATCAAGAAGAAAGATGCCGGAGAGGAGAATAAGATGAAGATTGAGATGGACCCTGGGGTGGAGATCAAGATTTTCAAGGGAGGGAAGGCCATTGCCGAGGAGACTAGCAGGGATGAACTGAGCAGCACCTCGGACAAGGACAGCGATGAAAGTGAAGGGGGAGAAGAGTGCATTGAGGAGCAAGATGAGCCGAGTCTTGACTTTGAAGAGCTGAAGGAGATGACATCGAGCAGATTTCAGAAGGATGCAACGACTGAGGAGGAGCTTATTGAGAAGTTCAATAGAGGATATGAGGAGAAGGAAAAGGAAAAGGGCAACTTCTTGCTGCGAGAAAAGAGAAGGCTTGAGGAGGAGATGAAGAGAAGCGAGGAGACGATGGTTCCCGGCGTGGTTATTCCCGGAAGGTATGTCAAGGTTAGGTTATCGAGCCACATTCCATTATCTATTGATGAGAGCAACGTGATTGTTCTTGGGGGCTTTCTTGTGGCCGAGAAGGAAATGAACATTGTGCAGGGAAAGATTAAGAAGTACAAATGGTACAAGAAGATTCTGAAGACAAATGAGCCAGCCATCTTTTCTGTCGGGTGGAGGAGATTCCAGAGCATTCCTGTGTTCAGTATGAAAGATGCGACGCGGAACAGGATGATAAAGTATACTCCCGAGTCTATGCACTGTAACGTCTCGTTCTATGGACCTGTTGTGCCGGCGGGGACTGGGTTTTCTGTGTACAGCGAGAAGGGCGACTTCAGGGTTCTAGCGCTAGGGACGATAACGGATGTTAATGGAGATGCAAAGCTAGTGAAGAAGCTGAAGCTGGTTGGCTATCCCAAGCAGATTGTGCAGAACACGGTGTTTGTCCGTGATATGTTTACCTCTGACCTCGAGGTGCTGAAGTTCGAGGGGGCATCACTGAAAGCTGTGAGCGGGCTTAGAGGCCAAGTCAAGGGGCCGCACGGGAAGAACGGTGAGTACAGGGCTGTCTTTGAAGGGAAAATGCTGATGAGTGACATAATAACACTGAGGTGCTTTGTCCCTGTTGAGGTGCACAGAATTTTTATTCCTGTGGATAATCTGTTGGGGAAGTGGAGAGGGCTTCGAAGACTGCACGAGATAAGAGAGTCGCTGGGGCTTACTCATAGCTACGCTCCACAGAATGATTCTTCTAGCGAGGAAATGGGATATGGCGCTGAAGAGGACTACAGCCTTCCACGGGAGATCGAAAGCAAGCTTCCTCTTGACAAAAGAAGCATCGCTGTTGTCAGCAGAAGGATTGAGCTACCTGTTCCACCTGAGTGCAGGGAGAAGCACGAGATAAAGGATCGCATTGTGAAGGAAAGGATAAGAAAGGACCAGGAGGAGAAGGAGAGGATGGAAAGTCTCCAGCGAGCGAAGGAGGAAGAGATAGGGAAGAAAGAGAAGGAAAGAGAGCAGAGAATCAGAAAGACCATACATGATAACTACAAGGAGATGGCGAAGAAGAGACTCAAGAAAAAGAGGTAGTTTTACTACTTTACCTATTAAAGTGGCGATGTTTCAAGTTCTGTGCACCTTAAGCCTGTTCATATAGCTGTCTAGCTTTTCCTCGAATGCCTTCAGTTTTTCTATTAGGGAATCCTGATCTACTAAGTCCCTATCGAGGTACTCATGTATCTTGGCAATGTTGGCATTGTCGACCTCCTCACTGGGTGAGTCTCCGGACACGTTTTCCATCGAGACCAGGGAATCCAGGTCGCCAAGGTCGATGCTTGGGATTTCCTCCAGCTCCGGGATGGAGAGGGTGGTGGAGTCATCGTCGTCCATTGGGAAGGAGTATTTTTTCGGGCCAAGTTAAGGGGTGCAGAGGCCAATGTCTTTGCTGACGGTGAACGACAGATTGACGCTTGGAGACAAGTTCAAGGGGACTGTGAGGTATATCGGAAAGATAAAGTCTAAGGACGGGAAGTGGATAGGGCTGGAGCTGGATGATCCCGTGGGAGCTAATGATGGGAGTGTGAATGGAGTAAAGTACTTTCACTGCAAAGACAGGCATGGGATATTTATACGGTACGAGAAGATCCGAGGGGGCCTTGTCTGCGAATCCAAAGGCATGGATGGAGACGGCGAGGTACCTCAGGACAGAATTCACTTCTATGAGTCGAAGATAAGAAGGCTGGAGGAAACGATTGAGGCGCTTAAAAGCACTGAGAAAGAGGAAATAGTTGAACTCAGGAGAGAGAATGAGGAGATAAAGAAGATTATCCTTTCACTTCGGGAAAGAATAGGCTCTGAGGAGCCAGAAAGAAATGGATCGCTCTACTCTGAATTAAAGGAGTTTGTGAAGAACAGCAGAAGGCAGGTGTATGACATGGTTGAGCTTGTTTCTGACATAAGTGAGATTCTGAATAGAAATAGATCGATACAAAGGAGCTCTGTTCGGGAGTGCGAGAGACATAGGGTCATGTTCTTAGTCAACGGGATCATTGATGGGGTTCTTGACGAGAACGCAGGGGTGGTTGAGCGCCTTAGGAGGGAGTTTGTGAGTATAATGAAGAGCCATGGAATAAATGTTGAATAGCCAGAGATGTAAATTGAATAGTGTTTTGTTTAGTAGTTTTAGATCTTTGTGAACTGCGTGTCGATGTATGGGGCTTGAACAGCATGGGGGTTTCAGGCTGCAAGCATCATTGGTTTAGTGGTATAATGGCCGGTTGCCATCTGGCCGACCCGAGTTCGATTCTCGGATGATGCATTTTGTTCCCTGTACAGTTTTTAGAGCACTTTGTAAACCTAGATTTAATGTTCGCCAGCAGGTGTCTTCATCCAAATGCCATGGCTTCTCTTTTCCTACCCCTCAGGCGGACAGTCCCCAGCTTCTTCAGTACGCTCTCGCTTCCCTCCCCCATATACCCGCAGTAGAAGTCCTCCAGGAACTTGGCATCATGTGCACATCCAACAGCCTTTTCAAAAACATACAAATCAACAGCCTTGTCCTCGTCTTTTCGAGATATGTATGACAGACCAAAGTCGATTGCATATATTTTGCTTCCGTGTATAAAGTTCGATGTTGTTAGATCTCCGTGGATGATGTCCGCAATATGGAGCCTTGAGACAAGGGCCCCTAGGTCACGAAAGAGAGCCCCGGGGTTGTCGGAGCTGTCAATCATTTCCTTTAGAACAGTCCCTTCGACCTTCTCCATCACAATAGTGTCTCCATATGTGCTTATCAGTCTCGGAGCTGGTATTCCTAGCGCCTCAAGCTTCCTCAGGATTTTCGCCTCCCGCTTTGTTCTGCCGTTTATTATCTTTAGGTCAAGCGCCTCTATCCTGTAGGCCTTTCTTGCACGCTTCTTTACAACAGTCTCTCCGTCAGCCGAGATGATGGACTCTGCACCTTGGAAATGAAACCCCATTCGAAGGGACTTTCAGCATGAGGAATTATAACCATCAAACACTCCAAGGATCATTCTTCTCCTTCAATTCCAGGAACTTCCACGACAGAGTCCTTAGCTGATTTGTAGACCGTTTCAAGCACCGCTTCTACCGAGCACTCCCTTCCCATCTTCTCAAGAAGAACAACCTCCTTAGGCGACTTCATTATAACAACGCAGCTCCAATCTCCTTTGTTCTGCTCATCCTCAGAGGGATCCGTAACAACCACGCCACCAATCGAGCAGTAGAAGAAGCATTGGGGCACATAGTTCATTCGAACCCCAAGTGCTTCCAGCACGGAGTTTACACCGCTGATCGCAAGGCTGTAGATACTTCCGTCTCCAGATAAAACTCGCAGATCTATGTGAATAAGCACGACTTCCTCATTTAGTCTAATGCATAGACTCTCAAGATCGATACTCTTCTGCTTGATATACACCTTGTGCAGGAAGTTGACCAGCCTCTCGTATTTCTTTGCCCCCGTGGACACACTAAAGCTCACTATTCCTTCGTGCGGCCTGTCGATGTATGGCCTCGATGTACTTTTCTGAAACACAGTTAGCAGCTGGGACGCCCCCATGGTTACAAGGCAGGAGTTTGATATCCTCTCCACCTCAAGCCTCCGAGCCTCTTCGATTTTTCTGTTATCAAACCTTTCTCCTGCTTTCACCAAATTTTTCACGATCATCAAGGGGAGCACCGGCGCACCAAGATCTGGAGAAGTTGGCTGTTGGGCCCTGGATGTTTTATATCTCTTGTTGTTAGGAAGCCAATAAACAATATGCTTTTGTTTGCGGTGCTTGCTCTTGTGTCTGGAAGAGCAGAAGAAGTGGACATGGCGTTCACTGACCCGGATGGTAAGGCCATCCCGGTGGAAAGCATTCCATCGTCCTCTGATTTTGTCATGGCGTTTATGGCGTTTGGGAGGAAATTCAGGCTTAGACTGAGTGACTCATCTCTCAAGATCGGAGGGGTGCTTATGAGGCAGAACCTCTGCGACTTTTCAATCGCATGCCTAGGTGAGGAGAAATGCTATGGATCGGCATCCTTCTGCAACTCCATTCATGGATTATTTGTATCTGCAGGGACTGTGTATCAAATTAGATCAGCTGGGGCTGGAAAGGTCAGAATCGAGGACTTGAGGCATGCTCCCATGGACACAGAGGAAGGCGGCGAAGGGCACGATGAGGAGGGAAACGTCACAAGAGTCATCAAAGTGTTTCTAATCAATGACTTCGACAGAGTCCAAGAGATGGGGCCGGACATCAACCTTGACACTGTGGAGATATTCAGGAACGCAAAGGATGTGTTTGAGAAGAATAAATGGAACATTCGTGGGATAGAGCTGTCGCTGAATGGCATACTTAACGCCGTGGACAGACCATTGGCCCACGAGCTTTTTAGTAAGCAGCAGGAGCTGGACATGATAAGGACCAATACCTTTGATCCAGAGTATGTTGAGAAGGTTGACAGCATTGAGATGCTGAGGACTCTCAGCAGAATGCTTGGGACAGTCCACGGAAATGCAGGGGTGGAGATGCTTCTGGAAAAGTCGAACTTGGTTCTTCTTCTTCAAACGTCCAGCATAAAGATAAACGGATTGACGTTTGTTGGAGGAATGGGCTCTGCAGCCAAGAGATTTGGAATCATTAAGGTCTCGGAGCCGGACTCGTACTTCTACAAGGGAAAGGTGCTGGCGCACGAAATAGCACATGCTCTTGGAGCAGAGCACGAGGAGGGTGGAAGGTGCTTGATGAGAGAGGAGGAGAGTCCGTTGGAGAAGGAGGAAAGCGCTGCTCTTAGCCACGAGAGTATAGAGAAAATAGAGAGCTTCATCTCAAGAAACGAATCCAAATTTGGCGAGATAGACACATGTGGAAACGGTATCATGGATGGCAAGAAGGAATGTGATGCAGGGCTTCCAAACGGTTCTGTCTGCTGCACCAGTAAATGCAAACTGAGAGCCTGGGCACAGTGCGATGACAGAAATGGAAGATGCTGTAAAGACTGTGGGCTGCTCCCAAAAAACACAGTGTGCAGGGGAAGGACCTCAAACATTCACAAGATGGATTGCGAGAGAGAAAGCTACTGTGATGGAAAGTCTCCCGCATGTAGGGTAAGATATGTCTCCGATGGTGCCAGATCTGCCTCCGAAGGTATCTGTAAAAAGGGAATACTGCAGACCGAAGCCTTGATGTGTGAAAGGGTTGGGAGATTTTCTAGCCCAAAGTGCTTGTCTAGAGACGGAAGACTCTGGTGTCTTGACCAGTATGATGTATGCCTCCCTGTCTTTACTTCTCTTTCCTCCCCGATAATGCTGCCTGACTTCTGGAACCAAAGAGACAGCAATTCAGCAGCTACAAAGAAGGGACATATGATCCTGCTGATGGCTATACCAATTTGTTTATTAGTTGTGTCCAGATTCATTGCATCAGACAGATAGAGATCTAGAGGTAAGCGCTCTATTGAAGCAGCCCATCGGCCTCAATTTCAAGATAGCCCATGGCCTTCAGTGCATTTTCCTCGAAGTCGTCCCATTCTCTACTGAATCTTTCATTAAAAATCTGAATGTCCTCGGGTTCTAGAAGATGGGACTTGTACCTCAGTAAGCTAAATAGGATCCTTTGGACAACGTCCATGGACGTGGAGATGTGAGGGATAATGAGATCCATGACTCGTAGAGCTTCCTCTTTACTCAGGCCTTTTATCCAGTCTTCATCCAGCAGCTTCTCCAGCATTTCCAGCGACGGCTCTGGTAGGCTGGAATCTTCGGCTCTAGTGTCCTCGGGCTTACTCTTCAGTCCCCTCAAGAGAAGGAGCTCCGAGTGCAGGCTTACTCTCTTGCGCTTCCATACAGTCTCCAGTGCGTCGTTCCTCTCTTCAAACTCAGAAAAATTCAGAGTAACCTCTTCAGGCTTTACAGACGACTGGAAGTTGCTCTTATTGGAGAATAGAACCAGGTCGTTGTCCCTGGATACCACTAGAAGAAAGTCGAGGTTGGGGGAGAATCTGATAAACTTTGCCTCGTCATCCAATCCAAGCATATCAAGAAGAGTCATGGTTAAGATGTCGTAGAGAAACACCTTCTGCTTGCATAAAATGGCTATCCACTTCGAATCGCTGGACACGCTGTAGTCCGTTATCTCATCTCCCATCTTAAATATCCTCGAAACCCCATCGTCATAGAATAGAATCTGGGTCAGGGTACAGATAATAACAAAGCTCTCCACTAGCCTGATAGAAACTATTCCCTTCTGCTCGTGCTTCGAGACCAGCTCTCCCTTAGTTGTGTACATATGTATCCCAGATGCCGTAGCTGCAACTATTCTTGTGAAATCCATCGCCAAATCAACCAATTCCTCGCTCACATCAAACCTGCTGTGGACAAGCTTCGATTTGAGGTTCATCAGAGTAATGGTGTCCTTTCCGAAGCAGCAAAAGTCCTTGTATACGGCCAGGCAGTTGATGTTCTTATCCAGAACAAACCTCGAGTTCTTCTCTGAGAAATTGAGGGCATAGAGGCGCCTCTTTCCGAAGCACACGATGTTTTTGTTGACGTCCATCATCTCGACATCGCCCTTGAACTTGAACATGAAGTTCTGTTCGTCCTTGTACATATTCATGCTAAACACATTTCGAGGTCCAAACAAAAGCACGTTCTTCTCATCTATAAACTCCATCCCAATTATCTTGTCGTTGTACGTTCTCCTCCTCTTAATCAGCTCGAGGGTGTATCCCTGTATCTCGTAGACGGTTAGAGAGTCTTTCGTGGACACAACAAGAGATTTCCCATCCAGGAATCTTCCGCTCAGGACCTCCCGCCCAGGACATTCTTCTCTCCCATTAGGCCCACCGGCCGAGTTCTCGACGGCCACTATCTTTTTCTTCCCGTCCAAGTCAAATATGAACATCCCCTTCCTGGATATCGCCATGAGATAGTTCCCCCCAAAGCTGAGCTCGCTCACCCTCCCATCGACCTTGAACGAAAACAATATTTTGTCAGTTCGCAGGTTGAATATGTGTACAGTTCCATTCTCCAGACCTATTCCAACTACATCAACCACAGGGCTCTGCTCAATCGCTGTTATCATGGCTTCAAAAGCCCTATATACATATATCTCCCTTCTGGAAGACACGTTGAACAGCACCATTCTTCCTCCCTTGAGAACCTTGACAACCTTGTTGATATATGTGTGCGGATGGAACAGCCTCTCGATCCCGTCGTGCTCAACCTTGTATATCTCGCTTAGATCCTCAGTGACAAACAGCTCGTTCTGCGTTAGGATCAAGATTGTTTCTCCAAATCCAAGTATCTGCCTAATCACACCCTCCATGGTCTCCTCAGATACTCTAACCCTCTTATTGGACTGGGCTGGACCCGTCGGGAGAGTAAAGCACCGGACCACATCTCCCCGCGTGGTGACATACACGTCCCGGTACGATCCAACATAAACAGCGTCTTTCCTCTGGTGCACACAGTGAATCCTGTTGAACATAGGCCCGCAGAAGAGAACATTCATCTTCCGTACATCATATACTATATAGCTTGTATCCGTTGCCGATGTTATGTGGACAGTGCCGTTGGCATCTCTGACCATCAGCGGGATGCCAGAGGCCATCTGGTTGGCGACTCTGTATCTCTTGAAGAGATCAGACTCGTTATTCTTCATCACAAGAGGGCAAATTTTTGGTACCGGAAATCCTACACCCATGGACAGGAGCGAAGGCGGATACATCCAGAGCTCTCCGAAAAGAGAGCTCCTTGGAGTAAAGACACTAAGGGCGCTTACGATCAAGCAAATCGGCAGCTGCGACTTCGATGAGACATCCTCAACGCACCTGGTTGACTCTGCAGAAGTCACAAATGTACAGATCATTGGCTGGGTTGTCTCGTCAAAAACATCAGCGACAGGATCGATGTTTGTTTTGGAGGACGGAACAGGCAGCGTAGACTGTACATTCTGGCCAGGGAATTCCTACGAAGAGGAGCAGTGCAAGGTGCTTGAGGAGCAAAACCTTCTCAAGGTCAACGGATCGCTCAGAACATTCAACGGCAAAAGGAGCGTGTCTGCATCACATCTGTCCGCGGTGGAAGACTCAAACTTTGTTACCTACCACTTCCTAAGTTGCATCTACCAGCACCTGTTCTATACAAGACAGCTCCAAAGGGAAGAGGTCAAGAACGATGGTGCAAAGCTCGACAGGATCCAGGAGGACATACTGGAGTGTTACAGGAGGAACCAAGACGAAAACGGGCTCCACATTAATGTGGTCATCAAGATGCTTTCATCTAAGTATTCAGAGAGCGAAGTCAGGGAGAACATCGACGTCTTGCTGCGAGACTGCCATCTGTACAGCGTGGATGGGCTGGAATACAAGACAACGATTTAGGAGGATGTCAACCGATTTAATAAAATGTGTTCCGATGCAAGCAACCCATATCTCGAAGTAGTCATCTCTCGTCCTGCACTCCACTGAGATCCAGTCCTTTCACATGTGTGTTGGTGATCCTAATCTTCCTCCTGCTTCGTCTATCCTTTTTAATCTTGATTGTAGGCCTCTTCTTGACATTTTCGACCTTTTCTGTCTTAAGCCCTGCGGTATTGAGCTCTCTTATAAGGTCATGGTAAGTAGTAATCCTAACCTGGTTCCACAAGCTCTTTATCTGCGGGTCAACAGGGCTTTCTTGTGTGTCGTTCCAAAACACTACTTCGGAGCCATCTATGTCATTGAGTATAATTATTTCGTTGCTCTTCTTCAGCTCCTCGACAAAGGGCACGACATTGACGGGCGAGTCCATCAGCTTGCTCATCTCTAGGCCTTCTTCTCCACCCAGCCCCCTCACCACCTTCCTCATGTCCTCCACACTTCTTATCGAGTATAAAGGCTTAAACATCAAAGTGCTGTGTGTCGCAACTATCCTTGGATTCCTCTTGATTGACTGCAAGAGCACATAGTTGTTGTGGAGATCGATCCTTGTCTTGTCTTTAATCTCCTCGAAGGACAGCGGTCTGTCGTGCTGCTTCAAGAGGCTGATTACGGCGTGTATGTAGGTGTTTGTGTGTCTCTGGACCCCCCTGTCGATTGAGTCGATGCGGTCACGGTCCATCCTTGGGATCCGTGCAAGAGATGTTTTAATCCAAAGAGTTGAATTGTGCAGAGATAAGCCCACCTCAAAATGACATGGGATGAGCATAGGGTTACGAGCATCGACCTGGTGACTAACGACCCCGTCGTGAACCGGGAGACTGTCAAGAACGAGTTTATCCGATTCATCGAGCTGTTCAAAACAACGCATAAGGAGTATTCCCATGTTCTCTCGTCAAACATCAACCAGGACAACTTTTCTCTGACAGTCAAGCTGGAGCACATCTACCAGTACTCGGACCTTCTCTCCCGGGAGCTGTCTAGAAGGCCTGAAAGGGCAATCGAATGGTTTGAGGAGGCAGTAGCGGACAGATACAACGTAAAGGGAGTGCAGGGGTTTCAGCTCTGCCTGGTCTCCGATGGCAGGTGCATACCCATTAGAGAGATAAATGCATCGAAAACAAACAAAATAGTGAAGATCCAGGGAATAGTTGTTTCTGCATCCTCTGTTATCACAAAACCAAGGACGCTTTTCCTTGTCTGTAGAAATTGCCTCAGCAGCAAGGAGGTAATGGACATGATTCCAAGGATGTGTGATAAGACTGAATGTCCACCTGATCCCTACATCGTCATACCCGAGAAAAGCCAGGTGATAGATGTGCAGTATGTGAAGATCCAGGAGTTTTTTGAAGACATCCCCGTCGGAGAAACTCCCAGGCACTTCAGCCTGGTTCTGGAGAAGAAGATGGTCAATAGACTGATTCCTGGGTCCAAGGTTGTTATTACTGGGATTTACTGCATGAGAATGATCAGAGACAGCTCTCTCCCGATTGTGAAGGTGGTGGGCCTTGAGGATAGGAGCCTCAAGACTTCAAAGATGTTTACTGAAGAAGAGGAGGAAAGCTTCAAAAAACTCAGCAAGGCAGATATTTATGAGAGGATCTCTAGGTCTATTGCACCTTCTGTGTATGGGCACGAGGATGTGAAGAGGGCTCTTGCCTGCATGCTGTTCGGAGGAACCAGGAGAGTGCTTGAAGACAAGGTCACCTTAAGGGGAGATATCAATGTTCTTCTTCTGGGAGATCCAGGAATGGCCAAGTCCCAGCTTCTGAAGTTCATGGAGCTAGTGTCTCCCGTGGGTGTCTATACCAGCGGAAAGGGAAGTTCCGCAGCAGGGCTGACGGCAAGCGTTATAAGAGATAGTGGTGGAGAGTTTTATCTTGAGGGCGGCGCACTGGTGCTTGCAGACAACGGGATATGTTGCATCGATGAGTTCGACAAGATGGACGAGCATGACAGAGTTGCCATCCACGAGGCCATGGAGCAGCAGACAATATCAATAGCAAAGGCTGGGATAACAACCATGCTGAACACCAGGACGAGCATACTCGCAGCAGCAAACCCTGTTTTTGGAAGGTATGATGACTACAAGACGCCTGACGAAAACATCGAGTTTGGAGCCACCATCCTGTCGAGGTTTGATTGCATATTTATACTGAAAGACAAGCATGGACCTAACGACATTATTCTTGCAAAGCATGTGCTTTCTGTCCACCAAAACAAGGCCAGAGAAGATAATGAATGCCAGAATGGACTGCACGATGACCAAGAAGAGCAAATCTCCGGAAGCGACAGATCCCCAGACATCATTCCAATCCACACGATCAAAAGATATGTCCAGTATGCCAGGAGCAAGGTGTTTCCAACACTTTCTGAAGCAGCATCGAAGCAGCTGTCAAGATACTATGTCAACACCAGGAAAGAGGTCAGACAGCTCGAGCAAAGCACCCTGAAGCGGAATGCAATCCCAATAACGGTGAGGCAGCTGGAAGCAATAATACGGATAGGCGAGTCACTTGCAAAGATGGAGCTGAGTCAAATTGTCACCGAAAAGCACGTGGAAGAGGCGATAAGGCTCTTTAAAGTAAGTACAATGAACGCAGTCTCTCAGGGGCATATGCTTGAAGGAATGGTTCGCCCCGATGTGATCAACCACATCGAGGAGATATGCAGCAGAATAAGACTGCTTGTGCCAATAGGGGGGTCGATAAGGTACAGCGACCTTATCAGGAAGCTTGGCGGAAAGGACGAGTGGGTGTGTAAGAAAGCTATCGACTACATGTGCAAGCAAGAAAAGCTGGTGGCTAGAGACATGGGGAGGGTGTTGATAAGGCAGCCTTAAATTAAATAAATGCAGGGTTGTTATTTACGGCTCATCTTCGATAAATTATATGGAACCCTGAGGGCGTAGACACAGGCCCTGACATTTCCCCCCTTCCAAGTGAAAATGCAGGCTTTTCAAACTCTTTCATCATTTCATTTCCACACACAAATCCCAGGTCACCACCTCTTTTTGCAGATGAGCATTGCGAATGCTTAATTGCAGCTTCTTTGAAGAGCTCCCTGAAGTTCTTGTCGCCAGCCTTTGCCCTTAAATCCTCATGTATTGCCTTTATTCTGGAGAATGCCTCGTCGATGCTCATATCCACAGGCTTTCTTGACTTCTCATGCTTTATCAGTATGTGGTACAGCCTAAAGCCTTCGTTTGGCCTTTTTTCTGTTCGCTCGGCCGTCTCCGTGTTGTAAAAGTATGGGCTCCCTGTCTCCTTGTCCTTGAGCTTTATCCACATCTCGGGGTGGAGGCAGGCACAATTATCTGACTGCATTTAGCATCGAAAACGGCACCCTCAGCAAAATGATTATTCCAATTAGATGCTTTACTTGCGGGAAGGAGATCTCTAGCAAGTGGGAGCCGTATCAGGAGCTTTTGAAGATAGACAAGGGGAAGGCAGAGGCGCTGGATGAGCTGGGAATGAGGAGAATATGCTGCAGAAGAATGTTTCTGGGGCATGTGGACATTGTAGACAAACTCTTGAAATTCGATATCGTCAAGGACTTTACGCAGAGAAGCTGACCAGACTTGTGTTTATTAGTTGCATGAAGGGCCCATACAGACGGACTCTTAGATCTCGACACCGACATTTCCCAGTGCTGTTCGGATCCATGCGGGCACCTCCTTGAATCGACTTGCCATAAAGTTCTTAATAAACTCGGGGTATCTATCCTCCGTTATGGACTCTCTGATTCTCCTTGTGAGGCTCCTCATGTAGTACAGGTTGTGGATCGTAAGAAGCATGCAGAAATTGGTGGTTCCCTTGAGTGCAAACAGAAATGCTCTTGAGTACTTGGAACATGTATAGCAGCCGCAGGTTTCGTCTATCTTTCTTTTGTCGCTTTTGAGCTTCGAGGTGAAGCAGACATCACCTGAGTCAGAAAGCCCCTTTCCAAACCTGGCCGTTCTTGTTGGATACACACAGTCGGACATATCACTTCCTAATGCAACACACACCACAATGTCTTCGGGATATCCTACACCCATCAGGTATCTCGGGATGTCCGGCGGAAGGCTCTTTGTGCAGAAGTGGACAATCCTTGCAAACTCGGACTTTTCTTCTCCCCCGCTGAGGCCTCCTATTGCAAGGCCTTTTGGGGATCTCTTGAGGATCTCTGCGATGCTTTCCGCCCTCAGCCCCTCGTCAAGACCCCCCTGGATTATAGGAAACAGTATCTGCCTGCTCTCCGCGTCAAGCCTTATCTGCGGAACATCCATGCTTCTCTTGACCTTTTTGCTAGGCTCGTCCACCCTGCAGTCGTTAACCGCCATGATACACCTATCCATCCATCTGATAGACCTTCTCATTGCAATTTCTATCTTCTCCCTTGTGTCACACGGATTCACAACATCGTCGAGCTGCATGATAATGTCAGCTCCCAGCATCATCTGTATGTTCATGCTGTCTTCCGGCGTAAACAGGCTATCTCCAAACCTTACTCCGTCCTCGGTGACAACAACATCAGGTAGGCTTCCAATCTGGAATCCTCCAGAGTCGGTCAGCATTCCCCTGTTGTACTTCATAAATTCCTTGATGTTTTTTCCCAGCTCTCTAAGATGGTATGTATTTGTCAGAATCATGCTCTCCTCGAGATCAGAGACACGGATGCCCTTCATCGCTCCATAAGTTCCCACAGGCATGAATATAGGAAGTTCCAGGGATGTACCGTTTAGCTCAAGTGTCGAAACCCTTGCATTTGTTGTGCTGCATCTCTTTATCACCTTGAAATCCCCTATCATCCAGGGTGGTCGTCAATGCAGTTTTTGCTGCTCATCTGCCACAAACGGAATAAAGATGCAGCTGCAAAGAAACATAGGTCCTGTTTGCCCGCGCCATCAAGCAAGGGAGTGCAGGTCTTCGAAAGATCAGTGCACGCATTAAGGTTTATTCAGAAAATTAAAGACGGGCGGGGCCTTCCTGTTTCCATTTACAGTAAGCTGCCTTCTCCTTAAGATGCATTCCTCGCAATCCCGGATGTGGAGGCTCTCCAGCTTTGTACATAGCTCTCTGCTCAGCTCGGTATTTGATTTCATAAGATCCTGGTAAACATTATAGAATTTTTTGCAGTCTTTCGTGGCTCCGTAAATTCCAAGCATGCTACTGCGTATCTGCAAGCCGTGGTGGCTTTGCTTCTTGAAGAACAGAAACTTCTTCTTAGCCTTTTTCCACTCGTCATAGACCATCTCAGAGTACCTTACACATAGATCTCGCGTCTCGGAATCTCTGCACTCAGTGCACAGCGCCTGAAGTCCCTTGAGAAGTTCTGCAATCAAGTCCTCATCCTTACACATGCAATCAGCCGCCTTTGAAAATCTTCCGAGGACAAAAACTCTCTGGACAGCTGGGATCTCCCAAAGTTTGGAAACAATTTCGTTTATCAAGGCATGCAACGACTTGAGATCTCCGGAAAACACAGCATTATCAATCACCTCGGCAGTCCTGCTCTCCCACACACAACTTCCGTTGCTGCTTTTTAGCCCCTTAATGCAAAGAATGCAGGCTTTGACAATACCTACATTAGTACTTTTCATGTCGTTCTTGTATATTAGCCATCCATCCTCGTAGCGCTTGTTTTTAATACAGAGCTCTATCATCGAGTTGTCCATTGTGCCGGGATCACTCTCCCTGTTTGCTGCCCACATCCTCACGCATTCCATCCAATACATCTTTTCCTGTTGCATCCTAAACCATTCGCCAATGTCTGGCTCGGAGTTTTCTAGCATCTCATTGATCTCGTGCAGGCTGTCAACATCTCCATTATATGGAAACAGGCTATCTTCTTCAAATGGAAAGCCCTCAAACTCCTTTAGAAGTCTCTCGGTCGAGACATGAGACTCCAGCCTCATGCTGAGTATCAATGCAAGCTTGAAAACTGCATAGCTCTTTCTATTCGGCCAAAAAACCCTGAAAAACCTAATCAACTCGTCTCTCTTGAACAGTAGAATTAGAACAAGCTCCAAGCTTCTCATTTCAAGTCCCGTCTTTTCGCCGTCATCCACCAGTTTGTAGTATTTATATGTTATCGACTCAACATCCTGCTCGCAGTTAATCTTGATAGACTTCTCCATAAAGTGTGTCTTGAATACCGCCACCAGCTGATCTCTTAGAGCCTCCTCATACATCTCCTTTGTGTCTCTCCTGAATTCTAAAACATCCCTGACGCTCCACATCTCTCTTCCTCTTGCCTTTCTCATGACAAAATCTTCAACCTCGAAAAAAACCAGAAGATCGGCGACACCAACAGACTCTGTGTGATGGGCAAGACATGAAACAGCACATGCATATGCTCTAAACATATCATGGAGGTTGTGGATCTTTGTGCTTTCTTCACAAAAGACACACTCAACACCACTCTTCTTGGGAAATCGTTTCAGAATTTCATCCAGTATTAGAAAATTCTTGAGAGCTCTTCGATCAAGGAGGCTTTCGTCGTACGAGAAGCTCTCTCTCGCAGAGACATCCATTGATATTGTTTATATAACCATGTATTTATTTCTATAAACACAAACAATTGGGCAGAAAATTGTCTATTTCATCAAAATGCTGTCCAGCTCCTCAATCTCCTTGTCAAGATCTTCCAGATCCACACCTGCTCCACTTATACTAGAGGGAGGCTTCTCAGCCTTGACCCTTTTGTTTTGGAGTTTCTGTGCATCCTCAACAGGATACTTTTCCAGAACATTGCCATGCGACTCTATCTTTTTACGGTCATCTGTACCTTCGCCTTTCTTTTTGTCCACTAAGCCGGAGTTTTCCTTTGTATCCAATCTTTCCGTTACCGCCTCTTCCATGGGCTCTGCATCAGCGAAAGGTCCATCAGCTCTGGGTTCCGTAATCTGATCTTGAGCGTCCATCACCTCCTCGTAATCCTTCAGTCTAGTATCCTCAGGGGCATGCAGATCAGATACTGGGGGTGCAGAGGTGCTGGGTCCAGACCTTTCCATTTCTCCAGGCAGAGGCATACCCTTCCATGCGTCCTTCAGAGGATTCGCATGTCTGTACTCGCATCTATCCTTGGTGCATCCACTGGGCTTATCCTCCCAGTAGCACATCTCCTCGCGCCTATTCTTCTTGAGATGAAACTTCGAGTGGCGGTAAGGGCAGTCGTCGCTGCATGGAATCTTAGACACCCAGTTTCTACATGTAATCAAGTTGTTTCTGCAGCTCTCGTTGTGTCTATATGTGCATCTGTCTTTGAATTTGCAGGAGGAGTAGAGAAAGAAGTAACAGTCGTCCATGTCTATGGGCTAAAAAAGCTTTATTTATGTGAGGATTCCCAAGCCGTCTTGGAGATGGCCGATGCACGGTGTTGAGGCCCAAAAATTATATATTAGGTCCGACTTTTTCTTCTATGTCTGTCTTGATGTCTTCCTCTAGCCTATGGAGTAGGATGTCTTGTTGAATAGATGCCGGAGGAGGTTCCGCCACAGACTGTGGTATATCAGAACATTTACGAACAGCGCAGTATAAAACATATGTGGGCCGCCGGGCTTGCTAATTAATACCATGTGACACAAAAGGAGAAAATGGCGAAGACTATTCATCAAAGAGATTCTAATTAATTAAAAGCCGGAATACCCTGCGCATAATGCTCAGAAAGGCCCTGCAAAAAGGTATTAGCAATTTTTTAGCAAGCCCCTAGATGGAAGAGAGATCCAAGTTGAGGTACTTGAGTATGCTTGAAGTTGAGAGAGACACAATCTCGGATGTTTCCGAAAAGAGGAAGTTCTTTGTAACCTTTACATATCCCTATATGAATGGAAGGCTGCATCTTGGGCACCTGTTTTCCATATCGAAGGCAGATTTTTTCAGCTATTACAAGGAGCTGCAGGGCTATAATGTGCTGTTCCCGTTCTCATTCCATTGCACAGGAATGCCAATAAGTGCATCAGCAAAGAAGCTTGCGGAGGAGCTGTCTGGAGAGAAGGTCGATCTTTCCGTAAAGAAGATCATAGAGGATCTTGGATTCGATGATGTCAAGCCGTTTACAGACCCCGTCCATTGGGTAAGGACATTTCCGGGTCTATGCGAAAGGTCTCTGAAGAGGTTTCATGGCAATATAGACTGGAGAAGGTCCTTCATCACCACGGACATCAATAAGTACTACGACTCATTCATTAAGTGGCAGTTCAATAGACTGAATGAGTTGGGCCATTTGTCCTTTGGGAAGAGGCACTCCATATTCTGTCCAGTTGACAAGCAGCCGTGCTTGGACCATGACCGCAGAAAGGGAGAGAATGTGAAGCCGGTCGGGGTGGTTCTGTGCAAGCTGAGGTTTTCCGAGGGGATTCTTCTTGCAAGGATCAAGCAGGGATGTGTTCCATCCAAAGCGGTTGTTGGAAGTCGGTGTGACTTCATAGGGTTTGAGTACTGCAACGAGAAGTATTTTGCAGAAAAAGATGTCTTTGAGAATGTGGATGCGCAGGCTTCTGGAATATGTGTAAGGGAATCTGTTAAGGGAGATTTCTTTGGGGGAAGGCGGTTTTCGGGGTTTGGAAAGGAGGTGGTATGCGATGCCATTGAAAAGGATGTGCCCTGTGTTGTCAAGGGGACGCAGGACAAGAAAGACCCCTCTCTGGCAGAATACATCAAGAATGAAATCGAACTTATCAGCAAGGTTGAAAGCACTGAGACCCAGCTTGCAGAGACAAAGGATCTACTGAAGTTCTATGAACCGGAAGAGGAGGTTATAAGCAGGTCTGGAGGAAAATGCATTGTTGCTCTGACGGACCAGTGGTATATAAACTACTGCGATCCGGAGTGGAAAAAAAAGGTCAAAAGATGTATTGAAAATCTAGTCTGCACTGACGACACAAGAGCGATTTTGGAAGATGGGTTGGAATGGATAGGAAAGTGGGGGTTTTCTAGATCTTTTGGACTGGGAACAAGGATTCCTTGGGACAGTGAATATCTTATCGACTCTCTCAGCGATAGCACTATTTATATGGCAATGTACACCTTCAAGCACTTTCTGTACAGAGACTTGGAGGGGAAAGACGAGCTGTTTCCATCCAACAGACTTTCTGACGATGTGTGGAACTATATTTTTCTTAATCGAAGCATAACGGAAGATCTTGCTCCCTATGAGGAGATTCTAAGCAACTGCAGAGAATCATTCAACTACTTCTATCCCATTGATCTTCGTGTCGGTGGAAAAGACCTGTTGAAGAACCATCTTATTTTCTTCTTGTTCAATCACGTGGCTTTGTTTGAGGAGAAACACTGGCCAAAGCGGATGTTTACAAATGGACATCTTATGCTAAATTCGGAAAAGATGAGTAAGAGCTCGGGGAACTACATGACTGTCGACGAGTCCTTAGACAAGTTTGGGGTGAGCTCGACAAGAATGTGCCTGGCTGTGTGTGGAGATGGAAACGAAGACGCAAATTTTGTGGAATCGAATGCGAATGCCTTTGTTCTTAAGCTTTATTCATATGTAAAGATGATTGAGGAGCTGTGTACCGGCAGGAGTCTTAATCCCTGCATCCTAGACCTCATGAAGGGATACGGCGAAATGGGATTTGCAGACAGGTTTCTTATGCAGACAATCTCTATGAATGTTGCACACGCCACCCGTGCACATGAGGACATGACATACAGGGATGTGGTGAAGTATGGGTTTTACGAGATGGTACATGCAAAAGAGATGTACCACATACTGGGGGGAACTAACAACGAAATTTTGTTCCTACTTTGTAAAGCCATGACCCAGTTGCTGTACCCCATCATACCTTCGCTAGCACGGTATCTGATTGAGACATACTTCTACTCGAACTTTTCTCTCCCCGTTCCATTTCTATCTGACACAGCAGAGATTGACGGGGTTTCTTACCTTAAGAATACCCTAAAGAGGCTAGTGGCGCAGAAGAGGAGGAAGAAGAGGTGTGAAGTCGTCGAGATATTGGTTGGAGTCGAGTATTCTGAATGGAAAAGGAAGTGCATGAGCATCATAGATCAGATTGCCTGCGAGTGCAAGGTTTTAAACATCAACGTTTCTGAAGAGATGAAAACGGGCGAGTCTCAGTTTGTACCAAAGATTATAGATGCCGTCAGGGAAGTCTTGAAGGAGTTTGGAATTCCCGAGAAAAAGGGCATTTTATTTTCGATGGACTATCTTAATCACCCGGAAAACTACTCGGTGAAGTTCAACGAGTACGAGGTCTTGAAGGCACACAAATATTACATCGAGAACAACACCGGCCTCGAGGTTATTGTTTGCGTTAGCCCCAGAGCAGATCCTGGCACTCCATTGTTTGAGTTCAAGTAAAGCGCTTTCTCTATCCTCTCTCGGGTTACTGGCCATGAAGGATTTAACTTTCCACCCATGGCCTCCCTATGGCTGTAGAGCAGTTTTTCATAATAAACAAATCAGGAGGAATGGTCTTCAAATATGAAAGGGAAGGAGAGACGGAGATAAACAGTCTTTTAATATTAACAAGCTCCTTATATTCAGTAAGTGTGATATTGACGAAAACGATAGATGGACCTGTACCAAGGCTGGTCGTTTACTTTAGGAATAGAGTCATTACCATCTTCAGAACAACTACAGGCACATCATTTGTCTTTGTTGCGGATAGGCCGGTAGATGCCCTCTTCGAGAGAATTTACTCTCACTACTGCCAATACGTGACAAGAAATCCGTTCCACTCTCCAGAAATGCCCATTCAGTGCTCGAAATTCAAACCACATCTTATGTTCGAGGGTTAGGTGTGCATCAACATGCAAGGGGCCTAGAAACTAAAGAAGAATGGATCCGAGTCGAGTTCCCCTCTCAGATTGTTGTTTTCCCCAAAACACTCGAACTTCTCGCCACCAAGCCTATCCACTATCGAAAAGTCCGCGGCCTTCTCTCCGGCATGTGCATTTTCGTATATCTCGCGCAGTATATCCAGATCCTCATTGACCTTCAGAGGCTTGTTGGACTTGAACACAAAGAAGCTCCTCTCTTCGTTGGTTTCACAGTGGATGTCTGCCTTTTTGCTTGTGCTTATGACCATGAACGGTAGGTACAGCCTTTCAAGATGCGTATCCTCTGCGCTGGAGTTTCTGTTTACAATAAATTTGAATACCTTCTTCATTTCCATAAGCTTTTTTGCCTCCTCCCTCCGCTTGCTGACGTCGTTGCTGTCGTCCACCAGGAAATATCTTTTACCTTTCTTGTCAACCAGTCTCACTGCCTTCATCACATTCAGGACGTCGTAGATCCTCCTATTCAATGTTTCGGTGTTGGGAAACACAATGTTCTTGCATATAAACGAGTATGTGCAGGCTCCATTCTCTCTAAGCACCTGAAACACGGCCTGTGTTATGTACTTTAGTCCCTCTCTCTTGTTCTCTGAGCCGTCAATCTCCGAATTCAGATGCCTCATACCTTGGGATTAAAAAATTGATGTTCATTTGTTATATATCCTGGGCGGACAGGCCGGCTCGTATTCTTCAGGGGTGTCGCCTACCCAGTGCACAGGAGGTTCCGGAGGTGTCTTGGATGGAAAGTAAGGCCATTTGTGGGTTCTCATCCATGTCATCGTCCCTTTCAGCTGTTTCACCAAGATCCAATTATTCCTCCAGGACTTTCAACCCTCAGAATGGAAACAGAGATGAAACTCTCTGTGCAAATCGTAGATATCGATTGGAGACATTGAAACCACGGAGTTTGAAATAAAAGTATAAATACCTCCGAAAACGCAGAGTTTAAGATGAAAGGTATTTCTAAGATCCTCTCTGCCTCTATTGCCCTGATGAAGTTGGAGAATGTCTATTCAGCAACCGCACTGTGCAGCAATGCATATGGCCTAACTCCGGGACAACAGGGTATGGCTCAGCAGCCGTCGTATGTGCTGATCCCCAGCACCCCGGGAACCATAGCAAACTGTGCAAGCGGTTCACAGGACACATATTCTCCTTCTCCCGCTGCACCCACATCTCCAGTGACTCCGGGGAAAACTAGCGAGAATGAGACATCTCCATCGGCTCCTGCAGAAGATGTAGGAACATGCAAGATTGCCGTATTGAAGCACTGCGACGCACCAGGAACAACATCAGGGACGACACCAGGGTCAGGGCCTTGTGAAACCCCAGAGCAGCAACAGCCTTTGTCAGTGATCTCCACCACTCCTGCCGTACCGGTGACTGTGGAGTCTGCACAGTCTCCATCTGTTGTGCCAGTTGTTCCTGTCGTTGCTCACCACCAGGCAGTTCCAGGCTACTACAACAATGGAACATCCGGTATTCCTGGACAGCAACAGATCCTTTCTGGCACTCTTCCCCCAGGAGCCACTTTGTGTCAGGGACAGGCCATGCCTAGCACTCCTGGACAGCAACAGATCCTTTCTGGCACTCTTCCCCCAGGGGTCACTTTGTGTCAGGGACAGGCCACGCCTAGCACTCCTGGGCAGCAACAGGTCCTTTCTGGCACTCTTCCCCCAGGAGTCACTTTGTGTCAGGGACAGGCCACGCCTAGCACTCCTGGGCAGCAACAGGTCCTTTCTGGCACCCTTCTCCCAGGAGCCACTTTGTGTCAGGATCAAGGTATGCCTGGAACATCCGGAGTTCCTGGACAGCAGGGACAGTCTAGTGGACAGTGTTGTGCCCCTCAGATTCCAAACCCTGTCATGCCGCCATCCATGAACATTAGTGGAAATGGGTATCCTTCTTCTACCGCATACAGCCCAAACCTCGGATCACTGGGATCCTGTGTTGACATACAGAAGACGGGGGGGACATCCTGCGAGCAAAAACCCGAGAAGTCCGCCACGCAGTATGCCATGGAGGCCTGTGCAACACCAACACCAACGGTTATTATAGGCAACAGCGAGTATCTTGTTGGACCAGGAATGTACAATGCAATTAACTCTCCATGCAACACTGCTGTCCAATGCTGCTAGGCTAAAATAAAACGAGTTTAATCTTCTTTTTCTTCGGTCTTTTGGAACGTTGGATGGGGATGGAGGAGTCTATGGGCTGAAGTGAAATGCCAACACTTCTTCTGCCCAAGAACACATTCGGATGTTCTTCCTGTGGCCAGGAGTTTGGTAACAGGATTCCCCGAGGATTTAGCAGCCTTGGAGTACCATGATTGAATCAGTATTAAACTTCTCAAATTATTTTATTCTTTCTGTTTTATATCCCGAGCCAATCTGAGAAGAATGCCTCGAATTCAAGCTCCCTTAGAAGTGTGGGATCCCAAGACCATTAGTTTATCAACTGGGAGGATCTGAATGAGGTAGCCCTGTTCTATTCTGCCGTTGGGGAAAGCAAACAGGTGCAATTCCTAGCTTCTTCCGCATGAAGCTTCTGAACAAGCGCTAACCCTCTTTCAGAATATATAAAGCAATCCATACAACTTCTCCATCCATCCCGGTGCTGTTTCTTTGGAGGCAAAACAGAGGAGGTGGCGATATCGATGGTGCATCCATAATATATACAAGACACTCCAGGCTGCAACTGAATCAACACACTCCATCCCCTCAGGAAGTCGGTAAACTTGCCTTGAAAATAGCCAATGGATGTCTCCAGGCTTTATACCATGCACAGCTATATCTTGGCCTGAAGTGCACTTTCAGGTGGGGCTTTGTTACATTGCGGTGTTTTGGATTACCTGATATAATTTGTTACCCACTGAGTCAAGTCGAAACCAGTAGTCCGCAGATTTCTAACAGAGAGGAAAGACTGGAGGTAATTTGTGGCTTTTGAAACATGCACAGCAAAATAAAATATAAAAGAAGCCTTTTGCACACTACCAAAGATGTTGTTACTTCTCGCCATAACTGCTGTTGTTAGCGCCACGATGGTCCATCCTTCAGCTGTTGTTCCACAGCCCGCAGCACCTCTCCATGTCGTTCCCCCACAGCAGCAAATGGGCATGGTTAACGGATGCACCAGCAAGAAACTAGAGGGTGCAGAAATAATGAGAAGGAACATGATTGAGTGCCAGAAAAGAAGCTCGGAGGCAACAAAGGCGATGATTGAAAGGGCAAATGAAAAGGCTGTAGAATCATTCAACAAGGAAGTTAGCAAAGGACCTAGCCAAAAGGATGGAGGCCAGTGCATAGAAAAAGCTGTACAAGGTACCGATAGGTGTATTCTCGCTGGAATAATCGATAAGGCGGTGAACAAGCGCAAGTACAGAATCTCAGATGTGGAGAACAGCACCTCGCTCTACAGAGGAGACAAGCTAATTGCCCTAATTGTCAATGTCGACTATGGGCTGCAGCCGATCACTAAGCCAAAGAAGAAGAAGTCCAAGATAATGGCGAATCTCCCTCAGCCGAAGAGAGAGATGTATTTCAACCAAATCGGTCAGCTTGTTGGAGCAAGAGGAACGTTCCCCCAGGAAAACAAGGAGGACTGCAAGCCTTGTGAGGGTCCCAAGAAGACTGTTGAAACTACTTCTGAGAAATGTAATCTTGGGTGCGAGCTTAAAGGAACATCTGCTCTGATAAGCAAGGCCATACAGAAGAAGGAAGTCAAGGACACGAAGGAAGGGGAGAAAAGTGCAAGCCAGGACTCTGATGGCGAGGGCACTGCTGAGGATGCGGAAGTACAGCAACCTTCTGCGGACGGCGAGGGTCTAGAGTAATTTTTAAATTAAAATCTCCCTGGATTGAATCTTCAAGTGCTTTTGTGAAAGACTTTGGGAACATTTCGTGAAGGCTTACATAAATTGTTTATCTCAGGTCACTCGATGGAATAGTCAACTCGTATTTCCTTTCCTTTGATGGTCTGCCCCACCAGCCTGTTCCTGGCAGTTATCGCATCGTCGACAGAGTCAAACTGAACGAATCCATATCCTTTGGACATCCTCTTGTATTTGTCGTAGACTATTACTACCCGATAGTTCAGTATCTCACTGATCCTCTCCTTGAGAAGGTCTCTAACGTCGTCTTCGGTTATGTGTGCTCCCAGCCCAAATATCCCTATCGCCCTGGAGGGAGACCCGTTTCTCTTTGCTTTAAGTGCATATCTTTCGTTTTTATAGGAGCTTGGATCTGTTCCTTCGTATCCCCTTGTCGGGCGCTCCACCTCGAGACTTTTTCTTTCTCCTGTTTCATATCTGTTACCAGGGTGTGGCCCATGTGGAACCCAAACGCGAGGATAGGGCATGTAAGGAATATGTGCCGAGTGGCTTCCTCCTTCTCTGTACCGGATAGTGCCGTCTTGCTGATGATCTATTTTCCTTCTCCTTGCCCCATCAGGCTCTCCATAGTATTTGTATGAGTCAGAGTAATAGGGCCTTCCCCTGTACACTCTATCCACACCGGAGTGGCTCTCTTTCCATTTGGACCGGACGTCGCGCTTCCCCTCCTTCTCCTCTCTTTCCATATTCCAGGGTTTGTTTGTTCCAGATTTATTTTCCTCTCAGACACAAGCCCAATCAATGTTCTGCAAATATCGCCCAACGCCTCACCCATCGCGGTTTCATGATAGATTTGGGCGAGCTGATCTGCCTAATGGAAAAGGCCAACGGGCTGATGGGGGACCGGCACAGGAGTCCAGGCTCTGCGTTCCCCACGGATATAAAGTATCTGAAACCAATCATAAGCCACATCGACAGCTTAGCATCTAAAAACAGATGTGGAGTAACATGGTGGCTGGAAGTACTGCTTCAGAACCCGTTTCCGCTGAAAATCGACGAGGAAAATTTGAGTAGAATGATCAGCTTTTTCTTAGAGGCTGCAAGGACAACAATACTCAGAAGGTCTGCGCTAAGGTGTCTCGGCATGGTTGTCCAGAAGGCAGATGTAACATATTACTCTACAGAAGAGCCCCGGTTCTACATACATGGTACTGAGGTTTCCAGCCTCATGTACTATGGGCTTCTTTCTCAACTATCGAGTCTTGGAAGAAGGATGGAGCCTGTGCCAATTGAAAGCAATGACTCCGTAGCAGTTAAAAAGATGAAGATAAAAATCATGTCCAATAGTCCAAGTAGCGGCGTTCTGAAGAGCCTCTTTGAGATGCTGAATGAAAGAGACTCCAGAATAGGATGGACGCTATGCAAGTCCTTTCTCAAGGTTGCTAAACATTCAGAGCCATGCCTTGTTATCTCCGCCCTGAAGGAAAGATGCGATGTAATATTTGCAAACGAGAGTGCCTGGATAAACACCATGACTATTCTTGGGATGATGTCTCTTGAAGGATGGGACATAGGAGATGTGTCTGCAATTGTCTTGAAGGGAATCAACTACACGAACGAGCTCGTTAGCAGCTCTGAAATGGTTCGGGAGTCAGCTTTGTTTCTTTTATGGGCACTAACCAGAGGAAGTAGCACAATGGATAAAAGTCTTTTTCATCTGGTAGTTGGAAAGGCTCTTTTTGACCCCTCGCTTTCCTGCAGAAGAGGTGCCGCAGCTGTTATCTTAGAGCACATTGGAAGGTTTCCAGAGGCTTGGGGTGAAGAATTGATCTCCTTGATAAACTTCCATTCGGTAAAAAGGTTAAGTAGTTGCTCTAGAGCAGTGAAGAGGGTTTTGAAGATACTAGACTGCGAAGATGTGTTTGAAGACATCCTTCTGAAAAATCTGTTTCACTACAGCCCAGAAACCAAGTTTCAAGGTGGATACTGCATTTCCAGATATCTTAAGGGAGGCAGGCTTGTGCCATACATTGATTCCATTGACCTGAAGACACCATCGGACTTCATCGGTGTTTTTACCGTTGCCAAGGAATTTATCGGACAGGATCGGGGACACGAAATAAAGGGAATCGTGGAAATGATCATAAAGCTAAGGATACCTCCTTCATTTTCCAGGTACAGAGACTTCGGAGTCTTTGCAGGAAGTTATCTGGGGGTTGTTGAGGGCCTTAAAGACATAGAAGACAGGGATATCGTGTGTGAAAACTTGCATATGCTTTTAGCAAAGAACGTCCTCCCTGATGAGGTGTCGAGGGTATCCTGGAGATTTGTCGACGCAGATGAAGGATTTGCCGCCAGGGTGGCCAGGTCTATAAGCAGAGGCACAGAAAGCCTTATCCTTGCAAATTCAAGAAACGAAAGACATAGGGATCATGCTGAAAAAAAGTATCTAGAGCTTTTGGAGTCCGGGAACATCGACGCAAAAGCACATGTCATGAAGGCAATCAGGCTTTCCGGAAGGATAGAGCAATATCGAGAACACATACTCAACGGCTTGGAGAATTATTATGCAGACTCCAGGGGAGATGTGAGCTCTGGATTACGTAGGGAGAGCCTAATGGCTTCTTTTCTGATGAAAGACACCCTGGTCTCCCCGAGGTACTTTGTAAGATACTTTGTTGACAAGTCAAAGGTATTGCGGGACGAATGCATTCTTCTCTGTAAGAACAGCGGAGTTTTCCCAGAAGGATTTGAGTATATTCGCAGAAGGGGCCATTCCGTAGATCCTGGTAGGCTTCAGCCACTGCTTGCGTTTCTCAATTCCTTTTACGCCGAGTTTAAGAGGCTAGAGGAGGAGTCAAAACTCGGTAACGACAAGGCAATGTTTGTGGCGTCTATAGCAGCATCGAAGAACCTTAGTGCAGAACACCAAGAAGAGTTTGTTCGCGGAATGCTTGGGACGATTGGGTCGTCTGATGCATCTTTGTGCTCCTTCATTGTAGAGGCTGTATTTGAAGCCAGAGAGAGGTTCTGCAGGCCTGTGATGGCGGTTCTCAACCAGAGCTCTGAAAGCTATGGGAGGATAGTCTGTCCCGCCATTGAGCTGATATGCGGAGTGATTGGATTGGAGATTGAAAGTAATCTGCTGGTGTTTGGAAGTAACGCCGGCATAGCAGATAGATTGGCGCTTGCGCTTCAGGAAAAAAACATTCCAGGCAGGGTGAGCTCATATGCAAGGAATGTTTTGGAAAAACTGTCCCAGCTTTCAGGTTCAAGCAAAGTTGGGTGAAGGCAGGCTAGAACCCATCATATCATGCCTTAAAGATGAATTCTTTTAATCCTAAGAACCTATAACATTCCTCGGAGCTGTGGCTTTGCCTTCCCCTTGGTCGTTATTCCCTCTACGGCATTTCCTACGCACCTTGCTCCTCCGCATTTGGAGCATTTCAGGAAATAAAGCCTTTTGTCTCTGACAATGTCAGTGTCCTCGACACTTTCACATATCTTACATACAACAAAGTGCTCGATGTATCTCCTAAGGACCTCCTGAATTTCTGATCTTATGAACATCCCCTTGAGAAGAAGCTTTCCGTCCTTGTTTATGGACCCTGTTGTCATAAGTTCATTGCACAAGAAACTCACAAGATGGTCTGCAGATCTGTTCAGAATCCTGGATATCTCGGCAATGTTAATAGATGTCTTCCGCGCTTCCCTCTTGACATCCAGAGGAAGCTTGATCCTTGTAGATTCTCCCAAATCCTTCCCTTTTTTCAGGACCATCATAGCACAGCGAAGCAAAGTATCGTATTCCAGCTCATTTGGGATGTCACCAACATGAGACACAGGCCCGGATTGGTGCTGTCCAGTTCTTACAATCCCTAGCCTAGACTGCCTTTTTCTGGCAAATTCCTTTAAGTTGACATCCAGCTCCTCGAGATCACTGCTTGACTCTGACGACATGCCCTTCGGCCGAGTCGGAAATTGAATAAAATATTTTCGCTCAAAGGCCTCATTCAAATACAAATGCCTCAACATCTTTTTCTCCCAGAAGGCTGTTTCCAGCTCCAGTGCATTCCTGTGCCATCTCTCTAAAGAATCTTCTTGCAATCGACAGGGCCATGTCAACACTCAGATTGCTGTTTCCTCCGTCAATGCAGTTCCTTATCCACTTGGGGAGTTTGCTTTTCTTATCATTCCTCTCGAACCTTTCGTCTGCAAGTATCATAAGCCCATAGTCGTTTTTGTTTCTTAACACCCGTCCCAAGCACTGAGCAGCATGCCTCATTGCATCAAATGTCAGGAAGTCGTACTCTTTTATGCCATATTCTTCCCTCAAAAAGTCCAATCTTTTCTTCAGCCGGACACTTTCTGTGTACTGGAAGGGAACGCCCAGCATCACAACGCATCTTCCATATCCATCCTCAAAGTCAACTCCTTCAGAGACCTTTCCTCTTGCAACACTGAACAGCATGCCCCCTCGCCCATTGTCACATGCCCTCTTGTAGTTTGCCAGCGCCAGCTCTGTTTCTCTACCATCCGGTGTCTCAACAAATACCAGCTTGTTCTTACTTATTTCGTTAATTATGCTGGTTTCTGCCCAAAGACTCACTATCTCTTCCATATACATATACGAGGGAAAGAAGCACACAATCCCATCCGGAACAACCTTCGAAAGCTCCACCATCAGATGCCCATAATTCCGAACTACAGAGGGGTCAGACCTGAGCGAAAACGAGGTTGTGAGCACATCTCCACTGCATGCATCCGTGGTTTCCATGTCGTCAGACAAAGCCCTTAGCGTCATTTGGTCGTTTCCTTTGGTTATTATCAGAGGGGAAATGGAGTTTCTGTCGAGCGTTGCTCCGATCTCAGCTATCCTTGAAGGAACAAAGTTAAGGATCTTCGGATACATGTCGATGGGACTCATCGTTCCGCTTGTTATTATCACATTTCTGAATCTCGCAAAGACAGGGGATATTGCTATAGACGAATCCAGGCATGCCAGCCGGAGGGTTGGGTTGAACACAGTTGATGCTTGTGAGTCAAAGGGCTCGAATATCACCACGAAACCCTTTGAATACATGGAGACCATTGTGGAAAAGTCGGCAACGGTCTTCAGATGCCCCATATCCTCGTCATCAAGCCCCAAGGACTGGGATAGCATTCCCAATCTTTGCGAGCAGAATCTCAAGGCCTTTTTCTCGACAAACGATAGCTCCCTGATGCTCTTGCAGAACGACTCGGTAGACTCAGTGGTCAGGTGCGTCGTCTTCAGCTTCGTCTTGAAGAATTCGGTTATCCTTTTCAGCGCAGATACAAAGTGAAACGAGTTTCTGAGGTTTCCGGGAAGAAATTCGTAGTTTCCTTCGCCAGATGCATAGTAGTAAGGAATGGATTCTGGCACAGGACCAACAAGCTTCTCCCGTACCTTTTCATATTGGATGTCCACCCCAGAAGCAGGCTTCCCCCGCTTCAGAAGGTTTTCTAGATTCCCAATTGCCCTGGACGCCCCCTCAAGGACATTTCGCCTGATTTCTATTGACAGCACTTCTATGCAGTGGCTGTCTATGTTGTGGGCCTCGTCAAATATCACAACACTGTTGGGCCCAAGTTCGCTGGAAACTATCGCACAAATTCTCGGGTCTATCAGATAGTTGTACGGGTAGATTATGCAATCGCAAACCGGAATAGACCTTCGCACAAGGTAGTATGGACAAATTCCCTTCTTCTCACCCATCTCTTTGAGCTGTAAAAAGTCGTACACTGCAACGGGCACCTCGCGGAAGTCGGCAAGATTCTCGTAGAAATCGCATTTCGATTCAGCTAGCTTGTTCACAAGCCTCCTGCATGCAACATCTACGTTGAAGCTTTTAAGCGCTGCTTTGTTGATGCAAAGGTTCTTCCTCCCAGTAAGCCCTAGACCAAGAAACTCGATAGGGCGGTGCTTCTTTATGTACTCCACAACCCTGTCCAGCTCTTTCAGCGCCTTTTCGACTTCCGGGACAGTGCGGGAGCAGTAAACTACCTTGAAGTGGACATTCTTGGACTTCATGTGGAGTTGGTAGCTTATCGTCATGCTGAGAAGAGCCACCGTCTTGCCTGTTCCCGATGGCATTTCTATCAGGCAGTGGCCCTTGTTATCGAGGCTCCGCTTGACCTCCCTCATGTACTTTAGCTGCTCTGGATACACAGAGCTATAGGGAAAGTATACCAGAACTTCGTCTATATGAATCTTCATGGGGTTGGGATGAAAGATAGCTACTTGTCGAAAAAGTCAAGGCCTAGGCTGCCCAATATTTTATACACTTTATTGATAGGAAGAGACATGACAGGCTATACCGCCTTATCAGATAGAACAAGCCCAAGAACCAACCCAAGAATGCCTATTCCTGCTGGAATCACCTCTAGAAAGACCAGCTTGTAGAAGAGTGTCGGATCTTTGGCATCCATCATTGTAATCGCAGCACATATGATTCCACTTGCAAGAGATGAGCAGTAGGAACAGACACCTGCTATGAATCCCGCAGAAAAGAGGATGCATTGGCCGCCATAAGACTTGACGTTGTCCATTTTCGTCAGAAGCAGGTTGGACATGACCAAGCAGAAAAAGAAGTTCGCCTCGCAAATGACAATTCCCAGAAGAGCTCTGGTTCCCACGCGCGGGGCCTTTATCGAGGATCCTATCATGTATCTTCCTATTGCCTGGTATCCTTTTGAGGTGCCGAAGGAAGAAAGGGCTATGCACATCACAATTCCAAAGGATGCTAGGAACGGAGCATCTCCGTTCAGGACAGCATAGTTTAAGTAGTGGATGGGGAGGTAGCCCGCCACTAGAAAAAATATTATCTTCCACATCCTGGGGTTAACATGATTGATTTGTTTTTCAAAGCGCTGGTGCAGACGGGAAGCACCGAGAAGGCCTATAGCACGGTCGCCAACGAGATAAACAAAAGGAGATTTGGGTTTGATGACCGGTCGATGAGCTACGACGAAGCGCGGAGGACGTTTCTCAGGGCTGTTGATGCCGAGGAAAAGGTCCAAAGGCTCCGAGAGATTTTTAGGGAATAGTGGTTATGATACTTACCTTGTCTTGAATGGATAGAAGCTCTTCTGGAATAAATGGTTGTGTAGGAACATTCTGGTTATATTCAAGGGAAAAAATAGCCCTGAGAAATGCTTGCCTCGTCACTATTCAGAAGGGTTCTTACGCCTGATGAGCAGCATCTAATTCCCGAATCGCTGATCAGCAAGCTTGGGGAGGAGATGGCCCTGCACGAGGAGATGGCCAAGAGCAAAGTAAGGGAGCTGGAGAAGAAAATAGAGCTCTGCGAGGAGATTATTGGCGACTTAAATAGAAAGATAGTTAAACAGGAGGTAGAGATGGGGAATATAAGAAATTCGTCGGAGGTTGTGGAGAAGTGCAACGAAATGTATTCTCGAGAGATTCAGTCCTTGAAAGGTGAGGTTGCTTACTACAGAGAAAAGATCGCGGAATGCGGTAGAATGGCAGGATCTTTTCCAGGGGCTGAGGTCTACAGACCCGAGCAAGTAGATGAGCTTCTTAGAGAGAAGAAGGATTTTGAGAATAGAATGGAGGACTTGAAGAAGAAGTGCTCTGAGCTGGAGAAGAGCAACAGGAGACTTGCAGAGAAAGTCTTGGATCAGAAGAGCCAAATGTCGTATCTGCTGAAGAAGATTTCTCTCTCCGATGGTGGCCGGGATAGCCTAGAACTTGTTAAGGTTGTACAGAAGCTTTCGAAGAAGAATGGGGAGCTAGAGAGGGCGTTAGGATCTGGTGGATATCAGGCCGCGCTTCTGCAATCTCAATCTGGAGAGAATGCCGAAGCCGAAAGGGAAGAGTACAAGAAGGTACGCGACGAGCTGTATGAGGTGAAGAGAAACGGCTATGCGCTGGAGCTTGAATACAACAAAGTGTTTAGGGAGAAGAGCGAGCTGTGTAACCAGGTTGCTAGGATGAGTGAAGAGAAAAAGGTGATGCAGAAGCATATTGACGAGATGAAGGAGGAGATTATATGCTTGAAGATTGATTTGAAGAACACAAAGACGAAAAATGCAATACTTGGCGATGCTTCTCAGAAGCTCAACGAGATGAACAACGAGATAGTTCGTAGCAACTTCATAATAAAGGATGGTAGGAACAAGATAAGAGAGCTGAAGATGCAACTAGCAGAGAGCGAGGAAAGGTACAACAAATACATCCTGGAGGACAGGACCAACGTAGTTGCAGTGATTGGGCGAGAGATTGAGGGAATCAAAAGAAAGTTGGATGCAGACTTCAAGCTTATCTGCGACATCGAAGGGAATTTCAACAGGGCAATAGAAGAGCAGGGGAAGCTCAAGAGCCTGTTTCATGCATGTGAGCAAGAGATTCTTGAACTTAGAAGGGAAAACGAGGCTCTTATTAGCAGCGAGAAGGCGATGGCGGGGAAGATAAAGAGTTACGAAGAAAAAGGCGTAGGCTACAGGAGCGGGATGAATGAAGTAGGGAGGGATGTAAGATACATCTATGAATGGATTGGGGAGATTATAAACGAATTTGTGGAGTTGTCTGGCTCTGTTGACAGGATGGTAGAGTTTGAGAGGGAGAGAACGGTGTTTATTGGTAGGATGCAAGAGGAATTTAATGGTGCAATCGGTCTTCTTGACGAGAAGGACAAGGTGTTGCGATCATTGGCGGAGAACCACAGCTCGGAAGCCATTGCATTTCTAGAAAAGGAGCGGAATATTCTGAAACAGGAGAACATATTTCTCCGAAACAAGATGGAGGGCATTGGGGACTCTTCAGATCTTCTGGAGAAGATAAATAGCCTGGAGGAAGAGAATGAGGGCATTAAGGCCCAGCTTCTCTCGCTGGAAAGGGCCTATGCATCTGAAAAGGAAATAATGTCTGGGCAGGCTGCTGCATTGAGCGAAGCAGACTATAGATGCCGCCTACTTCAGTCTGACATGGACCAGTTGCTTCAGAACAATCTTCTATTGAAAGGCGAATTAGAGTCAGCAAGAAAGGAGATAGCTGACAATTGTGCAGCAATTGATAAGTACCGAATCGTTGTTGAAAAGCTCAAGAAAGTCAAAGATGCATATTTGAAGCTTAGGAATGAGTGTCTGGAGCGAAAAGACAAGGTGGAGCATGGGGAGAGGGATGTCTATGGAACAGATGGCCATCAAGTCTCTTGTGGTGAGGCTCTAAAGGTGCCTAGAGATGGGAATGCCACTGAGACGGAAGTCGAGGGGCCGGGAAATAAAGAAGGAGATAGTGTTGTGAAAAGTGTGGAGGCAAGAGAGAGCCCAGATCCCAAATTGGAAGTCGTATCAAACCAAAGCCCCACTCCAAATGAGCCTGATGGAACTAAAAACATGCAGGGAAGGAACAGGAGAGGAGGAAGGCCTGGAGAAGAGCCCAAACAAGGGCATCAGCAGAGAAGAGCATATGGTGACAGAAAAAGAAGCTGGTCGTCATACGAGTTTAAAAGAAACAGGGACAGGAGGAATTAAAGCAAGTTCCAAGTAATGCTGTGTGTATAGAGGAGGCTGTAAGCTATTTTATTAAATTTATTCAATGCCTTTTTCGAGTTCTAGAGAAATATGGAGGCAATCTTTCCGAGTCCTAGAAACATGCAGGATAATGCTACAAAAGGAGAAAGCCTTTCCCCAACAACGGAGAACTTATGAAAGACAGAATAAAACCCCTTTTTGTTCTTTGGAACAAGTGATGGAAAGTGTTGCTTTACATATGTTGCCGTGCATATTGCCAGCACAAGGGCCCTGAACAGCGAGTCTATGCTAAAGAGTGCAGACATCCCAGGGGCTATTTTGTTAAGCTGAAAATATTCTTGGGCCATTGAGAGCCATTCTCTTTGACGGGCTGTTGTCTCTTTTCATTGCCTTAGCAGCTTTTTGCGACCCATGCATCCTCATGAACTTGAGAATGGCGTTGCATTCCCTCCCGTTTGCTATGAGGGGAAGATGCTCTTCAACTCGTTTGGTGAAGTTCTTTTTTGATCTGCTGTCGTCTGTTCCCTCGTAGTACCCCCGAAGAAGCTCGATTCCTCCCTTTGACCTGAGCCATCTGCTACTGAACTTCCTTCTGAATGCAGCATTTATTCCGTAGTTGCACTCGTTGGGAAGTTTCATGAGTTCACAGAGCATCGGGGCATACTTCTGCTTGAAGTTTCCCTCAACACCACCGAACGTATGAGATATAACGTCATCTTCGCTTTCCATGTAGAAGCTCTTCATTACCTTGTCGATATTCGAGTACGATCTTGCCTTTAACAGCGCATGGGTGAGTTTCATGATTATGTTAGAATTTTTGTCAAACTCCTCCATGTTTATCGCATCAAAGAAATAATCTGCCTTTTCGTAGTGGCAGAGAATGAACTCTCCAATGAAGTAGTTCCCATATCTATCCCTGCACAGCTCCATCACTTTGTCTTTTATTCTCTCAAAGATGTATCTCCTGGTTTTCTTTCCTGCCAGTTTCACTATTTTTTCAAAGAAATAGGACATCGATGGATTGCAAACTCCCTCCGGGGTGAAGTGGTGTTTGGCCGCCTCATGAATGATGGTCTTGCTTCTGTAGCAGTATGTGTAGATCAGCAGCGTGACAAATGCATCTTCTTTTGAGAGACTAGGAATCAGCTCAACAATTGCCTCCTTGTATTTTTCTATATGCCCGGGCCTTATGGAGGCAAAGGACTGAACCTTATCGCCGAGAATCCTCTTTCCGCTTACGAGCTGGAAAAGCTTTCTGATTATGTGTGTGCCATTGGTGTCAGAAAACTTAGTCTTCAGTACGTTTTCCACAGGCCTCATAAGGGTATCCACATCGATGTCCTGTCTCTGGATGTAAATCATGTCAAAAATAGCATCGTAGATCACCTCAAGAACCCTGGATCCAAGCTTCTTGCTCATGAGCTCCTCAACATCGAGCTTTTTGAAAAAGGCCAGCACCTGCTTGGAGTTGCTTTTTCTTATGAGGCTCTCTATCTGATAGGCAGTCTCTGTGCTCAGCATGAGCTCTCTTTCATGCCCGTCTATTTCGTTATAGACGTTATGGAGTACCTCGGAGTCGTCTACAGTCTCAAAGTCTATGTTTTTTATATACTCTTTCAGATTGTTCATTTGCTTGGGGTATCTTCCCGCGGTTTTGGAAAACAAATCCTAGGAGTGACCCTAGAATGAAGCTCGAGGTTGAGGACATAGATGAGGTAATGGAGCAGATCACTAGGCTGGCGCCCCCGATACACAAAGAGGACCATAGGTTCCTCAATCAGCTGAGACAGACAATAGAGAAGAATACTGTTGTAAGGCCGAGCCCAAATCTTCAAAGACTGGCTGAGAAAAGCGACCAAAGGGATCTCAAGATACTATCCCTTGCACTGTTGAGAAGAGATCTACCTTTAAAGGCACGCTTGGAGTTTAGCGAATATGTTGAGAGAGTAAAGGAAAAAATAAAAGGCCTGAGAAGAAGTGCGCCTGAACAAGAGGGCCAGAGGGCCCGTGAAAGCAGCGTTTTTCAATACGGCAGCATGATGGAGGACGTGACCAAAGTCGAAGAGTCCATACCAGGCATTCGGGAAAAATTAAAGAAGGCACAGGGCCTAATTGAAGACGCATTCACCAGGTCTTCAGGAAAACATCTAGGGCCTCTCGAATATGCGGAGAATTTCTTCAGCCTTATATAAGAACATGAAATGGAGCCCCGTATTAGCTTAGCTCTTTGCATCTCTTTTATTTTGCGTCGAATAATCCTTAACAAATGAATATCCTGGTGGAAGCTCAGCTAAGGGCAGAGGAAGTTGAGGAAGTAAAGTATGACAGGGCTTCTAGTACGATAACGATGAGGGCAAATGGAAAGGAATATAAATACAAAATTGAGGAAAGCATTGAAACATACATTCTCATTCACGAGCAGCCAGTTTTTGTTAATATGCTGGGAAAGGAGGTCAGAGAATAGTGCCGATGGAGTCCCATACTCCGGGTGGTCGTGTCAGAATGAAGTAGAAGAAGCAACACACCCTTATGAGTCGCACGTTCAATAATAAGAAGAAAATGGAAGGAAGGCAGAGAAAGCTTGAGGCAGAAATGGAGAGGAGAAGAAAAGAGGAGGAGCTGAAGGAGAAGGAGCTAGAGGAATACTGGTCGATTGGAGCAAAAAAACCAGGGAGAAGAGAGAAAGAGGAGGAAAAGAGGGCTGAAAGGGAGGAAAGGAAGAGAGAGCTTAAAGAGCTGTATGAAAAGGAAATGAGCAGCCTGTGATTAAATTTATGTTTAATTGCTCAGATTACCTCAAAAGAATATTTGGGGATCATGTTGTCGAATAGATCGGTGGCATAGTCATATACGTTATTATTCTGCTTACACGTCATATTTTCCACAGCAAGCCCAAGAAGCTCCTCTATCAAGTTTACATGGGCTTTCAGGAGAGCCTTGTTGTAGTTGTCTGCAGCAGAGTCGAGGTTGTTCAGCAGGTGGTCTATAAACCCTGCAGTGGCATGGTATCTCCAGTCAATCTGGCAAGTCGAAAGATGCTTCTGGGCTTCTGTAACCTTTCCAAGGAACAGGTTGCAGTAAACTCTTAGTAGTCCCAGTAGACTGTTTTTCTGTGCTGCTAGATAGCTTAAAGCCTCCGGGTAGTATTCGTAGTATATGAGCAGCGATATATATTTTTCCTGAACCTGGACCGATGGGTTTATTCCAAGGGCGTGCTTGTAGAAGAACGAAGCCCTCTCGAAGTTGTTCATCCGGTGATATTCAGTTGCTAGGTAAAAAGAAGGTTTGTAAGATCCGATCATTGTCTTATAGGCTATGTTCAGGCATGCTATGCTGCTCTCGCATTCCTTCATTCCAGAATATGCCATCCCAAGATACAGCCATCCTCTTCCATATTTGTTGTTTATCTGGACAGCCTTGTAGAAGCACCTTCTGGCTTCTGGATAGTTGGAGGACATCAAGAAAAACAACCCCAAACTGATGAAAGAATGCTCGGAGTTCGGATATAGCCTGACCATTGAGACGCCTAAGTTGAACAGCAACATGTCCTTTCTTTTTTTGTAATACTGCTTTGCTAACTTGAATCCATACCATGGCGAGTAGAAGGGTAGGAAACAAAAGTCAGGCTCGAAGGACGGATAAAATATCTCTAAATAAATCCCTCGCATAAGATCATCCTTGCATTCGTCTATAAGTACGAGCAGCTCCTTTTTGCTTATCAGGCTCTCGTTTTTCATCCGTAGCAATGCCTCCAGATTGCGGTTATCGCATCTATATGCCTCCAAAAGGATTTCCTTCTGTTTAACATCTTCCTTTGTCAGCCCTTCGAAAAGCAACCTAACGCTTTTCTTGGATATCTCTGCAGCAGGATACTTGACCATCTTCTCATCGCATTCAGCGTCCATAAGAAGGCCCTTGCTTTTCTTGCCTACCAGGAACTTACATCTATGATATATAATTCTGGCCTCGTGGATCCTCATCATTGCGCTGTTCAGCTCTATTGTCTCAATGCACCTTTCATAGTACGACAGCTTATACATCGCCTTAAGTAGGAGCATGGTGGTTGCATTTGTTTTTTCCCTTCTATATACATACTCTGACAATGCTAAAGCTGAGTAGTCCATCTCCTCCATCAGATAGGTATTAATAAGTGAGCAGAGCTTTTCCATGGTAAAAGGGTCCTAGAACCAACAACAAATTTCAACAACTATTCAGGATGATTTCCTTAGCTATGGCTATTTATTAGAAAATTTTTCTTTAAAGACACTCGGCGGAAGCCCAAGCCTTATATTGCTCCATGAGTCCTGGATTATTATAATCTCGTCCTCCACTCCCTTGCATCCGTATATAACTGCGCCCAATGGGTATTTCTCTTCCTTCATCTCGGCACTAAGCATCTGGATGCTGTTGAAGTTTGTAAAGATAATCCTGTCTTTAAACAGTGAAATAGATGTGATTAAGTTATAGGACTCAAAGAACTTCACTCTTTCTGCTGTGTGATTGGCAAGAGAGACCTTGTACACAGAGTACTTCTTCTTAACTTCCATGGATCTAGCCATGGCCAGGACAATGAAATGATTCTCGTCGTACTCGCAAGCTCCAACAATCTCGCCATCTATTTCCATCTTTGATAATATGTCTTCATTCCTTATTGAATATATAGACTTTGAATAGCTTAAAATCAATAGGTCATCTATTAGATAGATTGCTTCTCTGTAGTCATCGAACGGTATTTTTCTGAGCTCTTTACCGCTGTGGACATCAATCAGAAGAATCTCATACCTATAGCTTTGCAGCACAATCAAGTCTTCTTTTGCAATCAATCTATTGGCGCCCTCAAGCCTGATTCGAAGCCCAATATTCTCATCCTGTTTGAGATTTATAACCCTTGTTTCTCTTGAATTAGAATACACCACATAACTAAAGTCTGAGGGGGCCGAGGAACAAAAGGCATTCCCTTCCGTGCATATCTTGACTTTGTACTCGTAACCCCGTTTCCTGTATCCCATGTGCCCTGCAGAAGACTTTGAGAGTTTAAAGGTTATTTCCCCGTCATTCTCAGCCGAACTCTCTGGTGTCTCAGGACTTCTTTCGTTGCTATTTCTCTCCAGGTCCCTGCCATCAGAATCAAGTAAATAGAAGTCGATAGACGACCTGTTGTTGACGTAAAACATCCTGCTGACTCTTGATACTCCAAGTTCAACAGACCTGTGAAATATTTTGTTTTCAAAGTATCTATTGGATCCTCCCCACACAACGCTCAGGATGGTGTCTTCTCCAGAAGTAAGTATTCTTCCATTGTCTACCTCAATATTCCTGACTTCAGCATAGTGGGTGTCGATCTGGTAGGACCTTATGAATTTTCCTCCATTTCTTGAGAATGCAACTATCCTCGAGTCTGCCCCGGATAAATGGAGCCTATCATCTACATATGCACACACATTTAGCGGGCTGTCTCTTACCTTGGTTGTCTGTAAAACAAGGCCTACGTTGATATCAAAATATGAGAAGCTTCCATCGTCGCATACAGAGACATACGTATTTCCAGTGACATGGCATATCATGTTGATCTTTCCATTAGGAAGCTGAAGCTCCGATACCATCTTTTCGGACTGCAGAACCTTTATTCTTCCATTGCTATCTCCAATGACCAGCGACTGGTCGGGCGAAAGAAGAAGAGACGTAATGGTAGAGCTCCCACGGTATACAAGGTCAGTGCCCAATTCCTTTCGTTCATACACGTTGCAGCCAGTAGAATAATAAAACGGATTCCGACCATAGTCAAGGCCATAGGCTCTTGCAGCGATGTTGGAGGGAACACCGTCTGCATCCACATGCGACACATTAAAGGTTCTGGTGTTAATAAACACAAGCTTCTCACACTCCGTCCCGCAGGCCACAACATGGGGATCCACAAAGCTACTGGAAACAGCCTTGTATTCAAACTCCATCGCGAAGTAGGGCGTAAGAGTATAGGAGTCAACCAGCTCTAGAAACCCATCTTTCCTGAAAAGCACTATTGTACTGCCGTTCGAGGACATCGTGACAATGGAGGACGGCTTCTTCTTGATGTTCTTGAAAAGATTCAGCTTCATTGGAAAGGGATGAAAAAGTATTCTTATATGAATTCCAGAGGTATAAGGCCTTCATTCAGCGGAGTCCTTCTCTACCAAGAATGGATTGTGGAACGATATGCCCAATTTGCTTTTCAGAATACACAACCGCAGGGAACCATCGAATAGTGTCTCTTCAGTGCGGCCATCTGTTTGGAAGCCAGTGCATTGAAAAGTGGATTGGAAAGAAGACCAAGATGCAGTGCCCGCTGTGCTCTGGGAAAAGCACAAAAAGGCAGATAAGGCCGATATATGCATCGAAGGTGGTTGCCATGGATACAGAGAATGAGCAAAGGCTGCTGGAAAGATGTCGGGAAGAAGAAAAGAAAAATAAAGAGCATGTTGAGGTCAACGCAGAGCTCCGGGCTCAGATCGCGGCATTGAAGGCTGAGCTGGCACGGATTAGTCAAGAGAGGGTGGGGGATGCGTTTGCTATACACAAGCAAAAGAAGATTAGTGTCAGCGTCGGATTTAATGCGACTAACTCTTTAATAGGATATGACGAATCAAGCTCCACTCTAGTTGTCACAAGAAAAAGCGGAAAGAGCGTGGGAGTGCAAAAGTTTGAATCCCACGACTTTAGTAAGTCCGAGTTTATCGGGCTGGGAGAAGGGTCGTTTATAAGGAGCATGTCCCTGAGTCCTTTCAATGAAGGGATTGGGCTGTTTCCGACCGGAAACGTACTGAACATCATGGATGTATACAGCAGCTGTGTAGTGAGCCAATGCATAGTCTACAACCAAATAGAAAGCATCTGCTTTGACAGAGATGACAGAAATGTAATATATTGCGGAGACAATAGGGGTGTGGTATACTTCATCAATGCTTCATCTCCTGAGACATTCAAGATGCTTAAGGTGTCGAATATGTCGATCCACTCCATATGTAAAAAGGGCTTAGCAGTCTTTGCTTCTACAGTTTACCAGACGTACAAGATTGTTTTTTCGGCTGAATGCCTTCCTTGCACTTTGGAGGTGGAGCCCTACTCAATTTGCACCAACATGGCGGCCCATGGAAACCATCTCCTGCTGACGTTCCGAAGCATCGACTTTCGGGTGAGGCATTTTGTGTGGGGGGAAAGAGAGACCTATTTCAGCCTAGGGATAAAACAAACGAGAAGACATCGAGACAAAATATATAGGAACTACATTTACGTTGTAGATGATGAGCGGAACACTATTAGAATCCTAAGGCTCCATTCTCTCGAGGTAGTATACACATATGCCTTTAAAGAGAAGGTTTTGGATTTCTTTGTCAATGACACATTCTTGTTTGTACTGACAAAGTTTATTGTTCATATTTTTTCTAACAGCGTTTAGACAGGCGTGGCAAACAAAAGTTCTGGGTGCCTGAAATAAAGCAGTTCTTGCCAGCCCTTGCATGGACAACGTAAATAATATTAGAACACTGTGTGCAGATATGGTCCAAAGGGCTAACAGCGGGCATCCGGGAGCACCCCTTGGACTAGCACCGTTTGTTTATATTCTGTATACAGAGTTTATCAACTTTGATCCTGACGATGAGAAGTGGATAGGACGAGACATATTTCTGCTGTCGAATGGCCATGCTTGTGCTCTCCAGTATGTCGTGAGCTATCTCATAGGACACCTGAATATGGAGGACCTGATGAATTTCCGGCAGATTGGCGGAAGAACTCCTGGACACCCAGAGAGGAAGTATCCAGGTGTTGAGTCGAGTACCGGGCCGTTAGGCCAGGGGCTAGCAAACGCCGTTGGCTTTGCAATATCACTGAAAAAGCTTGGGGATCTGGGGCTCTTCAACCGTGTATATTGCGTGTTTGGGGACGGATGCTACCAAGAAGGAATGGGACAGGAGTCATTTTCATTGGCTGCAAACCTTAAGCTAGATAACATAGTCTTCATATATGACTTTAACAAAACAACAATAGACGGGCCGACATCTCTTTCTATGAATGAGGATGTTGCCCAGAGATTCCTGAGCCTTGGATTCGAGGTTGATATTGTTGATGGAGATGATCTGGATGGAATAAGAAAGGCATTAAGCAAAAAGGTTTCAAAACCAATGGTCATTATTCTGGAAACAATTATTGGGCGTGGAAGCACTGTGGAGGGAAGCTGCAAGGCTCACGGGGCACCTCTTGGAGAGGATGGAGTAAGAAGGCTTAAGGAGAAGTTTGGGATTCCTGCTGTGGATTTCTATGTTTCTCCGTCGCTAATGGAGAAGTTCAAGATTCTTAACGAAAAAAAGCGGAGAATAAGAACTGAATGGGATGTGAAGGGGATCAAGGCCATCACAGTCAGGGAATGGACGGATATTCAGAGGAAGATGGACTCGATCTACAAATCCACATACAAGGCACAAGATGCCCCAAAAGCCACCAGGAAACACTTTTCTGAAGCCTTGAAGGATCTTAAGGAAGTAAGCTATCTCATTGGAGGAGCTGCAGATTTGCAGTCTTCAGTGTTGACAAAGATAGGGGGGGATGACTTTAATGCAGAAAATCACAACGGAGGATATATCAACTTTGGAATCAGAGAGCATTGCATGTGCGGTGTCATGAATGGTATTGCATCCCACGGATACTTTCTCCCATACTCAGGAACCTTCCTAAACTTCATTTCATATGGGTTTCCGTCTGTCAGGCTTGGATGTATGGACAACCTGAATCTTTTCTACGTACTAACCCATGATTCCATAGGTCTTGGAGAAGATGGTCCAACACACCAGCCAATTGAGGTTTTATCCACTCTAAGAGCAACACCAAACCTTATTACAATGAGGCCATGCGATGGAACAGAAGTCAGAACTTCGCTGTATACCGCGTTAACCAGGGAAGGTCCAAAGGCGGTGATTTTGTCCAGGCAAAGTGTTCCCGAAATTCCTCACACCGATATGGAAAAGGCCAGGAGAGGCGCATATTACCTTGTTGAGGTAGAAAACCCGGATCTGATATTACTTTCAACGGGGTCCGAGGTCCAGATATGCTACGAAGTGGCCGAAGCCTTATCTGACCTCAAAATTTCGATTGTATCGTTCTTCTCTTGGGAGTTGTTTGAAGAACAAGGGGAGGAATATAAGAAGCATATTCTCAAAGACGTTCCAAAGGTCAGCATTGAGGCCTTGAGTACATTTGGTTGGACAAAATACTCCGACATGCAGATAGGAATGACCACCTTTGGGGCAAGTGGAGCATGTAAGGATGTTTACAACCACTTTGGATTGAATTGTAAGGAAATCTCAAAAAAGATAGTTAGTTTTCTCAATAAACTTTCCAAATGTTTATAGATATCAGACCTACCCAGAACATAATGGGTTCTACTCAGCATAGAGAGATTGGGAAAATAAGAAAAATACTTAGCAATCTGGAAAGCAGAGTGAATGTAAAAGACTCCTTGGCCGAGTTCAGGGACATGATGCTTCTTGACAGCGACAACGATTTGATTATCCTTGTGCTGCAAAGAGTTCATAATATTCTACATACTTCGCACAATAGTGAATACATAGAAATCCTCCTGGACATCGTTCATAGTGAAGAGGCATTCGATGAGTTGTTCAAAATAATCCTCAACTTTGCCTCTGGAATGGATCTTGGCAAAATCATGGCCAAGCTCAAAAATGCCAATGAGCTGATGATATTCAAGTACCTGAAAGAAATAAAAAACAGCGGCCTATTTAACGGTCTTTCCAAGGAAATGGATAAAAGATATGTCGAAATTTTGGATACACTTGAGTAAATATTCTTCCACCAAAGAAGCCGAACCTTGGTGTCTGTCAAGGCTACCAAAAAGTCGAAATGTAACTGTTGACTTCGATCATTAAAAAGGAAAGGCTTTGGTTGGCGTATGAAGGACTGAATTTGAAAAGAAAACAGCTCTGCAAGACTATTTGTATACGCATTTATGACACCATATGTGTATATGTGCGAAGATTTATAAAAAAATTTATAAGTGATGTATTCTTCGTTCTATTGTCTTCCATCCCTGATGGATGGGATCTAGGAGTTCGTATGCTATTGAGCCATAAATGACTATGGAGAGAACTAAAATAGAGCCAAAAACAACTACTCTCCATGCTGTGACAGGTAAAGAATTCTCTTTGGATGGAGCATGCCTCGTCCTGAACGATCTTATTAAGACGAGGATGAGAGAGGCAAAAACAAAGTAGGGAAAATACTTGGATTCTATAATCCAAAATACCAACAGTAGTAGTGTGCACAGCAGTAGTGAGGCATCAATGAGGATATCAATCCCGGTATCAGTAAATAATATTGATCCTGAAACAAGGCTACAAGAGATGGATAGCATGTAAGTAAGTGGTACAATCAAGCAGGGAAGAAGCATGGAATAGGAGCTGACATCATTATTACTCCATGTGCTGAGTGGGAATATGGCGATTGAAAGAATAGAAATAACAGAGAATGCAATAAGAAGGACGTTAAAAATGGAGTAGGGCATCTTGTGCAGTTCAGATCTATAGCTCGATTCTAAGTTGTTGCGAAACAGGAGAAAACATTCTAGAGCTGAGTACGAGAATGGAAGAAGCATTATAATAAATCTGAGGAATAAGGAACTCTTAACGGTTTCTTTTAGCATAAGGCCCATAAGTATAGGAAATGCGATGAGCATTGGTGCTTTAAAGTCGCAGATAATCGTTTTCAAGTACATCCGGATTAACTCGCTTTCGTCCCTGGTTGGCTTGCTGATTGCAGGAGGTTCTGAGATCTTCATGATGCTTATAAGGGTAGAGGAAAGCGTGATGTATATTCGATGGATTTGGAAAGTAGATAGGGATTGGATGATAGAGGATGAGTAGAAGGCTTATTAAATATAGCATGTCTCCAGATTGATATAGTTATTGGGGCATTTGAATTTGCTTGGAATAAGAGTAAGTAGAGAGCAGAGTGGCTGTCATTGAGATTTAGATCGCGATTGCAGACGTACGGTGAAAGCACATAACTTTTTGGAATAAGTGCAGAGTTTCCTACAATTAAGGGAAATACATTTCAGGGAGAGAGTAAAAAGGAGCAGGAATGTGAGTAGAGTATAATGGAGGAACTCACCCTCGGAAAACACGGATGTGGTTAATATGCATGGCTGCTTTGTTTGATATGTTATATTGTTCGGAAGTAGAAGAAAGCATGGAAAGAATATTCGAGATGCTTCATGGAGCTTGCGGGTTGGAAACAGAGGAAATGAGGGGAGTGCTTAAAAGAATGAGCGATTTTCGTACATATGTGCTGTTTCCCCTTATCCTTCATGACGACAAGCTCGTTGTATCACCAGATATGGGATATAAAGATATAGAAAAGGAAGAAAGAATATATGTTGAAAAGATTATCAAGAAGCTTCCAAGTCTAGTGTGGCAATCCATGGTATTTTTGTATATACCCGAGCACGATAATTGGATCTTAGGTTTAATGAACACGGTTTTTGATACATCTTCCTCTAGATTCTCTGATTCTGTCGGGATATACAAAAAGTCTAGAGGGAGGTCTGAGATGAGATTGGTGGATTTAATGATGGGAATGTTTAGAAATAACGTCAGCATGATGGAAAAATTTGGAAGGGGTCTTGCTCACAAGGCGGAGGTAAAAATGAAGGAGATACCAAATGAAATATCCAAAGAAGAAAGGGAGAAGCAGAAAGAAGTATTAGACAAAATCAGAGAATACGGAAAGAGCCTGGGCACTAGGGAAAAGCAGGAACAAATACTCAAAGCACAGGAAATAGTTTTTGATACATGTATATATCTTTGGAGAAGAGAGGAAGATAGAATAAGCTTTGTTCTAAAAGTATACTTGAGAAGTTTACAATGTAAAATGTTGGGACTGAATAAGGGGGCATTAGCTGACGATGTGAATCAGGAAGTGTCGCTGCTTCATTCCATAAGTCATGAAATACTGATAAACACACATAACGAATATGGAATAGAAGTTACAGCAGAATTAATCAAACGTCTATTCCTAGAATATATGAATATTGACGAAGAATATGTTAGTAATGTTGTAGAGGATGTCAAGAAGAAAAAGGAAGAAGAAAGAAGGGAAGAAGAAGAAGAAAAGAAGAGAAAGGAGGAGGTGGTCCAACGGAACGTAGAAGAGCTATTGAGGGGCGAGGAGGAAGAGAAAAAGGGAGCGAAAGCAAAAAGAAAGAGTAAAAAGAAGAAAAAAGGAAGCAAGAAACCCGAAGAGAAAGAGAGCGAGGTGGAGGAAGTCTCTGAGAATAGGGAAGCACAGGAGATGGAAGATAGTAGAGAAGCCTGCAGTAAGGAGAGAAATAAGGAGCAAAAGAATGAAAGCGGTAGATGTTATTATAAGCTCCACAAAAGGACTCTTTTGTGGAGAGAAGAACCCGAGAAGATCAAGAAGAAGTGGGATAGTGGAACTGAAGAGAGGTGGAAAGGGAAGTCGATTGGGGAGATCAGGGAGCAGAAGGAATTGCATGATATATCTGAAATTTCACAGCTCCTCAAGAGTCAAGATGCAAATAACTTTTTCATATGCACAGGAGAGTATATGAAAAATGGCATAAAAAGATGGAAAATGGTAGCAATTGCTGTACTTGAGACCAGAGACTGGAAGAAGTTGGGAGTGGTAGAGGTTGGTCTTTTCAAAGACAAAGACGAACAGAATGTTATTTTCCATTTAATGTTCAGACCTACAGATTTAGGAAGGGCTGGAGCAGTTGTGAGATCTGCACTTGCGAAAGTAGATAATATGGAGAAGGTAGATGATACAGACGACTCGCTAGATATATCTGGATTTACATATCCAAAAAACACACGGTCTGAAGTGGTGAGAGGCTTGAATGAGTTTAGAGTAGTATGGCGAAACCCTAAGAACACTGCTGAAGTGATACGAAGTCTTACTGTTATGTCTAGACCAGGAGGCAATTAATACGAATACATAGAACAAATAAAATAAAGATTTATTGTATGGGGATAGTGCCCTGAAATTAGATTACTACTGTGGCTTAGTAAGTGCGTATGGAAAATACAAAAGTTATGGACATTGCAGCAGAGTTAATCTTACAAGTATTTTTGCAAGATTAAGGACACTGATGATGAAAGCACCAGCACCGCAGCACATGAAGTTAAAGAGAGAGAAGAGGCGAAAAGGAAAGGGCCAGGAATGCTTTGGAGCTGTTGGGTCTAGAGGAAAGTGAGAAGAGTAAGAGTAAAAAGCCCTAAGGGTAAAGGTAAGAAGGGCCCAAAAGAAAGGAGTAGAGGCAACGGACAATTCTTACAAGGTGCACAAGAGGGTTCTCCGATGGACGAAAAGTACTGAGAGGGTCAAGTGTGAGCTGGATAACAGAGATGAAGAGAAGTGGAGAGGTAAGAGTATGGAGGAGATTGAGGAGCAGAAGATATTGCACGACATTGTAGAGGTGCTGAAGCTCCTCAGGAGTAAGGATGCTAACAGGTTTTTTGTTCGGACAGGCAAGTACATGAAGGGTGGAAATGAAAGGTGGAAGATGGCGGGAGTTGGGATACTTTCGGAGGGAGCGAAAGGAGATGGTTGGGATTCATAAGAACAAGAGAGGGGAGAGTGTGATCTGCTATCTATCTGATGTTCAGGTCCACGGACTCTTCCTGAGATCCAGTGAGTGGGTGTATAGATTATGGATAAATATGATGGGTGTTGCTTCGATATCATAGCTGAATAGTGGTATGGAGTACGGGATGGCTAGAAGGGAGTTGTGTTTGCCTTAGATCCAGTAGAGTTGGTGCCCATTCCATGGTAACAGAGGAAGCAAGAAATCAGGATGACCCGGGATCTGGTTGAAGAAGGAGCAATGCAGAGAAGTCCTGTTGTGTAGAATAGGATTGTTAAAGGTGGAAAAGCAGTTTCTCTCCCCTGCGGCTGTATCACAGGAAAAGGAGGTGACGATAGATTAAGTAAGGAGGAAGGACCTACCCTATGAGGTGGAAACACGGGGGTCCATGGGTATTGATTATTATATATAACATGATACATCATTGCTCCTCAGGATTAGAGCGTATTGTTTCGTTTAAATTGGAGCCTGGTAGTCAAGTGATAGTGTTTCCATTTATCTTTGAAGGATATAATATTATTGCATTGCCGACAACAAAGTACAGTGACTTGAAGAAAAATCCAAAGGATATGAAAAGTCTTACACCTTTCTTCTTTAATGCTTCTCATATAATATGGGATTTTGCAATCGGAAGTGTGATACGTACACCTGATAATCGATTTGAGAGGTTATTTAATGAAAGAATGGAAGGCTATTTGAAGGATATATCCGTAAATGTATTAAAGATGTACGTGAAAGGGAACAAAACCATTAGCGAGTTGTTGGAAGCAGTGTATGAAAGGATATTCCGGTGCGACGAAAAGGGAGGTGGACATATGATGAAGTATATAGAAGATGTTATAAAGGGATTTGATGATATGATAGAAAATGTGCCTACTGAAATGGATTCAGAAAGGAAAGAGATATATCACAGGTTTTGGAGTGGCAGTAGGAAATACGTAGAATCTTTTTATAGTATAGAAAGACTGAAACATTTAGTCGAGCTAGAGAAGATGGTGTGTAGTGCATGCAGGGAGATCTGCCTTGGGTTGAAAGAGGAGAAGCTGATGGGACTGTTTGCTGAGGGAAGTATGAGAAAGGCTTTGAAAGCGAAGCTTGGCGAAGAGGAAGCCAGTAGGAGGGGATACTTAGAATATGCTATTATTAATGACGAGATCTTATTGGATGCACACAGAGAACATACAGGGGAGGTTACAAAGGAGTTAGTCATGCAGATGCTGCTGGGGAAGAATGGAGAGGAGATAGACAGGAGATATATCGGTAAGGTTGCAAATGTAGTCAAGGAAAGGCAGAAAAGAAGAGAAAGGGAGATGGAAAAGAGTATGAAGGAGCTGCTGAGAGATGAGGAGAAGGCAAAGAGCAAGAAGGGGAGGAAGAAAAAGAGTGTGGGAGTCTCAGAGACCAAGAAAGAGGAGAGCGAGACAGAGGAGGTCGAGGCGAGTGAGGAAATGGAGATATCATCCGTGGAGGTTGGAGGAGCACGCAGGAAGACAGGCAAGAAGAGCAAGGGTGGTCGGAAGTGTTTCAAGATCCACAGAAGGGTTCTTCGGTGGAGAAAGAGCCCAGAGAAGATCAAAGAGGAGTTGGACAGGGGAAGAGAGGAGAGGTGGAGGGGAAAGTCTCTTGAATATATCAAGGAGCAGAAGGTGCTACATGACATAGCGGGTGTGCTGGAACTTCTCAGAAGTGAAGATGCAGACAAGTTCTTTATGGATACAGGAGAGCACAGCAAGGGCGGGAGTTCTCGGCGTCGTCTAATGGCGATTGGGGTTCTTGAGGTTGGAAGGAGGAGGATGACAGGGGTGGTGGAGGCTGGAACGTTCAAGGACTCTAGTGGATGTACAGTTTTGTACCACCTGATGTTCCGGGTTACAGGGATAGAGGAGATTGGAAGTGTTATGAGCCCAGAGTTTGCTGAGGCTAATGATATTGAAAAGATAGATGAGGATGAAGAGTGTCAGGATGCGGGCAAGTTTGTGTATCCGAAAGGAGTAAGGTTTGAAACAGTGAAGGATGATGATGCATTCCAGATAGTGTGGAGGAATCCCTCTGACACCTCTGAGGTTCTCCAGGGTCTCACGATTCAGCGCAGGCCATATGTGATCTGAGTGATGTGATGTTATAATGAATAAAGAAATGGTGCTATGCTTGTGTTCTGTTCTCTACTACGGCCTCTTTGACCTGTGGAATTCCTTCAGGTTGTTTAGTAGACATATGTATGTTGATTATGATGAGGGGTGGAATGAATGTCTGTGTTGGCGTGAGAACATGTGATAGAATGAAGATTGTTTACTTATCGGACCTTGATGGAGCAGAGACTCTCTTTAGCTTATTAAGTAAGCCAAAATGATTATTTAGAATAACCATAGATCTACACATCATAAACGTGTAGGCAAAAAAAACAAGGATAAGGATGAGGGCAAGGACAGCCACTCTCCATGATGCAGTAGGAAGAGAACTCTTTCCAGATGGGCAATACTTCTCCTTGAGCAATCGTATCAGGATGGGTAAAAGAAATAGGACTGCATAGAGAAGACGGTGCTTGGATTCTTTACTCACAAGTGCAGTACGGGGGAACAGTAGTATCAGGATGTCAATAAGGACGTTGATTCCAGTATCTGTGAATCCAATCTGTCCTGGAACAAGGCGGCAGGAGACGGAGAGGAGATAGGTGAGTGGGATGAAGAAAGAGGGAAGGGTTATGGAGTAGAGGAGTGAATCATCATTATTTTCCCATTCATCAAGGGTGAATGCAATGATTGAAAGGATGGAGATGATGGTGAATGCAAGAAGCAGGAGATTGAGGGTGTAGTAGAGCATGCTCTGCAGGATGCCCTCTGGTTTGTTATGTGGCATCCTGTTGGTGTGGAGTAGTACGGCATACTGTACTGCTGAGTATGAAAAGGGGAGGAGTACTGTGACGAATCTGAGGAAAAGGCTACCTTCAAAACTGTCTTCGTCGAAGATGAAGTACATGGCGGCTGGGAATGCAATTGACACGATTGGAGCGATGTCGAGGATCTTCCTCCAGTGTCGCTGGTTCTCGGTGTGTTGCTCTGTTCTGTGTGGCTCTGGAACGTGTGTGGTGTTCATGCGGGGTAAAGGAGAAATATGGATGAAATGGATATATTGATATGATTGGGAGTGTGGGGAATTAATGAAGCCTTCGTTATGGGTACAATATGGCGTGTATTGCTGGGGGAACTGGATTTGATGGCGGGGATATGGATTGGCAGGAGGGCTACATGGTTCTGGCGTGGAGAGGACGGGAAGGTTAGGCTTTGCAAGAGCGGGAGAGGAGAGAGTGTGGTCTACTGCCAGATGTTCGGGCCCACGGACTCTGAAAGGGCAAGAAAGGGAGCAATTTCGCCGTTTGGGAAGTGTGATGATGTGGGGCTATCCCATAGCATAGATTGTGAATAAATATGATATGATAGACATTTAATGTCATACCTGGGCAGCTTGGGATGGAGATGGATGACTAGCCATTTATTGAGTCTCTAGAATGCCAAGCAGACACAAAGAATGGGAAGGCGTTGCATGCTTCGTGTAGTTGTGTGTGGCAGTCTCTGGGCCCGGAGAGATGATGGGGTGGGGAAGTGGTCGAGAATGTGTGTGTTGATGTGGTGAGCCCTGTTGTTGGCGGGGTTCTCAGTTGCCTTATGTGGTGTGGTGCCATATGATTGGCCGAATGGTGGGGTTGGAGCCCAGTAGCAGGAGTGGGGTCTTGGAGGAGTGCAGAGAGTGCAGAGCCATCGTTATGAAGGGAGATGGTGTACAGACCCCTTTGCATAAAGGAGATAGTATATTAGGTGGAGAGGGGGCCTGCCTTATGAGGTATGCGGCATGGACATTAATCAGTGCGGTTGATGTAGTGTATTGCTCTTTGGAGACAAGGGAGAGTGTTTCTTTGACATTCAATCCAGATGGTCAAGTGATAGTGGTTCCGTTTATGTTCAAAGGGTATAACATTGCAGCATTGCCAACGACAAAGTTCGGTGACTTGAAGAAGGACACCAAGCAGATAGAGAATGTTGTATCTTTTTTGAGAAGCGATATTTGTTATGCAGTGTGGGAGTTTCTGGTCAGCTCGGTGCAGTACAAGGATGATGATCGGTTTGAGAGGCTGTTTGACGAAAGAATGAGGGGTATCTAAGGAATATATCTGAAGGTACATCAAAGGTGTACATGAGAGGGAACAAGACGTTCAGTGAATTGCTGGAAATGGTGTGCGGGAGGATGTTAGAATGCAGTGGAAGGGTAGCGGGGGGGGGCATAGTAAGATATGGAAGAGATGTCATGAGAATGCTTGACGACATGATAGAAAACCCGCCTGCTGGAATGTCTGAAGAGGAAAAGAAGGTGTACCTGGAGGATTGGAGGAGTGCTAAAGAATGGGGAGGGTTTCTCTATAGTATAGAAAGATGGGAACGGATAGCTGAGGTGGAGAAGATAGTGTGCAATGCATGCAAGGAGATCTGTCTTGGGCTGAGGGAGGAGGAGCTTCTGGGATTGCTAGCCGAGGGAGGTATGAAGAAGACTTTGAAAGAGGAATTCAGCGAAGATAAGGCCAAAGATGCAAGATATCTAGAATATATTGTTGTTGATGACGTGCTGTTGCTGGATGCACACAGAGAATATGGAGGAGAGGTCACCAAAGAGTTGGTTAGGCAGATGCTGCTGGGGAAGGAGGGAAAGGATATAGACAAAAGATATGTAGACAGGGTTGCAGGTGTAGTCAGAGAAAGACAGAGGAAAAGAGAAGAGGAAACGGAAAGGAGTGTGAAAGAGCTGGTGGGGGACGAGGAGAAGGCGAAGAGTAAGGAGGAGAAGGCGAAGAGTAAGGAGGAGAAGGCGAAGAGTAAGAGGGGGAGGAAGGGGAAGAGTGCTTCTGCACCCTCGGAACAAGAGGAGGAGAAGAAGGAGAGCGAGGTAGAGGAGGCTGAGCAGGGCGGGGAAGTAGAGGCGCTGCCGGTGGAGGTTGGAGGTGCACGCAGCAAGGGGGGCAAGAAGAAGAGCAAGGGTGGTCGGAAGTGTTTCAAGATCCACAGAAGGGTTCTTCGGTGGACGAAGAGCCCTGAGAAGATCAAGGAGGAGTGGGACAAGGGAAGTGAGGAGAGGTGGAAGGGAAGGTCTCTTGAAGAGATCAAGGAGCAGAAAATAGTGCATGATATAACGGGTGTGCTGGAACTTCTCAGGAGTGAAGATGCAGACAGATTCTTCATGGATGCAGGAAAGTACAGGAAGGGCGGGAGTGAGAGGCAGAGGATGGTGGCGATTGGAGCTCTTGAGACTGGGGGACAGAGGATGACAGGAGTGGTGGAGGTTGGGACGTTCAAGGATGGGGATGGATGTCCGGTTGTGTACCACCTGAGGTTCAAGCCAACCAGTATAGGGTCGATAGGAGATGTTATAAACCCAGGGGTTGTTGAAGCAAGTGATGTAGGCAGGGTAGACGAGGGTGAAGAATGTGAGGATGCGGACAAGTTTGTGTATCCAAAAGGAGTAAGGTTTGAAACGGTGAAGGAGACAGGATCATTTCAGATAGTGTGGAAGAATCCTTCGGATACCTCTGAGGTTCTCCGTCGTCTTATTGTTTATTGCAGGCCATGTGTGATCTGAGTGGTGTGGTGCGATGATGAATAAAGCAAATAGTGTTATGCTTGTGTCCTGTTCTCTGCTACACATTTTTGGGCAGCAAGTTGGTCTCCTCTGGCTTGGATTTGTCTGGCGGATGTTTCTTCTTATGTGGTGGTTGGAGACATTGCAGATGGAGGATAGGAGGTTATTTATTGATCAGCTTTTGGCACGTGTCTCTGCCTCATTAGTAGGCAGAGGAGATTATACACAATGACTATAGATCCATACACCATAAGCCATAGGGACAGCAAGAGGGCAAGGACAGCCACTCTCGATGGTGCAGTAGGCAGAGTGCTTTTTCCAGGGGTGCAGTGCTTCTTCCTGAGCAGTCTTAGCAGGAGAGTGTAGGGGATACGATTGCAAGGTAGGAACGATACTTGGGCTCTTTTAAGATAAGTGATAGACTTCCTACAGAGCATAGTAGGATCGGGATGTCGATAAGGACGCTGGAATTGGTATTTGTGAAGGCGGTTTGTCCTGGAACAAGGCGGCAGGAGACGGAGAGGAGATAGACGATGGATACAATAAAAGAGGGGAGAGTTGTAGAAAGGAAGATTGAACCGCTACTTTCCAGTTTCCTTCCAGCTAGTGTGGGGCAGGAGAAGATACTGGGCTGCTGAGTATGAGGATTGGAAGAGCACGGTGATGAATCTGAGAAAAGGACTCTCCCCGAAACGATCTTCGTTGAGGACGAGATAGATGAGGGTTGGGAATGCAGTTGGCACGAATGCCACAAGATTGTTGTTGAGGACGGCGCTCGAATGGAGTTCTCGGTGTGTTGCCCTGTTGTGTGCGTGATGTTCATATGGGCAAAGGGAAGGATGGAATGGATGTCATCTGGTAGGATGGGGGATTGGTGGGTTGAAGGTGAAGTGGCTTTGGTGGTTGACAGATTCTGGGGGTCTCTGCGGCGGTTTTCCGCGGAGGCAGAGAGGAGGGGTGAGCGGAGGTGGTGTGCTTGGAGATGGAGATGATATCTCGATGGATGGCTGGGGTCGGCGGGATGTGGTGGATAGCGATTGGACTCTGGATTTGGGTTAGTTGTCTTTGGAAGGATGTTTTTGGAGTGTCTAACCATGCTGATTTGTAGAAGAGAGGAAGGAGGAGATGGTTTAGAGGTGTAGTGATGTTCAGAGGGGATGATGTAGTGGATAGGTTTGGACAGGGGGTTGGGGAGGAAGCAGAAGGAGAGATTCAGGTTGATAAATTCTGTGGGGAGGTGTGTTAGTGTAAGACTGATTGTTAAGAGATGAGCTGTTTATTCGCCGGGCTTTGATGAAAGGATGCTCTCTCCACCTTGCCAAATGAGATGGAGTAGTTATCGAAGATGTCTGCGTTCATTATTAGATACGCTAATAACGCATAAGCGATGACGATAGAGATGAGTATAAGGACAAAGACCGCGATTCTCCATGGTGCAGTAGGGGGAGGGCTCTGTTTCTCTGGAGAGAGCTTCTCCCTGAGCAATCGTATCAGGATGAGTATGGAAGATATGATTGCAAAGTAATAACAATGCTTGACTTCGTCGAAGGCAGGCACTAAATCTCCTGCAGAGCATAGTAGTATCAGGATGTCAACAAGGACGTTGATACCAGTGTCTGTGAATCCGATCTGTCCTGGAACAAGACAGCAAGATGTGGAGAGGAGATAGGTGAGTGGGACAGTGAAAGAGGGAAGGATGAAAGAAAAGATAATTGGATCATTATTATTTTCCCAATCATCATCTTCCCATTCAGCAAGGGTGAATGCAATTATTGAAAGGATGGAGATGATGGAAAATGCAAGAAATAGGAGATTGAGGGTGTAGTAGAGTATGCTTTGCAGGATGCGCTCTGGTTTGTTATGTGACTTCCAGTTGGTGTGGAGTAAGGCATACTGTACTGCTGAGTATGAAAAGGGGAGGAGTACTGTGATGAATCTGAGGAAAAGGCTATCTTCAAAACTGTCTTCGTCAGAGATGAAGTACATGGTGGCTGGGAATGCAATTGACACGATTGGAGCAATACCGAGGATCTTCCTCCAGTGTCGCTGGTTCTCGGCGTGCTGCTCTGTTCTGTGTGGCTCTGGAACGTGTGTGGTGTTCATGTGGGTAAAGGAGAAATATGGATGAAATGGATATATTGATATGATTGGGTGTGTGGGGGTGTTAGATTTGTGTTATGGTATGGGATATTGGTGGGGTTGTGCGGAGACTTGGAGTAGGAGGGTTGGGAGGCAGTGGGGATCTAAGAGCTTTGGGGATGCAGATGGATTGGATGTGGATTCTGTTCCTGGTGGAATGAATTCCTCGTGAGACATATTGTGTGATATTGTGCAGTGCAGGTGATGGATGTGTGTTTGGTCGATGGCCTCCGGGGGAGAAGGATCTTAGTCGGAGGGCGAAGAAGCAGTGCAACGGGTGTGGGAGACAGCGGGCCCTTGAAGATGTGAAGGTTATTGGCATGTACAGTCGTGCTGGTTGGGATATCATGTGTCTCTCGGATGGTGGAGGAGGTGAGAAGCTTGAGGATGGGTTGGGCTGGAGGTTTAGCAGGTCGAAGATAGAGATGTTGAAAGGATCGCTTGAAGAAGGGGCGGGTTTAGAGACTTGGATCTAGCTCCGGTTGTTTTCCACGGGGACAAGGTTGCTGTGCTGCCGGACACTGGCGGCAGGAGATGGATGCAGGAGAAAGGGCATGTGCTTCCCAGTTGGCGGGCTACTCCCATATTTGGCACTTCGGTCGGTAGCATATATATGCGTGTTTGGAGACAGCAGCAGGGCTCCGGATCTGATACGTGAGGCGTTTGAAAGTCCGCATTTCAAGAGGTTTGATGGTGCTGGGACGTACAAGGAGGCCAAAGGGAGATGTGGAATGAGGTTTGCGGACGTGGTGAATGGAGCGTTTGGGCAGATCAGCGATATGGCGGATAAGGTTGGGAAGGGAGAGCCAGAGGTTTGGTGTATTTGGAAGAAGAGAGGAGAGGTGGAGATGCTTCTGAAGGTTAAGGAGTACAGGAAAGGCTATGGATCAGGGAAAAGAAGGAGGAGATAGTTAATAGGCCGCTCGCTGCCGACAAGTATGTGTGACGGGTTTTTTGTCCGGACAGGTAAGTACAGGGGGGGGCGGGAGATGGAAGGTGGCGGCTCTTGGGGTACTTTTGGGAGAGGGAAGAAGAGGGAGGGCTTTTCAAGAAGAGGGAGGGCGTGATCTACCACCTTCTGTTCAGGTCCACTGGTCTGAGAAGACAGGAGAGAATGCAAGGCCGTTGATTGTGAAGGGAAATGATGTAGACGAGGTAGGGGAGGATGCAGGGAGCTCCTCGTCTCTGGATGGTTCGGAATCTTGCTGTTCTGAGATTCCTGAGATGCGGTAATATGAAGGGAATGAATAAATATGATAGATGTGTGTTGTTTTGATGGGATGGCTAGGGCGGAGATTTGGTCGAATGGGGGCATTCAGGATTGAGAGCAGCCTCCTGGAGATGGGCCATAGATGATGGCAAGGCAGATAGTGAGGGATGTGTTCTGGGGATGTGGGAGATGGACATACAGTGGCATGAAGGAGCAAGGACGTGGGTCTTGGTCTTCTCTTTTCGACTTCGATTCTAGTTAGTGGTGAATGGAGTCTCGGACTGAGCTGGATTGAAGGTGATAGTTGATGAAGAGCTCTGGGTTGCCTGGAGGGGAGATATATGTTGGGCTTAGCGGGTTGTTGGAATGGGACATAGATTGATGGAGGAGAGGGGATGTGGCTGGCTGTAGAAGAGGTTGAGGATGGGGTATGTGGTTTGCTCGGGGGAAATACGGAGAGAAAGTTCCTTGATGGGATCAGAAATGGGAAAAGTTTTTCGGTGATGGAGACGGGCAGGCTTTGATAGACTAAAGGGATCTGGATTGGATGTCGGAGTCGTGGGTGGTGGGGCTTGGGTGTTGGAGTTTTCAAGGAAGTGCTGTTTGAGGTCGGTTATAGAGTGTATGTGGTAGTGGTATAGCAGAGGATGTTGCTGGGGTGGATGAGGATGATGAGTCGAGACTACCAACTGTTGAGTATCTGCCTTAGGCTAGTGTCGACAATCCAGTTACGACCTCCTCTAAACCGATCTTGCGTATCGTGCCTGACCTATCTCCAATGCCCTCGCTCCTACCTGTGCATTGTGCAGTCATGCACCCCCAGTCAATGGACTTGTCGCATGCCTACCTGCCTCGGTAGCTTCCCTTCGTCCAGACGGCCGCTCCCTCTACTATCTTTCTCCCCCTCCCTTCTCCCTCACTTCTTCTTAATCCTCTCTAATGCCCGTTACTCCCACAGCCTTAATACTGCTTCTACCCTGTATCCTCTACATCTCTTCATCTCCTCTACCCCCGTCTTCCCTTATTATCTCTTTCCCCTATTCCTCCCTCCTCCTTCCCTTTATCCCTTCGTCTCCTTCCCTCCCTCCTCTCTCTTCTCCTCCCTTCCTACTCCTCTTCAATCCCGTATCCCCTTCCCCTACCTATCCTCCTCTCTCACTTACCCCCTCTACCTTTCCCTCCCCTTCCCCTCTCCAAACCCCTCTCTCACCCTAACCTCCTTTTCATTTCTCTCCTCTTTCACCTTCCACTCCTCTTCCTCCCTCATTCCCTCTTCCCTTCCTACTCCTTTCCCCTCTCTACTTCTCTACACCCCTTCCCTCCCCTCTTCCCCAATCTCCTTACACTTTCTTTCTTCTCTCCCCACATCCTCTTCCCTCATTCTCTCTTTCACTTCTCCTCCTCTGATTCCTATCGAATCTCTCCCCCG